ATCTGGAGTGCTCTGTCATCTGGAGTGCTCTGTCATCTGGAGTGCTCTGTCATCTGGAGTGCTCTGTCATCTGGAGTGCTCTGTACCGTCTGTCCAGTCCACAATTCAGTCCGCATGCTCGGCAGGAGAGGACTGCATCAACCCGTCATTTGACATGACAAGAAAGGGTCCTCTTTTTCGGAATATCACGCCTCCAGCCCCGGCCACAGGTAGAAAGCAAGCTCGGAATCGAAGTTGTCGTTGGTCAAGCCTGCGCTCGTGAACATGTCGGCCCACGGATCCGGTCCCGAGGTCGAGGCCAGACCATAGGCCAGATCATCCATGGAAGCGGAGGCGGAGACATAAACGTTGTTGACGGAAGGATCTGGATCTTCCCGAGGTTGAGGTCGAGGGTCCAGTTCCGGCTGGGCCTGGACAACTAGAGAAGAAAGCCGACGCTGGTGGTGATGATGATGGGGGTGGTGGTGGTTATGGTCACGGCCGCCGTTACTGCCACTGCCAACAAATCCAGATCCAAATCCAGGTCTTTCTGACACACCGAGACCGACAGGCTGGGCGAAATGCGAAGAAGACTGGTGGATAGCACCGGATGCTCTACCGGTCGTGGTTGTGGTCGCCTCGATGTCATCACCAGCCACTGGCGGTGGAGTAGAAGGGCGTGGGCCGGCCGCCCTGTGCCTGCTGAGCTGGCGGGCTTTATTGAGAGCGTCGCTCCAGCATCTCGCCATGGGCCAGGCGTCCTGCAGACGGTCTAGTTCGGCGGTGGACTTTTCGAGGATGGTGCGGGCACGGGCGCGGTCGAGATCAGGGTCAGGACCTGGGCCGGGAGCGGGAATGTCCAGCGGACGTGGGCGTTGCAATAGGTGGTTCGCGAGCGAGCCGCAGATATAGATGCAAAAGACGATGAAGGCCGGGAAGCCTTGGTCTGGCGAGCTCAGGGAGAAGAAGGCCTCGATCTGTTCGTGCAGGGTGATCATGTTCTCGAACATTTCGGCCGTGATTTGAGCTTCTACAGTTGTATCTGCAGATGGTCTGGCTGCGGCGGTACCGGCGCCGGCACCGGCACTGCTGTTGTGTTCTTGTCCTTGGGAGTTTCCTTGGGAGTGCCTTTGGGAGTGCCCTTGGGAGTGTCCTTGGTCGTGGTTGTGGTCGTGGTCGGCCACCAACCCTAGTCCTTGTAGATAGCTTCGACGAAGAACGATATTGCTCAACTTGATCATCATGACCACGGACAGATAGGCCAGATCCAGCCCCTGGGCCTTGAAGCCGCGGAGATTCCACACCGACCAGGTGTGGCGGGGCGGCAGATTCCGTTCGAAGGTATGCAGACTGGTAGAAAGCCGGAGGTAATCTTGTTCTCTGGTGTGCGGGTGTGTCTTGTCCAGATCCAGACGCAGACCTGGGCTGGCAATAGTAGTGGTGGTGGTGATATTGGTATTGGTGTCATTGTAATAGGGAGCAGTAACAGAAGTCGAAGTCGAAGCCGACATCGATGTCGAGGTTTCATTGCCATTGCCGTTGCCGTTGCCATTGCCATTGTCACTGCCATTACCATGACCAGCCACCCGGCGCGCCACCTGCCCCCAGAGATTATGCGACTGGATCAGACTGGCGAACAGCGATCTCGACGGCGACCGAGTGAGGCGCGGGTCCTGGATGGCGGGCGGAGTGCCCATCAAGGCGGCGCGTTCGGCCGGGACGACGCCAAAGGCAAAGTCCTGCTCGTCGCACGGCAGCAGAGTGGTGATGTCGCCCAGGGGGAAGCACACGGGCGAGTTGTGGCCCGAGTGCAGGTTGTCGTGGTTCTCCAGCATCCAGAACGTGCGACGGGCCATTTCGGCATTGACAACCTGGTCGGCGGTGGCACCGGCACTGGAAACGACACCGGCAGTAGTACTCTCGAGACAGTGATACTGATACGTCTCTTCGCGATGCAGATGCAGCATCCCGGCCATGCGCACCGCGATGCCCATGTGGATGGCGCTCCGGTGGCGATGTTGATGTTGATGTTGAGGGTCGCCGTCGCCGCGGCCCCATTCGGCCAGGCTCAGCAGGAAAAACGCCTGGATGGCGTCCAGGCTCGGCCGGTACATTTGGTCGGGGACCATGGAGGCGGCTCGTTCGAGAAAGACGTCGGTGACGGGGGCAGTGCTGCCGCGTCCGTAGCGTTGCACCAGGCGCGGCGTGAAGCGCGCCGAGATGCTGAGGATGCTGAGCAGGAGGAAGACGCTGATCGAGTGGCGGTCCTGGCTGTGGCTGAGCCGCTCGAAGAAGTTGGCTTTGGGGATGAAGCCCAGTTGGAAATACGACGTCGTGAACACCTTGCAGCCTTCGATGACCTCGTCGATCGGCGGGAGGAGCTCCCAGTCGCGGTTCAAGTTGGTGGACGCCGCGCCGGCGGGAGGTGGTGGCGGCCTCCCGACCGCGGCGGGAATACTGGTTCTGGTTCTGGTTCTGATGGTGTCGTCAACTTGAAGTACGCTTGGCCGAGGAGGTGGGTCGCTGTCGCTGTCGCCAGGTATGGATGGTCTGGGGAGAGGGGGAGAGTGAGGTTCTCTTGCTGCCGATGCCGATGCCGTTGATGTTCTTTGGGGTCGGGCATTGCTCAGCGGTGCCGGCGCCGGCGCCGGTGCTGCATGTGAGTGAGAGTGTGAGAGTGGGTATGCCTGTGATTGAGACAGCGAGTGTGACTGTGAGGCATATTCTGAGCTGGGAGAGCGCTGAGGCTGTTGCTGTTGCTGTTGCTGTGGCCGTGGCTGTGGTTGCCGTACGCGTTGTACGGATCCTGGTAGCAAATCTCTTCCAGGTACCGCCACCGCCAGATCTCGTCGTCGGCGATCTTGTCGAAATGCTCGATCATAGTCCGGCTCGCCTCGCTGCGGGAAGATGCAGTCGTGCTCATGCCGGCTCTCCTGGCACGTCAGGCACGGCGCTCGACTTCCTTCGTGCCGGCATTTGATGCGCAGCCGCCGGCAGCGTCGACAGGCCACCGGGGCCCGGCGTCGTGGTGGTTTCGGCCGGTTCAAGTTGAAGTCGGCGGTGGGGGAGGTCAAGGGTAAAGGTACAGTGTGGTCGGATGCCGAGGGCGAGTGTGACGAGAGGGAGGCCATGTCTGGGCCAGGATCAGCATCAATACCAATATATCACATTGCCGGCAGCGGCAGCAGAGATGACTTGGTCTAGATCGATACTAGGTAATCATGAGGAACAAAACTGCGCAGTACGAAAGAAATAGACCCGGTCCCATTTGCCAGTGACAGGCACCTAGACAGGCAGGCACCCGGAAGATCCACCCACCTAAGGCCCATTAACCCTAACCCTAACCCTAACCCTATGTGTAATATTCCCATGGCACCAGACAGGTCAAATACCGCTGACAGATCCAGTCTAGTGCACCATTGCCATCGCTATTTCTTGTAAGTGTACTCTGTACTAGTACCTAGGTATGCGAGAGAAAGAGAGAAAGACAATCTACCAAGTAGGCGTTCGAATTCAGGCAATACTCTGACAATTCAGTCATATACCCAGCCGATCCGGTCTAAGTGTCCATCTATTTAGTGGCCTCCGACAATAAGAGTACAATAGGTACAATACCCCTACAACTGCTTCCGATATCGAATCTCGGCCCATCGGAACGGCAGATACAAAACCGCACTCAAACACAAGCCGACTTCAAACCCAATGTCGCCCGCCTTCTCGGCCAGAGGCCCCGTGTACCACACCTGGCCCATACACGGCACAATCAGGGCAAACGAAAGAGCACAGGCAGCCATGGCGGCGATGCCCGACGGCAGTTTGCGCGGCACATCCCAGATGGCCAGGTCGTAGGTGGCGCAGTCGGCGCGGCGGAAGACAAAATGCTCGATGCTAACGACGGCGACGAAATCGGCCGACCAGTAGGCAATAACGTAGATGAAGTTCTCCAGGCTGTCGAAGAAGTTCTTGGCCGCGTAGATGGACAGCGGGATGCACACGGCCGTGTACAGCACGGCAAAGGCGGCGCGGGGCACGCGCACCAGCACGGGGATCAGGAGCTGGCAGTTCAACGTGACCGAGTACATGGTCGCGGCGATGTTGCCGAGCAGCGAAAAGGCCAGGATGACGGCGACGAATTTGCCGAACCCGCCCGCCGGCTTGAGCATGGCCTCGAGCACCCCGCCGGCCGAGTAGCGGTCGTAGCCGTCGCTCCATGACGGCACGTTGGGCGCCGCGCCTCCGATGGCGGCGCCGAGGATCATCAGCAGCACACTGGGCACCAGGAGCCCCGCGTAGGAATACCAGAAGATGCGGGCTGTCGAGACGCTGGGGTGGCAGTAGACGGCGAAGTCGGACGCCATGGCCGCCCACGGGATCATGTAGCCGGCGATGACGCCTCCAAAGGAGATGATCAGCGACGCCGCCGGAGGCTCGGTCTCGACCTGGTGGGATAGATGTTTGCCGCCGCAGCCGGTGGCGATGATGATGGCAATCAGAGCCGGCAGCCAGGCGTAGCGTTCGTACTGATGCAGGGCCTTGTATCCGGCAAACGAGACCAGCAACGCCAGGATCGTGATGATGACAATGCCCACCGTGTCGTTAACGTTGCCGTTCGAGACCGCCGACAGGGTCGACCCGCCCACCACAGCATCAATCACGCCAAAACCGCCGATGGTGGCCAGGTTGAGGAGTACAACGATCGAGACGAGGTAGTAGCTGGGAGTGATGGTCAGCGGGAGACAGAGACACACACAGAGAGGGAGAGACGGAGAACACTCACCCAAACGTGTAGCGGGCGTGAAGCATTTGGCGCAGGCCAGTTCGTGCGCCCAGGGTACAGAAGTAGGCCGGGAAGATGGTGCAGAAGAGACTGAAGAAGAGGATGAGCAGCGAGGTGTCTCGCAGACTCATTCCGAACCCCAGGGTTCCCACCATGCCGGTGACGATGCTGTGGAAGAAGTCAGTAACCTAACCCTAACCCTAACCATGACCGCGCAAAGAGCAGAGAGAAACTCCCCGGGAGAGGAAAGATGGAGAGGAATGAGGATACTGACGGCAGGAGATTGATGCTCATGGTGAACCAGACAAAGAAGATATTGATGTAGCGGGTGCTGGTCCTGTCTTCCACCGGTACGGGCGTGACGCCGTGCAGTTCGACGCCCCATGATGCAAGGCGCTGGAGGAAGGGATGTTTGCGCGTGAAGCCAGGAGTCTGGTATGCTTCGGTCTGTGCCTCTGCAATGTCCTGCACCACCGGACTAGAAGGTGCCTTTTCCATGTCGGTGTCTTTCTCCATGCTGCTCTCAGGAAAGGAGCGAAGATATGTTGAGATTAGAGAGTTGGCTCGGTTGGGTTGGATGCTGGGCTGGCAGCGCGGGATGTAGTTGTAGTCAGGGCCGGGGAGGTGTGTACTTGTAGGAAATGTATCTATTATATGTAGTGAGTGGACTGGCTCGTCCTTCGAACAGAACAGAACCGAGGGCGCAGTGTCGATAGATCTCAAGAGCCAGAGCCATCCATGGCGGCCGCAAGGGCGAAATGAGTCCCAATATCAAGGTCAAGGCAGCCAGTGACTCAACCCAATCCAGCCTCTTGGCAGGCCTATGTTCTCCGTGCTACGTCGATAGTGACGGCGCTTACTGTATCTCTGCTCTCTGAGATGAGGATAAGAAGATAACAAGCACTGCCTGCCGGGAGGATGGCGGCTGGCAGCTTTCCGTGATAGCAGGACGGAGTAGTGGTGGTGATGATATCGATATCGATGCCCATATCGATACCCATGTTGATATCGGTGGCGAGAAAAATCAATCAATAATAATCAATGGTAAAACTCGGTGTGGCCGGCAAGGCGGGACCCACAGCAGATAGAATTCCCATGGTCTGGAGTCTGGATTTCCTTCCTATTTGAGTGGGCGGAGATGGGCGTCATCTTGATAGCAAGTTGTAGTACAGAAGAATCTGGCCAAGGCTGAACGGAGGTAGAGTCACTGTGACGGTGTACACGGCAGGTGCAAGGTACTGCGTGTTGCTAATGCTAGATGTTGTCATGTCGCAGTATGCGTATGCGGCTGCACATGTCCCGCTCCATGTCCATTGACCGGGACAGCCATTGCCTGGATTGCCTTGGTCCTGCTCCAGGTCCGGGTCCTGGCCGAATCTTCCGCCAACGGAGGCAGCCCGGCTGCGGCAAGGTCCTTGTTCACTTGATCCAGATGCTTGACAAAACCACCTTCAAACCCGTCCCAGAATGTCGGGTGCAAATCTACAGAAGGCAGAAGGTCAGTATTTATTCTCCGATCGATGCATTAGATACACGTACCGTGGAGAACCCCCGTTCTTTGCAGAGCATAGTCCGTCAACGAGATATGCCCGGATATATGGAACATGAATGCTGGTAAAGATTGATGGTTAGTTATATCACACTGCATGTCACACATAAAGATAGATAGATGGTCTTACCCATTGCGTCTTCATTGACCCGCTGCGGCTGGAGGTCGGCGGTCGTGGCTTCTCGCCATCGCTCATAAGATTCTGTCACCTAGCAGTTAGTATATGATATCAAGGAGTCAAGACTACCTCTAAGGGCGACACTCACCTCCATGCGGCATGAAACTAGGCTCGTACGTCAACCCACCCGGCACCAACGTGGTGACCGACCCAGACCAAACGCCGGAGATCATGCCCATCAGTTCGGTGGCCACGTTTCGATGATAGTAGGGCGGGCGGAAGGTGTTGGTCGTCACACTCCATTTGGGCGTGAAGACGAGAAACTCGGAGAGGGCAACCCCGACCGTCTTGGACCGCGCCATCAGCACACAGTAGATGGACGGATCACTCTGTTCCTTGTCCACCGTGGCCGCGTTGACAAACTTGTCCAACGCGTATTTGTAGGGCACGTAGTTGCCGTGCCACGCCACCACGTCGAACGGCGTGTGTTCCTGCTCGTACTCGAACAGTTGGCCGGCGAGTTTGCACTGCACCGTCCACGGCGCCGTCTTATCCACATCCACGTCGAAGCTGGCCAGCGGATGCTCGAAATCGCGCGGGAGAGCCATGCCATTGGATCCAATCGGTCCCAGTTCCGGGAGCTCGTAGTGACTGCCGAAGATTTCTTGCATGTATCCGCGCACCGGGCCGTCAGGTAATCGGACCTTGAATCGGATGCCTGCCTGGATCACGGCCAGTTCGCCGGGCCGCACCATCATGTGACCGAATTCGGTTTGGATGTCGAGGCGGCCCTGCTGAGGCAGAATCAGCAAGTCGCCGTCGTTGTTGCAGAAGGCCGTCCGGTCCATCGACTGGTTAGCCGTGTAGACGTGCACGGCCAGACCCTCTTTCAGCACCGGATCCCCATGGCCGCCGATGGTCTTGATGCCCTGCACAAAGTCGACTGACTCGCCATCGTCTGGCAGGGGAAATGCGTCCCACGACTGATCCTGCGGCAGGAACTGTGACGTTGACGTGTGGCTGGATGCGGAGAAACAGGCTTGGATGTCATGTCGGTGACAGAGCTTCTTCAACGGTCGATGGGCGACGGATGGTCGGATGCGGTAGAACCAGGCATGGAGCTGAGACGCCCGCGCCGACACAAACGGGGTACCGTTGAGCTGTTCGGAGAAGAGGTCATATTTGCACCTCTGAGGAGTGTTTCTGGCCTGGGGCAGCACTCCCGGAATCGCCTCGGTCGCGAACCTGTTGCCAAAGCCCACCTGGTATGCGTAGGGATCCTCGGCCGACGGCGTGGTCGAGTATGCGCATCGGGCTGTGGCGCCAAATGGCGGAGAGGGAGAGGGAGAGGGCGCTGAGATCATGTTTACACGCACTTGCAGTGTCTGTACCGGAGAGGAAGTGGGAGGTGTTGTATGCTGTATGCAGCTCTGATGAAGGCTGCGAGGCGTGGGTTAAATGGAACGTGTCGGTGGCGTTGACGATGCGACCGTGTGTGAGAGAGGTTCAGTCTCAGTCTCCAATTCCCCCTTGCAATCGAGCCATCGTCTTTGAGTTCCGCTCCACGGCCCAGGTCCATGGGATTGACGATTGACGATTGACGATTGACCATCCCGGCCAGAGAGATCCAATCCAGCCTACAGGCAAGAGTTGCCGGCCGGGCGAGAAACACTAGTGACGCGCGGGTCCGGCAAAGTGACACTGACACTGACACGGCACTGCAACCCCATCAGCGGCAGCGCATCACCACCACCACCGCCACCTCCATCACCACTATCGCCCTCACCCTTCATCATTTTGTTCCTTGTTATCGTCTCATCATCCTGCCCATCAAGTCCCCGTCCTCTGGGCCTCTGACCGACTCCGGCAATGACTCCACCGTCGTGTCCTCGATTTCAATCTCGATCTGATCTTGTGCTAATTGAGCCTTTTTCATTCGTTGTTGTCAGCCTTGCCTGTGGCCGTACCGAACAATAAAGTCTGTTGCAGTGGCTTGCTCGTCCCCCTACCCTACAGAGCCGAAGTTCAACCTCCCTCCTCGTCCAAGTGATACCTGTCTTCTCATCGGCAAGGACACGAGACACAAGATCATAATGGCAGTCTCGTTAGCTCTACGGCTGGTCGTCGGGGCCGGTCTGCTGTTCGTGGTGGCCTCTCTCTTATCGACCCTTGTCAAAAGGAAGAACGAGAAGTTGTGTCTCCCGCCAGGACCGCCGGGAGAACCGCTCATTGGGCATCTTCGAATCATCCCAGCAGACCACCCGGAATACCAATACACAGAATGGGGCAAACAGTACAGTATGACACTTCTGACCGGTCCTCTTCGTACCTCGCAGTTAGTGGACCAACCACTGACCAGCTTCTGTTGTTAGAGTCGGATGTTTTGCACCTGAACGTCCTGGGACGATCGATCATCATCCTGAACAGTATTGAAGCCGCGCACGATCTGCTCGACAAGAGGGGCCAGAATTACGCTGACCGACCCCGATTCGTTCTCTTTGAAGTGTAAGTCTGACTACCACTGCCGACGACCACACCTGGCTTGAGTGATTGCGGGCAATTGGGAAGCTAACATTGCGAGCCTTGCAGAATGGGGTGGGGCATCACCTTGACCTTCCTACGATGGGGCCCGAAGTTCAAACTGCACCGCAAGCTGCTCCAGAGTTCCTTCACCCCGTCGGCCTGCAAGCCGTACCGACCGATCCAGGAGCAAGAGGCGCGCAAGGCCGCTCTCGAGATCCTCTCCCAGCCAGGAGACTGGGAATATCTGTTGCGAAAGTACTCGACGGCGGTGGTGCTACGGATCGGGTTTGGACTGGGCATCAGCAGCGCGGACGACCCGTATGTGCGGATGGCGATCGACGCCGAAGAGGCCACGGGCAACGGCGGCGTCCCGGCAGCGTCGTTTGTGGATTTCTTCCCCGTGCTGCGCTTCCTGCCCGGCTGGCTGCTGAGCAGTCGTCTCGGCCCGCTGGAACACGCGCGTCAGTCCAAGGCGTACATCCAGCGCCTGCACGACGCGCCGTGGGACTCGACCGAGCCGGAGATCCGCGACGGACGCGCCGTCCGGCCGTCGTTCATGCGCACCCATCTGGAGCGGTACATGCGGAACGAGGAGTCGGGCCAGGCCAACGAGGCCAGCATTGCCGACCTCAAGGGCGCGGCGGGCGCCATCTCCATCGCGGGCGGGAACACCACCTGGTCGACGATCGTGGTGTGCATCATGAACATGCTGCTTCGGCCGGCGGTGCAGAAGAAGGCGCAGGCGGAACTCGACGCCGTGGTCGGTCGCGATCGGCTGCCGAGCTTCGACGACCGCGACAAGCTGCCGTACCTCGAGAAGATCATCCAAGAGACCACGCGCTGGTGTCCGCTGTCGCCGGTCGGCGTGCCCCACGCCACCCTGAACCACGACACCTACAAGGGCATGTTGATCCCCAAGGGCAGCGTCGTCTATGCCAACGCGTACGCCATGACCCACGACGAGAGGTATTACAGCGACCCCGACGACTTCAACCCGGACCGATATCTCCCCCCGGACCAGGGCGGGAGGGGCGAGCCTCTTCCCGAGGGCCCCTTCGGCTTCGGGCGCCGCGTCTGTCCGGGACAGTATCTCGCCACTGCCGGCGTGTATATTATGATGGCCACGCTGCTGGCCACCATGGATATGAAGTGTCCTGTCGGTCCGGACGGGAAGGATATCCTACCAAATGTGAAATTCACCAATGGTCTTTCCAAGTGAGTTCCTCCCCTTTCCCCAGCCCTAACTTCATAGACAGAGAGATAGGAGTCTGCTTGCTGACATAGTGTCTTGTGCTGTCGTCGCAGTAAACCAGAGCATTTTGATTGTATCATGACCCCTCGTTCGGAGGAGGCTAGACAGTTACTTCTGCAGTCGGTGTGACCATTTGAGAGTAGAGAATCGATTCAATTCAAAGCATTATCCATAATCATATATTCTCGAGAAATCATCAAGCTCCTCGTTCGTGAACCGGAGTCCTCGAGAAATCATTAAGCCCCTCGTTCAGGAACCGGAACCCTCGCGACTCGAGAGCGTCGGCTGTGTTTTCTTGGATTCTATTCTAAATCCGACAGTAGCAGTGTCGGTGTCAAACTTAAGGTAGGCACTGACTTAGGCATTCCCAGCCTTGTTCTTTAACCCGAAGGCTGGTATACTGTAAGCATACATGTACACTATATAGTCTGGGCTCCCCCCATACCCATTTGACAGCCAACATGGAACATTTCAACCCTATGACAGGCAGTAGATCCGAGTACTAGTATTTATCGTATTGACGACCGAGTACTGGTATATACGGTATTGGTGGCCGAGTACTAGTACATACAGCATTGGCGGCCGAGTACCTATCTTAGCTTTCGCCACGAGACCTAGCTAAGCCTTGTCCAACGTTTGAGTATTTCCTGGAGATCGAGAGACCTACCTACGAAGGTACCTTAGGTAGGTAGATACCTTAGCTAGGTGTTTGAGTCGCGGAGGACGGTTCGGATGTCATTGCCGTATCGCGCGTGAATGCCTTTTGCAACACTTGTCCCGCATCGTTGACCAATTTCTTTCCTTTGGATAGGATGCCTGCGAAATCGGGTGCGTCAGATCAGTAGCGGAACGATATGCCACAGGGAGAAAGACGGCCATGCATATCAATATGATATGGCATTGTATGAGAAACACCAAGAAACTCACCATTCATGGCCAAGATAGTATGCGTCATGCCGGGGTAAAGCTCAACCTCAACATCGAGGCCACTACCACTGTTACTGCCACTGCCACGCACCGCCCTCACCTGGTCTGCAAACCGCAACGCCTCGGGCGCCAACACGTCCTGCTCCGCGACTCCCATCCACGTCGGCGGCAAGTTGCGCAGCAGTTCGGGCGGCGCGAGGTTCGGCGACGCGTCCCAGTTCGTCGCGTCCGAGGAGTTGGTCAGGTACATGGAGCGGTACCAGGTCATGCGGGCCGGGGTCAGCCACGGCGCATGCGGGCGCGAGGCCCAGATGGTGGCGGTGGTGGCGGTGTTGTCGATGACGGGGACGACGAGGAGCTGGAAGATGGGCCGGATGGGCGGTTGGAGAAGAGATGCTTTGAGACTCGTCGCTAGGGAGAGGTTGCCGCCGCTGCAGTGGTGCACGCCGACCGACGCTGTTAGCCTTGGTCTGAGGAAAATAGGGGATGACATAGGTCAAGTCTCAAGGGATGCCACAGGTAAAGTACAGGGATGCTACAGCTCAAGTATCCGTACCTGTACCCGTACCCGTAGGCAATGGGAAGGTGAGTGAGGGAGGTGAGGTGAGTAAGTAAGGTAAGGGAGGTGAACTAAGGTACAGACTGGTACTTACGCCGACGTGCCTCCTATCGCGATGCGAGTATTGTCGATATCCAGTTCCCGCCGGCCCTGCTCGCTGTTCACCCACACCAGTGCCTCCAGCGCATCATCCACTGCGGCGGGATACGGATGTTCCGGGGCGAGACGGTATCCGACGGTGACGACGACACAATTCGCATCTGTGGCAAGGCAACACATGCATGAGTTAGAAAGTGAGACAGAGAAGAAACCAGAAACAGAAACAGACACAGACACAGACACAGACACAGACACCAGAACAGAGGGCTACCATCAGACTTGACTCGTGTACAGTAGGTTCAAGTTGGCAAGGCAGCCTCATCTTGTTGGTCTTGTACTGTACCTACCGCTACACATCCTCGTGCAAAAATCATTCTCACTCTGGATGCCTCCAATAGCCCAGCCGCCGCCGTGATACCACACCAGCACCGGCCATCCGGCGACCGGTCTTCGTCTTCGTCCCTCGTCTGACTCTGACGGCCAGAACGCACGCACCGTACAGTTCGCCAGCTCGATGTCCTTGACTGCTCTCACTGGCACGGGAGCTGACGTGCCCGGTGGGAAGGGCACGCGCTGGCGAGTGCCGACCGAATCCCACGGTCGCACGTCGTCAGGCTCGACGTATTGCAGGTACCGGTCGTGAAAGGCGACATATTCCGGGTCGAGATGGGGTCGGACGTCCGGGTGGAGCGGTTGGTAGATCGTGTTGCTGAGCTCCGCGTCGCTGAGGGTGAGTCTGGCTGTATTGTCTTCTCTCATCTTGTCACTCTCTGGGCCGGAATATCAGGAAATCAACCTTTATGGAATCGTGACACGGGGTCGGGGTCGGGGTCTGGGTCTACAGGAGAAAGAACGTCTTTAGGACGCTATGGAATTGAAACTAACAGCATAAATGCATTGATAACCCTAACTTCAACCTCCAGTCAGCCCTAACTCGGAATCGCCCCAGACGTATACAATATCCATCAACCCATACTGGTCGACAGAATCCAGAATCCAGAATCCAGAATCCAGAATCCAGAATCTAGATTGATATGACATCTTGCCGGAGTTGCCGGCATGGCACGGCTTATCACTCGAGTATCCACTCCGTATCCGGAGAGTTACTGTCCGCTCAGCATTGCCGGCGGCAAGACCACAGCAGTACAGAGTGGGTTCTGATTGCCTACTGTAGTAACGGAGATTGACGATCGGGCCCTTCTCCCCTCACCCGGCAGTGCGGTAGTCTTGGTCTTAGCCTTGAATTTGACCTTTTGCCGGCCGATACCATCTAATCGCTTGCTTCATCAAGCACCCACAGCGACTGAACTGACGCCAATGGGCGCCACCCAGTTTCAGTAGGGAGAGGGGGGCCAGTGTTAACCCTAACCCAACAACTTCAATGGGAAAAGGAAGAGGACCAAATCCTACAGCCTTGGCCTCATCTGTTTCAAGCTTGAGTCGGTCGAAAGTCAACGTCGACCGCTACCCACTACACCACACACCACACCCAAGACTATACGAGGCTGTAGGATACTAATATACACCACACCCAAGACTATACGAGGCTGCAGTATACTAATTTACAGGTGCATACCATACCACACCACCATGTCAACTTCGACCACAATCACTCATCCAGCGTCAGACTCGTACAGTCAGTCAGGCTTTGCCAACCGGATGAAATGGGGCCAGCGACCGGCTCTGGTCTTGATCGACGTGTGCAAGGCATACTGGACCGAAGGATCGCCCTTGTCGCTGCTGTCCAACCCAGCGGGCGCAGCGTCGCCCGAATCGATGCGGCGACTCGTGGCAGCCGCGCGAGCAGGCAATGTCCCCGTCATCTGGACCCAAGTCGAATATTCCAGACCGGACATGGCGGATGCCGGGCTCTACTGGAAAAAAGCCAAGGCGCTCAATGTGTGGTTGAAAGGCGACCCGAGGGGGTTGGCCGATTATCTCGAAGGACTGGAGCCGGCTGAGGACGACGTCGTGGTGGTGAAGAAATACCCCAGTGCCTTCTTCGGGACGTGCTTGCTTTCGGAACTTCAGGTAAATTCGAATCTTCTCTTCAGAGCCCAATCCATCATCAAGTCGAGCTTGTGTGTCGACAACGATCCCCAACTTGTCCCTTCGCGATTGGCGTCACTGACCTCTCATCGCCCCCTGGCAGCTCTTAAACGTCGACACACTAGTGATTTGCGGCGTGAGCACGTCTGGATGTGTGCGTGCTACTACTCTCGACGCCATGCAGCATGGCTTCAGACCGATGGTAGGTTCTCTGTCCCTGTCCCTGTCCATTGGTCAAGTTTGCTGTTGCTCTGGATTACTTCCTTGGTCAAGTTTGCTTTTGCGCTGGATTACTGTGGGCGTGAGTGCTGACGAGATCCCGGATCCCCAGGTCGTGGGCCAGGCGTGTGGTGATCGGACGCCTGAGATCCAACAGGCCAATCTCTTCGACTTGGATGCAAAGTATGCCGACGTGGTGGACGAGTCCGATGCCATCGATCACCTGAAATCAGGCTGGTGATGCAAAGCATGAAAAGGCCGGCAAAGCGAATAGTAGTCACTGACTGTCTGCTGGCCTGGGATTGGATGTTGCTGTGAATGACCCATTCATTATCATTGCGTGTGAGCCGGACTGTCGGCTCTGAGAAGAGTGGTTGACCGCTCAAGAGTCATGGGACGTCAATATTGCCGCTGGTGCTCGGCAAGACTAGTTCTGTCCTTATGTTCCTGCTACAGCATTCTGCATAGCATAGCGACAAAGCTTTCCACCCATGCTCTATCAGAGAGGTTCTACTTCTCATTTCATCCAAGATATTTCTAGCTGAGCTACGTAACGTATCCTGGTACCTTGTGATAAGCAAGAGTCGGGGTGGACATAAGGCAGTCAGTTCTAATGAAAGATAGGCCATAGTCGACGTGGACATAAGGCGGTCAGTTCTGATAAAAGGATGGAATTTAATTGCTCACCTCTCGGGAGATCTCACCATGTGATAGACACTGCTACTGTCGCCTTCAAGTTATCCATGTGCGGAGGACTATTGGCAGATACCGTCCCACCTCCCGTAAATGTATACGGAGTATCCGTACAGTATCTCCAATCTCCAATTTTCTTGCCTGCCGGAAGTGGAGGGGAGGAAGATGTGGCAGATGGATTGGGAGACCCACTCCCTAGGGAGACGAGACCCCTGAGGGCTTAGGCCCCGAGAAGAAAAAAGTGCTCATCACATCGTGATACGTACATAGTGGCTCTGCTTGTTAACAGGCCCTACGCTGAATGACTCGCAAGCCAAGGTTTGGAAAACATATTCTGTTCAATGTTTTAGTTGGGCAGTCAATACAGGAATCGGATTCCGTTCCGTGCAATATGGTTGCCGTCCGTCGCACGTGTCAAGACAAAGACATACGATATCCATATCCATATCCATACCCGTTGGGCGCTCAGTCATAATCCAACGTGTCAAGACATACGATATCGATTTGGCGCTCAGTCATAATCCAATGCCTCCGAACGAGGAGAAGGAGAAGCAGGCGGTAATCGACTCGTCTGCAGTTGGACCTGATCTTGAACCTGGAACTGGACTTGCCTCTGGTGTTGGACCCGATCTTGAACCTGGAACTGTCGCCTCTGGTGCTGGACCCGGACTCGACAATGCCCGTCTGGAACCATACAGCATCTATGGAAGGAAAGCGAAATGGTTCCTGGTCGCCATGGTTGCCTTGGCTGGCTTCTTCAGGTACGACTCCGAGCCGACCTGGTCTGCCAGTGCCAGTGCCAGTGGGGGGCTGGCATGGACAGGGACAGGGACATTGATATAGACATGGACATGGACATTGACTGACACGCAAAATAGCCCGTTACCCGCAAACATATACTTCCCGGCCATGCCCACGCTGGCCACGGTGTTTGACGTTTCTGTCGAGTCGATCAATTTGACAGTGACTATTTATCTGGTCATGCAGGGCATATGTATGTTTGGAACATTTCTCACCTCTTGCGATTGAGATTGAGATTGATTTCATCCCCGGATGACATCTATGCTGATGCTGATGCCGACGTTGATACCGATGCTGACATGTTTTTCCTCAAAAGCTCCCATGCTCTGGGGACCGCTCTCCGACCGCCTGGGGCGCAGACCAATGTTTTTGATCTGTCTTACTATCCTGGTGGCGTCATGTATAGGCCTGGCCTTGACTCCACCTTCTGCCTTCTGGCTCTTCCTCTTACTCCGTGCCTTGCAGGCTGGAGGATGTGCAAGTACCATTGCTCTGGGTAGGTCTTCTTCCCGTTCAGCTGCTACTAGTGCTGCTGGTGCTGGTGCTGCTGGATCTGGCTATTGCCGTCAAATCGTCGAATCCCAATTCCCATCCCCTTTTATCTCATGACAGCAACAGTAACCATTTGTTCAACCAGGCTCCGGAGTCATTGGAGACATATCAACCCCTGAGGAGAGAGGAGGATATTTCGGAATGTTCAATCTAGGGCCAATGGTGAGGTGACATAATCGCTACTTTTATCCTTGTCCTCTCGCCATTCTTATCCTTGTCCTCCCTCACCTTTGCTGACTGGCTTATGTAGCTTGCTCCGTGCATTGGCCCGGCTTTGGGAGGTGCTTTGTCCGACCACTTGGGCTGGAGGTAGAGACACATGCCCCCAAGATGATACGGAGACCGTGTTTGCTGACACTCAGGGGTACCCATAGATCGATCTTCTGGTTTCTGGCTGCTTTTGCTGCTGCTTGCTTTGTCCTCATGGCCTGGTAAGAGAACAGCCCCCTACCTGTCCTGTGAAATGACAGTTCCGAGACCCCAATGGCTGACACCCCTCCCCCCCAGTTTTCTACCAGAAACCATGAGAGCCTTGGTGGGGAATGGCAGTGTCGCTCCTCCCAATGCCATCTATCGTCCCTTGATACCGGTGGTCCATCAGGGGACCATCGAACCCGACTCGTTGCCGAACTTCAAAGCTCATCGTCCGTCGGTGAACCCGCTGAAGCTGTTCTTGTACAAAGATATCCTCCTAACCCTGTCCTACACCGGCATCGTGTATGCGGTAAACTACACCGTCACAGCCACCATTTCCACCACCTTTGCAGATATCTACCCCTACCTGTCCGACACGTCCATCGGCTTGTGCTACCTTGCAACCGGAGGAGGCATGATTCTGGGCTCGACCCTCACCGGCCAAATGTTGGACCGGGAATATCGAAGAATCCGGCAAACGTGGACACGCGATCGTGATCGTGAACGTGAGCAGGGAGCTGGAGTTGCTTCTGCCTCGACTAAAAACGAAAACGACAACGAAAACGGCAACGACAACGACAACGACGACTTTCCCATTGAAATGGCCAGACTGAGGACAATGCCCGTGTTCTTGTTGATCTTCGTGGCTTGTGTTCTGGCCTGGGGATGGTGTCTACAGCATAAAGTGTCCATCGCGGGTCCTCTAGTGCTCCAAATCATCTGTAAGTGGCATGTGTGGTTCAGTCCATATCCCATACAACCAGGCCATGTATGCATGGTCCGTGCTATGAACAGCATGGTCTCGCCGGACTATGAACAGCATGGCCTTGTTCGTGCTATGAACAGCATGGCCTCGTCCATACTATGAACACCGTTGGAAGGGACTAGACTAATACCGCGATTCCAATAGTGGGCTATACGTCAATCTCGATTCTGAACACCACCATGACCTTGATGATCGACATCGTTCCGGGGAGGAGTTCGGGAGTCATAGCCTGTGTATGTTTGATACCTATACCTATGATTATATGCTATGCTATGCCATATGCTTATATGCTTGGATACCTATGCCATGCTTGCTGGAGATGCTGATCCTGATGCTGACATGTGATTGTGACAACAGACCAACCTCGTGAGGTGTTCCTTGGCAGCTGTGCTTGTATCGCTGATCGATAAGTCGACCGCCCGCCTCGGTCAAGGATGGACCTATGTCGTCTTGGGCCTCATCTGCCTGCTACTCCTGCCTTTGATTTTGTTAGAGATGCGGTTTGGACCGCGATGGCGAAAGTTGCGCCGGGTCACGCCTGTGCCTGTGACGACGTGATATCGTTGCTTGCAGCTTCATTGCCATATATATATATCTGTGGGATAAGGCCCCAAAGGCGAAGCCTAAGCCCTTCAACTTGAACCCCTTCAGGAGCATGGCTTGAACATGACGCATCGCGCAAACTTAGCAAAGTCAAAATCACATCAAGACCTTCTCACGTCTCAGAATCGACATGAGCCGTATCGATGCTAGTATGGGTCACCCACAAACCAAGCGTCCTCGAGCCGTTCCCATATGCTCTCATCCTCTCGATCCCGAAGACGAAACTTGCTCCATGACCATGACGGCCCCGGCCAGCCTAATTGCTCTGCATGGATTTGACGAGGTCTGCGGTGTTGCGGAAAAGTGTTTCAGCTTGAAGCTTTTTCATCGACTCAGCAGGGAATGATGGTGATGGTAATGATGGAGCCAGCGGCTCCGAGTAACGGATAAGAGTCCAGTCCCACCGACTCTGAGACAACACCATCGAACCATGGACCAACCATGTCAGGCTCTGATACGAGCCTAAGGACTCAAGATTATCACATATCTTAGCTGGGCTGGGTTCACACTTTTATGTAAGCCAAATGATATAGTGGCACCAGTGGAGAAAAGAAAATAACAATTTTATATGTCAATTATATTTTATTTTTGTCAATTGTACCTCAACAATCACAATCCAACACGAGTCATCCATGGCGAACTCCCTGGGTTACTGGTCAGTGGTCACAATCGAACACGAGTCATCCATGGGCAACTGCCCTTGGTTACTTTACTGGTCCCCTGTGGCGCAATGGCTAGCGCGTAAGACTGTTAAGCACACCCATCACTTTGCCCTATCTTGGTGTTTACATAGATCTTGAGGCTGATGGTTCGAGCCCATCCAGGGGAGAAGAAAAATCTTTTGCCAATAATTATGTTGTCCAACACCCGGGTTTTTGCCAACTGTGTTTGTCCAACCACCTGGGGGAGAAGAGAAATCTTTTGCCAACTGTAACTGTGTTTGTCTACCTAGATTTCTTTACTCGTACACAACTTGTAAAGTCTTTTTGTAGAAATCCTCCGCACATCTGGTGAATGATCCGTGCGGAGGTGCGCTAGGCGAGTCGGGCAGGTTCTAGTATGGTAGGTCTATGTGGTGGTAGGTCTGGCAGTCTGAAGTCACAAGCTGTACGGAGTAGTAGGTAAGTTCTCATCCCAGCCTGAAATGTCATGGTTGGGTACGACAAGAATCTTATTTGGATCATCTATCTGATTCTGCCTTATAGCCGGTATCTGCAGTCTAGTACTGTTTATACCGTGGTAACGGTTGAGTGCACAGGGGGGCCTTAGGCCTTGGCTTGGCATATAACACGGTTTTCTGCAACGCCAGCATCCGGACAGCTCCTACGAGATGGCCGCCATGGGCAGTTCTGCTCCTTGCGTGTCCTTATCTCTTTCCAGCACGCTCTGCTCTGGATCCAGAATCGTCTTGATCTTGCGTATTATGCGCGCCGGATTGCCCGCGACCACGTGAAAGGGTGGCACATCCTGCCGCCCGTATGTTAGTCGTATGTTAGTCGTATGTTAGTCCCCTCTGGGCTGCTTGTGCTTTTTGTGCTTTTCAACAATCACATATCCGTACCTTGGTGACCACGCTCCCAGCCCCTACCGTCGCACCCCTTCCCACCGTGATCCCCGGCAAGATCGTGACGTTCCCACCGATCCAGCAGTCCTCTCCGATGTGAATCTCTCGGCCTGACTCTGGACCCTTGGTACCGTTACGGATCTCCGGGTCGAGCGGATGCGTGCCACTGTACAGCGAGACGTGCGGACCGAAGAGCGTGCGCGCCCCGACGCGGATAGTACACGTGTCGATCCAAGTCGAGTGTGCGTTGATGAACACGCCCTTGCCCAACTTGACCTGCGTGCCGTAGTCCATGAACACCGGGCCCTCTACCCAGGGATCATCGTCGAACTGCGCCTCGTCGGCGGCAGCGTCAGGTAGCTCGGGTGGCAGAGGAGTGGTGTCGCCCACTAATCTGCAGTCCGGTGGTAGTAAGTTGAGGCGTTATGGTCTAAATGGGGGTATTGCTGCTGCTGCCACCGCCGCTGCCGCTACAGAGAGAGCAGCGGTTGAAGAGGACTCACTCTCTCCAGAGCCGAACGCTATCCCGCCGCGATGTGGCGCCCACAACGGCATTATTATACGTGCGCAGAGCCGTCTTACACCTTGTACGCTCGGCGACGAGCTCCGGCGTGAAGGCGTGATAGAGCTCGCCGCGGGCCATATTCAGCTTGTTCTCGGAGAGCGGAGGGGTTGTCATGGTTAGTAGAATCAAGCAAGAGGGAAATTGAAGAAAAGAAGAATTACGACGACGTGGGACAAGTACGAAAGCCTGCCTAGGCAATCTGGAGGCTTGGCGACCAGCGTGGCTTCTTCCGCGATAGTAATAACTGTACGGAGTTACGAGTACCTAAGGTACGGATAGGTGGCAGTGTCTCGCATTGTCCATACTATAGATAGAGTAGCAGTATTCTACTTAGGTACCTCAGTAGGGTTAACGAGGATTAGGTACAATACATACGTCGAGAGCGGTGCTCCCTGATTTCTTATACGGTCACCGCCCTGATGGGATAAGGATACGGATACGGATACGCGTGTAGTGTGCAGTGCTCGGAGCCCCTGGTACGGATACTGAGATGGTTGGCCTCAAGGCAGACTACGAGTACTACTACTGCATGACCTACATGCTGCGTACGTGTTGAAGGAGTCAGTCGGGAGCTACATGTAGTCCATGCATCCACTCACGATCCGACCATGCCGTTATCGCAGGCCGAATCGGCCTTTCGGACTCGCCCAGTTCTCCCCAAAGGCCATCAAAGGCTCCTAGGCCCTGGCGTGCCATGTGGCAGCAGACCCTCCCATCGCACCAAACTGGCCGGGTTACCGTGACCGGACTAGCAGGTGGATGGGGGGTGGGTGGTGGTGGTGGTGCTGCTGCTGCTGGTTGGCGCTCAAGGGCTTAGGAGGCTCCTGAGGCCCTTCGAGATCGGGGACACTATCCAGTCTAGCCTAGTTACTACCCGGAACGCCCGAGTGCTTCGGCAGCATGGGTCTGTGCAATGCCGGGATTAATGATCATTCCATCACTGGCCTAGGGAGCCCTGGCTCTAGCCTCCTGAGCCCTCAGAGCTGGGGAGACCCTGACCCGGGGCTGAACCGGTGCAGGTGTACTCCATAGGTGCGGTGCGTGCAGGGCGCGGGTGCTGGTGCTGGTGCTTGAGGCAGGCAGACAGGCAGCCTGGCTGGCTGGCTGGCTGGCTGATCCTTTTTCTCCCCTTCAACGTCCCAGTGCCAGCGTCACATCCGACTCCCAGGGTCACATCTGCGCTGCGAACAACGAAACAACATGTCTTCTTGCGATTAAGCCGCTATCTGTTTCGCATATTCTATTATCATTGTTGCCCTGGTCAATTCACAGACAGCTGCGCTGCTCGAGGCCTCATCTTTTCCACGCCGCCGCGAGACGCACTTTCGCCCGAGCAGAGACCGTGGTCTTTTCTACCCTGACCTCTCTCCCTGCTCTCCGATGCCCACTCGGCTGCCTTGCACGTGAGTTGGCCCCTCAGACCTTGTCCTGTGCAACCTTTCCAGCCTTCAACCCTCGAATCCAAACACCCTCCAACCTTGACTTGGACTGTCATGTCCGAGCTGGCCTCAATTCAATCAGCCAGCAATGGCAGTCCGCCGCCCGATGACCTCGAGCAAGAACTCGACACCTTCCTGCAGCCGTTGGTTATCGATGACTCAGTGGTCCACAATCTGGCCTATCAGTTCTCCAAGGTGTACGAAGAGCTAGCCGTGCACTCTGAAGAGCAGTTTCTGCCCACCCCCGTCACTAAACTGCCGTCGGGTCGGGAAACTGGCCAGTTCCTCGCCATCGATGTCGGCGGCACCAATCTGCGTGTCGCCTTTATCGAACTGCTGGGCGACGCTGCCAGCGATGAACGCCTCCCCACCGCCAACGGCGCGGAGCGGTCACGTGAGACCATCAGGAACGCGCAGCGCCCTCGAGTCCGCCGGACGCTGGAGAAGGCGTGGCCCATTGGGGAGCACCTGAAGATGGACAAGACCGAAGATCTTTTTGCCTGGGTTGGCGATTGTGTCGCCGAAGTCGTGAGCGATCGGCTCACTTCGGATATGGGCAAAGTCCCCGTTCCAGAAGAGCTGCCGATGGGTATCACATTCAGCTTCCCCATGATGTAGGCTTTCTCCCCATCCAGCCTGTCTGATCTCACTGACATGTTCTTTTAGACAAACTGAGCTCTCATCTGCGACGTTGATGCCGATGGGCAAAGGCTTCACCATCAGCTCCGATCTCGACCTAGGTTCCACGCTGCTGCAGGGATACGCACGCCACACTCGACGGCAGTCCCCCACAAGTTCCTCGCCTCGAGCGAAGAGAAGGAGACTTGGTCCACTGCCGCGGTTGAAGATTGCCGCCATCACGAACGATACCATTGCTACTCTGGCCTCGCTGGCTTACACGGTCAAGTCACTGCCCAATTCGCGGGTCGCAGCCGGAATTATTGTCGGCACTGGCTGTAACGCCACGATTCCCATGCCATTTTCGAAGTTGGGCGAGGCCAAGAGCGAGTCCATCCGAAAGAAGAAACCTGATGCCACCGAGACAGTCGTCAACACCGAGATCACAATAGCGGGGGCATGCGGCCCTTTGCAAGCGGTCACAACGGACTGGGATCGTCAACTAGATGCAGCATGTGCCCGACCAGGATTTCAACCCCTGGAATACATGACTGGAGGCAGGTACATCGGCGAGCTTGTCCGCATCATTTTTGTCGACTACATGACCACAGCGCAGAAACCGCCCGTGTCACCCGCTGCACTGCCTGCCACGATTGTCCACAGCTACAGTTTCACGACCACGTTCGTCAGCGCCGTGGTGGCACGGGCGCGGTCGGATTCGGAATTGGCGGGCGAGTTGAAGCGTCGCATCCCGCCCCCCGAGTCTTCGAACTGGGGCTGGACGCCGCACTCGGCAGGGGCGCTGCGCAAGATTGCACATCTTGTGCAGGTACGCTCTGCAGGACTGATTGCCGCCGCAACGGTGGGACTGCTGGCCATGGTGGGCGAGATCGCCTTGACCGAACCCGGCAGTCCAGCCTCGCTTCCGGATGCGGTCATGACAGCGGACAGTAAGCCGGCCTCGCCCAAGCCAAACTTTGCCGCTCTCGCGCACGAAGCCCGAGATGGGCTGTCGCCTGCCCCGGGTGCCACGGCTTGGAAGTCCGGGCCGGAAGAACTGGTGATTGCGTACACTGGCGGGATCATTCAACATTACCCCAACTTCAAAGAACAGTGTCAACGATTCATCGACCGACTTGTGATGAGAGCTGGGCCACAGGATGGTGGTAAGAGTGTGTTTCTGCGAGAATCACGAGACGGCGGCATCATCGGGGCAGGGGTTTTGGCCGGGATGGAGGCAAGTGACCAGGAGACGCATGTGCGGTAGTTGAACCTGAAGGACTAAGATGATGGCTCAACCTGGGTGGAGTCACGACCACGGCCACGGCCACGACCATGGTCGAGGACAAGTCGTTCGGAGAGCAGGACTGGATTAGCCAAAGAGGCTTTCTTGATTAAAATCGGCACCATTGGGTTTTGCAATCCAAGATTGCGTTGGTATGGATTTGGGGCGGCGCGGTGATCACCAGCGAGTATTTACAGAGTACTTTTAGCGGCAACAAGCAAGATTTCAAGGATGGCGAACGAATGAACCAAATAAGATGAGCTATGTGGTCCGCACCTATGCCACAAGGTACTGTACAAACCATAATAATAGATGTGGTACATTCACCTAACATTGATGCCCGATGATGACGAATGAATCCTCTACCTGATGTATGTAACAATAATAGCTACGGTGTCACAGCTACCCAAGGTACCTAAGGTAGGTACCTCCTAGGATGTCGTCCTCCATACCGAGTACATTATCCGTACATCTTCGGCTCGCGTGTCATGGCCCAAGCTCAACAGTTCTCCTTGCAGCTCTACGAGTGAATTACTCTTACTATTTCTCATGACTACTCCGGACCTGGTACCTGTTATCACACCATCCTCCGTGCACTACACGCTAAACCTGAATCTCCAGTGACCAGTGACCAGTGACCAGTGACCAGTGACCACCGGCTGTCCTCACCGTCTCCGAGTCCGTCAATTAGGCTGTGTGTATTTCGCACCCATGGGTGCTTATTTCGCACCCACGCTAACTATATTTAGATAATTGCTTATATAATCGGCTCCTCTTTCCTGAGATTATTTACTAAAAGGGTTTAGCTCTTAAATCTTATTACGAAAGCTTACTAGTAAGACTTATAACTAAGCCTATAACCACGCCTATAAAGACGCCTATAACTACTCCTAAAGCTAGATCACGCGAGCACGCGTATACTCACGTGTTAGTAGCCCGTTACCGCGAGACTTACGTACCTACCTAGCCGTCCTCGCCCTATAAATAAGTGGTGTAGTTATAGGCTTAGTTATAGGGGCGGTTATAGGGGTGGTTATAGGGGTGGTGGTAGGTGTAGTTATAGGGGTGGTTGTAGGGGTGGTGGTAGGTATAGTTATAGGTGTGGTTATAGGTGTGGTTATAGTGGTGGTTGTAGGGGCGGTTATAGGCACTATAATAGGAGTAGTATGTAAGTTAAATTATAACCTATTCTAGCTTAGCATGGGTGCGAAATACTGACAGCCGTCAATATTACCTGATCCGACAGTCCACCTAATTAGGCCAAGAGCTCCAGACTGGTCGAGAAATGCGAGGTTGCCCACTGCACTGGCAAACACGCAATCGTGCTACCGGACATTGACGCTGTGGCAGTCGAGTCTGGGCCATTCTTGACACGACAGTTTTGTGTTGAGACAGGACAATCATAACGCGGCCTGCCGAGCTGGGTGGGAGTCGGGCCTGGCCTGTCGTTGTAGCCTGCCCGTGTGTGAAAGAGACAAGATTGGCGGACAATGGATGATATTAGTGGTATTAATCACCGGGACGAACAATGAACAATGTCACAGAATATTAATTGCGGCTGTGGCTGTTTCACAACTCCAAGTTCAAGAGAAACCAACCATCAGGTCCATACAGGTCCTTAAGGCTTACACATCGTACTGCGTACTGCGTACATACCAGTCAACTCGGCTAGGCTGAGGCGGGCCATTGCACCGAGCTGTGCCGTAAGAGAAAAAGCAACCCCTGCCGTGCCCCTAAGCCCCGAATTCCTACCCCGACCCCTCCAACGCCAGCCGGGAGCGCAAGCCACCAGTGTCGAGTCCGTCCACAATTCCCAGGATCGGCGTCTAGGCTCTAGCACTGGCACTGCAAGGGTGTTGCTGCGTGTTATTGCGGAGGCGAGCCCCCGTCATCATCTTCGACCGTTAATAGTAATTAGCACGTAACATATTGCATTCATTCTCTTCCCTGCGCCGCCGCGTTTGACTTCGAGGTCAAGAATGAGCCCTGCTGCTGCTCCACTTCCATTCCTTCTTCCCACAAACTCGAACTCCTCCTCATCCTCATCCTCCTCCTCCTCCTTGTACTCTCATACACTTCCTACACACTATGTCAAGTCGGAAGTCCTCTCGCTCGCACTTCCAATCGCACCAGCACTTCGTCGCCGCCTGATCCGTCATCCTCCTTTCAAGTCTGCCCTCCCCGATCGCGGTCCTTCTCGACGCGACGACATACCAAGCATACATACCCGACCGGTCCTCTCGCTTTCGACTCGATTCCTCTCCTTCCGAATCTTTCAATCCCTCCGTCCTCTCGCCTCGCTTTCGGCGCCTTGCTACCCTCGGCAGCAGCACAGTTGACTCTGCCATGCTCATAGAGTCAAACTCTCGCTCTTGATGGGCGTCTCTTGACCTCTGCCTCTCTCCGTCCGCGCGCCCTAGCGGCTCTCCGCTTCTGGTGGACCCGGCAACTATGAGCCCGGTTCCTCCATTTCACAATGTGGTGCATACCTTTTTCAGGCGCGAGGAGCTGGACAACCCGAATGTCAGGCCTTCCGACCCAAACGGCCTGGTGTTGGAGGCGTGGGCTCAAGGGTTCATGGTCGGCTCCCTGATCATCATGTCTTGCATCACCTTGGCGAACATGCGCCGGGGTGTCCTGCTTCATAAGTTGATCTTGCTCGAGGTATGCTCTCGGACCAACCCGCTCTTTCTCTGCTTCTGCTACGGGCACATTCTCTGACCTACCTTTCGACAGCTTGTTCTGGGCTACTGGCAGGGCTTTTTCATTCTTTTCAGCCCTCCGGTTTATGCATGGTGGCTCTCCGTCGCGGCCATCCCCCTCAACATCTCCTGGTCTTTGCACAACGTGATCGCTTGGATGAAGTTGAAGCCATTTCTCAGCAAAACGGTCAGTCGTCTTTTCATCGGCACCGTCATCTTGGCTCAGCCGTATTGGGTCGTGGAGATATATGCCAACTTCGCCTACTTCCATAACATTAACAAGATCTTCCTGAAGACAAGGCCTTGGGAGGCCTTATGTCGCGACCCGTGGTGGATCTTGGCCGCCTGTCTTCTGATGTACAACATCAAGACCAAGTACGATCTGACCCTTACCCAGATCGTCCGCATCTCGCCTCGATTCGCCGTCATGCTGGGAGCTATGATCTTAAGCATCTGTTTCATCATCCTCGACGTCCTGTCCGTCACTGCCGCTCTCAAATCCGTCCTCCCGGTGGGAATCAATCCCTTCTGGAAGTTGAGTTTCGTCTTCAAATGTCTGACGGATTCGGTGGTGTTGGATGACTTCAAGACTGCACTGGACCGGCTGAGAGCGTTCAAAATCAGCCGACTGGGCAGTTTCGCCACGGATGGTGCAGACCTCCGGAACCAAAAACACCGAGAGGATGTGGGTAGAGCCAACGCATGGGACACTTCACCAGCAACCAGCGGTCGGCCACAGCCACTAGGTCCTCTGCCGACCATGCCCAGTCCGGACGGGGATTATATCCAACCACAGTGGGAGGAGCTCAAGCAGGGACATTCCCATCATGTGGAGGATGAGCAGTATGCCGCCATGGTCAGAAATGCCTCCCGGGATCGTGACGCCGAGGAGTATGGGTTCGACGCGATTGACTATGCCGATCCTCGACGAGAGGCCAGCGACACCTCCATGGTCCGGCCCCGGACCAGCTGGCAGGACCAGCGGCTTTCCGACGACACAACTGACGCGAGTGTTGAATATGCCACAGCCCTAAGACAAATGACCAATGGTTCGACGGAACAGCAACACAAAAAAGACAAAAGCACAAGGTTGGCTGGTTGATCTCAGTCATCTGGAAATGACTTTTGTACTAATGACGCGATGTGATACCCTTTATGCAAACAGATGCAAAAATATAATGACGAGCCTTGTCTCATGCAACTCTAGCCTTTATCCTCTGGTCTATGAATATGGTGTTCCTTTCGAGCCTTGCCCTAAGTTATAACTAGTGGTTCTGCAATATACTGCGACTTGCATTCAGCCTAACAGCCATTCTACCTCGACTTGTATCGAACCGCCGGAATTGGGCAGCCACCCCCGTGCCAAGTCATGACTTTTTGAACTTCAAGCTGAGGCAGGAATGACTCGTCTTGCCTTGCCCGGCTGTTCGTAAGACCAAGCATTGTTCACGTCTAGCACTGTTCGTTTGCAATTTTAGTCAATGAGACGAGAACTGTAACGACGGCTGGTTTTGCAGGAGGAAAGGGAAGAAATCTAGATAGTTTTATTGCTGTCTTTGATGACTCGAGGTGAGCAACATTATGCAGCGGTCCGTCCAATGTTAGTATTAGTGCGTTCGAAACCGGACGTACAGAAAGAAACCTCACAAAATCGCACCAGTGCGACGCTGCTCGCTTGGTGACGAACTGAAAAATCTTAATGGTGTAACGATGATGTACAGAGTACTCGTACTTCGTGGAAACACTCTGACCCCCGGCTGTGAAGTTCGTGAAACCCTCCTGAAAGAGGCTAGTCACGCGAGTTAAGGTCGCAAATTAACATTTAGTCAAGCTAATAAACGGGCTTAATTAGGCTTAGGAGGCTCCTAAACCTCGTCAGGGCTGCCGCTTTGGGGGAGGTTTCGCGAGAAGCTCAGCCTCCATTGTGGGGGGCATCTGGGGGTAGACTGTCTGACAACTCCAAACCTGACAACTTCAGCGAATCTACAATCTATAATCAGATGCCTGAAGTAAGAACCATGTCTGACAAAACTATTGTTCAAAAAAATTGATACCCACAACCGCGTGTAGCATAGCCTTGCCGCCTGCATTAGCAGGATTTGGAGTAAAGTGTATGGACTGTGCAGAGTACGTATCTGAGAAGCGAGAATGTTTTGGACCAGAACCAAGACTCCATGAACCTCAGACGCCCTCGCGCGGCTAACCAGCTGGAGGACAGCGTGGTTCACTAGTTTATGATACTGTCACTCTGGCTGTGCCTCACAGCCTTCCTCTCGTGGCTATGAACACTCTCGAGCCACTATCTAATAATGGATAGTGTGCTGGACTATATGTTCTCTAAGGTATATAACAACACTCCTCGTCCACCATGGCCTATGCCTTCTCCATCACAGAGAACACTTCCGAGTCACTGTCGCGCTCATTCTACGGATAAACCTGTTTCAAACGCAATAGCACATCTTTCGACCGACGATCAAGACTATTTTATCTGCTACGCCGTCCACTATGGGTCTCTCAGCACCTGAAATCCTCAGCATCATTGAGCTCATCTTCTTTGCTCCGGCAATATTGGTTTCGGTATATGTCGTGTACAAACATGGCCACCAAAGACAATACGGCTGGAGATTTTTGGTCTTGATTTGTCTATTCCGACTTATCGCCGGTATCACACAACTGGTTTCCGTCCATCATCCATCAAGTGGCTTGACCATCTGTTACGACATCATGAACAGCTTCGGGATTTCGGCAATCGTTTATGCTGCCTTGGGTCTCCTGAATCGAGTCGACCACGGCATATCACAGTCTATCATCCCTCGTAGAGCGTTCGCTCTCCTCGGCCTACCAGGCTTAGCCGGTGTCGTTCTGTGCATCGTGGGCAGTATCAATGTCTTTGGTGGGGGGAGCAACCCTTCAGAGGGCATCGCCGAGCTCAAAGCGGGCTTTGTCCTCTTTTCATCCGTATATCTTGCCGATGTGCTCATCGCAGCGATTTGCTTCTTCAATATCGCCCAGGTACAATCGGGAGACCGACGACTTCTTCTCGCCGTCGCAGCGGCTCTGCCATTCATGACGGTTCGGGTTGTGTTTTCGCTTCTTTGTGTCTTCGCGCAGGAACCAAAGTACTTTAGCACCTGGACCTCTGGATGGGTGGCCGTCTTGGTGCATGGATTATTGGGCATACTCATGGAAGCAATCATCGTCTCTATCTTCATCGCTGCCGGCTTGACCACAGCACCCATTCGAAATCCAACGACCCAACAGAAGGAAACAACGTTATATGGACCTGAACCTGTGTCGACAAAGGTTTGAGTAGGACAGAAGATGGGGCCGGAGAGAGGGGAGACGAGAATGGGGAGACAGAGACCGGCAGAAAGAAAGAGAGAGAGAGAGGTGGCGCCAGTTTACCCTTTATAAACGAGAATATTGACACCTGACAACACGAAATATATCCTTTTGCTCGACTTAACCTGCGTTATGCCTCTTGAACTCGACCACCATCGCGGTTGGCTAGCAAGAGACAGACTGGGTGTCTATACGTGACTTCAGGGAGGGAACATCACATCACGTGCTCTCTTAGCAGGCAACTATCATCCGGCCAGGCATTGGGAGACGGACACAGAGTATGGAATTAATTAATAGGGAAAAGTCTACCTAGGTAAGGTACTTCCCAAGTAATCAGTATGGCTGGTGCCATCCCTGTAGTCAAGGGTGATTACTCCCTACAGGGCTTAGGGTGGGTGCCAAAATACATGGCGGGTTACAAGGCGGTCCTACCTATTACTATCTTTGGTCTGTAGATATTGAATTTATATAATAGACATAGGAGGTTACTCGAGGGAGGCCGTAGAATATTCCTAGTATCTTAGAAAGATAATCATCCAGTAGAGCTGGAGGTTTCCTAAATCCTGTCGAAGTAGTAGTTAGATAAACCGCCTTTAATTCTGGCACCCATCCTAAGGCGGCGTCACCGCTGTCCCGATCTGGCAAACACGGTGAGTCGCGAGGACTGGACTGGCAATTTATACTTCGCTTGGCGACTCCATCGCCAGAAACGCGTCCCCCTGCGCGGTCCAAGTTTACATGTACGGTTCTGGATCTCTAGTTTGCTGAATCACAGAACTCCCCATATCATCTCCGCCATTGTCGCTCCCTGTCATCAGCATTACGCCGACGTTGCAATCCCATTGACCTGCTGGCAAATGTCGGGTCCATGGAAGTCTTATCTGCCTAGTTACCACACTGCGTGCCGATGGACGTTCTGTCGACGAACGGTCCCAACGGGACTCACAGTCCTGCCCTACTAGAGCCAGTCGACCCTCTCCTTGTCCTCGAGCACATCGCCCATCTGATCGAAACCACTCTCGGTGCAGCTCGAAGAGAACTCGAGGCAGTCGGGAGCCTATTGTCGAATACCACTCATGCCGAATCCCTGAGCAAATGTGCCCATTTTGCGCAGGACCCCCAGGCGGCCCTCTATGCGCAGAAAGACGTCAGGGAAGAGTTGGTTAATGGCCATGATCAGACACCTAGTTAGTTACCCTGCTTACAGTTCAGTTCGGGCGAGTCTACTGATACATTTCGTAGAAATCGAACATGTCTATACCCTGTCTTCCGAACTGTCCCCTGCACCTACAACCGTCGCTTCCGTCGCCTTTTTGAAGCTGGCTGGACCCCTCGATGGCCGAAAATCTATCGCTAGTCAAATCCAGGTCTTTAACCTTCCCGGCTCCTACACGGTCGGTGGAGAGGGTAATCGCAATGCCGAGGTTGCCTCACCATACGAGGTTGTCTATTCCCTTCTGCACAATGTCTTGAGCCCCTACTTCGATGCTTATACCAGAGTACATGGCTCGGTCGACCGCAATTGGTATGACTCCCAGGCGAAGAGTGGCGTTCCAGGCGCGAAGCGACGAATGAAGGAGTTGGAAATGAGTCTGCTGCACCTCCAGCAAAATACAGATATACCCTTGGTCCATTTGCCAATGCACGAAGTGGTCATGGAGGCTCTACACGACGCAGCAGCTCAGAGTATCTCCCCTTCTGTCCAGCTGATACCGGCGCACGTCCTTGAAAACAGTACTGTTCTGAACAGTATCCAGAATCATGTCAACGGCTGGATCAAATCAATCCAGGGTGTCACCAAGCTCGCCAAGGATGGCCCTTCAACTCAGTACTCCGCGGCACAGGAGATCAATTTCTGGCTATCGCTCGAGTCTGCCTTGAATAAGTTGGAGGACGAGCGACATTCTGACGGCGTCAGGTTGACCCTGGATATTCTCAAGAAGGCCAAACGACAACAGGCTGTGGTCAGTTTCGAAACCGACACCGGATTGAAAGATGCACTTGAGACCGTCCGCAATTACAATACTCTCATGCGAGATTTCCCCTTGGATGAACTGTCTTCCGCCACCTCGCTTGGAAAAGTGGCAGAGGCCCTAGTGCTGATCTTCAACCATCTGAACAAGAAATGGAGGGTCTGTAACTACCCCATCCGCCGCGCACTGAAGTTGGTGGAGGGCATCTCCGAGGACATGAATGAACAAATCCACAACCTTCTCCGGGGCCGGTCGATCATGTCACTGTCCTGGTCGGAATTCACTGATCTGATGAGTTCGGTCAACCTGATCTGGGAAACCTGGGATGACCAGATAAAGAGCTTCACTGCTGTTGCCCGAGAGATAACGAGACGAAAGAACACGGACTTTGTACCCGTCAAGGTGGTGCCGAGGCATGCGAAGACCCAAGAACGTCTGCGGTACGTCAATCGATTTCGAAACGACCACGAGCAGCTACAACGTACCATTGTCAGCGTCCTTGGAACCAAGGCCCGCGCGAACGGCCTCACACGGACACCAGACGAAGGTGGCGCTGCGATCATCGAGGAGCTTGGAGACGTGGATGCGGTGGAGGAAGTCAAAGCTGCGTACGAAGTTGTCCGACATGTGGATGTCTTGGATGTCACAACCAAAGGCACAGAAGTCTGGGTTCAGGCCGAATTGCAATACACAGAACGGACATCTCGCGTGGAAGACTCGATTATCACTAGGCTGAGAGATCGCTTAGGCAAGGCAAAGACCGCAAACGAGATGTTCCGTGTTTTCGAAAAGTTCAACCCGTTGCTAGTACGTCCGAAAGTTCGAGGTGCAATAGCAGCATATCAGACTCAGCTCCTGGACAACGTAAAGAACGCCATAGCTTCTCTTCACGAACGGTTCAAGCAGCAGTATGGCGGTTCTGAGGCGCAGATGATGGCTCAGCTTCGCGACATTCCGCCAGTGGCAGGTGCCATACTCTGGGTCCGCCAGATTGAGTCGCAGCTGAATAACTACATGTCCAAAGTCCAAGCCGTACTAGGCGAAGAGTGGATGCTGCATACTGACGGCGAGAAATTGCAGACCGAGAGTAACATGTTCCGAAAGAAACTCTCAACGAGAGAAATCTACGGCGCATGGCTCCAGGATATCCAGTCACGGGATATCTCAGTGACTGGGCGGCTTTTCATGATTCTGCGAAGTCGAAGTGCCAATGGCGCTCTGGAACTCAGTGTCAATTTCGACAACCATGCCATCTCATTATTCAAGGAGGTCAGGAATCTCACGTGGCTGAATTACCAGATCCCGCACCGCATTACCACTACGGCCAAACAGGCTCAACGTGTGTACCCCTATGCCTTGAGCCTGATGGAAAGTGTTGCAGGATATTTCTCCGCCGTTCGGGTCATCCAGGAGATGCCAAACGTCACGCCCCTGATGGCAGGCTATGAGAAAGAAGTACAGAACCTCTTCTCTACTGGGGTGCGATTGCGGTGGGATTCCTTCATTCACTCGTACGAATTGCACATCAAAGGAAAATCGACGAGTAATGACTCTGCGCATGTGCAATATGTGCGTGACATGGCCACGGCTGTTACCACACTTCAGAACAAGACTGCAACCGTAAGGGGGCTTGACCAAGCCATTCAGCTCGCGCTATCGGAAATGAAGACCTGCCGGTACTCGGCAGAGAACTTCCAAGGCCAGATGGACGTTATCCAGAATGCCGTGGACAAGATGAACTTGGAAAACTATGCGAATCTCTCGACTTGGGTCAGTGATCTGAACCTGCAGCTGCGGCAGATTCTTGAAGAACGGCTTCAACAAGCCCTGCAACATTGGACAAGCTCTTTCCCCTCAGAAGCACAAGAAAACACTCCAGCCATCTACTCTGCGGCAGAAGACAAGGTCTATGATGTCCGCTTCCCCCAATTGCAGATCGAAATCATGATGAACAACCAGACTGTATTCGTCGATCCGCCGCTGAACTACATCAAAGCATCTTGGATACAACAACTGGAAGATTGGTTGGATGTGTTGTGCCATTTGCCTCAAATTAGAGCGTCTCGTTATCAAGTCACTGCAGATGCTAGTTCAGCGCAGTCGACGCCTACATTTACAGATCTACCCTTGCAAAACGTGGAGTCGCTACAGAAAGCATACAATGCGATCGTCAGCAGGATCGATGCTATGGCTACATATCTCGAAGAATGGTACACATATCAAAACCTCTGGGACCTCCGCAGCGAGCAATTGCACGAAAGCCTAGGCGATGACCTTGCGCAGTGGCATCAGCTACTTCAGGAAGTGCGCCACGCCCGGTCAACCTTTGACACCTCCGAAGGACGAAAAACCTTTGGGAGCGTGACTTTTGACTATGAGCAGGTGCAGTCAAAAATTACCCAAAAGTATGACCAATGGCAGCATGAGATCACGAGCAAGTTCGGCAGCATTCTTGGTAACCGCATGGCGGAAGTGTTTACTGACATGCAGCGGGCTCGCCTTGAGCTTGAAAACCAGTCACTCGAAGCCTCCTCTACTGCGCAAGCTGTGACATTCATCACGACTGTACAGCAATGTCGCCGAAATGCAGCTCTGTGGGGACCCGAGGTGGAAATCTTCAGGCAGGGACAGACGACTCTCTCCAGACAACGGTACAATTTTGGTAATGACTGGCTCTCGGCCAATCAGGTGAGCGATGAATGGGATGCCTTTGAGGAGATCCTCACTCGCAAGAGCAAAGTCATCGAGGACCAGACGGACGCTCTGCGGGCCAACATCATCGCTGAAGATCGCGTCATTACTGGCCGCATCACTGATGTTGTTGCCAAATGGTCCGAAGAGAAGCCTGTGTCAGGAACTATCCCGCCGAACGACGCAGCTGAGCTCTTGCGGTCTTACCAAGTTCGGATGGAGAAGCTTCAGAGTGAGGCTGAGACGGTGTTGAGAGCAAAAGAAGCCCTTGCGCTGCCCTTGACAAGAGATAGTGCCTTACCAGCCGCCTTGGAGGAAGTCAGTGATTTCAAGTCCGTCTGGTCTGCCCTGTCCACCATCTGGCAGAGCATCAACGAGCTGCGTGACACGCTGTGGACAAGTTTGCAGCCCAGGAAGCTTCGTCAATCGCTGGATGGTCTGGTCAAGATGACAAAAGAGATGCCTAGCCGCATGCGACAATATGCTGCCTTTGAGCACGTTCAAAATGTCCTACGGCAGTTGATCAAGGCAGGCCCCCTTCTGAACGACCTCAAGTCTGATGCAATTCGAGAACGGCATTGGCAAAAGATCTACAAAGCTCTGAGGCCGAACAAACGATATTCGGAAGTCTCTATGACTTTGGGAGATGTGTGGGATCTCCAATTGGTCACCAGCGAAGCGACTATTCGAGATATCATCGCGCAAGCCAGAGGAGAGCTGGCGCTTGAAGAGTTCATCAGACAAGTACGCGAAACGTGGCAGAGCTATCCGCTCGAGCTTGTCAACTATCAGAACAAGTGTCGGCTCATTCGCGGCTGGGACGACCTTTTCACGAAATGCAGCGAGAACCTCAACTCTCTTCAAGCAATGCGACACTCACCTTATTACAAGGAGTTTGAGGAGGAGGCCTCGGCATGGGAGGACAAGCTAAATAGAGTCCATGTTTTGTTTGATGTTTGGATCGACGTTCAGCGACAGTGGGTCTACTTGGAGGGCGTTTTCACCGGCAACAACGACATCAAACACCTGCTACCCACAGAGTCCAGCAGATTCTCGAACATCAACACTGAGTTTTCTGCAGTGATGAAAAAGGTCTACAAATCTCCATTTGTAATGGATGTTCTTGGAATTCCTGGGGTACAGAAGTCCCTGGAGCGCCTTGCCGAGCTCTTGAGCAAGATCCAAAAGGCTCTTGGGGAGTATCTTGAACGAGAGCGTGTCTCGTTTCCTCGGTTCTACTTTGTTGGAGATGAGGATCTGCTTGAAATCATCGGGAACAGTAACGACACTGCGCGTGTGGCAAAACACTTGAAAAAGATGTTTGCCGGTATTTCCGGTGCTGAAGTCAGTGAAAACAGCATCATCACAGCAGTGACCTCAAAGGAAGGCGAAATTGTCCAGCTCAAAAAAGAGGTGTCTCTGATTAAGCTGCCCAAAATCAACGACTGGCTCACTGCGCTTGACAACAGTGTCAAGCAAACGCTAGCCGAATTACTCGCGGAGGCTACCAGTGCATTCCGCCCGCTTTTCACCGCCCCCGAGCTTGATGCTGCCCTGTTCCACGAGTACATGACGAGTTATCCCGCCCAGATAATGATCCTGGCCGCTCAAGTTGTGTGGACGGACCTTGTTCAAGACGCGCTCGAAGCGGCGGGCGAAGGTTTGTCCAAACTGCACGAGTACGAGGCGAGGCTGCTCACTCTACTGGCTGAAAGTGTATTGCATGATCTCCCGACGTTGGCCCGCAAGAAATGTGAACACTTCATTACGGAGGCGGTTCATCAACGAGATGTGATTGCGAAGCTTATCAAAGCCGATGCCAGATCGCCGGGGCACTATCTATGGCTGCTCCAAATGCGCTATGTGTATGATCCCAATGCAGACCTCATGAGTCGACTACACATTGAGATGGCCAATGCTGTTCTGGACTACGGTTATGAGTACCTCGGTGTGCCGGACCGCCTCGTGCGGACTCCCCTTACTGATCGTTGCTTCCTGACCTTGACACAAGCGCTTTGCCAGAAGCTAGGAGGATCTCCCTATGGGCCTGCCGGAACAGGCAAGACGGAGTCGGTCAAGGCGCTAGGTCTTCAGCTTGGACGGTTTACCCTTGTCTTCTGCTGCGATGACACTTTCGATTTTCAAGCCATGGGCCGCATCTTCCTTGGGCTGTGTCAGGTCGGGGCTTGGGGTTGTTTTGATGAGTTCAACCGTCTCGAGGAACGGATCCTCTCTGCAGTCTCGCAACAAATTCAAAACATCCAGATCGGCCTCAAAAACAGCACCCACGAGCAGAAAGCACAGATTGACCTGGTCGGACGGCGCTTCAGGGTCAACCCCAATTCTGGACTCTTTATCACCATGAATCCTGGTTACGCTGGACGTTCGAACCTCCCCGACAATCTGAAGAAGTTGTTCAGAAGCGTGGCCATGTCGAAGCCTGACAAGGAGCTAATTGCCGAAGTCATGCTATTTTCGCAGGGCTTTAAAGAAGCCAAAGGAATCTCGTCGCAAGTTGTTCCGTTCTTCGACCATTGCGCTCAGCGACTTTCCAAACAACCGCACTACGACTTCGGCCTGCGAGCGTTGAAAAGTGTTCTTATCAGCTCAGGCGGGCTGAAAAGGATCAGAATGCGAGTGGAGGAAGAGACTGTTGGCGACGAGCGCAATCTTGAGCCAGAAATCATTGTGCAAAGTATTCGAGAAACCGTGTCGCCCAAACTCATCAAGGACGACGTAGATACCCTAGTGGAGGTCCAGACTGAAGACTTCCCCGGCGTCGAATATGTCCCCGCAAATATGTCGAAGCTCGTGGAAGCGATCAAGGAGGTCATGAGGGAACAACATTTGACAGAGAGCGAGGCGTGGATGACCAAGATTCTGCAGCTCTACCAAATCCAAAATATCCATCACGGTGTGATGATGGTGGGTCAATCTGCCTCCGGCAAATCCACGATGTGGAAAGTACTTCTACAAGCTCTTCAAAAGGTCGAGGGCGTAGAAGGCGTGCACCATGTTATTGATCCGAAAGTCATGTCGAAAGAGGCTCTTTACGGAAATCTCGACAACACCACTCGAGAGTGGACAGATGGACTTTTCACTGCGATCTTGAGGAAGGTCGTCGACAATTTACGTGGTGAGGACAGCAAACGACACTGGATAGTCTTCGACGGCGATGTCGACCCTGAATGGGTGGAAAATCTCAACAGTGTGCTGGATGATAACAAGCTCCTTACCCTTCCGAACGGTGAACGCCTGAACCTGCCGGCAAATGTCCGCATCATGTTTGAGGTCGAGAGCCTGAAATACGCAACCCTGGCCACTGTCAGTCGTTGTGGTATGGTGTGGTTCTCGGATGACACTGTCAGTCCGTCATTGATGGTTGATCACTACTTGCAGACGCTCGCCAACCGGACCTTTGAGGACTTGGACGACGAGATCAAAGCAGCAGGCCTGACCACCAGAGCCCAGGAAACACAGCGGCACATCGTCGAAACGCTGAGAGCCCTTATCAATCGCGACGACTTGTTGCTCAAAGCTCTCTCTGCAGCAACAAACCACATCCATATTATGGATTTCACTGCTGCTAGGGCCCTTGAGAGCTTGTTCAGCTTGTTGGCCAAAGCCTGTCGTACGGTGTTAGAGTATAACATCTATCACGCCGAATTTCCTCTGGACCTCGAACAAACCGAGGCGTTCGTTTCGAAGAAGCTCTTGCTGGCAACGGTGTGGAGCTTTGTAGGTGACGCTTCTCTGAGCATCCGAAAAGAATTCGGCGAATTCCTTGCAACAATGACCAACGTCGACCTCCCAAGTCTTGACGTTTCCACGTCTCTGATTGACTATGACGTGACGCTACCTCACGCTCAATGGGTCTCCTGGCAGTCACAGGTCCCTACGGTTGACCTGAATACTCATTCGATCACTCAGACAGATGTCATCATCCCAACAGTCGATACCGTCCGCCACGAAGAAGTTCTGTATTCTTGGCTGTCAGAGCACAAACCGCTGATGTTGTGTGGTCCACCGGGATCTGGAAAGACAATGACGCTCTTCAGCGCACTCCGAAAACTGCCCGATATGGAGGTGGTGGGTCTGAACTTCTCCAGTGCCACACAGCCCGAACTGGTCGTCAAAACATTTGAGCAATATTGTGAGTACAAGAAGACTCTCAACGGAATGGTCCTCTCCCCGACTCAGCTTGGCCGATGGTTGGTGATCTTCTGTGACGAGATCAATCTGCCTGCCCCGGACAAATACGGAACTCAACGTGCGATCAGTTTCTTGCGGCAGCTCGTGGAGCAGAACGGGTTCTGGCGTCCATCTGACAAAGTTTGGGTGACTCTGGAACGCATACAGTTTGTCGGTGCATGTAATCCTCCGGAAGATGTTGGGCGACATCCAATGGGAGCGCGTTTCTTGAGACATGCACCAGTGGTCATGGTGGACTATCCTGGTGAAGTCTCATTGAACCAAATCTACGGGACCTTCAACAACGCCGCTCTCAAAGTTATACCGACGTTACGTGGGTTTGCCGACTCACTCACCCGGGCAATGGTCGATTTCTATCTCAAATCTCAAGCTCGCTTCACCCCAGACATACAACCACATTATGTATACTCGCCCAGAGAGCTTACTCGGTGGGTTCGTGGCATTTACGAAGCGATCGCACCGCTGGAGCACCTGTCACTGGAAGGATTGATTCGCATTTGGGCTCACGAGGCATTGCGACTTTTCCAGGATCGTCTCGTGGAACCGGAAGAACGCGCTTGGACATCAGATATGGTCAAACAGACCGCCCTAGAGCACTTCCCAACAGCAGACATTGACCAATCATTGCAAGGTCCAATCCTTTTTTCGAACTGGCTGTCGAAGAACTATGTCTCTGTTGAACAGGAGCAGCTCCGCGAATTCGTCAAAGCTCGCCTCAAGACCTTCTGTGAAGAAGAGGTCGATGTCCCACTTGTGCTGTTCAATGATGTTTTGGAGCATGCTCTTCGCATTGACCGAGTCTTCCGACAGCCGCAGGGTCATCTCATCCTCATCGGCACTAGCGGTAGCGGGAAAACCACGCTATCGAGATTTGTTGCTTGGATGAACGGCTTGAGCATATTCCAGATCAAGGTCCATGGGCGCTATTCAGCCGAGGACTTCGATGACGACCTCCGAGGAGTTCTTAGAGCCTGTGGCTGTCGCGGTCAAAAGATTTGCTTCATCATGGACGAATCCAACGTGCTAGACTCTGGATTTCTTGAACGGATGAACACACTGCTCGCCAACGGAGAAGTTCCTGGGCTTTTCGAAGGCGATGAGTACTCTGCTCTTATGACAGCTTGTAAAGAAGGGGCACAGCGCCAAGGACTTCTTCTTGATTCTCAAGAGGAACTTTACAAATGGTTCACCCAACAGATTGTCCGCAACCTGCATGTCGTCTTTACGATGAACCCTCCCCAAGAGGGATTATCATCGAAAGCTGCTACAAGTCCGGCATTGTTCAATCGTTGCGTGCTGAACTGGATGGGTGACTGGTCTGATCAAGCTCTCTTCCAGGTTGGGTATGAGCTCACCCAGTCGATCGATTTGGACAAGCCAAATTTCGCTGCTCCCAGTGGCCTCCCCATCGCATACCGCGACCTTTCGCTCCCGGCATCACATCGAGACACGGTTATCAATGCAATGGTGCATATCCACTATTCTGTCCAAATGACCAATGATCGCCTGGAGAAACAGCATGGCATCGTCACATATCTTACACCTCGGCACTATCTGGACTTCGTGACACAATTCCAAAGACTTTTCCGGGAAAAGCGCGAAGACCTCGAAGAACAGCAACGACATCTGAACGTGGGTCTCGAGAAGCTTCGGGACACTGTCGACAAAGTACGCGACCTGAGAGCTAGTTTGGCTCAGAAGAAGCAGCAGCTGGAATTGAAAGATGCAGAGGCGAATGAGAAATTGCAGCGCATGGTCGCTGATCAACGAGAAGCAGAGTCGAGGAAAACCGCCTCCATTGAGATACAGACTGCTCTGGAGAAGCAAGAGGTAGAGATTGCCAGTCGCAAAGAGATTGTGCTTGGTGATCTAGCCAAAGCTGAGCCCGCCGTCATCGAGGCGCAGCGAAGTGTCAGCAACATCAAGAGACAGCATCTTACCGAGGTTCGGTCAATGGCAAATCCGCCATCCGGCGTCAAGCTCGCCTTAGAATCAGTCTGTACATTGCTCGGCCACAAGGTCGACAGTTGGAAGAGCATCCAGGCAGTCGTTCGAAAAGACGACTTCATTGCCAACATCGTCAACTATGATAACGAGGAACACATGACGCCGAGCCTCCGACAGAAGATGCGTCACGACTATCTCTCGAACGATGACTTTACATTCGAGAAGGTCAATCGTGCAAGTAAGGCCTGCGGTCCCCTCGTGCAGTGGGTCGAGGCCCAAGTCAACTACTCTGAGATCCTTGATCGAGTTGGCCCATTGCGTGCCGAGGTTGAGCAGCTCGAGGATGAAGCCCTTCAGACCAAGGCCGAAGCGAAGGCGATTGAAAACACAATCACCAAACTGGAGGAGAGCATCGGAACCTACAAGACGGAATACGCCGCTCTCATCAGTGAGACGCAGGCCATCAAGAGTGAGATGGCTCGAGTTCAGACCAAAGTCGAGCGCAGTCTCCGTCTTCTAGACAGTCTTTCGTCCGAACGCGTGAGATGGGAAGCTGCCAGCAAATCGTTCGAGACTCAAATCCAAACACTCGTTGGCGACGTGGTCGTAGCATCGGCATTCCTTGCGTACGCAGGTCTGTACGATCAGCAATTCAGAAAGACGATGGTTGATGACTGGTTGCATCATATGTCTCAATCGGGGATTTCGTGCAAGAGTGAAGGCTCGGTTCTGGGATATCTGTCGTCAGCCGACGAGCGGCTTCAATGGCAGCGCCACGCCCTTCCTGCAGATGACTTGTGCATGGAAAACGCGATCATGCTGAAACGCTTCAACCGATACCCCTTGATCATTGATCCATCGGGGAGAGTGACTGAATTTCTGAAGCAGGAACATCAAGGACGAAAATTGACTGTCACCAGCTTCTTGGACGATGCGTTTACCAAGCAGCTCGAAAGTGCCCTGCGCTTCGGTAACCCAATCTTGATTCAAGATGCCGAGTACTTGGATCCCATCTTGACACACGTTTTGAACAAGGAGTACCAAAAGACCGGTGGACGTGTTCTCATACAGCTGGGCAAGCAAGAGATCGACTTCTCGGAACACTTCCAGCTCTATCTGTCAACCAGAGACCCGTCTGCCGCCTTCGCCCCGGACGTGTGTAGCCGGACAAGTTTCATCAATTTCACGGTGACGCGAAGCAGTTTGCAGACGCAATCCCTGAATGAAGTTCTCAAAGCTGAGCGGCCGGACGTGGACAAGCGCCGTACCAACCTCGTCAAAATGCAAGGTGAATTTGATACCAATCTGCGGCAACTGGAGAAGAGACTCTTGCAAGCTCTCAACGAGTCTCGCGGCAATATCCTTGACGACGACAATGTCATACAAACTCTGGAAACGCTGAAGAAAGAGGCAGCTGTGATCACCAAGAAGGTCACCGAGACAGAGGGTGTCATGGCAGAAGTCCAACGCATTACTCAAAGCTACAGCCGTGTTGCGAATGCATGCAGCGCCATCTTCGCTCTGCTGGAGCAACTGCACCATCTGAACCACAGCTATCGGTTCTCTCTCCAATACTTTGTTGACATTTTCAACACCGTCCTCCACCACAACCCGCATCTGAACAACACGACAGATCATCAGACACGCGGCGAGATCATTCTCAAGGACATCTTTGTGGAGACATATCGCCGCACTTCTCTCTCCCTGCTACAGAAGGATCGTATCACCCTTGCACTGCTTCTTGTTCGAGCGACCCCGTATGACTTTGACCGCTCCGCCATGGAACTCATCTTTGAGGATCGTCCAGACTCACGGGGCGGAGTGCCTAACGATGCCCAGGAGGAAGACATTCTTGCTGCTGTAAAGCGACTTCCGATATTTGACCAAGACGCGTTGGACGCTAGCAGCAATGATTGGAAACACTTCCTCTCCGCCGAGCGTGCCGAAGAATCTGTACCGGTGATCTGGAACAACACTGACAATGTCATCGATCAAAACCTCTACAAGTTACTGCTTATCAAACTGGCCAGACCGGACAGATTTCTGCCTGCCGCCGAAGAACTAGTCGGCAGTGTATTTGGCTCCGACTTATTCCAAGCTACGGACGACTTGGGAACAATTGTCAATCAGGTCACTGCGTCCGTCCCCATCGCTCTTTGCTCGAATCCTGGCTTTGACGCCAGCTACAAAGTGGAAGCCCTTGTCGAGAGGCAAAATGCAACATGTGCCAATGTCGCCATGGGCTCGGATGAAAGTGCCACAAGTGCCGACAAGGCAATCACAGGTGCTGCGGCCAACGGCACTTGGGTTTTGATCAAGAACGTTCACCTTGCACCACAGTGGCTGCAGAGCCTCGAAAAACGCCTTTCCTCTTTGAAGCCTCACCAAGACTTCCGATTGTTCTTGTCGATGGAGTCAAGCCCCAAGATACCGGTCAATCTAATCCAGGCATCAAGGACACTCGTGTACGAACAACCAGCAGGGATGAGGGCAAACATGAAGGACACATTGACAGTGCTCTCAGACCGAGGTGCGAAGACTCCCGTTGAAAGAGGGCGCCTGTACCTTCTTCTCTGTTTCCTACATGCAGTCCTCCAAGAACGACTGCGATACGCACCGGCCCTTGGGTGGAAAGGACTGTGGGAATTCAACGACAGCGACTACGAGTGTTGTTCATACATTATCGACTCCTGGATTGATACAGTCGCGCAAGGACGGTCGAACATTGCCCCAGTGAAATTACCTTGGGATCTGATTCGCACGTTGATCACCGAGATGTATGGTGGCAAAATTGACGACGAGGGAGACTTTTCCTTGCTCGGTCAGATGGTGGGCAAGATCTTTGGCCCTGCTGCCTACGAAAATGATCATGAGTTGGTGTCCGATTCTGAAGGGCACACTCTCAAAGTCCCATCGGGGACAACGATGAGAGACTTTCTAGGCTGGGTGGACAATCTTCCGGAGCGTGAGCCGCCTGCGTATCTGGGACTCCCTGCCAACGCAGAGAAAGTGTTACTGATGGGCCAGGGACGAGAGAGCATCAGCAACCTTGCACGCATCATGGATCTTCTAGAAGAAGGGGAGCAATCATCGGCAGATGATCAGGCTCGGAGTCACGGCGAGGCCTGAGAAGTGGACCGGAAGTCGGTCTTCTGTGGGATTGTATTACTTCCAGAGACGACATAGACTGCTGAGTCCAGGTGGACTTAATGCCTGCTTGAATAGAGGAGGGGGTCGCTTCTCCAGGCCATTTGCTTTAGCGCAGGGCGTTTGGGGGGGTGGGATTGCTGTGTGCTTATATAGGTCCGACTGCGGAGTACCATAGGTAGACTGTGAGTAAATATCTATTTCTCTAATGCTCATCCATACACTCCTCCCCGGGACGCCCAGCGAGTGAAACGGGGAACGGGAAGATGACATTGACAAGGCCTTAGGAGCCTCCGGTGCATCTCATAGTAATAGGAGTATGTGGCTGTCCCCCTGAACTCGGGAGACCTTCCTTGCTCGACCTTGCCTGCGAGGAAATGCCCTTAACATACCAGCCAACACTACGACAACAGCCTCAGGCATGTCGCCAGGCATCTGCGCCCTATTTGGAGGTATATTGAACTGCAGGTTGGTCCCGCAGACCTCACTGGTGGTTATTGACATATCTGGACAGACTCGTTCCGGCCGAAGAACGCGAAGAGGACACGTTTCAGCCGCGCCCACGATGAACACTTGGTCAGTGTTCCATGACTGAAGTGACGACTCGACTCGGCCCTCCGAACCCTCAGCCTGCCATGAGTATGAGTACTTCGACAGGTCTCGACGATGTTGTGCAAGGCACCGACACCTCACGTCCCAGTGTTGCCACTCCACGGGCCAGTCCTTTCACCATGCCGTCGCTCGCTCCGTTTGGGGTGGACATGACCATTGACACCACCCCTGTCATTGCCATCGACCCGATCGCCCTCATCACCACAGAATGTATAACCATCACGTCTGCCATGCGCAAACATGCGCGCTGGGCACAGTCCTCGGTATCAGCCATCCTCGGAGGAGGCGCTTCCAGGCTGCAAGAGAAGGATTTACAACGCTCCTCGTCGCAAGGTCGCCGGGGCGGGAAGGGGCCTGTTATCTCGGACCCGGGCAAGACCAGACTCACTGTCACCGGTGCCTCCGATGACGAGAACTCGAGCCTGGCGAGTCGGTGGGGATTGCGAGGGAAAAGAGGCAAAAGTCTGCAAGACAATCCTCTCCTTTCGGCCTTCGCCCGGTTACGGAGAGACCTGGCGGGATGCAGAGATGTGCGTAGTGTGGACGCTCCTGAACTGCTACATCCTTTCTTGCAGGTCATCCGAAGCTCTTCGACCAGCGCCGCCATTACCAGTCTGGCGGTCATCTCAGTCACCAAGTTCTTTGCATATAATATCATCACCATCAAAAGTCCACGAATCGCCCTGGCCATGCACTTGTTGAGTGCGGCCATCACCCACTGTCGGTTTGAAGCTAGTGACACCGCGGCAGATGAGGTGGTCTTGCTCCGAATCCTACGGCTCATGGAAAGCATCATCTCCCGGCCTGAGGGTCAACTGCTGGGCGACGAGAGTATTTGTGAGATGATGAGCACGGGGTTGAGCATGTGCTGCCAGGCCCGACTTTCAGAGGTGCTGAGGCGATCGGCCGAAATGGCCATGGTCACCATGTGTCAAGTCGTGTTCAGCAGATTGAAGACTCTAAGAGTCGAAGAAGTACCCAAGGCGAGGAGCCGCTCCAACACCAAGACGACCACGGATGATCTGAAGATCGAGCCGCCAATGACTGGGAGTGTCATGGGAAATGGCGAACTGGAACGGTCGAGTGTCGATGCCGATGGGCGCTCTACTGCAGAAGACGGCACCCAGATCAAGGTTCCCTCATCCGAACCCACGCATTCCACCGTCCCAACAGATGGTGAAGAGTTCGAGAACGTGCAGCCATACGCGTTGCCGTCCATCAAAGAGCTGTTTCGAGTCTTGATCGACCTCCTCGACCCTCATGATAAAACTCACACCGATCCCATGCGGATCATGGCCTTGCGAATTATCGACATTGCATTGGAGGTTTCTGGGCCTTGGATTGCCGGACAACCAGCTCTAGCAAGTCTTGTTCAGGATGACTTGTGCCGTCATCTGTTTCAGCTCGTCCGGTCAGACAACATGGTTCTTCTAAACAGCTCGTTGCGGGTTGCCGGGACGCTGTTGGCCACGTGCCGGCAACTGCTGAAACTGCAGCAGGAACTGTTCTTGTCGTACTTGGTGGCATGTCTGCACCCCCGGGTTGACATTCCTCAGGAACCGGGAATTGATCCGGCACTTTATGAAGGGGTGCCGCAAGCTCCCAAATTGGTCAGGCCCGCGCCTTCTCAAGCCAGCAGCGGCCGATCAACACCTGTCCCTATCAAGGACAGACAGAAGCTGGGGCTGGAGGGGGGTGCTAGAAGACCGGAAGCGAGGGAAGCAATGGTTGAAAGTATCGGTACTCTGGTCCGTATGCCAGGTTTCATGGTTGAACTCTTCGTCAATTATGATTGTGAAGTGGACAGGCAGGATCTTTGCGAAGACATGGTCGGCCTCTTGTCGCGGAACGCTTTCCCGGACGCGGCCACCTGGAGTACGACCAACGTTCCACCTTTGTGCTTGGACTCGCTGTTGACCTTTGTCCAATTCATGGCGGAGAGGCTTGATCAAGAGGCGCCGGCGGGTTCAGAGGCCCGAATAGAGAAGATGCGGTTACAACGGGTTCGAAAGAAAATCATCAAAAGCGGCGCTTCGAAATTCAACGATGACCCCAAAGCGGGCGTCGCATACCTGGTGAGGAATGGCATCATTGAAGACCCGGACGATCCACGCCAAGTGGCGCACTTCCTCAAGGGAACCTCCCATGTGTCGAAGAGAGTCCTGGGTGAATTCCTGACGAAGCGAAACAACGAACGTCTGTTGACCGCCTTTATCGACCTGTTTAATTTTGACGACATGCGCATTGATGAGGCTCTCCGCGAAATGCTCGGTTCTTTCCGTCTCCCTGGAGAGTCGGCCCTCATTGAGCGGATAGTCACCACCTTCGTCGAAAAGTACTGCTCGACGACTTCGAGCGATGAAATTGCCGACAAAGATGCCGCTTTTGTTCTGACCTATGCCATTATCATGCTTAATACCGAATTGTACAACCCCAACGTCAAGTCACAGCAGCGTATGACATGCGAGGGATTTGCCAAAAATCTGCGGGGAGTCAACAAAGGGAACGACTTTGCGCCGGAGCTCCTCCAGGAGATCTACGATGCGATCAAACAGAACGAGATTATTTTGCCCGACGAGCATGAAAACAGACACGCCTTTGAGTATGCATGGAAAGAACTCTTGATGAAGACTGCCGACGCCGGCCCGTTGGAGCGTTGTGACAGCAGTGCCTTTGATGCCGAGATGTTCAAGGCGACTTGGAAACCGATAGTGGCCACTCTGTGCTATGTCTTCATGTCAGCCTCCGATGACGCGGTCTTTTCGCGGGTGGTGGTCGGATTCGACCAGTGCGCTCAGATTGCGGCCAGGTACGGGATCACCGAGGCCTTTGATCGAATCGTCTACAGCGTAAGCCAAATCAGCGGGTTGGCAGCCGAAGTCCCACCCAGCACCTCCCTGAACACCGAGGTTCAGGTGGGAAAGAAGAGGATCATGGTCAGCGAGTTGGCCGTCCGGCTCGGGAGAGATTTCAAAGCCCAGCTGTCGACCGTGCTGTTGTTCAGGATCTTGTCTGGTCGGGAACACGCCGTGGGCGAGACGTGGATCTACATTGTACGCATCTTGAAGAACCTCTTCGTCAACTCCCTCATCAGCCTGCCCACGGTCGACGGGAGCAGATTGACGGATATGGGTTCTATTCCTCTACAACCTCCCTCGCAGGTCATTGATCGAGACGGAAGACTGAGCGACAGCGGCCTTTTCTCCACCTTCACCTCGTATCTTTCGAGTTACGCTGCCGACGATCCGCCTGAACCTTCCGAGGAAGAATTGGATAACACGCTCAGTGCGGTCGACTGCGTCAAGGCGTGTCGGCCCGATGCCGTCCTGAAACGCATGGCGGCCCTGCCTCCAAATCAAATCAGGGCTCTTGTCGCTGCCTTACTGTCGCAGATGGAGGAGTCTTCGCCTGTCGTGACCGTGAAACCTGAACGACCCATGCCAGTCACGGTCCGGGTCAATGGTCATCGTATGCCCAAGGCAGGCCCGGAATATGACCCCGGCACCGTCTTTGTGCTGGAGCTGGCAACTCTGCTAACCCTGAGGGACGACGAGACGATCGCTGCTGCGGGTGAAGTCTTGACTGGATCACTGCAAAACGCGGTCAGGGATGCATCGAATCTCCATCCACTCGCTGCTGCCAGGGTGGTGCATTACCTCCTGGAGCTGCTACGGTACAGCTACGTAAGTAGAACGAAGGCGTTACGTGAGATAAGCAAAATCATTGACTTGTTGCAGACCTACGATTTTATGCGCGCCCCCGTCGTCCTGCACGCCATCTCCAGTTTCGACGACACCGTCCTCGACCGCACCGCATCAACAGTCACCGGAGGCCTCGCCAATACCATCGTCGAGGCCGGACCACTGCGCAATGAAGTCACCAAGTCTCCGGATTTCTGGTCCACGTTGCAACGCCTCCATCAGCACAAGACGGAGGCTGAATCCGTCTTCGAAATACTCACCACCGTGGCCACTTCACATCCTACAGCCGTCACGGCCGACAACTTTGAGTCGGCGGTGGCGTTGGCCAACGACTTTGCATCTGCCGGGTCGATAGGCTCGATCCAGGAGAAACGGCGAGACTTTGCGGCCAAGCGCGGACACCAGGCCAAGCCGGCGCGCGATGAGGATCTTGTGGTGGTTCAGCGGGCTGTCAAGGCCATCGGGCTCATCTACCAGCTCAGTGACCGCGTGCCCAGTCTCATTACGCAGTCACACCTTGAGCGCCAGGAGGCCTGGGCGGCGTATTGGTCTCCAGTGTTCCGCGCGCTGTGCTCTCAATGCGTGAATCCTTGCCGGGAAGTTCGGCACCGCGCCCTGTCCGCCCTGCAACGCACATTGCTATCTGAATCCGTGGCGGACCAGGAACAACATACCGAGTGGACCGCCATCTTCGACGAGGTCCTCTTTCCACTGACCCTGCGTATGCTCAAGCCTGAAATCTACCAGCTTGACCCGCCCGGTATGAATGAGACCCGAGCCCAGGCTGCGTCCGTGCTGTGCAAAGTCTTTTTGCGTTATCTCGATCGGCTGGTCGAGGTACGCCGTATGGCTGATGTCTGGGTCAAGATTCTCGAGTTGCTGGATCGACTGATGAATGCGGGCACTGAGGGAGATGCCTTGGCGGAAGCCGTTCTTGAGGGGGTCAAGAACGTGCTGCTTGTCATGGACGGCACGGGGTATTTGGAGAGAGACGGCAGTGCTGATACCGATTCTGGCATCGGTGGTGCCACCAAAGGCAGCCAAACCCAAGGAGGCAAGCTCACCGCAGGACCCCAAGCTCGAGGTCGAAGTCAGCGCCAAGGAGGAGGAAGAGACGGTGGTGGCGGACATGAGCAGGACGCGCATGGTTCAAACCCGGGACTCGGTGTGGAGGCGGAGGGGGAGGAAGATGCAGAATCAGAATCCGAAGACGAGGTGCAGGACGCAGAAGAACAAGAGGAAGAAGAGATCCAACTTTGGCCTGAGACGGTGAGGCGTCTGGACCGATTCTTGCCGGGCCTAGTCGACGACTTGTTCCCTACACCGGCTCCTACTCCTCCTGTCCCTGTTGAGGAAGCCACCGAGTCTCATTCTTCGGCTTCGGCTCCTGGTACTGCTGGTGCTGCTGATGCTAGTGTTGATGCTGTCAAGGATGATCGAGTCTCCAGCGACAAGCAGGCTTCGGAACCAAGAGAGCATGGACCTGAAAGCGCCACCACATGATCAGGGTCAGGGTCTGGATCAGGATCTGGGTCAGGGTCTGGGTCAGGGTGAACCAATTCGCAGACGAGGGACGGCGACCACAGATAGAAACTATATATCTATGTCTGTCTTGTCTGCCTTTGCCTGGATTGAAAAGTCTGACTACCTACCTAATTATCAATGATGCAGCAACCAAGGCCAAGACCGCGAATTCTTTGGTTGTTTTGGGCCAGCGGTACAGAGTATAGTGACAGTGACAGAACAGAGCTCTTACTTCTACTTCTGTTTCTGTTTCTGTCGTTGGCAGTTGAGTTATTCAGGTCATTGACGATTTTTCATTTTCATTTTCATGGTCATGGTATCATACTCTGCTTCGTAAGTACCGTACCGTCGAGCCGGCCGGCCCTGAGATCCATATGCCTTCATCGCCACGCCGCATTACAGTACGGAGTACAGGGTGTCTATTGTCTATTTGTCCCCTCTGGTCTCGACATGTCAACGTCTCGTCGCGTCACGCCTTGTCACGAATCGGCCTTCCTCTGTCCACAATCACATCCCCATTCCTTGCGGAACTCGTCGACCTTCAACTTGCCCAAGATCTTCAACGCCGACTTGCTCGCCCGGACTTTGGCATACTTGGCCCCTTGACCCTGGCTGACTGCCACCCTGCGTCCGTGAACGAACCAAGCCACATACACCAGGGAGCCGGAAATCGCATCATCGCCGCCCTCGCTGTCCTCGTCGTCACCGTCACCGTCACGCCGGTGGTGGTGCGATGACGACGTGGTGGGCTGCACGGGCTTGACTATGACCACGGGCTCGCTCTTGACGCATCGGAATCCTTCCCTCAACAGCCGGAACAAATAAGTCGTGGGATGTCGGTGGGCAAACGTGTCGTAGGCCTCAATGTCCTCAAAGAACCATTTGACATGGTTTTCAAAGAACGTCTCGATCTGGCGGAAATCGAACCCCGAATCTACTAGCACCGCACCCAGGTAGCTCTCGACCAAATCTGCCAGTGCTTTCGGCGGGGACGAGCCAGAAGAAACCCGTGTCCAGAAATCAGGCTTGACTCCTTCCTCCGTGTACGCTTCTTGGACCTTGGCCGCGTAATTCCCAATTTCCGCGTATAGTGCTGGCCCCGACGCGTAGATCAGTTTATTGAAGCCCAGAGTAACTGCGAGGGCCGCGAGGAATTTGTTCGACACCATTGCCATTTTGTGTTCGGTCAACCATTGCGGATTGCGCGTCGGATTAGTGGAGAATAACCACCAGATACAAACCCAGTCGAGACAAGCGTCCCCCAAGAACTCGAGTCGTTGAAGATCCGGTACTGGAGAGTTTTGGTCTGAGGAATGGGTGAAGGCCGAGCGCAACAGGCATGGATTCTTGAACCGGTATCCAGTAATCTCGCACATCTTTCTTGCTAGGTCATTTGCCACCGGGTCGTTCATTGCCATTATCCATTTCGGCGGTCTGTACATGGGCGCGATCTCTTTCCACGAAGTAATCGCATGGTCTTCGTCTTCCACCAGTTTGGTGATTGCCTTGATCCCAAGATCGAGCTTCTCCTCCGTCGGTAAATGTTGGGTCGTCATGATACAAGCGCCAATTGTGGCTTCGCAAACATCTGCTATCGTCTTCTTTCCTAACGCATGTTTGCGGTGTTTGTCTGTCAACTTGATGACTCGGCCTCTCTTCAGTTCCAAGAATTCCGGGTACCACGTGTCACGCCAATGGTCTTCAGATCCTGCACGGATGTAGCGATAAAGCTCGTAACGTGGTGAAGAAGCCACGGAAAACAGTCGGTTGTTGGATAGCATTTCCATACGCTTGCAGTGCATTCCTTCTTCGTTGCACGTGGTACGGTTGAACACCGTGATGGTCGTCATCATCTTCAGGAGCGAGTCGCCGATGAACTCTAGTCGTTCATAGTTCAGTGTTGGACTCCCATCGGATGGCACATCGCCGGTTGTAGTATTGTCAGGTGACACCTCGCCGATTTCTGCATCGGGACTGTTGTCTTTCGTGAAAGCTTCCAAGGCGAGGTGGTAGGGTACTTCGCGTAGATCAAGTTTGTTGAACGCCTCGCCGACAATGAGGTAGGCTTCTAATCTGTGCAGGATAGAGGGCCACATTTGACAAGCTCGTGCCACTGGAGACGAGACTCGAGCAATCTCGAGCGGCTGCGGTGCAATCAGACACATAGCAGTGCGCTGGTTTTCCCTGGGATATTTTTCTAGGTAGTTGCGTCCTGAGATGATCATTTGGGCTTGGATAACAGGTTGGTTCGGATCATACTTGCCGGCCGATGAGGCCAAATCCTTCGACTTCTTGCGCCAAGTACTGTCGGAGAACTCGATAATGCTGTCTTTATGTTTCTTCTGAACGCCCTGCACTGTTTCTGGTGGTGCATCCCATATGGATTTTCCCGCAACAATACCTTTGGTGAAATAGTGGAACCTTCCACTACCAGGATCAACGAGGAATGCGTTACACCATCTCCCAGCGTTCCTGAGCGTCGCATCATGAGTTTCTGCCGGGGCCCATCGTTGCCGTTCCGATGAGCTAGCAACCAGGAGCTCGGTCATGTGAACAATATCCTCAAAGCGCTGACTCCCAGTCAAATATCCCTTGAGTGGAGGGGCTAACCAGTAGCTCATAGACGTGGAGACAGGGGCATACGTCTTGTTGAAAATATCTTCAAACACTCCATTGAGTGTAAACTTCGTCAGCGCCTCAACCAGGTCTGGGGAAACCGCAACCGCCTGGTCAAGGCGCTTGAAGATGATTTGTTTCTCGACGTTGTCGTCCACAAAGACGGGGAAGGGGTTTATTTGTGGGAGCGGCGATCGCGTCAGCAGCAACAAGCCGTCTGTATTCCATGGCGGTGACTGAGGTTCAAGCTGGATGTGGGTGACAAACAGTTCTGCCGGCAGCTCACAGGAACCAGCACCGCTGTCCACCCAGAAATCCGGCTTGAGCTTCTTGTCATAATCATCCTTCTTCTCCGATACGGCGAGTCGAGCATTCGAATTCTTCGGCTTAACCTTGACAAAAATACTATCCAGATTCTCGTCCAAGAGGCGTGCTTTGCGTAACTTGTAACAACAGTGCCAGGCCGCGGAGCGTTTTGCCAATATCTTGTTCGTTCGGAGATGCCCTCGAGCACCTCTGACGGCCGCGGTGCGTTCATCATCTGTGACCGGAAGGATAACTTTGTACCTGAACATGTTCTCTTCCACATCTATTGTCTCTTCATACACTTCCGCAGATGTTGCTCCAATCTTCCTCAACGACTCCGCATACCGATTCAACAGGATGAGTGAGTTGCTGTAATTTGCGACAACTCCGGACGACGTCTTGAAGGTCTGACAGCTCATGTCACGAGCCATGATTTGCCTTAATCGTGTTCCTTGACCCAGCAGCCTATCTGGTGGGAGTTGTTGACAGAACATTCTGATGTACTCATCTTGAGCAATGACATAGTCGATAAGGGATTGATGACCTTGATTGCCCTCTTCCTTCATATGTGCATAAACAGACCCTTTCATTCGAGCACGGCCCCGACTTTGCATGTATTGAATGGGTGTTTTGTACAAGTCAAACCTGACCACCAGGTTACATTGGGGGATGTCGATGCCTTCTTCGGCAACACTCGTAGCAAACATAATGTTGATGATTCCAGTTCGAAAGTCTTCCAAAGCGGCTTCTTGATTTTTCCACGAATTCGACTCTCCGCCCCTCTGACCACGACCGACGAGGACACCTGGTCGTAGGTTCGGCAGATTCAACATTTCGAAAAGGTCATAAAGAACGAATGCCGTTAACCTCTGCTCAACAAAGACGATTGCTCTGGTGGTAGGGAACATTGAGTAGCATTGCTTGAGCCGGTCGTAAAGACATTTTACTTTGGAGGACAGTTCCTGATGCTTGTCCAGACAGAGGTAGCTGAAGTCGTGTTTCTGAATGACAGCAATGGCTTCGCGAACAGACTTTAACGCCGCCTCTCGGCTGTCATTGTCCGTTCCCTGGATATACGCAGAGCTCCGCTCGAGCTTTGTGATGATACCGGTAGCTCCATATTCCGAGGTTGGGAGAGCGTGTTTCCACACTCTATTAGCTGCCCAGGACCCCAGCTGACCGGATGCGGCGCGCGAGAAATCAAAGTGTTGTTTGAGGTCTTCAACAAAGCCACACAACGGACGCAGTTGAGCATGTAGGTCTGTATCAAACTCCCCTAGAAGTGGCGGAAACGTCCAGATTTCATCCCGCGGCCTCGGAGCGAAATCGAAAACTGACAGGTCGTGGGTTGTGGCTATCTTGCTCTGCAGCATCGATTCAAGGTCGGCGACCACTTGAGTGATATCACGCCTGGACTCATCTGCAGGTGAAGCGGTCATGCCGAATATGCGAGGTCTGGTGTCTTTCCATTTGAGATAATAATCTCGCATAATTTTCGAGTATGGATGGTTCTTCTTACAATGGTGGGCTTCGTCAAACACGATCAGTGATATCTGACCCATGTCCAGGTATTTGTGCATCAGACATTGCTCCAGGACAGGGGCTGTACAAACGATGACATTGGTGCTGGCATGGATCTTGTCCCATTCCGCCTTCTTCCACAGGTCATCACTCGAATCCCCGTAGAGAGCGATGACATCGTGGGGCAGATTATTGTTCAGAAATCGTGCCTGTTGGTTGGCAAGAGGGACACTGTTGACAAGGAAGAAGATGATTTTGGATGGTCTGCCCTGGCTGCGGTCGATGAGCTCTTGTTGCAGGAAATGGCGGATCAATAAGGCGGCGATCAATGTCTTCCCACTACCGGTGTCAAGCACGGCGATAGTGTTCTCTTCCTTTGCTCGTTCGAACAGTTCTTGCTGGTATTCGCGTGCCTGGTCAATGATGCTGTCCGGGCCTTGGGTTTTGGCTTTGGTGGAAGATGCAGAGTCATTGTCGAAATTGTCGCTGGCATGGGCAAGGACATAATCAGTTAGAGCGGCCTTGTTCGCGTCTCGGTACGGGTTACCGCCGCGGCCTGAGGTTCGCGATTCAGATGCGTCTTCATCATCGGACGCTGTGAGATAGTCTGGATCTTGCTGACGGACATCGAGACGGGTTAAGATGGCACCCTCGACACCATCCTGGTCGTGGATGGCCATATTGACTAGCGGGATGAGAGGGACATGGCGAAAGGGCTGCAACGCAGAACTTTCAGGAAGGGAGCATTGCTGAGTTGGTGCAAACGCGTTTGTCAAAAGGGTTGGTGGAGGGGCAGATACTGGGTGTGAAGGGAAGATGCAGATGCAAACAGGCAGAGGTAAATTCACAACACGAAGGAAACAAGACCACTACAGCCCACAGGACCCAAGACCCAGGACCCCTACCTCACGATCTGGAGCACTCCGTTCTCATCGCCTTGCCTGCAACTTGTGTGTTGAGGTTGATATAAAAGCAAACGCGACAGGGAGAGACTGCTCCATCGGCGCTTTTTTAGTGTTATCTTAGCAACCGCCAGGCACGTACCAGGGGCATAAGGGCAGCGCATCTCATAGGTAGCAATTACGAAAAACAAAGAGTGGGCAGCATTATGTCACTCGCCCCCTTGCAACTGTGTACTTGTACCTCGCACTGTCCTCCTACATTCTCCCACGCACACAGCCATTCAATGTGATACAGAACGACTCTCCAAGCCGACATGAAACCCATCCTCGCGGCGGCGGCCGTCCTCGTCACCCTCGTCAGCGCCCATGGCTCCCATTCACAAGAAGAACTAGCCAATCCAGCCGAGGATTGGGCATTGTACCACATGCAAGAAGAACACCGTGTGTAGACGCGCAACATCTTCAACTGGGAACATCGCCAAATGACTGACATTCTGTCCTCACCTTCTAGACATCTCCAATTTCGATCCTACCTCGTTCTACTCCCTCCATGACTTCAACAACGATGGCGCCTGGACGCCAGACGAGGTCCGAAGGACATACGGACTCGATGATGAATCTCTCAAGGGTACACCCGCAGACGTCAAAGATCGAGTTGTCCTCGAGGTCTTCAAGCTCTTTGATCCGAGCGGTTTGGGCATCATCACCCGCGATCAATGGCTGAATGGCATCCGGGCGGGCAAAAAGCTGCCCGATTCCCGCCTGGGACCCGGCCATCACGGAGACGATGAATATGAATACGAAATCCACCATTTCGAGAAATTCCATGACGAAAACACTAGAGAAGAGGACCTGGTACATCCAGAGGATATAGAGCATTTTAAGAAACACGATCGGATGGAGGACGAGGCTGAGCGAGTGTTGAAAGAGCAGAAACAGAATATCGTGGAGAAGAACATACCCCTGAAGTTTCGGAGGCAATCATGACCACTTGAGATGGGACAAAATGACTGTACCGAGTATGGCAAGGACAAGGACGCGGAAAAGATTCTTTTGGACAGGCTTTCATCCATTCGGCGTGATATGGATATCAAATACGCAATGCATGACACCTGGCGCATATGTCTTGACATGGTGGATATGATCACACGACACTGACCAAGGAGTCTCTGGGCCGTCCGCTCTTTCTGATCCGACATGTGCGATGCCAATGAGCTCCTGGACGATTTGGTTCTTCATGGCCTCAATGTGCCGAATGTCGACGTTCTCATGCACATGCAACCAGCCTCCACTTCTTCCATGCACCCTTCTCCTATCCCCTTTGATGACCTTGACAGCATTTTCCCAACTCCCCCTCGACGTGGGAAGTAGGCCCAAATTGGCATGTTTCACATTAAGGCTGAGACCTTGCAAACGGAGTTCACGCTGGATCTCGCCCATAACCTTGTCCGACCATTTATTATCCCCCAGAAAGGCAACGCACCTGACCGCGGTCTGTTGACCATACTCCTCAGGTTTGGCACCAGCATTGTCCCCTTGCGAGATCCGCGCAACGACTTCCCTGACCACGTTCTCCCCGTCCGATCGGTCTTCCCTCCCACTCTTGGTCCCTCTTATCAGCGCAAGTTCCCCGTTTTCACGGACCCTCACGACCAAACAATCCCAGCCGTTCTTCTCGCAGCCGCGCCTCAACCCCTCGATGCTCCATGGATTGATGTCCCAGCCCCAGACTCTCCGAACCCCACGTGCGAGGTAGCAGAAGGCGAAATAGCCGATGCCCACGTAGAAATCCACAACGTCGATCGAGGATAGTGGTACCCCGATCTCGGGAAGGGTAAGACCAGGAAATTGGGACTGAAGCCGTGCCATGGATCCGTAGGGCGTGTGGGATGTTGACCGCGACTCGGACTGCAGTTTCGATTCTGTCTGGGTCCCATTGGGCGCCGAGGGAGAAAGTCCCAGAATTCGCGCCTTTTCCGAGACATTGCCCCGACTGAACATGGTGTACAGCGGCGCCCAGCATTGCGTGATGCCTTTATGCTGCGACGTCGATGTCCAAAAGGCCTCCTCAAAGTCCCGTCGGCTGGGGTTGGCTATTTTCTGTTTACCGTCCCCTATGCCGGAATCCCACGATGTGTCATCGTCTCGAGTGCGGCGCAGAAAGCCCCAGTCGCCATAAACAGGTACAAGACCAGACGGACTGCGGAGGACATTCTGTTTGCGGGTTGGAGGTTGTGATTCCTCGACTTCTGTTGTTGTACTTGCCGGTCCCGACCCCGGTGGCGGGGATGATGTTGATGTTGATATCTCTGACTCAGTTGCGGTTGACAACTCTCGATCATCGAGATCCGTTTCTTCAGCAGCAATGGGTGCACCGATGGCGACTCTGATGCCATTCTGCTCCAAACCCGCCCCGGATGCTGCAAATCCCTGTTCGGCAATACATCCAAACAAGTCGGTCCTCTCGGTGTCGGACAGCCCATTGTATAGCTCCGCCCAACGGGGATTCTGCGTGCAGAAGTTGGCTGATAGGAGGACTAGTGATCCATAGATGGTGTAGCGCTTAGGAATGTCAGAGCGTGGCAGTGTGCGAGAGGGACGCGACGGCCTGGACAGGTCACAAGGCAGAGTGTCTGGATTTGGCGCATTTTCAGGTGCCGTGTCAGGCTCCCCTATGTATCCATACGCTGGCTCGACCGCGTTATGGCTGTCACCTCTTGCAGCGGACTGGATCACTTCGATGTCATGCCGAGTGCAAAACGCGAGGATGCCTTTGACCAGCGGGTTTGCAGGTTTCTTCGGCCGATGTCCTCGCGGAGATTGGGTCGTGTCATGACTCCTGTTGTCCATAAGGCATAAGGGGTGAGCAGCAAGTGCGGCCTGGTCATTATAGTTCTCTTCTGTTTCGTTGGCACGTCGTTGTAAATTCTTACTCTGTACACTTACATATACTGCTCGGGGGACCGCAATCGCCGCTGCATGTGTCGGGTTCTGGGTCCTCGGTTCTCTGGGCATCAGATATGTGCCGCCGCTTTTACCATGATGGAATCCCAGCCTCACCCCCAACACCCACACTCACACCCGACACCCAACACCCAACGCTCAACACTCAACACTCTGCTGGAGGACTCAGGCTTGGGGGCTTTAGGCTTAGGCCTCATTGATTAGACAACTGTGTTGGCTTGCCAATTGCAAGTACAATAATAGTGCGGCGCATATACACCCTACACCTTACACCTTTTTACATCCCGTCTGTAGTAATACTAATAGTAGATAGTAGATCCGGCCGATCGGATCCGACTTGATGTCACAATATCCAATATCTCTCTACACCGAGCTCGCAGATCAGACCGACCACATAGATTCCCATTTAATTCGCAGAAACGCCTGTCCATCAAAACAGAGTGGATGCAACCTGCCTAGCAAAGATGCGGAAGCCAGAAGTCAGAAGTCGGAATCCAGAAGCCAGAATCCAGAAGCCAGAACCCAGAACCCAGAACCCAATCTGGGCAAAGAAGAGATGAGGAAAGGGACCGACGCCGTCCATAAATGCAATGCAATGCAGCAAGACCCATTCCACCCCTGGCCCGAACCCAGATGCAAGACGAGATGGGCCGCGAGAGCTTCCCTCGGTGCAGGCCTGAGCATTACACTTATACCGTTGGTTTGTATTTTTTTTTTGATCAGCGTTCAGCATTCAGATCCAGATTCAGAGTCACATCCACATCACCCCGTAATGCCGGCGATCAGATTCAGAATCACATGTCCAGGGAATGCCGGCGATTCAGATCCAGACACAGATTCACATTCACATCATCCCGTAATGCCGGCGATTCAGAATCACATTCACATCACCCCAGTGCCGGCGATTCAGATTCAGATTCACATCCACATCACCCCGTAATGCCGGCGTCGCGGGCCGACTTGATCATCATGTCCAACACGGCCTTCTCTTCCAGGGTGAAGTCTCGTTTCAGGGGCGCATCGGTGGTCAAGCAGCACATGTTACTCTCCTCCAGCTGCCAGGCCCCCGGCTCTCGGACGTCGCGCGGCTCGATCAGGTAGTGCTCGAACTTGGCAAACTTCTTCTGCTTCTTGTCGGCGAACTTGTTGTCGAGCAGCCAGCCGTTGAACCAGAGCGGCTTGCCGTCCAGGTCGAGATGGAGCAGTTGAGGCGCACACATGGTGTAGCTGCTCGGCTCGGGCTTCTTCTCTTCCGGCGGCTCTTCTTGCTGTTCGAATTCTTCGAATTCCTCTGTGCCATCTTCGTGTTGCTCGTGGCCTTGCTCGTGGCCTTCTTGGCCGTCGCCAAAGGCATCGCCTTCCACCACTTCGCCATTTTCGTTGATCACCACGGGCTTCGGCTCCTTCTTCTTTCTCCGGGGGGGCTTTTCTTTCTTCTCTTCCTCCTTGGGTCCTTTCTTCTCTTCCTCTTTCTTCTTCTTGTCCTCCTCCTTGACTGGAGCCTCTTGGACCACACCCATCGCCCCGGCATCGCCTTGGTGGAACGAATAGTCCATGTCCCCGACCAGCTCCCATCCAATCCAGAATGTCTCTTTGTCGCCTAGCGAGGAAAGTCAGTCAGCTCTTGCGAAGTGGCCGTGTAGTAATATCACCCGCAAAAAGCAAAACGTACCGTATACCATGTCATAGACCCCAACTCGGCCTTCGTCTTTGTTACCGTCTCTGTCGGGACCGTTCATTCGGGTGACCAGGAGCAAAGCCATGAAATGCCGCCACTTGTCTACGACGACCACACCGGATTCTTGCATGTGGCCACTGTCCCCCGTCCAGAAGCGAGATTGTTTCACTTGTCGCGAGATGGGCTTGGGCAGGATCTGCTGCAGCCAACGTTTCTTGTTTTCCGGCATGATCAATCGGTCGCGGAAGAACAGAGCTCCGGTCTGTTGATAGCCTGGATCGTCGAACAAGATCTCCGGGTTCCTGAAGAACAAGCTGTCGGCGTCGATGAAGATGCATTCGCGGAAGCTGGAGAAGAGGATGGCAAAGGGTTTGGCGGCCCAACCGGCCAGTTTCCAGCCTTCATCATTCACCATCTGCGCGATGTCGCGCGTGATGACGCCGTCGAGCGCCTCGAGGTCGGCGCGATAGTCTTCACTGAGATCCGAGTCGCCCAGGTACATGACTTCGATGGGAAGGTCGCATCCGAGCTTCCGGAACGTGGGGATGGTGGTCAGAAGGAAGGGCGCTTGGTCGTCGCCGGCGGTGAGCACGATGCCTCGACCACCTCGTTTGAAGTGCGAGTGGAGAGTCATGTGGTCGGGAAAGTACGGGGCCGTCCAGGGGAAAAGCAATTGCCCAAACTTGACCAGGAAGTATCGGTAAGCCTCGTAGGAATGAACGGTTTGGGCGAACCCCGTCTCGGAGAGCTCGTCCGAGGACGGCTGATGGACATGGTGACGGAGATACTGAATCACATCGTCCCGCACATACGTTCCGCCTTCCTCGTCCGAGGTCAGATGCAGATCCTCCCACGCCTCGAAGAACTTCTTGTACTCGCGGACTCGGAGGCCCATTTCACGCAGCTTCTCCTTACCGGTCCCTTCGACTTGTCGCAGCAGGTCTCGGCCTTCCATCTCCCCCGGCAAGAGGTTGATGACGCGGGTGAGAGCCCTCTCGAATCGGCGACGCTCGGAAAACGAGAACGATTCGTCAGACGCCGGTTTTCCCCAGCTAGGACTCTGCTGGTACCGCGATTTCGCCGGATCGGATCTGTCATGGTCGTTGGGAGAAAAGCGCTCCTGATCCTGATCTTCCACCTCGCCCGCGGCCGGAGCGGGAGCCTTAGGCCTCTGGACCGGAGCTTCCACTGGGGGAGCTTCAAAGGGCGGTCGGCCTCCAGCGGGTGAATGGACGTCGATCAAATCTGCGCCGACCGGGTCGATGGACGGGGCTTGTTGGTGCTCATTGGGATTCGGTTTCAGCGCCACTTCGGGGTCGTCACGCCCTGGTTCCCTTGGCTCGCTGGACGGTGGTCTGATGCTATCCGGCGCCGGCGACTGGAGGAGGGCGTCGGATGTCGAGGTCGAGGGGCTTGATGATAGAAAGTAGATCAATGGGACGCATATCAGGACCAGGAGTAACAGTGCGCCTTGGCGTGATCTGAGCGCCCGTCTCGAAGGGCCAGCATATGGCAGGCCGGGAAAAGAGCGACCTTCTTTCAATGGCGCATGCCGTGGAGTGAACATGCCGGAAGACACCCGCATGGGCTGAGGAGGTGGTGAAGGAGAAAGGAAGGGAAAAGAAAAAGACCGGGGGAGCCGGTACTCGTACACGATGGATGGATGGATGACTTCTCAAAAAACCCCTGGTCAAGAAGGGATGGCGATCATGAGAGGTGGCCAACACGCGTGCCGGACGCGACAGGGGGGTGTGGGAAGGCTTTCCAATCCTCGATCCTGGGGGGGCGAAATGCAACAGAGCCGTGCCTCTCGTCTATCGTCTATACTGCAGCAACAGCCAAGAGAAGCGAATTAATTGAGCGCGATCCAGACAAGAAATTACTGTATGAATTGCAAGATGATAGATGGCTTCAAGAGATGGTTTTCAGGGTTTCAAGGTTTCAGGGGGGGTCTAAGAGGCCCTAAGGCCTTTCCAAGCACAAAAAGACAGAAGTGCGAAGTGTCCAATGCGCCACGCCACGCCACGCCACGGCCGAATCAAGGGGAGTCGATGCCAGCGACCCAGCATTTTTCAAGACCGTCTCGCTGGACCAGCTAGTGCCCGAAAGGGGCAGCCGCCCACCAATTCCTTGCCGCTATTGCCAGGTTATGCTGCATCGGGACTAGCAGGCCTGGGCGCTCGCTTCCCGTCTGGGTGGCATCCCGATTAGCAAATTAGCATCAGGATCTAGCACGTCTAGTGCCTATTCCGTATATCCTGAGTCCTCCTTTCTCTATTAGAGTCCCGTCTATTACTCCGTACTCCGTACTCCGTATAGAACCTACCCTGGGCCTTATCCTTGCTGCGTGCCTCGTGAGGGTGTTCAGCGTGTGGCTTGTTGCTCCATGCCGCCGGATCATGACATGCATAAGAACCGAAACCAGAACCATGCTTCTGGAACATCGCTGAGCGTGTGGGCATCGGCATCCCGCATTTTCGAGATTGGAAAAAACCCCATCCCCCCCTTTTCTGCCTGAGCTATAAATAGTAGTGCCATGGACAGCTGTCTTACATGATCTCGTCTTCCAAACACATTCTGGTAACACATCGTCACATCGTTTACTCGCGGCCCGAAGCGAGGGGAGGCTGATGAAACATCCCGCTGTCCCTGCTGTCCAGGATCCGTGACACCACCTTGGGTCCTCGCCTTGGCCAGTCATTTGGATCCAGCGTGCCAACCACAGAGGCAGAGATTGCTTCTGCCAAGCCAGCCAACAACCCCTGGATGGATGGGATGGCCTTCAAACTTATCTGTCTCGGATACATACGAGTATATTCTCCGCATCTTCAGCCACAAATCTTACTGTGACTGCGTCACAAGCACATGAACAAGAACAGGCGCTGAGGAGAAGCAGAAGTCATGCCATCCTCTGTTTGGGCAGTTTGGGAATCGACCACCACACCAGGAGGCAGCCCAGCAAGGCAGCCAGAATAATGGGCTCCAAGACCTTGACGCCCTTTGCGTTGGCAATGGCTCCCACGGCGAATGGCAGCACGCAGGCGCCACTCGATCCGAACGCGGCTGCAAATCCCACAGCGGCAACGTGCAGGCTTTTTGGAAGCAGCTTGGTCAGTGCCACCACGGCAGCTGGAAACATGGGGCCGAGAAAGAATCCGAGCAGTGCCACCATCACCGCACTGACGAAGAAGTTGGGGATGAGCCAGAACATCAATTGCAAAGCCACGCTGCAGCCAAGGTAAGCCGCCACCGCATGTTTCTCCGTTCGGAATACTCGAGCGGTGACGAAGCCCAGAACTAGTCTGCCAACTGTGAGCCCCAGCCAGAACCCCGTGGACGTCAGTCCGGAGGCGAAAGCAGAACCCTTTCTGACCCGGAGCATGAACGTGACGATCCATCCTCCAATACTCACTTCGGCGCCGACATAGATCAGCAGAAACACAGAGGCGAGTAGCGTGACTTTGTTCCGCACCGCTTCAACAGTCTTGCTCTTCCCCATGGAGATTTTCCGAAACGGATTCAGCTTAGACACAACACCTTGAGGCCTCTCTGCCTGACGGCCACGCCGGGCTAGTGCGCTGGTTGTGCTTGACCCGGGCGTTTCAGGTTCTACAGTCCGGGGATGTTCGGCGTCGTACGCTCGGGCATCCGCTTTCCAGAAAGTGCCCACGAGCACCACGATTTCCAGGGCGGACGCCCCTACCATGAGATAGTAGAACTGGTACCAACGCCAGCCGGCTTTGGTAACCAATGTGGTGGCCACAAGAGGTGAGATGGTAGCACCAAGGCCGTAGAAGGCATGCAGGAAGCCGAGGACTTCATTGGCATTCGCCATATCGCCGATCCAGGCATTCCTACAACGAGATATCAGTCTGACGCATCGTCTACCAACATGCCGGATCTCAACGCACCAGCCACTGTCGCCCAGGCCGTTTCCAAATCCGGCGAGGATGAATACCACCATCAAAACAGGATAAGGGGGATGCAGGCAGATGGCAGCTAGATGACCAAGTCAACACAATGGCTTGCACTTGCATCGCGGTCGGACAGTCTCACTGTAGGCGAGCAAATGCGACACGCTCATGATCAAGGCGATTCCTCTTTGCCCATAAACGGTGTGTAGATGATTGTTCAATCCTGCCGATAAAACATAGCCCACGATGGGACAGAGAAAGACCAGAGAGATGATGGTGTAGTTGACTTTATACCAAGACTCAAGATATGGGATGAGAGCGCCGTAGGCGCCATCGTTGGCGCCCAGGATGATGAAGGAATAAAACGTGCCGAAACAGCGCCACATGTTGATGCGAGGGGAATTCCACTTTTGCAGTTGAGGCGTCGACGTGCACGGAGGCGGCAAGGCTGCGGCTGCTGCTCTTGTGTCTTCCCAGCCTTCACGGTCCTGCTCCTCCTGCCCGTCAACTTGCGCCTTGGACTGGGAAGGCATCTCAATGACGACGGCAGAGCCGCCCGTCGAGGAGGCGGAATTAGTGATCTGCATGGATGGCGAGGCGTATTCAGGAAACCGTGTGAAGAGAGAGAGACAGAGCGGAGCTGGAGAATCGTGGCGCAGTATCATGGATAGGCCAGACCATGCATAGTATTGTACATGACACCAGGTCTTCAGAACCTCAAAGACTGGGGTTCGACCTTTTCTCAGACCCGGAAGACGCGCGAAGAACGCCCGATGCTGGCAGACAGACTAAGATAATGATATTGAAATCCACTTGAGGCATAGGAGATGACTCTTGCGCCCGAAGCTGGCAGGCAGCTACCAATATAGATATACTATTACCTTGCTTATTGTCCCCGGACCCTAGGATCCCTCAGGCAGCCGAAGATCAACCGGGTGGGTAGCCTGGATAGTAGATACTGTGATCCCATATGACATCTGTACGGATACGTCTCAAACAGGGAAACCGGCCCGGTGGGGATCGTCTGTCTGGGGAGAGTCATCCTCCGCCCCGGCATCACATCGCTGGATTGCTCGCGAAACCCCCGACATAGGGAGGTGGAGAAACTCTGGGAGCTCGGATGGGCGGATATATGTATCATACGTGAAGCCCCAGCACACCACTAACCATCTAGGGGCAGTAGCAGACCAGATAGACGAATCACCCCATCACTGTATCGACGGTGAAGGCATCCGTTACATCAATTCATTGAGAGAAGTCCATGAAGAGGTGCTCTGACGTTTGGCCAGCTGCGTTCGATCTTCCGCCATTCCGGCCAACATAGACACAGCTAGATACAAGCACTCTCGCAGGTCTGGCTGACCCTGTACTCAAATGTTGTCGAGTCTTGGAACTCGAACATGCGGCTCGGCGCTCTGCTTCGTTCGCCCTCCGTGTTTTTCAGAGCATGAAGCTGACTGACTAGTTGATCTTCACGGGCTTCAAGATCCAAAAGTCTATTGTTTAGATGCAAAGTCAGCACGGCTACCCCAGTCGTGCTGCGTTCGGGATCGTGCTTTGGCTGGAATTTCTGCCTGCAACTTTGGAAAAATTGACTGTGCGTGGCCGTAATACATTTTCAGCCGCATATCAAATCGATTCAATGACTGATGGTGAAATTATGGCTAGTGAGACTTGGATCAGGATGCGTTGTCCTTGAGATGACTCGTGTTAAGGGACATTTTTCGGGGTGCACGGAGGAGAAAGTTTGATTTGACCACTCAAGGTCTGTCAACCTTCAAATTCTCTAGGCCGTCAACTTCGTCGACGAGCTCGAGATCATCAAATGCCTTGTCTGCATCTGCTTTGATCAACTCGATCATGCCCTGGTCAAAATTAGGCTACCGTAACGGTCGATCCCAAGAGTAGGTACTGACCTCAGGCATGATAGGCTTCCCCGATTGATCTGCCACGTATCGAAAAGGCATCTCGGTGGATTCGTGTTCGTCCAGCTTCAACTCCGGAAAATCTGTATATGGGATTTTGGCCAAAGGGACTATCCCAACAGTCAGCATGGACCAATTAGGCACTGGAAACTGTGGTCGCCATACTCTGGTCCAGGATAACGATCCGCGTTACTCGTACAGCTGTGTCTGTGGTCATCTGTTTGGGCCCTAGCCGGCGTCCGGTGAAGCCCTTCTTTCGTAGTTCACTGGTGCGGTCTAATGCTGTTAGACAAATCCCATCAACAGAGCATGCGCGATCTGATATGTTACCTCGTGGAGGGTCGTCGCCTGTATCGATTGTTAGACATATAATGCAAGAATACCAGCATTTTCTTACCTAGTATGCCTCCAAACAAGAAAACATCAAAGACTGCAGCGTCGGAGGGGTCAAGCTCCTGCTCGGCCGCAGGATCGAGGAGACAGATTTTTTCTTTTTTGCTGGCAAAATATGCCTCAACACTGTCGCTTCTGGCCTCCGCTCCCACGCTTTGCAAGTGCTTGAGATCTTGGGTTTCTAGCAGAGACGGAGGGACTGAAGACAGGATGAAGCGACAGTTTTGCTGCTTGGATTCTTTGGCGATGGTTTTGTATTCCAACGCAGACCAAGGGCCGACTTCTGGGTCGAGGTGTTCCACGACAAAGGTGTAGGTTAGATTTGGCATTGTGGTTGGCTGCCTGTATATGTTATTGTCTTGTCATGTCAGACCCTAGGCATCTCCCAGCTAAGGTTGTATGGAGTCCGGATACAAAACATGTGTTGCCCAGGAGCAACGGTAAAGAAGCGAACAAATTGGAGGTGGAAGGTGGTGGTAGTCAAGTGCGGCCAATGGGGGCGATGATGTCTAAGCTGGAGCTGCCAACGTCACCACGCCTGACGTAGCCGGCGACAGCACCGAGATAGGCACCTAGACACCTAAAGTGCCCCTAAGGCCCCTGCCATGCCGCTGCTGCAAGCACCTGGAGTGTTTGGAACAAGCCCAGACACTGGACACTGGACAGCCCTCGTACCGCAGCCAACCATTCACACCAATTATCCCCCAGACTACTGAAACTCCTACTGTACCGAAGGCCAAAGCACAACACCACCGTCACCTCTACTACTACTGTACTACCACCACCACTGCCGTACTCTCCTCCCCTTCGTCAGTTGTGCTTCTCTCTGAAACAAAATAACCACCAACCCCACCTCATCCTTGCCCAAAAATTCACTTGCTCGTCGTATCGCTTCAGCAACGAAACTCGCTCACAAGTTCGACGCTGGACTCTCTTGGCTGTATCTGCTCAACCTGATCTGCACCACTCTACGGAAACAGTCCCAATAGACGTCAATTCTCTCATATTTCGCTGGTGACGACCAAACGGCGCTCGGGCCCTTGTTTTGACAGACCCCTCCTCCATCACCCAACTTCACGCACCAGCAACAAGAAGACAGGCGATAAGCACAGTTTACCACCGATATTTCTTGCCAGGTGCCCTCCGGTAGACGCATACTTCTCAGGATTGCCAGACTCCGAGCTCCAAACCCCATTTGCCTGTCCAACCAAACGACTAGCAAGGGTCGCACCCTTCGCAACATCAAGAACCAGAACCGTCAAAACATTCCCAACCACAGGCGGAAAGAGAAGCTAGGATGAATCCACACCAGAAGAACAAGATTGACATCACCGTATGCTAGCCTGCTGCCCCGATCTCTCACTGCAGGACGAGGACTGACAACCTTCCGTTAGAAAATGTCGGCGGATGAGCAGCGTCTCTTCCGACTGTACGGGAAGCTACCAAACAAGAAGGATTTGTTGCAGAACAAGTTGAAGGTAACGAATCGTCCCATGCTGCACGATCATCTCAGATTCTAATTTCCGCTGTCAGGAACGCAAGTATTTCGACTCCGGCGACTACGCGCTCTCGAAAGCCGGCAAGGCCTCTGACACAGGTGTCACCACGATCGGTACCGAGCATCCTAAAGCCGAAGAGATTCCACACACAAGCCCTTTGATGCACACCATTTCGCGCAATGACTCGGTCTCTGGCGCCTCGGGCTCCGCGGCCTTCGCAACCAGTCCAGATGGCCAACATATGCTGCCGGGCGTAGGACTGCATCGTGGCAGCATCAATGGGATCCCTGGAGGTGGGCTGTCTGGCTCGACCAGCCACAGTCCCGTCAAAGAAAGCAGCTATTTGGCCAGGAGCTCTAGCATCGAAGAGGATGACGGAGGCAATGTCCAGGACCCTGAAAATACCCCAACAAGTGCCCTAGAAGGGGGTGTTAGTCCCCCAGCTAGGAAGGAGGGCATCCCCATCCGAAGATGATCACCGCGTATGCAGGACCATACCACGGCATTTTCTAGGAAGGGAGAAGGGTGTATGACGAACCCGGAGAGACTATGATCAGATCCCACCACGACGATACTGGATGGCAGAAGGTTCATGGGCAAGAAGCTCGGCTGAATTCTGCATTATGTGTTGAAATCTGCTGGATCGGACGACGTTGACAGGACTGGCAGAGGTTAGGCTGTGGCGAGAACATCACCCTCTTTCAGTGACACTATTCAGAAAGTCGGCAGAGACACCACTCTCCCAAAAACAGTCCTTACAGACCTGACCACCCACTATGTTACGTTTTGTTATGTGTCATGTTCATGACAATGGGCCGCGGTGCTTATTACCGGGAGATGGCGTTCTTTTGCGCTTGTCTGCAACTTAGGTATTCAGATGTCCCACAGTCATCTGTCTCGCAGACTCTTTATTTGTGTATGGGACCAACGTATCCGCGAGAGACGAGTGGTGGCAAAAAAAGGCAACCTCACTGGAGTTAACTACTTACTGTAAGTTTGTGGGGGGCCAGATAGCAATCGAAGATTCAATCAAACTCCGCATCCTCACTGTGCTGATGCTTTTCTGTGCGTGGATTCAAGAGCTCGACCCTGTTTAGACTGAGTGCGATTTGAATTTGAATTTGATTTCGATTTCGATTTCGATTCTGGGGCGAGTTTCAATATCAATTCCTATTTCTAGCGTACTCAGAGCGGGTGGAAGCCTTCACAACCTCGCAGAGCGGATAGTCGCACTGATCCACGCCAGTTCGACTTTCACTCATCAGACGCATAATGTGTGGACCAATCGCCGGTCTGCAGTCTTCGAATAAATCGGGCTTGCCGTGCGACAGTTTCAACTCGAACCTGCTTGCCCGGCAGTCCACGCAACCCTTGATTGGGTTCGGTCAACGGACACCTTTCTTCCCTTTCCATCGCAGGCAGCTTCCTCCACTTCATATCGCCGCCAGGCTCAGCTTTCCTAGCAACAGCTCGTGTGCGTACTTGTAGGACCCTTTGAGACGGTGTCATTGTCAATCTGTGGTTCTCACCATTTTGTCCCGTTGCGCAACAAACCCACCCAGTCCCGTATGCGATCTCGAGTCGAGTGATACAGGTGTGGTTGTTTGATGGTGTGAGGCCGAGTTGTCTTCTCGCTCGCCGTCACGGAAATGCGCTTTTGGCCCTGTTATTCGAGCAAATTCAAAAGGCCGACCAGCGCCATCTCGGTCCCGTGCCGCTCGTCGAAAACAAATTGGACTCTAAATTGAGAGTCTTTCGTCTTTGAGTAAGTTCTCTTGCATGGTAAGATTGTTTTTTTGGCCCGCCTCCTATGCTCAATCGACCTTCCAGTGCCCGCCATCAATATCATCTTCTTGGCCAAGCCATAATTCGACCGCATACAATCCCATCGTCCCAATCAGGTTAACCCATTTCCACAGGTTTCCATTCATCCCAGGTTGGCCATTGCCGCTCCACCAAGCCTCGATAGTCTCAGTAAGGCCTGGAGCATAACCGCCCATTGTGGTTGCGAAATGTTGCATAAGAAGACTGGTGTAGACCGCAATAAGAATGCTTGGTGAGAACCATGACAGAAAGGCAAGGAATTGGTTTCCAGCGTTGGTATCGTCGAGGGATGGTTCCATGCTCAGGATTCGCGCTCCGCTTTCGTTGACGGCCGGGATGATGCGAGTTGAGGCGTAGAAGACGAACAGTCGATACCCGAGTGAGATAAGTACTGATGGTGTGACAGCCTTGAAAGCAGCCGCTGTGAAATCCAAGGCGTTGACAAGCACTCCGGGGAGTGAGGACAGGGCGTGCATGATTGCGGTGTAGGAAGACATGATAATTGGCGGAAAGGGCGGAAAATCGGGAGCTGAAGTTGCGGCACTGGCCTCAGAACCGCTGGGGTTGGGCTTGTAGTCGGTAAAGATTTGGTAGATGCACAACACAATGTAGGCGAAAAGGAGAGATGATTCGACTGCCGTGCCACGCCCCGAGACAACGCCATATGCACAAAGAAATATGGCAGAGGCAATGGCAATACCGATGAGGGTGGAATCAAGGTTTGAGATATCGGGGAACTGTAGAACTCGCCATAGGAAGTAGACCGAGCTCGATACGACGCCAGCTGCGGTCACCAAGAGCGTCAGTAACCAGGCATCACTCCACTCGCTCCTGTTGACCAGCCATCTCGAGAGTTGTCCGACTGCTTGAATGACCAGCAAGCTGCAGAAACCTTCGAGCAGTTGGAAGACCGGTGACGACCAGCGCAGCAGCAGATCCCAGCCTCCGATGGCGGCATTTTCGAGCAGGCCTTCCGGTCCGAAGATGGAATCACGGAAACTTGGATGCGACTTGACAAAGCCGGTCTTCGGCTGGAAAGTTCTTTCAACCCAGCCTCCACTGTTGTTTGCATCCACCGAGAACCTTCCCAGCGCCCAGATACACAGCCCGGGCAGGACGAGCCATTGTAGACCCCGCAAGATATTTATGATTGTCGACCTAAATCTTGATCCATCAGGAGTAGAAATCCGTAGGAGGGAGACGATGAAGTAGAAGGAAGCGATCGACAGAGAGAATGCGAGGCCAGCGTCGCGCCCACCGATGTCGAAGGTGAGGGGTATCAATAGGATGATGAGAGTTAGAAAGAGCAATGCCGAGAACGCCCGGATGAACATTCGGTCGGTGGAATGAGGGCTTGACGTAGTGACAAGTGACAGTGGTTGACGCGATGTAGAGAAGAGACGTTGTTTGTAGTTCTCATAGGCGCGAAAGTTGCAGCCGTCGATACACTGGGTTGTCCTTATGGCAAGACGGGTCTGGTAGAAGTCGCAGTGTTGTCGGTGTCGCAATTTCACATGTCATTCCGACTGCAAAAGGCACAGGCGGGTTGCAGGCAAGAAGATGAGAGAACTTGCTCTTTGCTGATACACAAGAGATTCGGAGGTTTGAGATGGTGAAAGGAACGGATATGCAGGTGGAGGTAAGCAGAATGGTCGCGTGAATTGCGCGAGTCAAATTGAAGCCTTGAGGCCAGGGTGCGCAGGGCCAAAAACAAGGCAGTAGAAAACTATCCCTGGAAGTAAAATTGGTCCACTCTCGTCGTCACTACCACTGCAGTTGCTTGTTCATAGCAGAATCTCTACGACCGAGTAAGAGAGAGAACAAAAGAGAGTGTGTGTGCAGCACCAAAAGACGTGTGCATCTAGCCAAGCTGCTACACTCTGTCCATCCCTCACTACTCATCATTTACTTTCTTCACCGCAAGGATCAAGCGAACAAGTACGGTGGGTTATATTCCTCTACTAACTTGATTGACTATTAGTTCCCTCTGAAGAATGGATCTTGGCTCTTCCACTATATCTCGAAACAGTTTGGCACGACCGGACCCCTTGTCTAGGCGATGCGATACTGCACCACAGACCAGATGGAGGAGAAAGAGCGGAAGAGACTGCGTGTCAGAGGTAAAAAGAGAGAAGAGAGTCGGCTGCAAGGGCTTGTAACGAACAGGACAGAGAGGAATTTACAATGGAGGCTGGACCAGACTGTACAAACACTCATGATCAGTACCCTTATCTTATGGCCAGGAGTGTTCGGTATGTGTACTCCGTACTCTGTTAATTATGGCGTACAGAGGCGAGAGTATGAGACCACGTTTACGGATGTCGGCGAAACCATTGATCCGGCAAATCCCCAGATCTTGGCTGCGATCGTGTAAAATAATGAATGAGATCTTCCGCAATTGTCTGCAACGACAAAGCCCCCCCTCTCTCTACAAATTCAAAGTCTCTGTGTATGTTTCGTAACTTGGTCAAAATGGCCGCCGATACTGCTGCGAAGAGAGTCAAGCCTGATCCGAGGATCATCGGCACCCACAATGGCCATTTCCACGCCGACGAAGCCCTGGCCGTGTATATGCTTCGTCTCCTCCCCGACTACGCCTCGGCTGCTCTGGTCAGGACACGAGAGCCTACCCTCCTTGAAACTTGCCACACAGTGGTTGATGTTGGTGGAGAGTACGATGCCTCCAAAAACCGCTATGACCATCACCAACGCACTTTCGACACAACCTTCCCCGACCACAAGACCAAACTCTCATCTGCCGGACTCGTCTACATGCATTTCGGGAAGGCCATTATTGCACAGCATACCAAACTGCCGATCGATCACCCTGACGTCGACATACTCTACCGAAAATTGTACGACGATTTTATCGAGGCAGTGGACGCGAATGACAATGGAATCTCAAAATACGAAGATTCCCTGTTGCAGCAAGCTGGCATTGAGAAGAGGTTCAAAGATGGAGGGATCACACTTCCTAGCTTAGTGAATGACCTGAACCATGAAGACCCGCTGGCTGTAGGCGCGCCTTCGAGGGACACCGAGGATCAACCTCAGGCAGAAGAAGACCACCGTTTCTCACAAGCCTCTGCCCTTATGGGCAAGGCATTTCTCCGCAAACTCCACGGTGCTGCTACAGCATGGCTGCCTGCTCGGACACTCGTCAAAGATGCGTTCAACGCCCGTTCGGACGCGCATCCTTCGGGCCAGCTTCTAGTCTTGCCTCGTGCCGGCATTCCTTGGAAGGAGCATCTCTACAATATCGAGGAGGAAGCAGGTCTTCCGGCTGACCAGACCGTTCTATACGTGATATATCCCGAAAAGGAGGAACCAGGCTCGAAATGGAGGATACAGGCTGTCAGCAAAAACCTGTCGAGCTTCGAAAACCGCAAAAGTCTGCCGGAGCCATGGCGCGGTGTCAGGGATGCGGAGCTGGACGCGGTCTTAGGCAGTGATGTCGAGGATGGCGCCGTTTTTGTACACGCAAGCGGGTTCATAGGAGGCCACAAGACAGAAGCTGGAGTTCGGGCTATGGCTGCATTGGCTCTGGCCTCGTGAGTGCGCGAGGGTTACATACATTCACACTCTCGCCAAAGGAAGCGTGTCGAGTCCAAGACTTGGCCACAACTCGTCTTGCGGCTTCCGTCCAGAGGTCGGTCAATCGAAGAGGGTGGTTCCAAGCAAAGAAGGACATCGAGAACGGAGTGGTATTCTGACAAAAGGCTGCCTTTACAACAGATTGCGAGTAGTGAATGTCGCTATCCACCTCTCTCTGGCAGGAAGTGCGGCTATAGCGGCTGGCTTTCATGGGGGAGCAAAGGCTCGGAGTGTGGCTACCTCTCAAAAAGAGCACTGATCTCAGCTTGGAGCATGAAGAGGAGCAGCACTACGTCTTGCTCATGCTGGCAGATGTTGTAAGTCCTCATTGATCATGACGCGAGACGAAGGAACTGCATGGGGGATATTGGGAACAGCGCGCAAGGCTGAAGATGGAGGAAAGGCTGGATGCTGCCCCTTTCCTCCAAGACTTTGATTTGACCACTCGTGATTGGGTCGGATACTGGTGACGTCATACACGGTCGTCACAGATGGACTTTTGAGATCCATTCACTGACGGCACCAAAACCATAGCCAGCCTGAGTATGAATATCACAGCTGCCTTTTCTACCTCTTGAGAATGAACAAACACTATCTGCTCTTCCTGTAACCTCCTATCCGCCCTTTTATTTCTTCGTGCACCTAGACTGCTACCATACCGACCATGGCCTCTACCCAAGACCTCCATATTTCGAATCTGTTCTCGCTCAAAGGTCATGTCTGTCTCGTGACTGGAGGAGGTATGGACAACCGATCATTTTCTAGATCCAGAGTGTCGATTGGGCTGATTCAATTGACCACCTAAGGCACCGGTATTGGGCTTATGGCCGCTCAAGCTCTCGCTGCAAATGGTAATACTTCAATGGCTTCTGCCAACCGGGGTATGTCCACTGACCTTTTCCCCCAGGAGCCAAAGTCTATATTACAAGCCGAAGGAAGGAGGTTCTAGAAAACGCCGCGCAGAAACACAGCCCACAATCGGGCGACTCGAACCTTGACGGGCAAATCATCCCCATCGGCCCGTGTGACGTGACCAAGAAGAGCGACCTCGACCGGATCACTGCCGAGCTGGAGTCCAAGGAGAAATACCTGTCGCTAGTCGTCGCAGCTGCCGGGGTCTCTGGGCCCAAGGGACACCCGGACACGAGCGATGCTGCTCAGTTGAAGGCGCAGTTGTGGGAAGAGGACCCGGACGCCTGGAATTCCACGTACAACACCAACGTGACCAGCGTGTTCTTTTCGGTGGTTTCATTCCTGCCACTCCTGCAACGTGCACCCAAGGAGCAGAGAAGCAGCGTCATCGTCATCTCCAGCATGTCCGGCATAATGCGTGACTCGCAAGCCCATTTCAGCTATAACGCTGCCAAAGCCGCCACAGCACATCTCTCGCGCATGATGAGCAAGGAGTTTGCCAAGACCGGGATCCGGGTGAACAGCATCGCACCAGGGTACTTTCCTTCCGAAATGACCATGAAGGATTCCGACGAGCGGAATAAAGCGCACATGCCGGAGGAGAAGGTCAAGGACAAGGGCCACGAGGTGCCGGCAGGCCGGGCGGGGAGCGACGAGGAGATGGCAATGGGAGTGATATTCCTGACCAAGTGCGGCTATGTCAATGGCGAGGTGCTCAAATTGGACGGCGGTGTCTTGAACGAAGTCGGAGGTAGTTGAGAACACCAGATGGTGTGTTGACGGCCTCGGTACCAGTGTAGTTGCAGGTTTGTGAAGCGGGAATGGGAGAAGAAGAAGAAAGTGGGCTAGACGTACATGATTTGTCAGAGCTAGGAGCAAGGTACACAAGCCGTGCATGGAATTTGTCTCACTGCTACTACTGTTGCTGTGGAGGTTGGCTCATCCGTCAGTCAGTAATGCTCCCAGATGCCACGACTGGCCACCTCGCCTATATTGCCATCCACATCGGCGAAATAGACGCTTCGCCCACCACGCGGCCAGTCAACCTTGCCTAGGATCTTGACATTTTTCTCCTCCAACCATTTCTCCCACGCGCCCACGTCATCTGGCGACTGCACAGCGAAGCAGAAGTGCTGGTGTAAGCTTGCTTGGCTTGGTGAGGGCCGACCATTACCATCATCATCATCACCACCACCACTAACAACCGCCTTGGAGGTCAGGAGATCGACGACGTTCTGTGTTGGACCATGGCCGGGAATGGTGCCGCGGTTGTCAGGCATGGGCGAATCAGCAGCGGTTGCACCAAGCTGGAAGAGTAGGAGTGTGGTATGAGCGAAAGAGAAGCCGGACATGCGTGGCTTTGTCGATACATCAGTCAATTGACGAGGAAAGAAAGACATGTCACGCTTGGTGGAAGTCGAAGAAACCGAAACCGAAACCATAATCGTCTCACCGACGGGGACGGGGACGGGGTCCAATGCCACTTACAGTGTTTAAAAAAGGCGCCACGTTGAACACGTCCTCGTAGAAGGCGGTGGCCGCCTTGAGGTCTTTGGCCTGCAAACACGTCTCCAAGATATGTGTGATGGGAGGTGGAGGTGGAGGCGGAGCCGGAACCGGGATGTCCAGCTTGCTCTGCTGGCTCGTCGTGTCCTGCTGGGCCGTCATCTCCCGCGAAGCTGCTTTGCGCTGGTCCTGGGGCACCAGGCAAGATGTTGTCGAGAAGAGCGACCTGACCGGCGGGGTGGATGTGCTCGTCACTGTGGAAGAGATGATGGCTGATCGAGTCCGTAGAGCCGGTCGTTGCGGTGTAAAGGGAAAGGTACGAGCGGTGGTGGTATGTGTAGTCGTGGCAGCAGCAGTCTTGATCCAGCTCGATGCTCGTTTCATGTCACCATCTTGTTCCCCGCCGCTGTCGTCGGCGGGGTGTCAGAAATCCCTGGTACCGTTGAGCTCGGTCCCTACGAGGGATCCATGTCGCTTGGATCCTTGTGGCTGACCTCTCGTCCGGCTTTATTACAGCAATTGAAATGGAGAGAACGTCGACAGAACAGCAACGAAACTCGGGGTCGATCAGCGGGGGAGCCTCACGTGGCCGATAATTAGTCATTATGCATACGAGTGCAGCCTTAGGGTGGGTGCCAGAATTAAAGGCGGTTTGTCCAACTGCTACTTCGATAAGATTAGGGAAACCTCCAATTCTACCGAAGAATTATCTTTCTAAGATACTAGATATATTCTGCGGCCTCCTAGAGTGACTCTGCTATTTCTCGTATCGAACTTCTATATCTAGAGACAGTAGCTGTCTACTTAACAGAAGGACCGCCGTATAATCCGCCATGTATTTTGGCACCAAGGCTTAGCCTCGTGTTCTCCATTTCCACTTCTTTCGATTCTACGGTTGTGATTCCTGTTCCTTCTTCACGAAGGCTATCATGTCAGCGTATTCAGGGAAAACGATAGGTTTCTCTAAGTGTAGTGCAAACAAGGACGATGCAATCCTGACAGGGTGACCGATAGGAAGAACGGTTTCACGAGACGAGTCATGGAGCTCTATATTTTCTATACTGCTGTTGTTCGACATGTCCATCAAGTTGGGTCACCTCAACTTCTTTGCTTCCCCTGTAACACTTCCATTTGCACTTCCATTCCCGGCCCTGCTGTTCGATTTTGCCTCTGGTTCCGAGACCTTCACGATTTCGGGCAAGCGAAAGATGCTTGGCCAATCCATCCGGTAATGCTCTTGATCGCCGTTGAGGATGTGTCTCAGGTGAATGCCCCAGACAATGTAGCAATAGGCGCCAATCCCCGTCATTAAATGCCACCAACCGTGTCCTTCCAGAAGGAATCCCCAGGGCATACCAATGGCACGGCGCCAACCTCTCAAAGTCGAGCAGTACTTATTGTCTAGGCCCCAAAGGCCAAACCCACCCAGGAAGATGGACACACCAAAGCCGACGAGAAACCACATGTTCTTGAGGATAGCCATGTCTCGTTTGTTCTCGTAATCTTGTTGCTGTTTCGACAGTGCCGGCTGATTTTGTTTTTCGCGCTCGAGGCGATGCTTCTCTTCCGTCCGTCTCAAGGAGGGACGTAAACTGTACTCCATGCTGTAAAGGCTTCGGAACACGATGAATACCGTCAATGCGGCATAGACACTCTGGTGGAATGTTGGATCTTGAAGATAGTGGTAGTAGACCGTAATGAAGGCGCAGAAAAGAACCAAGAAAACTGCAAGAGCCACTTGTACCTGCGAGGAGCGTGAGTATGAAAGACTGGCGTATGCCATGAGGCACGTTGTGTAGATCATGTTCAACTCGTCGACCAATTGCCAGGGATCTGCTTGGGTCAGAATTGTGAGGATTGCCAGGACAGGTCCATTGGACAGCATACATTTCAGTGTGGTATGAAACATGAAGCTCCCAAACCCCACGAGAAGATATCCAAAATATGAGACCTCAAAGACTTTATCGTGGCCATATTTCCTGCAGCTCTTGACTCCCTTACACGCCAGGTATATGAAGATGAGGTTGGTCAAGGTATTGATGATCTCGGCGGAATAGTACGTGGCATAATAATCCTGCGGTCCACTGGTCGGTGATTCTATTCCACGGAAGGTAGGAGCTTTTTGCCTACCTCTTCACACCATTGGAGAGTTGACGTGACCGGATCCCAGTAGCCAGGCTGATCGGGAGGAGGATAGGGGATCGAGGGAAGCCATGATGGCATTCTTGCAGCAGAGACGTTCCGAACAAACCGAGGGTCCCTAGGTTCAAATCGAGATCATCTTGCAAGGCAGACAGGTAAGGACTCTACAGCGTCTTAAGAAACTCGGATGTGGAGGGATCGGTACAAACGACTTCGTAGTAACAAACACAGAGCAAATACATGCAGTGATGGAGCACCAATTTGTCTCGAGATCCGTTTGTCGTTGCTATTATCACCACGACTGAAAGAGAGTCTTTTTTGGTTAGAACAGTCGGACTGCAATCAGGGCATGACGTATTAGGCTTAGGAGGCTAAGGGGCTTAGGGTGTGTGCCAGAATTAATGGCGGTTCATCCAACTGCTACTTCGACAGTATTAGGGAAGCCTCCAGTTCTACCGGATGATTATCTTTCTCAGATACTAGATATCCTCTACGGCCTCTATATCTAGAGATATGAGCCGTCTACTTAATGGAAAGACCGCATCGTAAGCCGCTTCTATTTTGGCCACTGAGCCCACCAGCCAAATGAAACCCGTTCTCCGCACTTCTGCGGCCAAATCTACCGCCCGCCAGACGGCGCCTAGCCACATATACATTCTTCTGAGGCAGTAATATCTCAAAATAGATACTTCCATGCTATCGAATGGCATCCAGGCGCCTCCTGCAGCCTGAGGCGGCAATGGCGAGCTCCATACTCCTCATGGAGACTGCTTTTGCCTACAAAAACTCTTCAAACCCCGTGGTCAAAACCCGTGGTCAAGCCTCGAGTCAACCTGAAAGTCCTTCTCATAATCACCTGAAATTTCCACCGAAAGAAATCAGTTCATCTCAGAGACTGGTTTGAAAATGCCCGGGTCCGTGCGGTCTACCACTATCCTGCCACGCCATCATCGGCATGCATCTATAACAATCAAAAGCGACGAGAGCGAAAGACCAGACTCATTCGGCGCTTCAGACTACCGCTCTACAACTCTTGAACCCCACAACATCATTGTTGAGGACCAGCAAATGGACGATGACAGATGGTGTCGACTGGCGTTCGCCCTGGGTATGCCGTACGGAGAAGTCAGACGTCCTAGTCCGGATGTCACGAAGTTTGCCCAACAGGTCCGAGCCCGAAAATCCATTAGCAGCAAGGAGATGACAGGGCTTTTGGCTCCATTACTGCTGTCGTTGGTGAAGCGACACAAGTTGATGAGTTGTCGGGCTAACACCATCTTCCCTCGGGATGGTGTTCCCGATGAAGTGCCCGATTTCGAGATCGAAGAAGGGTGGAAAATGCAGCTTCCAACCCCTAGACCTACATTCACCCTGGGCTATTCATCCCGTGCTTTTACCTCCCACCAGCTCGACCTACAGCAGGGCATCATTGCCAACAACAAGAACGAGCCGTGCGATCTCCACAAGCTCTCTCAGCCCATAGCGGATGTCTACTGGCCCTTCTTCGTTTTCGAGATTCAAGAAAGATCCATGCTTGCAGCACGTAATGCTTGCGCCGGGTCGGCGGCAACTTGCAACAATGCACTCATGGTCTTCGCTGGTGCTGTCCAAGAGCCTGCGAAATACTATCATGACATGAGTTTCCTGTGGAACTTGAGCAAGGCGGTTCAATCCTTCTCGCTCTCAATCAACGGCAAGACGGCGTGTCTTAACACACACAACTCGGAAGGCTGTTTACCCCACGCTGTGGCAGTTATTAAGACATACCGCCTCGATGATGAGAGGGATGTCGAGGCCATGGCTGCGCGGATCAGCAGTATCATGGTGTGGGCAGAAAATAACAGAATTCGGTCAATCCATGAGTTGTTAGATGCCTTCGATCAAAGGGTCCAACTTGTGAAGAACCCTCTGTCCAAAACCGAAGACCTGTATGCTCCGTCCGAGCTTCTCAATTTTGGCGTCGCTCCTCGATCACGAAGAAGTGTCATCAAAAACGTGCTGGCAGAGAGCTTACCGCGCTGGGCACGTGAATTCTGACCTCAAAACGTCGGGCTTGTACTCCGTAGTGCTACGCGCCATGGCTTACTACTTCACATGGCTGACACGGTAGAGAGTGACAGGGTGGTTGGCGAGATCACACATTGGAATTCTACACAGCGCGGGGGTCAAGACGGAGTTTGCACGCATGGCACATGTAGAAATGACAAGAACAGTGTGATATTAGACCTCGCAGCGCCAATTAAGGACTGTTGCTATTAGTCCGACTACTACGTAGGTACTCCATACAGCTGTCTCATGGGGCCTCCTTAGGGCTATTTTCGGCGGCTTGGTGAGGGTGGGCGGATCCAAATGTCTGGAGAACGAGACTGGGGAAAGCGTGACGGTGCGACATGGCCACCTGCGACCTCATGGCCACCTGCAGGCATGCAGCCTGTTTTGGCAGTGTCCGTATTTCTACATGCCTGATCGCTTGCTCGCTTGCAACGCTTGCACGCTTTGTCACTGGACTTCCCAGCTACCTCGCCACTTCATTCGCTGCGAGCAGGTCACTCCGGCTCCGACTCCGACTGCACAAGCGCTGGCAAGGCCTCCTAAGCCCGGGGCCCTCAGGCTTTCAACACATCAGTCCACCTGTCGAAATCCTATCAGAGTTCCCCATTAACCGCCCGCCTCGTTTCATCTTTCATCACCTCATTATTCCTGCATCGTTATTCTTGGGTTCATGCGCTTTAGTCGCTTCTTGAGACGTGCAGGCCCCGATTCTCACCGCTGACGAGTGAACCCTCGATGTCTGCGCCTGATCACCCGTCAATGAAGAGTAGGCCGTGCAGCACGGTCACTTGGGCACTCGAACCCCCTTAGCTGTTCTACCAGCCACCTACCAACCACATTTGAACAGAACCGACACTTCTGAGTGGCATCCTTACCAAAGCCAGGATAGACGAGCAAGGGACGGCGCTACGATGGCGTGCCAACAGAGCTTCGCGCCTCATGATACGGCGCAAAGGCAAGAATAACCCGCATGCTGCTCCCCTGCTGGTGCTGCTGTTCACTCCCGGGGTCAACCACATTCACGCCTGGAGGCTGACCGGCAAGGGAGATGGGCGCTTACGGATGTGGATGATGGGAGCTGCAGTGCCGGGCTTCAGGACAATTCTAAAAGCCTATCATCCCCTCCTGATGCCATCAGACTGCTTCCTGCAGAGCCATCTTACTGAAGTCAATCTCGTACTATGGCCTCGATACTCCTTTGCCTCTGACAACCCACATCCATCCAGAACTTGTTGACACCTCCAGAGCTTGCCATACAAGCCGTCGAGTTAACGACTCTGTCCATCCCAGCCATCACTCAGGCCGCACGCATTGCCAGACAACAGTCCGCAGACAGTATCCATACTCCCGTACAGTCATGTCTCTCAACAGCGAGCGGGTCGAGGTCGACCCAGTCCCTTCAGAGCCTACAATCTCTAAAGAGGCGGATCTGCCGCCGTCCGCATATGACGGCAGCCATCTGCATTGGAAGGCTTTTCGTCAACATGTGCTTGGGCCACACCGCATCAGGATCATAGATTCACCCCCCAAGGAGAAAATCCCCACAGCCCTTGTGGCGATGATCGAGGCGGAAATGCCCAATGCGGCCAGATTTGGCGAGCTCAAGCAAGCCTTTGGGGAGCAAGTCGAGACAGGGCGTGGATTCGGACCGTCTCCTATCTTCCCTCCGAATCTTCTTCCGCCTATCGACGACGAACCCAGACTTGCCCGTTGTATGATTCCCTGCTTCAGCCGCGACATCCTTCCAGAGCGCGCTCTCAACCAGATGGGCCCCTTCTTCGAACTGCAAGTACCTCGATCCGGGCTTGGATGTGGTTTCTCCTGTTCTGCCTTGAGCCCGGAAGATGTGGCTAGTCTTCCTTCTTGGCTCGTTACCACTGGGACCGTTGTCCACTTCGACACCGGCTATATCTCCCCTGGCGCGGCTCTCTACTGCCCTTTCTTGACCTTCGAACGGGCGTACGGTGAAAAAGAACAGCGCTTTGAGGCTGCCAACAACCAAAGCGCAGTGGGCGGAGCCTGTTGCGTCAGGGCTCTCCAGATGCTTTACACGAGAGCTTGGAAGGGGCAAATCATGCCCGAGCTGCCTGTGGCCTTTTCGTGTGTCATCGACAATACCTTCGCAGTCCTGAATATCCACTGGATTGACCACGGGCAGGCCTATTTGATGTCGCCCTTGTGCAAGTTTGACCTTAGCAAAGACGATCATTTCACCTCCTTTCTTGTCTGGGTCGATTCGATCGGCAAATGGGCCCTGGCACATCTGCTCCCATTGGTAAAAACTGCTCTGGAACGCTTGCGCTCCGAAGAAGACACGCCTCCGCCCACTCCACGCGCTACGAGACTGACGCTAGATACTGGCGGGTGCCCCAACGATATGCTTATCAAGTCTCTGAAGACGACTTTCGACAACATCCCTTGGAGGTTTGAAGACGACGAATTCACGCCTGTGAGCAGCAGCACTGCCAGCTGGGGCAGCCCAATGACCACAGACATCGGCTCGAATGTGGTCTTTCCGACACAGAATCCGCGCACGGTGGCAGGCACTCCTACTTCTGCCGTTCAAAGGCGACAGTACCTTGCACAGCTAGGTCAGCATCCCACACCTCCACCGGCTTATGCTCAGAATCCTGAACTTGTGTGGCAGAAACGGTTCTCCCACGCCATGGACGAGGTCCGGGATCTGCAACGTCAACTGCTAGTCCTGAAGAACGACGTCAGTGGATCGAATATGTCCTTTCAGAACGAGTTGTCTGGTATCAAGACGACCATCAACTCGCTACTGAGAAAGGAGACCTTCACGCTCCGGAACAGGTCGTTGTCTATGGGGATCCAAGAGACCTGGTCGATACAGAACAACGTACCCCGAAGCCCACTAGTCAACGAAGTCCGTCCCCGGCCAGCATGGATTCCTGAGAAGGCTTTCAGATTCGCGACCGACAAGAACGCCAAAGCCTCAATCTTTACGGCTGAGAAGAACGTCTCTATCCCGCAATCTCCAAAAGGCTTGTCCTCAGGCCTTCCCTCTCCTGGCCTCCCATCTCCCGGCCTCCCATCGCCGGGCATGCCGTCTCCCACCTTTTCGATTAATAGCGAGGCCAACATGGTCATCATTCGCCCGCCCCGCCCAAGTCTGCCTCGCTGTTGCGGTTTGCGGGCATCATGGTGTCGGGCCATCTACTGGGCAGCTTTATTCCCAACACGCTCCTGCGGGTTCTTTTCTTGGGATGTGTTACAGACGTATGCATGTTGGCCTTCGTCAGCCCCCATTATCCCAGTTCGGTCGAGTACCTGCTGTCATTGTGGCGGTCGCGGTGATCTTGCTTCTTTGTCACCTTGTGCTGTGGCGCGAACTGATCACGAAGGTCTGATGCTCTTGTATGGCAAGACCCCCGCGGGTGGGCAACGTCTGGTTCTCTGCGGGGAATCTACCAGCTACGGCTCGAGCCATGGCTGGATGGATGCAACATTTCCGCGTTGCAGCACATTCCTTCTTTTGGTCTATGTTCTATTGGCGGCGGCGTTGGTGGTTGCAAAACTCCGGGATTCGAAATGGGTCGGACTATGTACGGATCTTGAACTGTAGGAAGCAAGCGACCGACTATTCAGCTCGGGGAGGGGCTTATTTGTGAGTCTTCTATGGCTTCAGAGCATTACATTTGTAGCAAAGCGCTAAAGTGCTCTCAGCTAGGAAGAACGATATCCTACAACTTTGTAGAGTGCCACGCTCACTATTATGAATAGCTGATCTCTATAGTCCGTATGTAAATATGAGCGATGATCAGGCACGTCCTCACTACGTCCCTACCACAGTCTCTTCACTAAAAGCAAATATTGTCTAAGGCGGCTGAGGCCTCGATCCTCAGGCGACGCCCAAGCAGATCCTTGGCAATTGGTCGACGAGTTGAACACTACGACTCGTCTCATGAAACCGTTCTTGCTATCGATTACCCTGTCGGGATTCCATCGTCTCCCTTTGCACGACACTTGGAAACCCCTATCCTTTCTAAGATACTAGATATACTCTACAGCCTCTCTCGAGCAACTCTCCCATTTCTATTATATGGATACTACATCTAGAGATAGTAGCCATCTACTTAATGGGAAGGACGGCCATGTACTCCCTAACCCGCTATCTATTCTAGCACCCACCCTCAGGGTGTGGTATTCAGCTCTAGCTGATAGCTTTGGCATTCTTACGGATGAAGCATCAATAGACCAACCCCTTCGGCAGGAAAGGGGGAATGCATCTGGTCAATAATCGTCGACTTTAAGGCCCTTCTCCTTTCTAATCTGCTTCCTTTCGCGGATTTTCTTCTCCGTTGCCATGAACGCTCGAATCCCTACTGGAATCCCCTGGTAAATGGTGTCTTGATCAAGGTCCGCGGTGGACGGCGAATCCCAGAGGGCCTCGCTGCCTCCGCCGTCATCGTCCATGCTGCCAGAAGCCTCGTGAACTTCGGGCCGGTGCAAGTGGATCTTGGGCTGGTCTCCAGCGGGCCTCTTTTGCGCTTTTGCTTGTGCTTCCTTGGCTCGCGCGGCCCATGCCTCCAAGTCATCTCGATAGTCATCCCACACACAGTGTACGCAGCCGCTCATGCAGCAATTGTCCGGCTCCAGCGGGCGCGGAGGAACAGGAACCCCGTTGACAGTGGTCCATTTCTGCTCGGGCGTTTCTGGCAACCTCCTTTCATAGCCCGAACCTCTCAGTGCGCCAAACACTTGCCGGGCTCTTTCCTCCTTGGTCTTGTCGCCCTGCGGCACCCACACGGGCAACGATGTGTCGGCCCCGGATGCCTGGGGCTGGGGAAGAGGCGACTCGAGGAGGTCTGTGTAGAAGTCGCCTAGAGGCACGGCCTGTCGATGCTGGTCGACCGGTTCGTGCAGAGCGCGGCGCGAGCTGTGGAACGATCGGCGGCGTCGGGCCCGTTGTACGGCACTGCAGTCCCTCGACTCTCGACTCCTCGGGTTGCTCGGGTGCGCGAAGCTGCTCGTCTGACGGGACTGGTCTCGGAAGTGGTGGAGGTCGACGTGCAGGCGGACGCGCTGGCACGAGGCGCATATCCGCCTGCTCTTGAAGACCGAGTTCACCAGCGGCCTGGGGACCGCCATGTGTGCTATAATATTTGTGGGGGCCGAAAATGCATGTTTGGGTGAGCTCAGACTGCGTGTACGGAGTATGCGAGGGTAAGTCTCATTTGAGATGGCCCAGAGAACTTGAGTCTTGGAGTATCGAACGAATTGTTGCCCCGCTGACTAAGGTGAAGTACGCAAACACATGTGCAACCAGATGATGTCATTGAGCTCGCCGGTGTCTTGCCCCCTTTGCCAGCCGCAGCCTTGCCATCGGCCGGCTACAGGAAAATCACTTAAGGGGACCGCTCGACTGATAACGCAAAGCACAGACAAAGTAACAAAGCAGGACGGTAGCACCGCCTCAAGAAAATTTCCTGTGCGGAGCACAACAGGGCTCCTTACTTCAAGTCGAGCGGGTAGGAGTCCATAATCAGTGTCGACAACTGCGCAGGAGCCCGTTGGTCATGGATTTGTGTTGCCAGGACGAACGCTCTGGCAAGCAGGTGCTATGCCACGGGTACGTGTGAGTCTTCTGACAAGTTGATCAACACCAGGCGTATTTCTCGTTCGCCAGCCAGGTGATATCATTCCCACTACTAGTAGTCCATCGGAGGCTGCAGAGATGATCCTCTCGTGCAACGATTTCGACTTTGCCTTGTTCTTCTGTTCTCAATTCCTGAGCAGCGGCAATCACCAGATCAGACGGGTCCCAGACCTCCACCGCACCCATCTCCCAGAATTGTGCCTCAAGTTGCGCTCTTAGTAGCAGGGCCGTCATTGCAGCTTGAGCAGTCTCTGAATTCTCAACTGAAGGGTGCACAACGGTGTGGAGGATGCAAAGTCGGCGGTCTGTCCCACTCTCTGGGTACACACGACACCATATTAAAGCTATACCGGTTTCTCGGTGTATGGCGCCTTTGATCCAAGGGCGCGGTCTACCGAGAGCCTGGTGGATATATTCTTCTCGCGCAAAATGCCACTGTAGGTGCTCTAGATCAGGACGGATAGCAACATAGGTGATGTCCCGGTTTGATTCAGACAAGCGGAGCAAACGTTCCTCCAGAGTGTCGACGGCCGGGATCTGTGGTACATCTGCCATAAATAGGTCATCAACAACTGGCAGCAAGCCGTGGATGGCTTCATAACCAGACAGGTTCAATGGAGCCAAATGAATGTGGTTACTGGGGAACGCCTTCCAGCCATGTTTGGCGTAGAAGTCTCGCCCGATATCGCTCCAAAGCACGGAAAATGGATTGGCAATACGATTCGCTTTTTGGAGGGACGATTGTCGCCAGGTTTCCAGTCTCTCCCCCAATTCTGCCATCAATCTGCCTGCATAGCCTTTGCCACGATACTCGGGTCGCGTGTAGACGGAGGCTATGGCATGTGCTTGGACTCTCTCGATGATGCCGTACTGGGCGACGTAACCGTGGATGGTGAACGTCTCGCAGGAGGCAAATATATGTCTGGTCCCATCGTCATTGGTAGGTAGACTGTCAGAGGTGAGAATCCAGCCCACGAGGCGACCTTCTCTTGATAAATCGGTAGATTTAAGGATGGCTTCACGCTCTAGGTATTGCTCCAGTGTCAGAGGGCCGCCCCACTCGGGCTGGTTCAAATAAGCTGTTTGGATGTTTTCAGCGGGCGTTGCAGGTACCAGTTTCAGGTCGGGGGATTGAGCTGGCGGTAGAGACCGAGGCTCCAGGGCAGAGGGAACAGAAGGGATCATTTCTTGGGGGCCGTGTGCCCCGACACTTAAGGAGGCCATGATGCTGGGGGTCTAATATCTATGCTAGTAAGTTAGCACACGGACAAGCCGACGTTGGTTCTGGCAGATGGAAAGGAAGGGAAGAACATGAGGGGATTGACGACAGGAAAGGGAAGCCTTAGATATTACGGAGCACGGAGTACTCCGTAGTTGTGGAGGACTCGTAAGGCATTGGAGTATTACAATAGTATGGAGAGGCGGCTGAGAAGGCTTAGGAGGCCTGGATCCTTAGGCGCCCACCTTGCACAGCCCATAATGTACATAAGGTATTAACAGGTACCTGCCAACTTGTCGAGCCACGAAACTCCAGACAACAAACTGTGCATTTGCGCTCTGGACTGGCGGGCGCAGTTCTTCAAGAGACTTGTCCTCCTCCCATTTGGTACCTGCGGACAGCTGACAGACACGTACCTAACAGGGCTCAGGCTCCGGCTACGCGTACCGTCCAACGTCCAAGTCTATGTACATCCGAGCAGGGTATATACGGCAGCTTACGACAACCTGGTCCTTCAAACCCTCCATCAGCCGTGAACGAAACGTAATACAGGCTTTCTCACACGTCCAGCATATACGCTCTCCATCTGCATTCTTTGCGCAGTTTATACTTCACTACCCCCCGATTGACTTTGTTCCCTCGCGCTGTCACTGCTTCGCACCTCTTTACACGTTGCCTCGACCACCCGTTTCCTATCACGACTGTCGACCATCGTCCCTCCCTTAAGTATCACTAACCTACATTTTACCAGTGGTGCTAGCTGCAGATCACGGTCTCAACATCCGTAGGACCCTTGCGAGGATGACACACGCAGTGAAGCCTCGCCCACCAGTCTAGACCTACATCAGCCCTGTTTGTCCTCCTCCAGCGCAGCCTAACTCTCCTACGAATTCAGATGACCCCAAAACATGGTCCACATTCCTCTCTTTAGTGGGTAAGGGATATCTCTTTGTCATTTTGAAAAAACCAGATGGAGTTATTCACTCTTGCCTAATCTTCTTCCGACTCCGAAGCAACCTTGGCCGTCCGCAGGCAGGCAGGCGAACAGTGGCCCTCCGCTAGAAGATATTGTGCCAAAGACAACATCCCCTTGGGCTGTCGTCCTATATAGCCCTGCCTATGACTAACCGGGTACATCCTAGAATGGCCGAACGGTCTCACCGTCGCCAACGCCGTGAGCAAACTCCCAACCATCGTCCTGAACTCTCAACACTCACCCAACATACTATCATTGAACTCTCGGATGATGATGATACGGGTCCTCATCCAATCCCACAATTGATATCGTCCTCTTATCGCCGCCATCGAAGTACTTCCAACAATGACCTGAACGTGCAACGCTCGGACAATGGCCACCTTCGACGCATCGCCAGTGAGAAGCCGCATCAAGCTCGTGCATCTCAACATCACAAACGCATCAAAACTGAGACTGATGCATTCCAGTCCCCGGTATCTAGTCCTTCTCATTCCAAGAAAGGCAAATCTCGACAAGCAACATCAGTCTTGCCGAGTATTGCTCTCGTTACCCGATCCCCACATCACAGCCACCATGATTTGAGATCCCACCACCGGGACCAGAGAAGACATTCTGTAGTACCGACTCCACTCTCTGATTCTGCCAGTACCAGCACCAACACCCAGGTCAAGTCACGCCCGAGGAAGAAGAAATTAGCCATCCAACCACCTTACTACGTGGACAGTCGACTTGAGGTGAAGATGTATCGGGGCCATGGCTATGAAAAATTCCCCGTCGTACTGGGTACTGTTGAAGGCCATCAAGAGCTGTGCGATAAATGGGATACTGAGCAGATTTCCAAGTTGACTAGGAAGGCTGCTAAATTACGACAAGCACTCCGCACTGCTTACGTTGTCCATGACACAGACTCGGAGTCCACCGACGAGTCCAACGGTGAAGAAGACGGTACTAACGATATTCTTCAGAAGAAATGCCTGGAAAGCGTGCTGGATGTCTTTCCCGACATCGGGCGTGCCTTTGTCATGTGGAAGATCCAACTCTTGTCATCCCAATTGGGCTATTACGTTGCGGACGGCGAGATATTTGAGCTCGAAGCAACGCGTATCGCGGGACACATTATTGCTGAGGTCCTAGAGATGAATCCTTATCCTAAAGAACGCGTTGCGACTTTCCTCGACAGTGGAAGCCGGGCCGCTGATGATGGCACTGGTGTTACGATTATGTGGAATCGGAATCTGCCCAAAGGAGACATGTACACCAAAGACGCCGTGATTATCCTTGCCAAAACGTTCGATCGCGTTCCGACCCATTACATCGCCAAGGTCGTGTCAGAGAAGAAATCCATCTTCGACGCCTATACGCATATCCAGGATCTTGAAGATCGATTTTATTCAATCTCGAACCGTCCATATTCCCGACTTCGTCATGCAAGAAGTGCAATCGAGAAGAAGTACGAGCTTACGCACAACGATCGCCGTATCCCTAGTGAATATGCCAATCGCATTAATGAACTGCAAGCCGCCAAACAGCATGTCGCCAGAGAGGCCATTCAAGCGGCAGCTCAAAAGGAAAAGGCCCGAGAAGAAGAAGCCAACCTTGCCCTCCACAAAGAAAGCGGCGCAGTCATGGAGTGCCAATGCTGCTTTGACGACCAAGTCCCTCTCAATCGCCTCGTGTCCTGTATGGCCGATCAGCCGCACTTCTTTTGTTTCACCTGCGTTGAAGGCCTCGCTGACAATCAGGTCGGGTTGATGAGACATGAAATGCGATGTATGGACGGAAGTGGATGCACTTTCGAGCTGTCTCATGATGGCGTTGGACAAGCTGTTCCGATCCGGACATTTGATCGCCTGCAGTTGACTAAGCAGCAAGCTGAGATCATCGCCGCTGGTATTGAAGGTCTCGAAGAGTGTCAATTCTGCGACTACAAGGCGGTATGTGATGATGTCAGTGTCGAACCAGTCTTCTATTGTCAGAATCCAGGCTGTTCTCGTGCCACTTGCAGAAAATGCAACAAGGATAGCCATCTACCAAAGACATGTGAGGAGAACCAGAACGACGGTGAGCTGTCCGTCCGACATGTGGTTGAAGAGGCGAGGTCAGAAGCTGTCATGCGAACATGTCCCAAGTGCAAAGTCAAGATTGTCAAGGAATTCGGCTGCAACAAAATGGTCTGCACCAACTGCCACACTATGCTCTGTTACGAGTGTAAAGCAGACATTTCGGCGACCGAAAACCCGTACCATCATTACAATAAGCCAGGAGCTAAATGTTTACTGTACGACAGACAAGGGATCGACCGGCATGAAGTGGAAGCCAATAGGGCAGAAATCGAAGCCATCGATCAAGCCAAAGAAAAGCACGCCGACATCGACGATTCCAAGCTGCGCATTGAAACTGGGAAACAAGTGCAACCGGCTTCGCATGAACATCCTGCTGCCGGCGCCTTCTTCCAGCACATGAACAATGCGGCTGGACATTTGACCAATCGCCAGATAGATCGTAACGAGATCCTGCGAGACCTGATCCCGGATCCTCATCTTGGAGATGTCCTCCGACAGATCCATCAGGGTGACGGGGCGCAAGAACAGGCTGAGGATTATCACCGCAGGGGTGAGGCCCAAATAGAGGCCCGACTTCTTCATATGGAAGAAAGACTGAATGGGCTGCACAGAGACGGAGCCAGATATGTCGCTCAATATCTTGGATTGCCACGACCACATGGCACCCCTCTCCTAAACCCACGTCAGGGCTTCTTACCCGACGACGCACTTCAGCCTGCCCGCGTTGGAGTCATGTTTAACCAGAACTTGCAGTTCGAGGACGACTTGGACCACGTCAGACCAGCATATCCCCTCCCTCATTACCCACCACAGATGGATAGGGATATCCCAAGGATGTATAATGGTGACTCTGCCGGCCGAGGTCTTCAGCAAGCAGAGAACCCGAACTTGTACCCTCGTACCCCAATGGAGAATTTGGCGGAAGCTTTTCGTCAAAAGAACAATGTCTTACAACGGCATGATGCTCCACATAACAACAGCTGGCTTCCACGTATGCCTCCCGGTCTGCCGCAAAACTGGCGGTTTGGCACACGGTGGTATCGCGGGGATTTATACCGTGCAACTCGCCTTTAAACTGCTGTTGACACCGAGCAGGAACTGCAAATTTTCGCATGTCATTGACCATTTTCTCTTATTTTATACCGAGCAGAGAGGCAGATGGAAGGCGCTTCGCACATTGTTGTGAGGTAGCTATTGTGGACTCAAAAAAGAGCATCCTAGTGCCACACAGGCATAGGTGGATGAGAGGAGGAGAGCACCAGGACAGTGGTGAGAAAGACGTCTGCAAGTCTACACCAATTGCCTTTTCTTTGTTCCTTTTCCACCGCTGTCATTATCCCCTCTGGAGACACTTCTGCTCCCTGAAAGGGCAAGTGTCTTATTCCGACGGGTGGCCCAGGCTCTTTCAACCAGCTCGGGTTCTGTTTTAGCCAGGTTCATGATGGTATCCAAGCGATGATAGGGTTTCCAGAGCACATTGCAGCGCTGGGGTTCACATGAAGGATTGTGCCTGCTGTCCCTGGGGAGTATCCATCAGAAGCGGTGCACTAATTTGGCATGAACCACTCTGCTCGTCAGGATGGGCATCAGAATGGTCAATATGTTGAGCTAGGCTGCAGACCCTCAGAGAGGTCCCGGAGATCACAGAGATAATGAAGTTAGTCCCAAATATAATGATTACAGTTTTGCTGCGGCGTTGGACAGGTCTCGCTTAGCAATGCCGTGCAATGTGGAGGGATCCTCAGCTAGGACTGCCGCAACTGTAGAGTCACTCGATAGAGAAGGACCACGAAGAGCTAGCTTGTCGACAGATAGAGAGATTGAGGTAAGCTAGCAGAATGTTCGACATCACGTGGATTATTTGTCGCTAGTGTTGCTCACCCACGATGGTAGTCCGTTGTAGCACCACCCAGTGGCTTGCGGTTAACATTGGGTGGCTCGAGATCATATCCGTCTTCGTCTCCATCTCCGCCGCCAGGATGGAACATCTCCGTGCCCGCGCCGTAGGACATGTTCGCTCGCCTCTGGGCGACAGATGCAGAGGCCCGCAGTGACGCAGATTCCGGCGGTGGACCATACTCAAACTTGGCGGCGGACTCTTCGACCCAGACTTCCATGCGCAGCTCACCGGTTTCAAGGCGGCGCACTGGATGAGTCTTGGGGGACAACGGTCGACGAGGCTGGCCGGCTTGGTTGTTTGGATTCCCGGGTGTTGTGGAAACAGGTCGAGCGACACGATCAGGATCATGATGGCCAGCGAACACGTCAGGCTCCGCAGCCATCCAATTGCGCTCTTCCTTTTCGAGGCGACCAACAGGTCGGTCCGCGGCGTCCTTGACTTCGATTGCCAGGGTGAAACTACATTCTGGCGCGTCCGGGCCTTCGGGTAAGGGACGAAGTTTCGCAGCTGCAGTGCTGATGCGGGACAAAGTCGCGCGGAAGTTGGCTTCCAAGTCAGTCAGGTTTAGGCTGCGGGCCAATAATAACCCCTCCGCCTCATCTGGTGGGTTTGAGTCAGTGATGGCGGCGGCGGAGGTGGAGGCCGAGGAGGCCAATCCAAAAGGGATGTCGCGATCCCGCCTCGCGACAGCTGGCAGAGAGTGCAAATCAAACGTCCACCGTTCGAGGACTCGATTGCTCTTGCATTCGTAGATACAGAGGGCGACTTTCTCGACGGTGTTCTTGTCCAGCTGGTTGCGGATCGCTGCGACAGCGTCCAGGATCCAATTGCACACTGCGGGATGCCGGTTCTGGCGCACCGGGTAGTTGTACGCCCGCGTCGAGAGGAATGAGATGGCCGGGTACAGGCGACGCAGATAGAGAATCTGGTGGGTTGCAACGGTCAGAAACGACGTGAGTGTCTCGACGAGCGCCCGCTGCGTCGAGAGTAGGTGTGATGCTGCCCCTGTGGCTTGGCCGGCCATGGTGGCCCAGGGTGTCGTCTGTCAGGGAACGAAAGTAGAAAAGGGTGGACGAGACAAGGAGTAGAGTTGTAGAGCATGATACCACTGGTAGGTAGTTGCTTGTTGACAATCCTGGCAGAAGGCTCTGTATGGGTATGTAGGTTGCCGTCCTAGATGGCGGACCTTCCTTGAACTCAGCAGCGCTCTTTGCTTGAGGTATCAGACCCTCCTGGCGAAGGGCCGTCCTAGGCTCTTAACAATTCAGTCGACTTGAGTGTTAGAAGATGGAAGCGGTGCCGGCTTGTCCTGACCTAACCGCATTGTCCGGGGAAACAAACACAACTCTATAGGTGACACCTAGTGAGGTGTCTCAGTGCAATGGATGCAGTTGATAGAGAGCCAATCCGACCGCGCCAAGCATAGTCGTCACATGATGTCAGGCTCCCCTCCCCGTCTATCTGTACGGAGTAGGCTTTTGGTGCCTGACACATGAATGCCTCCGCCTAGACAGAGAGCTGAGAGCTAAGCCTTAGGGGCCAGGGCCTCCTTAGCCGGGTGGAGGGGTAAGCCCGAGGCCTAGTAGTGCCATAGCAAGCTTAGGGGCTTAGGAGGCGATAAGGCCATGGTCAGATACTGGCAGTTGGCACCGGAAGCCTAAATTGTCCCTCATACATAGGCGCACCTCAGTTCTCGTTTGTGCCGAGACGCCAAAGTGCCAGCTTACAGAACTCCGTACTCCGTACTCCGTACACAGATCTATCGGCGCAGTCTCAAACATAATACTGATACCTGCTTCTTGATCGGTAGGCAATCACCATTCTTCAAAATGGCAATCCCAAACGTTGCATTGCAAAAGGTCTGTTTTCCATCAATCTTGTGTGTCCCGATTTGCTGACCCGTCTCAGCTGCTCCAAGAGGTCGAAACGCAGGCTGTCCTTTCCCAGCAGAAAATCACTCAAACCCAGGCAGAACTGAGTGCCAAACGACGCGATGCACGGTTGAACCACCTTACCTCGAATGAGCTCAAGTCTCTTTCCAAGGGCACAAATGTATACGAAGGAGTGGGGAAAATGTAGGCGGTTGATCGTCCTGTTGTATTCAGAAATGGATGGCTTTATTGACACGCTTTCTTCCTGCCAGGTTCGTTGCCGTGCCCATCTCCGAACTGAACCAGCGTCTGGCCACCGAAGCAAGCACATTGAACAAAGACATCGCCGATTTGGACAAAAAGCTACACTATCAAGAAACCACCTACAAAAATAGCCGGCAGCATATCGAGAAGATTCTACAGTCCGGGTCTGTCTGATCGGTACCCCGAGCCCGGGAATAGGCATGTGTTACAGCGAAGACCACAATCCACGGAGCATGCATCGACAGTTGCACCAAACAGAAACCCCATTCCGAGGGCTGTTAGAGAGCACCGTCGGGCCGAGATGTGAGCCTGAAAATTTGGTGACTCGACGGCAGCCAAGTTCTCTCAGTAGGGTCAATGGGAGGGTCCTGCACAGACATGGGAGCTGGAAGACACACCGCTGACATTCCTTATACCTGTGTGTCTTGACTCGCACGAGGCTCGTCGACAAATCGCGTATTGATCCATCAATTTAAGTGTTGGATCATTGCCAAGGGGCGCTGGGACGAGGGGAATTGCGCATCTCTTAGGCCGCGCCGTACCTAGAGTTTGACATGTCGAGGAGGACAGTACCAGCTTTCGGCCAACGCAGCTTGCAGCACTGCAAACGGAAAATTGCCGGCAGGAACGAATTCTGGTGCAGTGATCGGGCTGCTGTGGTTTCAACTGGGTGTAACCTCGGGAGACGTCGCATAAGGAAACGAGCGGGTTTATGGTGGTGTCACGGAGGCCATCGGTTTTGTCTTAGGCATCGAACATGCATGGGAGAGATCGATTTTAGCTGGAGCCTGGTGCGGATGGGCACTGGCAGCAGATGACGACCTTGAGTCTAAGAGGTGCAGTCAGGCGTCCAAAGTCCCACAAAGCGGCGTAAATGGTGGCCAACTCGTGGAAACAGGCTCGGTTTGATACTGAAACGAGACCGTGTCTGTAAATGTATCTTGAGACAGCGGTTGCAAACGAGAGGTCGTCAAACGAAACAAGAGCGTCTGGAGTCTCGGCTATTTGTACCTGTGTATGGCCCCTTGGTTCATGGCATGAGAACAACAGCATCTTGCCTGCCAGAGGGTCTCGTAATTCAAAGTTGTGGGATTGCTCTCTGGTGCAGGCTTGCGACCTAATTGGCACTTGACCCTGGCTCACCGCAATCTACGGAGTACACCATCCCACTATTACCAGCTACCCAGGCACCAACTGGTAAGCAACGCATCAATCGGCGAGCGATCAACGATCCGAGAGCTGACGGGTGACCTTGTGCAGCGGCTGTCACTACTGGCCTTAGCCCCCAAAATCCGATTTAACCTTGCTAGATTGCTGGCTGAGGAGGCGTCGGCTTGAGGCTGCGCTGGCTTGCAACACTCAGCTTGCTGGGGATAAAACCCCCTCGACCTGCCCCACCAGCAGCTGAAATTACAGCGACACTTCCTCTTCTTCTTCTCCTCTGCTGCTGCCAGAAAAGGGAAGTTTGCAACTCACTCGTCAAGAGAAATTTTCTCTCATACCCGAGCATACGATCCTTCGATCGAACATCTCCCCTTGCATCGCTGCGCCGGAAAAGACTGTCGATAGCTGGCCACCCCAAGTGTCGGGCGCTGCACTTTTACCCCACCGCCACCGCACCGCGCCCGATAGAGTACCTTGGATTCCCCCCTCTCGAGATCTGCCAGCTATCCGCCGACAGGGCTGACTGAAGACCGATTTCGGTGCTCATCATTGGAGGGCTGTCGTGTTTCACATTTGCCAGAGAGTCCCAACCCCAGCGAATCCTACAGCCTTCCGGCTAACTGGCATACAAGCGACCAACCAATATGGCCTACTCACGACGCTCGTCAGGCTCCGAAGCCGAGTACGTGCTGATGCCCGTGCGCAGCCATGCGGGGAGCGATTATGGCCGCTCCCGCCGGGGCCGCTCACCCGAGGAGGTCGTGGTGAACAATTTCTTGGGTGTTCCTGGGCAAGGCGGCCGACCACGGGCGTCGAGCCAAGGAGGCGGGCCGGCACCGACGATCGTCAACATCGGCGGTTTACCTACAACCGCGGCAGGAGATCATGGAACACGCAGTCGAAGCCGTCACCGCCATCACCGCAGCAGGTCGTCGAGCTCGAGCAGCTACAGCTCGCGGTCGCGGTCGAGGTCGCGGCACCGCCGGGGCCGCGAGAGCAAAAGTAGTAGAAGACCACTATATGAAGACGACCGGATTAGGAAGCCTCGGGAACTGGATGAAGCCGACTTACCCTACCATGTCCGACGAGACCTAGACTATGCACGCATACAGCGCAAGGAGGAAGAAGAGCGAAGAATTCAAGACCGCATCAAGCATGACCGTGAGCTGGAGAAGAGGCGATGGAAGTTGGAGGAGGAGGAAGAGAATCTGCGTAGAAAGAAAGAGCGCGAGGCTGTTCTCCTGGAAGCGAAGCTCGAGGAGGAACGTAAGAAGAAGGAGGCCGAGGACTTGAGGAAGAAGATCTTGAAAGACGAGGAAGAGCGTGTCAAGAAAGAGAAGGAAAAAAAGAAGGCCGAAGAAGAAGAATTCGAGCGCAAAGTCAAAGAGAAGTTCATGAAAGCTGGTAGGCTAACGCCCTTTCGTTCTTATTACGGCGAGTATGACTAGCAGAGAAGGGGGCCATGTTGGGCGAGGCATACTGTCGATGGTGTCGATGTTTATGTCTGGGGATTGGCTTTTTGTTTTGGCTTTGCTTCCTCCGTTGCGTTCCTCTGGTCTTGTTCGTCTTGTTGTCGGTCGTTCGGGTGGCTAATGTCTTTGAACTCGGTTCTTTCTGCGATCTACAGGCTACAGCAGCGAGTACATTGAAGAAGTACTGCACAAGAAGAAAGCCGAGCAGGCCACGCTGGCCATCGACCTGCAGCGCCCAACATACATTAAAGTCAACCGCAAGTACCTGCATCCAGATACCCTGGACGCGTACGGTTTGCCATGGGAGTGGGACGGGGTACGTAGCGCACTCACCCCTAAACTCATCCTGCCTGAATCGCCTCTTCTGAGCCCTTTACTTCCTCTTCTCAAACTCAACAAGACCCTTCTGACCCCCTCTTGTCTGTTTGTCCGGCTGTCTACACTCTTCCTCTTCGCGTCAGCTATCTTCCTTCACCTTTATCTTTCTCATCAGCTAATCTGAAATCGTGTGGTTGGCAGCGCGACGACGAATACATCATCATCAAGAAATACATCGATAACACGCTCCAGGACGAGCTGTTCGAACACACGCGCCGGCTGAAGGAACGCAAACTGATCACGGGCCCGTACGTCAAGGAGACCAAGGTCATCACCAAGCTCAGCCCCAACGAGTACGTCAAGAAAGGGGGCGACAAGATGTACGTCGTCCGAGAGAAGAGCAAGAGCCCCGCCAGGAGTCGGAGGGGGAGTTGGATGTTTACTTAGCAGCGCGCTGCCCTGGCTGGTCTGCTTCTGCAGGGCCTGGTGCAGTGGGATTCTCAGGGACGGACGACCTCAGCTGAGCACATGCGAGCTGTACGCTGAGTGGTCTTCTAGGAGAGATCAAGATGGAAAGAAATCTTCATGAACACGAAAGACTATGGAACGGAATGGTAGATAGGGTCAACGTCAACGGGCTGATATGGGACGACGGGGTGGACAGATTCTCCATTTCGATCTCGTCTCGCTTCCCGGCCTCTGAGGCATGCCTGTCTACATTTGCCGGGGGCAATTATCGCGGAACTCGACATCATTTTATATAACGAAGCCAACGAAAGACCATTAATTGTGGTCAATGTCAAATGTCAATGAATCTCAAGTCTGATAAAGTGACATGTTTGCATTATGGACAAAGGCCCCGTGCTACAAGACCCTTGGATTGGGGCGTACAGTACTTGGATTTCCTAGGTGGCGCCCATGGTAACCAAGGCATCCGACCAGCAAGAAGGGTCTAATTAGTCCAATGCGTGAAGCCTCGACGGTGCCAGGACTTTGAGTTGCCTTGGACGACTTCAAGCTGGACCTCGACCTCGCCTTCTCGGTCCAACGGGCTTTTCCTCCTCTTGATAGGCATAGGCATGTGCTGCACCGCGCGCAGAATATGATCCCGCCAGCTGTCCCACTGTCTTGCGACCACCAAGACCAGAGAAATGACCATGGTGAGCGGAATACTGACGGCGAAGAAGACCCAGAATTTGTCGTGCCCGGGCAGGAAACCGTCGGCCATACTGAACATGGAAGCTACGAGAGTGAATGGAAAGATGATGGTAGCTAGAATGCTGAGCGATAGCCCCGTCGCGCTGTCTTCGATGGCCTGGAACGCTGCCCGCAGCGAGGCGATATCGTTAGCCACGGTCGATAGCTTGTCGGCTCGGGTCAGCAGTGGCCTGAGCCGGCTTGCCAGGGCCTTGAAATCTTTGTGGGCGTCGCAGAGTGCCTGGGCCAGCAACCTAGGGGGAGCGGTGCCCGACTGGAGGTCCCAGCTGCCATCGATAGACGTGCCCAGCCTTTCTAGGTTCAACGTCATGGCGTTTTCAAAGTAGATCATCTGCCGGCGGAAGTAGTTGATCTTATGGCTCGTGTCGACGACCTTGTAGAACTCGCGCTTCCACTCGGCCGTGCTCATGTGCTTGGGCTTGGTGGCCGGGTTGTCGTCGCTGAAGTACTCGCTCTGCGCAAGAGTGTGTTCGACCACTTCTAACGTGTGGATCCAATAGTATGCGATGAACTTGAGGAGGTGCTGAGCGGCATTGACGGACTGCTCTTTCACAGCCAGGATTTGTTCCTGGTCCGCCAGCTTCTCCCAGTAGAAGATGGTCTCGTCGAAGGGAGAAGTGACGTGTCGTGCTCCAGTGGTTGCGATCAGCTCCGCAGTGGCGAGCCGCTTCGAAGAGCAGAACGACAAGGGATAAATGGTCGGACAGCCTTTGTGGTATGGCTCGCTGAAGTGGGGGAATTTGCCCAGCCTGAAAAGACGGCACGCGTCGCGGGCGTACCACAACTCGGTGCGGTTTCGGAACTCCTCTCCTTTGAAGATATACGACTCTCGGCCAGAGGGCGCTTTCAAGGCGTCCAATGGTGGATCGACCAACAAGATGGCTTGTGAGAAAGGTAAATGTTCCAATCGGTCAGCAGGGACTGGACATACGTACCATTCCAGCCCTCGCTTGGGTTGGGGTCTTTGCTCTGAGAGGTCCAGAATGATGCGCAGCGTCGGACAAATGCCAGCGGATCGTCGTTGGGCATGCTGGGGCAATCGATGGTGCACCATGGCTGGTAGAGCCTCCGATTCACGGCAAAGCTCATTTGGTTTCCTAGAACCGAGATCTCGTCCTTTCTCTGAGGATCAAGGCAGCGGAACTCATAATATCGGAGAGTCAAAGCCTTGCTAGGCTGTGTCAGCGATGGCAGAGCACGGTGCCCGACGGACTCGACATCGGTGAAGTTCCACGTATTCATCTGCTCGGCAAATACGTGCGGATCAACGCCCACATATTCGCCGAGTATCTCAACGAACCCGGGTTCAAGATCTTCGAGGACGTAGAGACGACAGGCGCCTGTCTCGGCGGGTTGCGATCGAATGGCTTCGAAATGCAATCGCAAATCTTGCGCAGTGTCAAACTCCGCGTGACTGACGCCGCTGTCCGTGAACTCTAGAACAGCACAGCGCCCTGGTGGTCTGCCATAGTGCTCCTTGTACGTGGAGTCAACCACCTGGCGGCCCTGGTCAGCGGAATTAGCATGCTTGTTGAGCAGCTGGATGAGGCCAGGATAGGCGTGCTTCAACCCGTTGACCCGGGATAGATACCCTCGGCCCGTATTGTCTGGCGGTATTTCCATGACAAAACAGGCCAGAGCAGAAAGTTGCACGAGCCCGATCGTGGCGGGGAGCGCCTCGAGAGTAGGTACTCCGTCAGGCTTTTCAACATCAGGCTGGGACAATTTCTCGCTATATTTGGAACATCGCACCGATCCCTGTCAGTGTCACGAGCAATCACTCGGCCCCCATGATTCCAATTGAAGATGAAAACGGGGGACTTGCATCACTAGGGCGTCTGGCTTTATTGACGGCCAATCCAGCATCGGCATATCCGTAGACCTGCCAGTGCATGCATGGCCTTAGGAGCCTCCCTGGTCAGTGGTCACTGGTTAGGTGGTAGGTGGGTGGCAACAAGAGACGGCAAGGATCTTCAGAAGAGATACCTTTCCTGATAAGGAATTGCCTTGCTTCAAAGTTCACAAGCTCTTGGGCTATCTCTCGGGCTATCCCTCAGAGGTGCCAGGTGCCAGGTGTGATAGAGCCATGCACTCACCAGGTCCCACCAGGTGGCGATTCTTGTAGTGCTGGAGCATCAACTTCAGAGCTTGTGGCCCTGTTCGGCAAGCAGTTTCCCGGGTTCGGCCGTGTACGGAGTACGGAGTACCTAGTACTCAGTACGGATACAGGGCTCAGAGGTCCCAGGTAGCGAGGAGCCAGACTACAGGATCGGACCGTCGACTATCTGTCAATCTGAGTCTTAGTGTACGCCCGAACTGTGGCGTTCTAGTGGTAGCGCGGCAAGGCGTGTTGAGGACTCAGGACATGGACGCCAGAAGACCGGTAAAGAATTGATGGTACGAGTACGCCAGATCTGGGGTTATCTTCATTTGTATTAGTGTTGGTGCCACCTGATTGATTGATTGATTGATCTCCTTGGGTATAGATACTACGTAGATACTAGATACTACCTACCTAAGGCTGGCTTGGAGGGATACTACCTACCTTACCAAGGTTGGCTGGAGGCCATATCCTCTGCGCTTCTGTTAATTGTGCAAGGCGACTCACCAGAGGTGCTCTGTAAGTGTAGGGACCATGTGCAAACTATACATGTATGTACGCCTCGTGTCCGGCGGCAGTCATAGAACCCTGGTCTAGAGAGCCACAGCTGTCTCGATTGAGTAGTCATTCATTGCTTTAATGCTGCTCCATGACCACAGTCTTCATCTACTGCATCGTCTTGAACATATTGACTTCTGCACCAGGCCCCGTATTCATCCTCCTCGCTTGCGTGAATGCGCTAGCTCTCGGATCAACACGCCCTGACTTTGCTTTGATGATGGTCGATACCAATGCTGCTAGGAAAGCGGCTGCGATCCAGAGCCCCAAAGTGATATCTTTTCTTTCCAGGAAGGCACTTCTCTTACCCGTCAGCATTTCCGACATTTCATCCTGCAATTTCCTTGCCATGATTTGTTTGGTGAAATGCTGTTGTACTCTTTCCTTTCCACTTCGACCCAGACTCCTCAGCTCCGATGGGTCAAGCTCATGCAGCACCTTTTTCATGATGGCAGCCCACTCGTCCACCTTGGAAACATCGCGTAGCCACCCAGTCTTGCCTTCGACAATTGTCTCCAAAGGGCCCCCGGTGTTGGAAGCCAGAACCGGAACGCCGTACTGCATCGCTTCCACCGGTACGATTCCAAAGTGCTCGTTTGGTGGTGTGTACACCAGTAAGCGGGCATTATTCAACAAGGTGGTCTTGAAAGGCCCTGGCACGGACAACAAGAATAACACTTGGATATTGTTGCGAATTCCCAAGGCTGTAGGCACTGTCTTCGCCGTGGCAGTGGATAAACCAAGCCCCTCAGCCAAATCAACCAACTCTTTGTGGTATTGGACATTTTCAGGAAGTCTCTGGTCGTAGCCACCGGCAATCACCAGACGGGTACCCTTTCGCTCGGCGGCAGACAGCTTATCATACGCTCGGATGGCCAATCCGATGTCCTTTTTCCGTTCAAACCGATTGATGCTCAGGAGAATCTTGAACTGCCCATCCCACAGAGGCGTCTGGTCCAATGCGGGTGGGGATTCTTTAGCTTCCACACTCACACAGGGGTATATGACACCCAGTGAGTCCGCCAGGTTCGGCCACACCCGCGATGCCACAGATTTGGTAAAGGCCGAGTTAACCACGATCTTGTCACTTGCACTCATGCTCCACCCCTCATACCAGTCGAAGGGAAACCTGTATATTTTCTTGATCAAGCCCAGAATACCAGGTGTTCGCCGATCCGCGAGTAATTGGTCGGGGAAGTGGCAGTAGAACAGGGTTCTTTGGCGGCCTGGATACAGCCATCTCAAGAGGGGAACACAGGCAGCCAGCTGGTCAACCACAAATACATCCGGCTTCAGGCTATCCAGCTCCTTACTCCAGACGGCGATGGAGAGGACAAGGTGGATCTGACGTAGGGTTGCAAAGAGGATATGGAAACGATTGAGGAGGGTGGAAGGAAAGAGAGTATGTCCACGGACTCGAACATCTAGAGTGCCTGTACTCACAAGTCTGTCAATTCTTTAGCCGTTGACAGCAACAACCGACAATCGATGAAGGGCACTGCAAACTGACCATCTCGTGCCTCTTCAAAGCAATGCTGAGGATCGCAATGTGAAGTGAAAATAGTCACTTTGTTTCCTTGTTCCTGTAGGCCTACTGCAGCATCTACGATCAGGCGTTCAGCCCCGCCAATTCCAAGGTCTGGATGAAAGAAGACGATTCTCCGCGGGCCTGACGACGACGACGACGAGGACAATGACGGAGAGGAGTGGACCTTCTGTGAAGGCGGCATGATCAATGTCCAGTCTGATTGACCGGCACGACGTTGGCTTCAAGGTTTCTGCATGAAGCACGATTCATGGCTACCGCAGGATGCCATCGGCAAACCTTCCTGGCTATTGCCATTTGACATTTAGTCATTACCTAGTAGGACGGAGTTCAGATACCGCAGTAGTACCACTCCGTAGAGCCTCTTTGACCAAGTTTCAACAGAGTACTCCGTAGATTCCGTCTCACCAACCTATCTGCATGTCGCCTAGATCACGCTGTTACCCGTTAATATGCAATTGCATCTCGGCAACTCGCCTCCAGGTACTTGTGTCCACCGTCGAGAAGAGGACAAGACGATAAATCATGGCAGTTGCGCGTCACGCCGCAATGGGCTTCATCTCTGGTTTCTTGGCTAGTCATGGGCTTGGATCAAGACGAAGAGAACTTCATTTTTGAAAGGGTCGCACATACTGGATACTGGCATGCATAGAACTTGACGTGTAAGGCGATCGGGCAATTTCCTGGCATGTTGCATGGCAGGCCGCCGTCTGCACTACCGTCGACAGTCGGCCACTAGAAAGGCCTGAGGATGATTAGGGCGACGGCTCTAAATAACACAATCCTGACCCTGTTGTACCGTACCTATCGTGCGGTGCGCAGCGGGCAGCGGGCAGCGGGCATCCCTGTCAGCCTCCATCGACGCCGTCAAAATCCGTGCGCCAGAAAGACTGCAGCTTGTCCGCATCCTCCGCCAGCTCATCTCTCCGACTTCAACACCTTCGCTCGTGTTCTGATGCAGCGTGAGAATCGCACCTGCGGGTGTTAATTGTCCTTCGCTTCTTCTTGCTCTTCTATTCCAGACTTCTTCTCCATAGGAAGCTGCGTCCTTCGTTCAACCCTCTTTTCTCTACCAGATTTCCATAAATCCTCTCATTCCCCTCGACCTTCTAATCCAATTTATCTGCTTCAGCTCCACGCCTTCTCACCAATTCCCTCCTCCACCAAGCAGTTGAAATGGCCCAGGTAGGTTCAGTCTCTAAATTCACTCAGACCCAAGTTGATGGATTGGCAGTTCAAGGTCACATTCCTTGCGCTCGTCGCCCTGTTCACCTCCTACGCGTTCGCGGTCTCCCCTCTAGTCGTCAAAGGCGCCGACTTCGTCAATAGTGTCGACGGTACACGATTTCAGATCATTGGTGTCGCGTAAGAGACTGGGACTGCTCCGATCCCCACAAGCCACAATGCTAATGATACACGTTCAGTTACCAACCGGGCGGTTCTTCCGGCTTCGACCCTGGCTCAGGGATCGACCCACTGAGCAACTCTTCGGTCTGCCTTCGAGATGCCGTTCTCATGCAACGCCTGGGGGTCAATGCCATTCGCGTCTATAACCTAGACCCGGATTTGGACCACAGCGAGTGTGCTTCGATCTTCAATGCAGCAGGCATTTACATGATTCTCGACGTCAACAGCCCTTTGCCAAATCAATCGCTTAACCGAGGTGCCCCATGGGAGTCGTACAACTCAGACTACTTGCAGCGCGTCTTCCAGGTCGTCGAAGGCTTCATGCACTTCAACAACACCTTGGGTTTCTTCAGTGGTAATGAGGTCATCAACGAGGACTCTGTCCCACAAGTCCCCGCCTACATCAGAGCCGTGACCAGAGATATCAAAGATTACATTGCGGCGCAAGGCCCACGAGACATTCCTGTCGGCTACTCTGCGGCCGATGTTCGCCCACTGCTCATGGGCACCTTTAACTACATGTCGTGTGGGCTTGCCAACGAGACCAGCTCTAGCTCCAAGATCGACTTCTTTGGTCTTAACAGCTACTCCTGGTGCGGTGACGCCACTTTCCAGTCCTCTGGCTACGATGTCTTGGTCGATGACTTTAGTAATACCACCATCCCCATCTTCTTCTCGGAATATGGCTGCAACAATGTCTCGCCCCGGAAATTCTCCGAAGTGCCTGTTCTGTACTCTAAGCAGATGACCCCCGTCTTTTCGGGCGGTCTCATCTACGAGTACAGCGAGGAGCCAAACAACTACGGCTTGGTCAATCTGAACGACAATGGCACCGTTTCCATCTTTGAGGACTACGACAATCTGCGCAAGCAGTATGATTCCCTAGACGTTGCCTTGCTGGAGAAAGCCAATGCCACTGCCACGTCTTTGACCGCCCCTAACTGTGCTGGCAGCTTGTTGTCGGGGACCAACTTCACCAAGAGCTTTGACATTCCTGCTCGACCGGATGGGGTGGATAAGCTTATCAAGAATGGTATCTCGGGCAAATACCCGACAGGGACCTCGTCCATTTCCGACACCAAGCCGTCGCAAATTGTCTATGCCGCCAACGGCCAACAAATTACCGGCCTTGAACTGAACGTACTGGCCAACGATCAGAGCAACCTTCCGGGGAACAATACTAGCGGTAGCACTCCGGCGAGTCCATCCGGCACGGCCAGCACTACCACCAGCAGTAGCAGCGCTCCCACCAAGACCAATGCCGCAACCAACTTGAAGGTTGACGACGCTAGGTTTGGATCTCTGATCTTTGGTGTAGTAGCTGCTGGCCTCTTGATGCAGTGGTGATGGAACAGAGACATGGAGTGACGATCGAGCAATGGTGCCTCTGGGCTTGTGGGATGGTCATCTTTCGAAGAAGTCGCGCATGATTGTTTCAAACTTGATGGGAGCCAAGAGCATAGTTCAAGTTCTCTTCACCGGACATATTTGCAGTTGACTTTGCCGGCCGAAGTCTCGGACACCAATAGACATGCTAATGACTTCTGTACAGAGTACGGATAGATAATTTCCAACCAGGAGGGAGGTTCAAAATTCGAAATTCAAACATGCTTCATCTGCCCCACGAGACCGGGTATAACACGCGTCGAGCTTGTTTTTCGTCTTGTGACCTGCCCGTAGCCTACGCACTAACCGTCGCAGTGCTGCAGTGGTGGTACGTTGCTCCTGCATAGCCTCGCTTGGTCGATGACCGACGACATGCTGCCGAGGGCAAAAACCCCGCCGGGACCAGACTCTTCTAGACATGGGGGGGAGAATACTCCGTACTCTTAGCCCCATACCCATAGGGCAGTATCATCCTGGTCCATGGTACCACCCAGGTCCAACAGGGCCTAGGACTAGGGAGCCAAGTTTTCCAGCTACGAGTACCTTAGGGTTGTTCAAACTCAGTACGGATACGGAGTTTGGTGACGAACCTTGGAAGTAACCTGTTTTTGACCCCTCCCGCTGCAGTGGCGCGTGCATGCTCTACTTACTACTTATTACTTAAGTACCTTAGTAGGCACCCTTAGTAGGCACCAACTAGGTGCTTAGAGGTGCTTAGTACTTACTACCTTAGCCCTCATAACGGGCGCAGGTCCCGGGGAGCAAAAAGATCGTATGCAATCTCTCCTGATCGGTGACAGGCACAGGGGATCGGGCCAATGGCAGACTTCTGTGGCTGAGGATGGACAGCTAGTCGCGTCGCTCTGATGTAATGGTCGTGGCGCATGACGTTCCTACCAATGGCAGGGGGCCCATTGCGCGTGCCTGTGGCAGACTCAGCCAGGATGGAACCGCCCAGTTCAGCCCAGTTCAGCTTGGTTCTGGTGGTTCCCTGCTTTCGATGATGCACTCGATCGTCGCCTCCACGTCACTGGCCTGCGCATCAACTTTTTTCGTGTACGGAGAACATGTCACTCTGTCGCCAGCACAACTGGATGGCCCCTCGACGCTTAGACCGTTCGCTGCGCAAAAACTACATAGACCACCCGACCTCCCTCGCGCAGGCCTGCTTCTTTCCCTTGAACATTTGACCTGACCTGAAGGAACCCATACACGCATACACGCATACACGCACCCCTCTCCCCTCTCTCGACCTCACCCTTTCTCACCCCAACAACTAACTGAACCTCCATCACCATGGCTCTCGGCGGACTCATCCTTCGCTTCGGCCAAACGGGCCTACGATTCCTCGAATTCGGCTGTGCGGCCATCATCCTCGGCATCTACAGCTATTACCTCGCCGTCCTGGCTGACCACAACACCCACATTCCAACATGGGAGAAGGCTGTCGAGGGCATGTCGGGCGCCGCGGTTCTGTACACCATCTTCGGCATCCTCTTGACCATCTGTCTCGGCGGGCTGGCATTCTTTTCCATCTTCGCCATCTTCCTCGACCTCTGTTTCGTCGGCTGCTTCGCTGCCATCGCCTACTACACCCGACACGGCGCCAACTCGTGCCGTGGCGTCGTCAATACCCCTCTGGGTACCGGTCTTTCCAACGAAGACGCTCCAGGCGCCGGCGACTGGGGCTATGTGTGCACCCTGAACACCGCCTGCTTCGCCGTTGCGATCTGCAACATCTTCCTCTTTCTCCTCACCGCCATCGTCCAAGTTCTCCTTACGCGCCACCACAGAAAGGAGAAGCGGTTTGGTCCCGGCCCTACGAACAACTACACCTCGGGCACCGGGCGTCGCCCCTTCTGGCGTCGCTCGCGCAGAGCGGGGAACACTCGTGACGCCGAACTTGCCACAGGCGCTGGTGTTGCCGGCACGACGCCTATCCACAATGCTAGCACAGTCCGTCCAAGTCACGAAACTGGCATGACTGGCTCGACTATGCACGGCGGCCAAGCTCCGCTGGCTAGTGAGCCTAAATATGGGCAGCCGGGATATGGCATGCATGGGTACTCTGGCCCAAACACAAATTATTAATCCGGACGACGGTATGGAGGTGGAGTTTGTGCACGGCGTTAGTAGCGGATTTTGCCTCAAACCGCGCATCCTCTACGATAATTGCAGACGGGACAGGTCTCCCATGCAATAGGGTATATACCATGGCTGTATGATCATCAGAATGTGGATGGAGTTTTGGGATAGTTGGTCTTACGACTGAGATGTTGCCTCCAATGTATCAACCATGCAGGAGGATGTCAGTCCAGCGGCATATGGACTATGGCCTTTGATTTGAAACTGCTCAGAGGTTTCCCCGCCAGTTCTGTAACATAGCTTATTAGCACCTAATAGTCCAGTGATGAAGTTTGGAAATATTCACCGAGACTCAGTTAGCATATCTCATGTATGGAGCGTCTTCCTACTGTGTACTCCGTACTCCGTACTCCGCACATGGTCCCCTCCCCATGTTCATCCCTGATATCAAGCCTCTGTGGCGCAGTCTGCAAGTCGCCGGATTCACCGGAAGGCGGCTTCTTCCGCCAGCCTTTCGACCTCGTTCTATACGTCTCCGTTGACGACCCGATCTTCCTGTTTCCTGTTTTTCAGGTGTTTTCTGCCGTCCTCGTCCTCATCCTATCCTGGCGCAGGACTCCGCCGAGGCCAGTCCGTCTCTCGCAGGCACTCTTCAAGAGCAGTCTGCCGACTTACCATGAGATGTATGCAAGGTTGCGTTTGCTGCTGGCGCTGCTAGGCTGTGAATGATCTAGCTGAATGATGTTTCATCCATCTACACTCAACTGCAACTGACTTATCTCAATATGCCTCCCCTGCCAGATCTGCCGCCTCGTCCCAATGGAGGCGGAGGCGGTAGCGCCAGACCGCAGCTCCGCGGGGCCCAAACCGAAGATTTCAATCACCATCAGGCTGGGCCTTCCGGGGACCTGTCCGTCGATGAACAGACTGCCGTTCTTCAGGCCATGAATCTTGAGTCGCCTCCGGGGTATGTCGAGTCCCCTGGTAGCTATGCCACCGACCCCGGCCGCCAGGGGACAGGCCTCCCGTCAAGTGCATCGGCTCCGACGGCTCCCTCCAAGGAAAAGTCAAGTGCCCTACAGGCCAAGCTCAAGACCGCATTGCAAGAGGCCAAGTACCTTGCGGGAGGTCTCATGAGCCACCCGTACGAGTCTACCAAACATTATACCATGTTACGCCACTCCCACGGTCTGGTCTACTACAGTGGCCCTTACACGAACTTGGCCATCACCATCTTCTCCGACCGAGAATTACCGGCAGATCGGACGTTGTGGTTGCAGCGAAAGGGGTTTTCCGGCAAGACTGGGCTCAAAGTGGGCGCTCTCATGGGCGCCCGAAGTACCTGGATAGACGTGACTCCGACCATCAGGGCCACGCCGGATCAACTCAATCCCAACGACGAGCGTGCATGGCAAAGGGACATCAAGAAGTTCCTGAAGCACGCCCCCAAAGACATTCAGAGCCACCGTGTACGCGAGACCGACATCCTCCGGATCCCCAGTGACGCCGATGACGGCTACCTCCGGGTGGTTCTGTGCACTGCCCAAGGCAAGAAAGTGCTTTGTGGAAGTCCCATTTTTAGGCTCGCGTCGTCGTCGACCGACGTCAGCTCCCTTAGAGGAGCCTCGCTCACGACGATGCCTCTTGAAATAGGTATGAAGATAGCCTCGGTTGTTGCGAACAACACGGTCACGGCCACCCTCAGTCCGGTCGCCGACACTGCACGGGGCTTCGTCAGCGACCAAGTCACTCAAGTATACCAGCCCGGCTTTATAGCCCAAGAAGCCATGACCACAGCCTATGACTCCGAGGTGCAGACTCGCATTGACAACATGAACGAACAGTATGACCAGGCTCGAGATGGCTCGTACAGCCGGCTTGAGCAGGATACATACGATGCCTTGGCTCGCCCAGATATCATTGGAGACGACACAGGCCCAGCCGCGCCATTTCCGGTGCGATTTCACGGCAGAGTAGTCCCGGGAACTGGGAGGAGCAAGGCACTACTGAATATACCTACCGCCAACCTGACTGGAGTTCCTGAAGACATTCTGTGGCGATACAAAGGAGTCTTCTTTGGGTGGGCTGCGGTGAATCTGGCCAACCGAGACAAGAAATCGGCCATGCCGAAAGAGGGATCGGTATCTGAGCAGTGGCACAAGGCAATCATCATCATCTCGCCCGATCCGGCCAAGAGGAGGACGGTGGTGGACAAGAACACGGTTCGGGTCTACGTCATGCATGATTTCCAGGCGGCTTCGCTCCTAGACGCCAAGTTGTCGCTAATTATGACAGGATATTTACGTGCAGCGCCAGAACTACCGCCAGGGCAAGAGCCGGACGTTGATGCGCAACTGTTTGACTTTTACAAAGATATCGCCATCACCACGGCAAGTCTGAGTCGACCGGCATGGAGCGCCGAGGCCATTTTGGAGGGGATCAAAACAGCAGCCTCGAGTCGCTCGCTGACGGAACGCTATGTTGATTTGAGACAGAGCACGCAAAAGCATCTCGATCGAGTACCGTTGCATAAGTTGGGGGTGCGGACCGAGGGGGCGGCGCTGAAGGACAGGTTGGTTGGACAAGGCGGCGTCTGGGTTCCACGACAACCACAAGGGTTGGCACATGCTTCGACTGCTTGAGCTCTCACTCTCGTGGGACCTGGCGATGGACCGATATATGGGGATATGTTTGGGGTCTTGTCTCACAGATATATTTCTGGGAGCTGAATATGTTCGGGGTCTTGGATACATCTCCGGGAGCTGAATCTCGTCGAGGTCGAGGTTGTCAGCCAGTTTGCAATTGAATGTGAGATGCCAGCAGCTTAATGAACATGACGAAGGATGAACATGACGACCAAGCACTACTCCTATCTGTCCCTGTCTCTTGTCTGTCCAGATAGATGATTGATCGATCGACTCACGTGCACTGTCCTTGCAGCCGACCTTCTCTCGTTGACACATACGAGTGTCCGTACACAGTACGTAACCCTAACCCTAACCCTAACTCGTACATGCAGGTGGTTATATCTCCTCTTCTCTCATTTTCGCCAGCTTTGACGGATTGCGTATGAATATTCCGGATCTTCAATCTTCTACCAGGACGGATACCTAGGTACCTCCATATAGTATGGTGGCGCATACCGCCCAGATCCAATAGTGATTATGGGTGACGCATATCGCCCAGAGCCAGATCCAGTACTGATACGAGTACTGCCCAACTTGAAGTGCTGAACTGCACTGCAGGCTTAGGCTCTCCCGTCCGTACCCCTCATCTCCGTTCTCCGTTCTCAGTTCATCTCATCCTATCCTCGGTTATCCCACATGCGGCAACCCGACGAGCGCCTAAGGCCTAAATCTACGCCCCCGCAGTCGATCAATCCGGAGCACCGCACCGCAGCTGAGTTGAGTGTGGAGAGTTAGGGGAAGAAAGCGAGGGTGAGGGTGAGGGGCGGTCTAGGGCAAAGGGCCCAGAGAAGAAGCACGGGCACACAAGGGACAGGGACAGGGACACTCGAGCCAAGTTCATCTCAGTTGCATCTGGGGCTCAATGACGAACATGAACAGCAAATACATGTATGTCTATACTCGTACTGTCATCCGCTAGGCAGAGCACGGAGAAGAGAGGGACAGAGAGAGATCGATCTCTGAGGGAGACCTGTGTGCTACTGCCACTACCACTGTATTTTCCATCCGGCTCTCGTGTGGTTCTTTGACCAACTCCAACTCATGTCCTCTACTGTCGTGCCTAACTTAGGGCTCTCTTCTTCCACCTCTGAGTGAAAGGCTCGTCTGCTGTACGACTCAGTCGTGAGGTCGTCATAATCACCCCATCGACCATCAACCATCAACCATCAACCATCAACCATCAACCATCAACCATCAACCATCAACCATCAACCATCAACCATCACCCATCTACCACCACTGGTGCTTTGACTTTCGCCCTTCTCCTTTGACATGGGCGCCGTTGCTTAGGCTCAGGCTTAGGCTTAGTGTTAGCAGACTGCCGTTTCCATTCTCTCAACCTCGCCTCGCTTAACTCTCCTCGCCTGCCTCTGCCTCTGCCTCTTCATCACCATCCATCTCCATTTCTTCTCTACTTTCCACCATGAACGCACACACAAAAACAATGAACGCCGTCCGCTTCTACGGCCAGCACGACATCCGACTCGACCAAATCCCAATCCCTCCAATCCAACCCGGCCATGTCAAGATCGCGCCCAAGTTCTGCGGCATTTGCGGCTCCGACCTGCACGAGTACCTGGGCGGCGCCAATCTGATTCCCAAAGAAGGCTGTCCACACCCGATCACCGGAGAGACGCTCCCACTGACGCTAGGCCACGAGTTCAGTGGGATCGTAGAGGAGGTCGGCCACGGCGTCGACCACGTCAGGCCGGGCGACCGGGTGTGCGTGCAACCGACCATCTACGACGGCAGCTGTCGGGCGTGCCGGCGCGGCCTGGTCAACTGCTGCGACAAGAACGGGTTCGTTGGCCTGAGTGGTTGGGGCGGCGGGCTGAGCGAACACATGGTGGTGCCGGCGAGCTGCGTCAAGCCGTTGCCGGACAACATCTCGCTCGAGGTCGGCGCCTTGATCGAGCCATTGGCCGTGGGCTGGCACGCCGTCGACATCTCGCCGTACAAGAAGGGTGATGCCGTGCTCGTGCTCGGCGGCGGGCCCATCGGTCTCGCCGTCGTCCAAGCCCTGGTGGGCCGTGGCTGCGACAACATCATCGTCAGCGAGGTCAGTCGCAGGCGGAGAGAGTTTGCCACCCAGTTCGGTGCCCATCATGTCATCGACCCGGTCAACGTCAAGACCGCCGGCGGCTTCGTCGCCGAGGTCGAGCGCTTGACCGGTGGCGAGGGCGCCGATGTCGGTTTCGACGCCGCCGGGGTCCAGCCCGCTGTCGACACGGCCTTCCAGGCCATCAAGGCCCGAGGCACCTTGGTCAACATTGCCGTGTGGGAGAAGCGCGCCACCTTGAATATGAATGATGTCGTCTTTCGTGAGAGAGGCTATATGGGAGTGTAAGTTTGATGACTGTGGGCCTACACGCGAAGAGTGTCTTGGACGAATTGGCACCATGACAATTCCATGATCAAATCTGTGTTCTGTTTCTCATTCCACCATCAAATCTGTTTTCTGTTCCCATTCCACCATCAATATTGCTGATTTCTGATTTCTGATTTCTGTTTTCAACCTCCACGAGACATTTCACTGACTTGACTTTCGCCCCAGAGCCACCTATGCCCTCGGCGACTTTGAGGCCGTCATCCAAGCCATCTCGAGCGGTAAGTCCTAGTCCTAGTTCCAGTCAAGTTTGAAGCTTCGTGTTATTTTCTGAGTCGACGTCGGCCCGCTCTGTTCGTCTGGGTCGAATTACGAGTGTTGTGATTGCGGTTACTGTTGCGATTGTGGTTGCGGTTACTGTTGTGGTTACTGTTGTGATTGCGATTGTGGTTGCCACGGGATGGATTTGGGTCTGATGATGAATCCGGCCATGACCCATGACTATGACTATAACTATAACTACAGCTCTAGCTCTAGCTCTAGCTCTGATTCTGATTTCGATTCCGATTCCGATTTCGATGATTCTAACTCGTGATCCCCCCCAGGTTCCATGAACCCCCAAGGCATGATCACCAAGAAAATCAAGCTCGACCAGGTCGCCGAGGAGGGATTCAAGACTCTGATCGACGACAAGGAGAACCATGTCAAGATCCTGGTCGATGTTGGCGCGGGGATATGATGCGTGGTGGTGGTGAGTGGTGAGTGGTGTACTCAAGTATGGTAGGGAGCTGTGGACGGTGGACAGTGGACGGTGGACGGTGAACTGTGATTTAGGTAGTGAACTGTGAAAACAGACAGATTGGACACGCACCAAGCAAGGTCCAGTAGGGAAAGAGACGGCTACAGCTATAGCTACGAATACCAAGGGATTCGATGGGCGTGGAAACCAACACCTTCTTGGGATGAATTACATGTACGCTCTGTATTCAGTATTCAGTAATCGGTATCCAGGGTATGAATTACATGTACACTGAGTATTCAATATTCAATCTTCTATCCAGAGCATGATGCTACTTCCTTCCTTGCTAGCTCCTGGCTCATACAGCACCAGGGGCTGTTACGCAGCTCGTACCAGACAGCAGACAGCAGACAGCAGACGGCCAGACGGCCAGATGTGAGCAGACAGCCACATGCGAAGGTAGAGGGGCAGAGGGCAAATCGAGCCAGTTCGTATGCTCCTGCTCCCCGCCGGAGGGACTATGGCCCAGACTTGCTGTCGCTGTCGTCACTGCACTGCACCAGGCTGGGATTAATATTAATTTTTTGCATCATTCTGACTTTGAGTTTGACTTTGGCCCTGACTCTCACGCCGGTTGTGACTCCGATTGCGACTCTCACTCCGACTTTGACTTCGACTTTGGCCCTGACTTTCACCCCGATTGTGACTCCGACTCCGACTCCGACTCCGACTTCTATTCTCCCTCCGACGCCAGCCCACCACCCCGTCGGCCAACTTGTGCTCGGTAAGCAGATCCTTATTGATATCGTGATGGCGGATGAACAGACCGACCAACAAGGCCAGGGCGGCCAGGGCGCAAAAGACGGCGAAGACGCCGCGGAAGCCGTGGACGTAAGCGTTCAATATGGCGGATCGGTGCGGCGAGGGATGCGTGTCGTGCAGTACGGCGATATAGGCCTCAGCGTTCCGGGCAATGTCCGGGTCGAGATGCAGGGCGACCAGACGCCGCTTCATGACGTTCTGGAAGACAGAGCCGCCGATGCCGACGCCGACGGCCATGCCGAAACTGCGCAGGAAGGCGTACATAGCGACGGCGGCGCCTTCGTGGCCCGCGACCGAGACGGCCTGCGACGCCGTGTTGAGCGCGTTCAGCAGTAGGCCGTGGCCGAGGCCCAGCATCACCAGGATGACCACCCACACCGCAGGGCTGGTGTCGACGTCCCACAGGATGGTCGGCCCCGTGGCCAGCGTGGTCAGCGTCCAGCCGGCCCAGATGGCCCAGCGGTACCGTGCCGTGCGGGTGATGACCGAGCCGACCAGCACCGAGGCCGGGATCAGGGTCAACATGACCGGAAGTAGGCATACTCCAGTTCGAAGGGGCGAGCTGAGTTTGGCCGATTCGAAGAAGAACGGGATGTAGTATAGCTGTCCGTAGAGCTGGAGTCACAGTCGGGTGTGTTAGCTGGTTGATTCGATCGTTATGTCATGTAAAATGATAATTGCAGTCATGAAAGTCAACTGTGGAAGAGGGAAGTAGAGGCGAAGAGGGGATAATTCCAGTCTTGAAAGTCAAGTAGGGGGAAGAGGGGGCACTTCCAGTCATAAAATCAGGTAGGGGCAGAGGGGACAAATCCAGTCATCAATGTCAGGAGGGGAAGAGAGAATACAAGTCATGAATGTAAAGTAGGGGAAAGAGGGGACAATTCCAGTCATGAATGTCAAGTAAGGGCAGAGGGGGCACTTCCAGTCATCAATGTCAAGCAGGGGGGAAGAGGGAAGACCAACAAACACAAACAGACAAACCCAAAAACAGGGAGGGAGACAGAAACGCGTCCAAGACAAAACGTACCAGCAGACCTTGGGCAAAGGCGCCCATGTAGACGGCCACGGCCGAGCGGTGGTTGAATAGCGAATGTCGAAGGAATGGATGGCTGGCTCCAAAGCATTCCCACAGCGAAGTGGCCACGAGTCCAACAGCCCCGACGGCCAAGGGGACGACGGTGCGCCAACTGCCCCAGGGTTCCTGCGTGCCACCCCACGACACGGCAATGAGGACGGCTGTGGCGGAACAAATGAACAGGATTCCACCCAGCCAGTCGACGCGGGTGACCATGTCGGTCCAGGAGGAGCTGGCTTTGCGATTGCGATTGTCATTGTGACCGCTGGCTTTGTGATGGAGATTGTCATTGTGGCCGCTGGCTTTGCCATTGTGACGCTTCAACCGGACGAACAGCGGCACGCATACCAGGCCAATGCCCGCCAACGGGAACATGATGTAAAAGACCCATCGCCAGAGTGTGGGCGTGGCCAGCCCTCCGCCCACGATCGGTCCGACACATGTGCCCAAGGCCCAAGCCCCTTGACTAGATGGGAGACTGAGGTTAGCAATGTTGGGGGAAGAGACAGCGACAGCGAGCGACAGCGACAGCGACAGCAACAGCAACAGCAACAGCAACGGCGACCTGGGCGATCGATCATAAACAACAAACAGTAAGAAACGGGGGCAAGTGATGTGAGTGTGTGGCTGAATAAGAAACTAAGGGGGCAAGTGAGTGTGAGGGATCGAATAGGAAACCAAGAGAGCAAGTGGGTGAACAGAGCGGAGGATGCAAATCAACATACATGATACCAACATATCGCGGCCGGAACCTCAGCGGAACAATGTCGGAGAAGATGACGAGCGAGAGAATGATGATGCCGCCCCCTCCCACGCCTTGGATGCAGCGACCGACCAGCAAGAGAGCGATGCTGTGGGCGGTGGCGCAGAGAACGGTGCCGGTGGTGAAGGCCACTAACGAAGCAAAGAGACATGGTGGCCGACCCAGCATATCGCTGAGAGAGGCAATGAACGGCATCGTCACCGCACATGTGAGGAGGTATGAGGTTCCGATCCAGAATCCTTGTGTTGCCGTGGCGTTCAAGGCTTGGACAATTGTCTGGTTATTCGGTCAGCATCATTGATCATCAGCTGAGACCTGAGACCGGAGACCGTCCAGTCCAGAGGGAGTTCCGTCTGGTACCGTAGGCTCCAGGCCACATATCATACCGAAAGAGAGGTGATGATGACCGTCGCGTCCAGTGAGACCATCAACGAGATGATGGCCAGAGTCAACATGATCATCAGTTCTTGTGTGCATGGTTTCCAGCCAGCCATGTTTGGGGGCGGTATATGTTTGGGCGCTTCCATGTCCTGCTCCACGTCCTGCTTCAGGTTCTGCTTCAGGTTCTGCTCCACGTCCTGCTCCACGTCCTGCTCCACGTTCAAGTTGTCTTGGTCTTCTTTGAGCGTCGCCATGTTATGTGAAAGCGCAGCGCAGCGCAGATTCAAATTGGGCAGGTTGAGGTTGAGGTTGAGGTGGAGGTGGAGGATGAGCTTGAGGCTCTGAGTGCTGGGTACTTGATACTGGGTACTGGAGTCTGAGTCAGTTTGGGTTTGCGTGTTTGGAGTCTCTCTCTGGTGATGGTGATGAAGCCGGCGTGATGGCCAGATAACACAACACTGGTGCCCCGTGGTTGTGGCTGTGGTCAAACTGAAATCATCATGTGGCAGACGAAAACGTAGTGAGGATCCGGATCCCAGCATGTATGTTCCTGTTAAGTTAATTTGATGAGATGGAACAGTGAGCATTCACTGCTGGGGCAGGGTAGGCCAGTGGGAGGGAGTGATCATGGAACAAGACAAGCGCCATCAGAGTAGGATAGACACGGCGTCCGCTTGGAGAGCACCTGAGATACTCAACTCAATAGATGTCATCACTTGTCAACATCGTCTGCCATCAGGTACACAGTATATTAGACAGGACACAGTACACGAGACACAGGACACAGCCTACCTAACAGCAACTCTCATCTGCCTGGTAGCGATGGCATGGAGATGTAACAGCATTGGCATTGCGGTATCCCCATGGGCCGTCGATTCAGTGCTAGCTCTCTCTTGGAGGGTTAGGCGACAAATACCCTACAAAGGCTCGATCAATATCAGACCTGTTTCCACATTTCACTGCCGACCGCTCACTGAATCATTCAGCCAAGATGCTCCAGTTGCCACATCCAGTCTGTCTTGGGGTGAGGGCTTGAAGGCCAGCCTCAGCCTCGGCTGTAGTGATTTGTAGATTTCATTGTGTCTGTCTGTTCTGTATGCCTGTCTGCTGTGTGCCTGTCTGCTCTGTATGTCCGGACGATTCTCTATTGGTGGCATGGAGACAGGAAAACACGTCGTCTCTGACGCCCACAGAAGCCTTGAATGCACCACAACAACCTGTTGGCAATACCGATAACAGCAATGTACTCCGTGCTCGGCATCGACCTCGGGTCGCTGTTCCATTAAACCGCCCGCATTCCCAGTCGCCCACCAAAGCCTCGGTATGCACCTGCGTCCGTATCGTTGGTTTACACTCCAATGTCCGAAGGAGACCGTCGTCACGTTATCGCTGCGAATGGAGGACCTCGCTCCTGGACTGTTGAGGGCGAGGTGACGGCCCGGAGGTTGCCCTGACGATTGATCGAATCCTGGAGTGACTGACAGGCTCCCAAGGACGGGTGAGTACGGTACGCCCTTAATCGTCGTGGTCGAAGAGCCTCCTCCCTCGTATCACATGGTGCAAATTTTCCCCAATCATGTCTTCTCATTAAGCCCCTGGGTTCATAGGGAACGAGTGATTTACAGCGATGTTGTGCCCCTGTGTCTGGCTGTCTCTCGTCTGTTGTCACGGAGGACTCATCTCACCCTTTCTGTTGTATCAAAGCCCGAAACCGATTTGACCTTCTCCTGTTTTCGTGAAGGTCTAGACTCACCCACCCTTTCTGTTGTAGTAAAGCCCGAAACCGAGTTGACCTTTTCCTGTTTTCACCAAGGTCTAGACTCATCCACCCTCTTCTGTTGTCTCAATATTCAGACTCATTTTGCCTCACGTTCTTTTTCTTGTCCCTCTCCTTCCTCTCTTCTTTAAGGTTCTGGAGCTGCTTCTCGAGGATCTGCTCCAGGCCTTCATTCCGTCGAGTCAACAGCATGACATCGTCCGTCGTGATCGTTCTTCTCCCGCCATGTTTGGCGAAAGCCTCGAGGTCAACAGCGACATTACCTGTAGCAGGCGTCAACATTAGCGTTTGTCCACGCAGACTTGACAGGAGATTGCTTACCGATATGCGCCCAGACCAACTCCATCAGACTTCCAATGAACTGCGGCGTCGCATTCACACCCAGGGCGATACTCTCATCGTCGACGATTTGGCCGATTTTGAACCAGAGGGCCGAACGGAGATTCTGGAGATAGTAGACGCCACGATGTCAGCACAGTCCCAGACGAGTGAGATGCAATTAGTAGTCCCAGACGAGTGAGATCCAATTAGTAGTCCCAGACAAGTTGAGTGAGATCCAATTCCGTGGTTAGTAGTGACAAACAAAGTCCCCCTCCCCCTCGCTCCGAGGAAGGCGGTGGATCTCGCGTACCTTATGCACCGCCTCGGCTTCTTCAGCCATCTCTGCAATGATCCTATGTGTACTCTGTACTCCGTATGCACTATGCACGGCGAAAGTCGGCGCAGGTTGTCATATGTGTAGGTAGGTGCAACATGCAACAAGCAACATGAATTCACACGTCGTTCAACATCGCCACTACTACTGATTGTTACACAAGACGCGACGTGTTTGATCCGGCGGAGCAATGGTGACATATGTGTGCACGCACTGAACGGCGGATCAATGATGCCAGTTGGCACATTTTGCCCCTGTTCCGCAGCCTTGCCGCAAGCTGGAATTGAACGAACATCTGAACATCAGGTGTCGGCCAAACGTTGTTTGACTACGAGTAAGGTATCCATCTGTTTTACTATTTCGTTTCTTCTACCAAAGGTCGATCATGCGCTTCCTTTTCCACGACTAGATCTGTCTAGAACATGGCAACTGCCTGGCACCTACCTGGCTCTCAAGGACCTCATACTCAGGTATGGCTTGCCTCGCTCGTTGTTCAATCTAGAAGTAGCTCGACTGTCTGACCTCCGGTGACCGCCAGCGCTATTGTTCCCGACATGAAGCACACCAGGTGGTCCATCTTGGCCGTCAAGGGCGTGCCAGGTCCATTTGGCCTCTCAGCTGTAGCCATGCTGTGCGGAAGTATCGGCCTGGAAGCTAGCCGGTCCTCTAGGCTCAGAATGCCGTGCGTGGGTGGTGCTACTGCCTACCGACGATGACATCCTAGTTTCACGGACAGATTGTCTCTGCAGATGATGTATGTTAACAATTTTGGAGTTCAAGTGCTATATGCCTGTGCTTGACAAAGCCGGGCCGATTGACTGCGCCGGTCGGCGAGCAAGACCATGCCAGCGGGATTATAAGCACTCTGGTACCTGCCGAGCGGGCATTGCTTGAGAGAGCAGGGAAGGAAATAGTAAGCTGAGGGACAAATGTCTCTTGAACCTCCAGGCCCTTGACCGTCTGTCCTGGCCGCATTGACTGATGGCTGCTTCGACACTTCTTTCGCCGTCGTTCCATTGCTCGGTCTCCATTCACCGGGACGGCACATATCAGCAGCCTCGGAGTTCAATCTGCCTTTGATCCGCAACGCAAGTAGACATGACTCTGGAGCAATCAAACCTACCCTCCAACTCCATCTCCGGACCTCTTCGAAGGAAGCTGCCGTCCCCACAACTTCATGTCCTCTTCTGCGAATCGCCTTTGACAACCTGGAAGCAAGTCCCTCAATCTGGTCGAGACTTTTCGTGGAAGCTTCTTTCTCATCGCATTTATCCAGACACATCCATCACTTCTCACGCCTCTTCGCGAATGCCATGTTTCGCCATCGAGTAGAGCGCTCCCTCGTCTCTGAGCTATGTCTCGGATTTTGGCTTGCCAACACCATCCAGGCAGTTTTGAACCTGAAGGTGATCGTGATCCGTAGTATTCTTGGCCGTTCCAGCATCCCACGGCGCAAGCTGGCCATATAAGGATAGCAACATGTTGATAGTCAATGAATCCCGAGCTATAGGAGCCGAATTAGCCATGCAGTTTGCTCTGCTCACAAGGTCTTGGTCAGAACCACCCCCGAACTGACCACCTCAGTTCGCCCTGCTTTTTTTGGATTTATTTTTTCCCGCATTTTTGCCCTTGCTCTTCTGGCCCCCCTCTTCGGGCTTGACCAAGCCAACGATCTTGCCGTCGCGAGCCACGACCTGGGTATTCCTCTTGGCGCCATCGCCGGGCTGCGTCCCTGGCATCACCACTGTCGTGGCCACTGTACCCTCCCGCTGCTTCTTGAGGAAGGCGAGACGCGCCTCGATCTCGGCCTGGCGCGGGTCTGGCTTCCCGCTGATCTTGCGCATCAGCGATTCCAGATGCGGTCGGAAGAGGAGGTACGTCGCGAGCAACACCACCAGCCGCAAAAATGACTGGAGATTTTCGCGCGTCAGGTAGGGCTGCACGTGCGGGGGGAGCTGGGAGTGAAGGGTGGACGAGATTGTCTCGACGCGAGTGAGCAAGGCATCCATGACGAATATCAAGTCTGGGAGGGCGGATGGTAGATGTGATTTGAGGAGAGCTTGTAATTGAAGCTTGTAGAGGAGAAGGTGTTCCGTACAGGTACTCCGTACAGGTACTCCGTACAGTGCACAAAGGGACACTGCACCCAATGCGCCTCCGTAGACCCTAAGACCGCCTTTTAGGCATGGTCGGCTCCCGGGGCGGCGCGCTCCGTCTTGACAGGCGTCGACAGCTTGAAACTTGACTGTATAACAGTTTCACAACGCTAATCCCCGGCATCGTGGCAGAATGGCAATGGCCGACTTTTCGATCGGGTGCTTCGCAAAGAGCTAACTGGTACAGTATGTAAGGTCTAATACAATCGTCTCAATTCATCGGCCCAGCCCCGGACCTCCTCGACACTGACATTCAATGCCTCCTCCATCAACCCGCCCTCTCTCAGCACTGTCTCTAGTTCTTGGTCGGTTAGAGCCTGAAGACCCTGCTCAATCATCTCGCCATCCACAACGCGAAATGGTTCATCCCTTTCCAGCACTTCCGTTTTCCAAGCACGGAATTTCGCCCACGGCATATATCCGGGCGCCTGCACACGGGTGGCGAGAGCAGCTTGGAGGAGCAACAGGACATTGACATAAGCCGGGCTGATGGTTGCGAGCATGTAAATCGCACCTTCAATCGTCGCGAGAAAGGTGCGGGGCGTAACCAGTGGCCCAGCTCGCGGCTGTGTAGGATCAAGCGACCCTTTCCCGGCGCCGTCTAACCCTGCATGGATGCTGGCGTCCGTCGTCTGTTGGTCTGAAAGAGGCAAATGTCGGTGGTGTGAAGGCGGCGATATGGTGACGATCTTGTTGACAACTTCTCCTAACCGGAACTCGCCTGTCACTTCCAGACGCCGTCGAGCTGCCCTGTTGTCAGAGTCCAAAGAACCTTGTCGGAGCATGATGAGATTTCCCTCCATGTCCGCGACCACCCATTCATCTTCTCTCAGGACCGCCGTGGAGGAGGACCACAATGTTGCGAAATGCCGAGATGTCTCTTGGAGTCGGTACTCCGGGTTGGAAGATTGAGGAGGGAGCACTTGGAGAATAGACAGGGATTTCATCAAATCGGCCACCGCGATCAGGGCCGGTGCTTCTGGGGAGGCCGGGGTCACGGCTATCGACAGCGGGTTCGTCGACGTTCGATATGCCGCCAGCTTTTGCAGTTCCAGGAAATAGTCACTGATCGCCGACGGTATCAGGCCATACAGAACAACCTGATCGCTCTGTTAGCAGAAAAACTCGTTCGAGTAGCTTTCAAACATACCGTTTTCACCAGGCCAGCCACAATTTTGCCGTCACACATGGCCAAACTTCGACATGCACCGTTAACCTTGGTTTGAGCGACCTCTCGGAGATTCTTCTCCTTGTCGACTTCGAAGACGAGTATGCGTCCTTTTGTGACTTCCTGCCCGGCATCATTTTCCTCCAAAATGCTAGTGCCCACGACAAACATATCGCCATAGCCTTTAGACTCATCCTCCGTATCAAGGGATCCCGTTGATACGATACATTCCACAAGCTCTCGGTCTTGTAGTTCAATCGAGTCAAGTTCTTTAAAGTTGACTTCATCTGCGATCTTGACGGAGCTAAGTAAAGCTTCAGTACCGCTCTCCATGATCCGACGAACACAGCCCATGGCAAACATCTTTGCCGTCGGCTCGTAGGTTAGGCAGCGTATAGTTTCCCCAATTGGGAGAGTTTGCAATTGCGTTGTTCTCTCCTTTCCGATCAGGGCAAGCTTAAGTTCCTTCGGCGTAGCCATGGCTATGGCTTCTGGATATGCTTCACAGTTGAAGTTGCATACACGAGACTCGCTTTCGGCGTTGACGGCCGAATAGATGATTCGGCCTTCGGATGAATAGATCAGTGATGGTTGCTCGCACGAGGCGAAGACGTTCGACAGAGTCGATTGAGAATCATTGTCCTTAGGCAGCTGCTTGAACACCACAGGTTCCCTCCCCAGCAATATCCTCGTCAATCCAGACAGAGAACGTTTGGAGGCGTCAAATAAATACGACAAAACAGTGCCGTCGGCCATCGCCACAAATAGAGTAGGGGGAGCATCAGGAAGAACGTGCGCCACTAATACCGATCGTGGGATGTCCGTCCCAGGAGTTCCAAGAGTCTGTGTCAGAAGAGTATCGAGGGAATGCAGATCGAGGATCGCAACCGACGCTGTCTGCCAGAAAGATACAATGCACATGTTGCTCTGTGAGTCTGCGACCGTCACGCTGGATATTTGCGAGTCCGGTGGGAATGCTCTCGAAACGGTCGGCTTGGATCCGTGATTGGCGGCGTGGAATACATGGAGGGTATGGCCGCCTTCCACTACAAGGAGGTGCACAGAGTTCGCACACGCTGCTGTGATTTTTGCGGCTGGAGTAGGAGGTTCCCATTCTAGTGTAAGCATATTGGATTCGAGGTCTGTGATTCGCAGCCCACTTTCGTATACTTGAACAAGCTTGCGATCAGGGAGATTTGCCGCGAACAGGGTCGGCTGGGAAAACTCCAAGTGGTGAAACTCGTCCACCTCCTCCACGGCTGCTTCAGAGTCGAACTTGAAGATGCGCGTTTCGGTGGCGAAAGAGACGAGAAGTGTATCGTGCACACCATTCTGTCCTGTCGAGCTCAGTCCCCAAAGATCTGTGATATGAGACAGTTCCCCGATGGTGCCGAGTTCTTCGAGACCGACACCGCTCCTCACACTTCGGATGGCGCCATCCTGCCATGCCCCCGAAGCTGTCACTATTCGCGCTTGGCCGGAGGAGAATTCAGGGGCCTGTCCTCCTTCGGCACCCCTGCCCAAATCCATGATTGTGAAATCCAAGATGGGTGCAATGTTGGCAAAGGTCTGGACAACGAGGACTCCTAGTTCTTCAATATGCACCACCTGGGAATCCCCTGAATGTGAGCCAACAAAAACATAGCCTTCGTCAAGATACACCAAGCACGCGGCCTTTGACGCGACCCCGACAGTATCCAGCCTCCATGACGACACCTCATATCCCGAAACATCGATCATCAGGAAGAAGAGCCTGCCGAAATCATCGGCAAGCAGCCATCGTTGGTCATCGATCTTGGTCCAGCATGACCAGATGGTGGCGTTGTCTTCCAGAGGCTGTGTGATTACGTTGGATAATTCGCGGTCGACGTAGCGGATGGCATGGTCGCCTAGAATCAGGAAGCCCCCGTAAGGCGCCGAGACGGGGATGAGATGGCTGACTCCCTTGTCCAACTGGTCGCCATGCAGTTCAGCGATCGTCTCAAACTCTGCTGTTGCTTGTTCACCGCCAGGGTAGTATTTTAGCTCGCGCAGTTTCAATTGCGGATTCTCCAAGTTGTCTTCCCACAAGATTGCCAACTTCGGGTTCTCTTTGGAGTCTGGATCCGTGTCCAGAAACGCGGATGACCTTGACAACAGTTCTTCGATCCGGACCTGGACGGGTTCGCCCAGGGTTCCGACCTGTGGATTTGTGGCGTGTTCTCTTTTGACCCGTTTGTTCGTGGGCTGCACGAAAGGGAGGACTGAGATCACTCCGTCATATAATTCTAACGTCATGTACCGTCCGGTAGGGTCTATGTGACACCTGTCCACCTCTTTGGAGTTGTGCAAGACGTTATCTGCCAAGTCGACATAGCTTTGCTCGGTCTGCAGCTGCTTGATGTCCGCATTCCATGAACATGTGAAGTAGTGGTATCGATCGGTCCCGACAAACAGGTGGTCAGTTTTCGACGAAGCTGGTCGGAGTTTCTCGAGTATTGTGATGTAGCCGTAGACGGTCTTCGAGTACAATAGTGCCAGCCCTTCGGACCCTTGCTCGTATATCTCTAAACGGTTCGCTTTCCTAGGACAAAGCTCAGTGTATTGCCTACGACACTGCGTGGAAAGGCACTCACGCGACGATCAGAGTCTCGGCATTTGGGTCGAGGAAGTTCAGCTTGATCGCATCCCGCACACCGCTAGGACGGTGGATTGGTACGATATAAGACATCTGGACGAGGTGCTCGAAAACGCTCTGCCGATCCTCTTACAAGGGTTGTCCTGACCTATTGTAGGTCGCCGGGAGTTGAGAGAGAGGACATCTGCCAGAGCTCGTCGAACATCGAGGGACCTCGAGCAGCTCTCAAGAAACTGCGGACTAACTTTGTCGTCGGGGCCAGGCTGTAAGTACAGAGTAACTGAGTATATGGTATGCAGCACGCCGACGGGATTCAGCACCTGCCACGGTACCTGTTTCGGAATCCTAATCTTGCCGCTTTATAAAGGCATCAGGTGACCTGGCTCAACCCCTCCGCTCAGCCTCGTCGTGAGGCAAGCTGACCTCGGTCAGGCTGTGAGGACTCTCCAAGTAATATGGCAACCCCTCTTGTCCTGCTAACTCCGCTCGATCTTCTTATCCTCCCATCCCTCGGAACGTAAAACGTAAAGAAGCTTTACCTGTATCTGAAAGAATCATTGGTACAAGCTCCCACTTTACTACACTTTTACCAAACTATTCCTACCTGGCAACTGCCGTCTTGCATTATGAGCCTTCCAGTCGCCATCCTCTCCGGCACCCCTGGATCAGGCTGTAGTATGAAATGTAATCGAGGGCCATGGAATCCTTATTTCTATTCGACCATTGACATGCCTGTCAAAAAGCACGACGGGGGCAAGTTGTACAGGAAACCCGCGTGAGAAATTGTCCGCCGAGTCGGTCTCATTCCTGACCGACTTCTTCGCGTTCAGAAGGCAATACGTCGAATCTGCCATCTTCATATGCCGACCTGGCAAAGTGCGACCATGTATCGGTGCGACATCAATTCTGGACAGTCAACGACCCATTTACTCTTCACATAGCCTATAACCGCCTGCATTCTGATCATTCCCCTGGTCTTCCAAAGGCATCTCGGAACTCCTGGAACCACAAAGTCTCAGTACTACATTGATGCAAATGGTTACTGCTCTTACCTGGAGCTGACTCGACTTGTTAACCACGCCCACATACGAATCGCTGGAAAAAGCACCAGCGGCAATATCTCTCTTCATATCCTGGACCATGGCCACTTTCTGCTGGACTATCAGTGTCTCTCCGAGGACGCCAATACCCTGGGATCATATCTCACCTCTTCGAACGAACCACGGACACGATATCTGATCGTGTTCACCTCCTTGGTCTGGCCTAAGCGATGGATGCGCGAGAGAGCCTGCTCCTCGATCATTGGGTTCCACTGAGGCTCTAACAGATATGCTCGCGAGGCAGCCGTAAGATCAAGGCTAAAATGGGGATTGTCAGCGTATCATCTCAGGGCTTGTAGAGGAAAACGCATCCGCCTTTGCACAACGTACCCTGTCCCACCACAAATTATAGAGACTAAGATGACCCGGACGGAGTCGTCGGTCTGAAACCGCTGGATTTCCTGCTCACGCCTAGTTCTCGAAAGGCTGCCGTCGATTCTAGCATATGGGATTGTCCCACGTTGGCGCAGTAACGACTCGATGAGGTCGAGCGTATAGGTCCAGAACGAGAATACCACACTGCAATGTACGGTCAATAAACTGGACTGCATCGCATCGAATAAAGTCAACGATACCTCTTCTCCGCCTTCTCGTACTGCTGAAGGTCTTTCAGAAGTGTTTTCAGCTTGGTCGAAACCTTCCCTTCCTCTATTGACGGAAGCCTAGCCTCGAGCGATTTGTTCGAGGATTCTGGGGCCCAGGACACTTCGGCCTTGGGGCAGACTGGGTGGCAGCCACACCCGGGAACTTTCTCGCCATTCAAACGGTTTTGAATACACAAGCCGCAGACGACGGTCAGGCATTTGGACAGTGAGGGCTTGGAATGCTCGAAGCTGTCGGCCTCGCCGGCCCCGGCCGCCAGGTTGGCGTCGCACAGTTTGCAAATCGCTGAGCCGGCGTCGACCAAGGTCGCGAAAGCCTTCTTCGCCATGGACTTGTTCCATGGTCCATCCGAAGACACGACCGTGGGAGTCTTGTGCGCTTCTCTTTTTGAATGCATCAATCCATGGTTGCAGATGAGACGGAGCTCATTTAGCCATTCCAACGCGTTGAGATACACGCCTGGGGTGATGGGGTTGACGGAGAGGGCTTCGTCGAGCTTCTGGACAGTGCGGTTCTTGGCTGATTCATAGAGATCTGCTTCGTCGGGTCCGAGGTCAACGTATTTGATCATGTCTTTTCGATGAGGGAGGTCGATGATCGCCTTCGTGCGACACAGAGACAGATATCTGATCAATTTCTTGAGCCGAGACGTGTCTTTGTCAGCCGACTTCAACCAGGGCTTGACCACTGTCGTTTCAAAGATCTTTGGATCTCGGAAGGGCTCAAGATGGAGGAACTCGAGAAGGCTTCCGAGATCATTTGGCTTGTTCTGGATCGGTGTCCCGGTCATTGCCCACCGTCGACTTGCTCGAAGAGCACAGCAGGCTTGTGCAATGGCGGTAGACCGATTGCGGATGACGTGGGCTGTCGCACAGTGTCAGCAGAATTCCCTCGATCTAGTCCAGCAGGGTTACCTTCGTCAAGCACAATGCGATGCCAGGCGAAGTAAAACAATGTACTACCGGTCCGCTTGGGGTCGTTGTGCTTCTTTAGCTGCCCCATGAGCGTTTCATAGGTAGTGATGACGATATCATAGCCGCCCAAGGACAGCAGTTTGCGCTTCTGGGAGCCGTGAAACGCGAACCAGGACAAGGTGTTCGGTTTGAGATGGCTAGGGAGATCAGTGAATTGACTGACATTCGCCAGGGGGAAGGTTTCACTACCGTTCTAGTTGAGTGTCCCAAGTGTCCAACACTGTCGGTGTGAGCTCTTCTCGCACGCTGATCACGGAGACGAAGCCACTCACGAGAGAATGGGACGACAATCAATGTCGACTTGACGCGACGGATTGTTCCGTGGGCCGTAAATACAAGCGACGAAGTAAGCTGAGCAGGATTCAGTGCAATCAGCGAGATCATGGTCAATGTTTTCCCCAGGCCCATTTGATCGGCCAAAAGGCCGCCTCTGGACTCTGAAGGCTCGTACCGCTGGGACTGTTCGGTGACCAAGTTGGTGTATCTATCAGCGTTAGACTGGTCGGATGTGATGCCGGTGTGACGAACATCAGGTTTCCCATATCATCCACCTCCTTTACCCACAAACTGTCTGGGGAATCTTCGAACGACCAAGCCTGCTCTCTCTGGTTCATGAATGTCAAGGCCTTCTTTTGGTGTCTGTGCATGTTAGTGTCTCGGGTGTCATGCTCTGATACCTCCCCACGAGACTTACTTATAAAGTCCAGTACGAAGCAGGTCAGGTGGATCGGTGAGTTGAAGATGGGAGTCGTCACAATTTTGACTGAAGAGATCACTTGTAACGTCCACAGCCACGACCTCCTGGGTCGCCAACGATTCGCTTGCTGGGACTTTCAGCGACGAAGTCATGACCACCTCCTCGGAACGTGATAACAGGTGCGGGTTGAGATAAGGGACATCTCGATCACACTGCAGGGGATCTTGGAGGAACATCTTGCACTTCACCAGATAGTCACCAACCCCCTGACCAAACTCTCTGGGCCCATAGATGATCGTATTCAAGAGGTATTGAAGGTCGTTCTGGCCACTTTTTGTACCTTTAGCAGGTTTAGTGTTTGCTCGTCGTTTGGTGGCATAGCCGTACATCTGGAATGTGATGCGGGATTGGGCTGCCAGAGTGGCCAGAATCTCTGCGGTTCGCTCTTCGAGACAGCCGAATTCTCTACCCGCGGATGAGAGGACCAGTGAGTTGGGTGGTTCGAAGTGCAGGTCCAGTGACGAAGATGCTACTGTGGAAAGGCCGGTCCGGTGGGAGAGTATTGGGATTTTCGTCAGCTAGTTGGCATGAGTAGGTTGGCGGTTGAGGTTTATGTATGCGTGTTCGGGACTCACCATTCCATAGCAGTCCAGCGACTCACTGGGAAAGGGTGTATCATGATTGATCTGGTCTGTCTCCTGAGGGCCAGCCTGATGTTCTCCAGACTGGTCGTCGAGGAAAGAAAAGTCATTGTGGCCTTCATCACTCGAAATGGGTGCTCCAAGGTCAATTGGAAAGCTCTCCGAAGCATAAATCGACGGAACTGGGAGCATGGTTTGGGTCCCCGACTGTGTCTCCCATGCGGTACTCGTCCAATTTGGAGCTGCCGAGAAGAAGTAGTCTGTCGGGTCATTGTTCCACGGGATATCGTCTCCGAACGGGTCGTAGGGCATCGCTGACGAGGCTCCGGAGGCGTCATTGTATAGTCCTGTCAAAGAGTCGTGATCGCTCGTGCCGAGCTTCTGGCGTTTATTATGGCCGCCGGAATAGACTGGCTCATTGAAGCAGTCTGGAAAGGCATCGGGTTCCATGAAGCCCGCCGCCTGATTGTTTGACCACATTTGCCCCCCAACGCACTCTTGCAACACTCTCGCGTCTCACTAGTGAGCTGATGGCAGAGATTTTGATTAAGACAATGGATAGGCCGGCGAAAGCAGATCATTTTGCGAGGATGATGGTTATGAAGAAGCCTCGTCAGCCCGCTGAGGCTGAGGCTGAGGTTTTTGGCCATCCCAGCAAAGGCGGCTACTAGGACGGTAGGGCGGTGAGGTAGACGCAATATCCATGCAGGCAAGACCATGCAGTGTCCGTGTCCCATGGCGTGCCAATTGAGCCGCACATGGGTGGCCAGCGGCCTGTTGAGCCAATTGTGGCAGAGAGATGGAGGGTTCCTAAGGTGAGGAGGGTTGCCTGCGCCTCCACGGTCGGTAGGCGAAGACCGCAGCCTCTCGCAGCGCCACTACTACTACCCTGGAATCTGCCTTGCCAGAGTCGCTTCCACACTCTGCCCGTTGACATGAGTTCTTTACTCTTCTGCAGGGTCATGTTGATGGTGGGAGCCTTCACTCATGAATCAGCCTGCTAGTTCATCCATAATCCCTTGTGTTGTCGCAGCCAGGATCCTCCTCTCCGACTTTGGTCAGGCCGAGAGAAGATGGCGGCACCCCAATCACCCCAGTCGATCTTGAAAGACGCATTTCAGCGTCTGAGGGATTCCGTGACTCCCTCCGACGCTCTTCGGTTTGACACGACCGAGCTCAAGGATGTCTGGGATGCCGCGGAGGAAATCCAGAAGTCTCAACGGGAACGGCAGTCTCTCCGGGCACTCGGCCGCATCAAACCGCTGCTGGACAACCTGGAAAGGTACTCCAGGGTCATTGAAGTCCTTTGCAACGGCACTCCTTATCTTCCATGGATCTGGGTTCGTGCTATGCCTCGTCGTGCCACCCACGGGTACTGATCACTAACTGCGGTCTAGGCTCCCATCAAGTTAATGGTGCAAGTAAGGAAAAAGTCAGCCTGCAACGGGCCATCTAACAAAGTCGACAGTTGGCGAGCAACCACATCAAGATCTTCGAAATGCTACTCGATGCTTATTCCCAGATTGCATGGGCAATGCCCCATTTTGACCGGTTACGAGGCGCCTTCTCTGACGACGAGAACTTCAAAGTCATTATGGCCATGATCTACTCGGACATCCTTGAGTTTCATCAGCGTGCCTATAAGTTCTTCCGACGCAAAGGTAAGTCCCCTGACTCCCCTGCCTATTTAAGGGGAGCTTAGTGGCTGACGAGGATTCCTTTCTAGCATGGTACAAGCTGTTCGAATCGTCCTGGAAATCATTCGAGGGTCGCTTTGGCGGCATCCTTGCCAACTTGTCCAAGCACAAGGACATGCTGATGAAGGAGGCTATAGCCATTGACATCGTGGAAGCTCGGAGGTGGAGGGCACGTGCGGCCGAGGAGCTTGATAAGAAGGAAAAGGAACGTGATCAGATATACATCAGCGATACTCTGGCCTGGTTGAATGTCCACCAAGAGGACCAGGACGACGAACTTCACCGCCTTCTAAACAGGAGACAGTCGGGAACGTGTCATTGGGTCTTCAGGCACCCCAAGTTCATCAGCTGGAAGGACGACACCCGTGCTGACCGAGTCCTTTGGATGAATGGCATCCCTGGAGCAGGTATGTGTGCACCGCCCACTGCTCCACCGCTTGATATCAACCCTAGTCTGCAGGCAAGACCATTCTGTGTTCCTATATCATCGAGAAGCTCCAGCATGAGTCCCAAACAACGACTGCCTATGTAATCTGCAACAGCTATACTCAAGGCAAGAATATCGTGTCCGAGAATCTGCGAAGCCTGGCTGCCCAACTGTTGCGGGCGAATCGAGACCTGGTACCGCACGCATTTGACAACTACGCCAACAAGTCGTTGCCGCCATCAATCACCCACGTGAAAAAGTTGATTCTGGACCTTTTGAACATAATTCAGGAGACTCGTATCTTCATCGATGGCCTAGACGAATACTCCATCTCCCAACAACGATCGATGCTGACCGAGATCTTACCGTTTGCAAAAGTCAGCGGAGGGGAGTGCAAGATCATCATCTCGTCTCGAAATGTTCCTGACATTTCTAACAAGTTGAAGAACAGACCGCTGATCTCATTGAGGGACGAATACTCGGGTGTCGAGGGAGATATACAGAATTATCTGAATGAGAAGCTGCAAGAGCTGAGAGAGAGGTTCGAGGGCAAAGATAGGGAGACGAAAGATATCCTTGACCTGGTCACATTGAAGGCCGACGGTTTGTGTGGCCAGTTCCTGGCTTGCTCATTTGCTCACATAGTGACTGACAGGCATGTTTCTCTGGGTCCGCCTGATCCTGAAGGAACTCGAATCGTGCTACAGTATGGCGGAGCTCAGGAAGACTGCCGAGGAACTGCCCAAGGGCATCGAAGAGGCGTGAGTGGCCCCATGCTCCATGCTCCATGCTCCATGCACTGAGTCGACTTAGGTATGGTCGGGTCCTTCGACGTGTCACCGAGGAGATGAACCCCAAAGATTATGCAAAGGCCATCCGTATCCTAGAGTGGCTTGCCTGCTCCTGTCGGCTCATGAAAATGTGCGAGGTGCAGGACGGGATCGTCTTCGACGCTGACAATCTGGTGCTGGACGATGAAACAAAGCTTTCTCCCGACGTGTTAGATATCTGCAAACCGCTCATCGAAGAGGGCCCCAACAAGACCATCGACTTTGTGCATTACTCGGCCAAAGAGTGAGACGCTTGTGGCTTGGCTGATTGCACGGCTGACAAAACACAACAGATACATCCTGGACAGAGTCAGTGGACCTTTACTGCAAGAAGCCCGGGCGCATTACAACATCGCCTTCTCGTGCATCACGTACTTGAACACGGCCGTCTGCTTTCTCCCACCCGATTCATCCGCCGAGGATGCTGTGTTGACACGAGTTGCCAAAGGCTTCCATGGCTTGCACAACTACGCGAACGAGTACTGGTTTCAACATTTACTCCAATGTGCCCAGGATCTGGTCGATTTAGACGCCAGCGGAGTTATGGACGCGGCTCTCCGTACGCTTCGGGACGGATACTGGAAAGGCAGGCCGGGCCATACAGCTGAGAGTCTCAAATTGGACGACACCACGACTGCGAATGAGATCTACGAGCAACTCACGATATTCCGCGACCTCGACCATGTCCGACAGATGGGAACTGACATGCAAACCTTTCGGGCACATTTGGTCCAGGAGAGACACGCGCATGAGATGGCAGCCAGTAAGTGTGCTTCACAGACGTTCTCTGCCAAAATTGACCCGTGTCCAGAACATCACGCCTACGAGCTGAAGCACGACCCTACCCATTTCAGCCAGATTAGCCACCGGTACCAAGAAGTGGTTCTCTCCCTTTTGACTTGTCAGCTTGACGATGTGCCGTCAAGCGTCGACCAGAAAACACTCGTCGAGTTCAGAAAGGTGTATGGAGAGTCTGAGTTTACCTGTCGTTTCCATGATTGCCCCTTCCACTCGGATGGCTTTCACACCATCCAGGCCCGGAACGACCACGAACTGAGCCACGTCAAGACGCTTCGGTGTGCCGATCCGACCTGCGAGTTCTTCGCCCGAGGCTTCTCCAGTAAGACCGGGCTGCTGAAGCACAATCGCAAATACCACCCCAGTCCGGACGAGGCGCAGCTGCCGGATTTTGTGCCGGTCAGACCTCCTACCCCCAAACCACCTTCTCCAGTGACATCACCTCTACCAGCCCCGAACTGGCCTCTGCCTCCTCCTCGCCCATCTACCCCTCCCGCTCCCATCGTCGAACCAGATCCACGTCCGGCCTCAGAGTCAAGGGAATGGCGTACGCCAATCCCGAAAGTGCGGCAGAAAAGAGGCAGACGGGGCCTTCGTGTCCATGACTGTCATTGTGGCAAGGTATTCATGAGAGCCGAGGCTCTGAGGTATGTCTGTGGTCAGGTGGATCGCTGGATGTGCTGCAAAGAAACTCACACTGGATATCCTTCAGGCGCCACCAACTCAGCCACCTGCCTCCTCGGTTCCATTGTCGGTATGAGAATTGCAGCAAGTCCTTTCACCGGGAAGATCTGTATGAGAGGCATCTCGGGACACAGTAGGTTGATCCCCTCCCCTGTTCGGGACATATGAATGATCTGAACCAAAGCCGTTCCCAAAGTCGGTCCCAAAGTCGGTCCCGAAGCTGTTCCCAAAGCCCATAATGGCTGTCGAGGGTGTAGCAGTAAGACCTGGGTCGCCGTTGAAGAGCTCTTTTCTGAGGTGCTCCTGCACGAGAAAACGGTAGGGCACTACGGACCGATTACCCGACAACTTCCACAGCACAAATTGCCAGTCACGTACGATGACTGCAAAGCAGAACGGCGATTGGTAAAACTGCAAGGTGTACGGAGTATGTATTCAAACCAGCCTTTGGCCGGCGTGGCCGGCCCGTTGCCCGTTGCCCGTTTCCCGCCTGACTCTTTTCCCAATTGGGAGAAGGGTCGGCCCGTAACGATTGCCTGGCGATGACGTCGCCAATCGATGAGACCACCAAGACCGTGAGACTACTCCGTACTTTGAACTCCATCCGGGGCCCAACCACATGACAAGTCTCCGAACCATTGACGAAACAACACTCAGTCCAGCGTCAATGGCAGACGTTCCAAAATTCGAAAGAGAAACTTCGCGTTGCACTTCGATATCAGACCTTGAATGTCCCTGGAACGCCAGCTGAGCGAGCGAAGAAAGTCACCAATGGCTTTGCCATACTTCACCTGCAAAGGGACTTCACTTACGAAACGGACTTCATCCATCTTCCTTCCGATTTCGACTGCGATGAGCGTAAGACTATCTGGATATTGTGTGACTTCAACCTCCGACACCCAGTAGGATGTGTGGACGAAATTCCCCTACAGTCGTGGAAAGTCACGTACAGCCCGGAACAACAGCCGTAGGTTCTTTCCCTCGTTCTCGACGTGGTGCCTAATACGGACGCCTAGTTATTTCAAACCATACAGTTCGCTCAGTCTGAGAGATTTCACAAAACAATATCCATGGGGCGGAAGCGAGAACGAATGGCAATTCCGGCTACAGCACCAAGACCATCAGGCGGTGTCTGTGTAAAAGGGTCTCTCGTCACCTGGTCCTGCCCTTGGCCAAGGGTTCCCCTGTGTGGAGACCAAGACATATGTGGACGAGCTTCACTTCTCAGCTGTGGAGTTGTTTGGAGGCAGCTATTGCAAGGAGAAAGGCAAAGATCGACGTTATAGAGTCTGAATATCAAAAACCCCCTTCTACCGTAGAGAGGTTTCCGCCTTTATGATTGGTAGCCTACACTTCTCAGCTTCTGGGCAGTGCTAATTCTTTGAGATAGAAGAAACTAAGAGTTCTGTATGGCTGAACTCGCAGTGAGCCTTGAAGCAAGCGCAAGCCATAAAAAGCCACACTCTTGTTGGCGTCTTGCACTGCCTTGAACATGTATCTGAGGGACATATCAAAGTCCACTTTATGTGGGATTTGGAGGCCATTGGAGCAAATCCCAGTCACATGCATAAGGTTAAGAAATTCAAGTTCCCTCCTCTACCAAAGTGAGGATGACCGCGTCGTGATTGGACAAGAGTAATCTACTACCAGTATGGAGAGTCGAAGTTCTGAGCAATGTTCAGCCGGGGATGATTTGGAGGCCATATAGCTAGCGATCTAATTTATTATCCGTGCACGGATACGAAATCCAACTTTCACCCTCTACCAAAGCAAGTGTGACTGTGTGATGATTAGGTAAGGGTGATCTACTGCCAGTCTCTCTGGTGTCTCCAGGCTGGGACGTGACATCAGCCAGAGTTCTAAGAAGCAATGTCCGTACACCGCATGACTACTTTTTGTCAACGCCCTGCACTGCCCCAGAGACGGTCCTTGAGACCTATCAACGTTGACTTGAGGGGGAATTTGGAGGCCAAACTCCGCCAATGGGTGGTCGTGGTGCGGTGTTCTGGAGGCCCTCCCACTGGATTTTGAGTAAGAAATCCAAGTTCCTTCCTCCGCCAAAGCAACCATGACCGCCTCATGATTGGACACGAGTTATCTACCATCAATCGCTCTAGGCTCTAGACATCCAAAGTCCTGGCGGTATGTGTGGTAGGAGGCAAACACACGGCATGCTCCTTGTCAACGCCTTGCACTGCCCCTGAACATGTCCTATCAACGTTCGCTTGATGGGGGATTTGGAGGCCATTGGGCAGCAAAAGAATCAGGAAAAGAGTAAGAAATCCAAGTTCCCTCCTCTACCAAAGCAACGATGGCTGCGTGGTGGTTGGTCCATCTCACAATCTACTACCTACAGCACGGTTGAGATTTGGAGGCAGTGGAATAAAGGTGAGTCACATTGAAGAGCAAGAAATCCAAGCTTTCCCCTCTACCAAAGCAGCTATTTCCGCATGGTGACTAGTCAAGCTCACAATCTACGACCTACAGCACGGTGGCCGGCCTGACTGTGACCGTCTACTCTAGGTTTAACCCCCTTCTACCGCAGAGAGGTTCTCGCCTTCATGATTGGTGTGCTTAGTTCCTCTGAGTTGGATTTGGAGGCCAATAATCCTTGCTAAGGAGGCCAATCATGTTGTCACAACTAACCATCCAGAATGTCTCCTCAGGTGAAAAAAGGTACGAAATCCAGGCGACCTCGTCTACCAAAGCAACCATTACTGCGCGATGATTGGTCGAGATCGAGATCAGTCTACTAGAGCCCCAGCACTTGAGGCCAGCCGGCCAGCCTGCCAGCCTTGGACGTGTGCGGCCTAAACGAACTACGAACCTTTTCCGACTTGGAATGAATGAGAATGAACATGAATCAAAAGGGGGATAGGGACTCCCGTCTGGCTCAGACTTCCCTTCCGACTTCACCGCAGTCGCAGTCTGAACATACAACCAGAAGTATAGGAGGTTGACATGTACAGCAACCAACAGAGCATACTCCGTGCTCGGTATTCCTCTGGGCTGGGAGGCCATCTCAACACAGTCAGTTCCTCAGCAACATTACGCCCGATTTGGAGGCCACTGGGATCTTTTTGTTGACAGCCTGCATGACATTGAGTCAGGAGAGGCTTGAAATTTCGAACCTCTTGTTCTGTTGTAGCGATTTCCGCCTTCACGAATGGTTCAACAGCTGTGCTTCTCAGTCTGAGGATGTGGATCTAGTATCTGGAGCCGTGAAAGGTGTCTACGCCAGTCTGCCTTGCACGGCCCCAGATGTGAGATATGACCTTACGGATACTCCCACTCACTTTATGGAGGATTTGGAAGCCGGTTTTGGAGGCCGGAAAGTTGCAGAGTCCGAAATCTCAAGTTCACTCCTCTGCCCAAGCATCCAAAGCCGCGTGAGGATTGGTCAGGATCGGTACTGTACTAGTAATGCTATGTAGGGATGTAACCAAGCTTGACCTTAGTCCTTAGGCTGGTAGTGCCCCCGGTTACCATGGTCCTATCAACGTTCACTTTATATGGGATTTGGAGGCCATATTATATCCAATGCCAAACCGTCAACCACCTATAGAGTAAGAAATCCAAGTTCCCTCCTCTACTGAAGCATCCAAAGCCGCGTGAGGATTGGTCAAGATTAGGTAGGTAGTAGGTACTGTATGGACTCCGTACTCTATATGCAGCCAAGCTTGACCGGACCTGAGGCTTGTACTGCCCCCTACCCTAAAATGAGGCTACATATCAACGCTCACTTTTTATGAGGCTCTGCGTCCAAAGAGTCGATTTGGAGGCGGGTTGTCGAGTCCCAGCATAGGCGCTTCACTTCAAGGCGTTTGAGACGGGAGTCCGAAATCTCAAGTTCCCTCCTCTGCTCAAGCATCCAAAGCGCGTGAGGATTGGTCAAGATTGCCTAGGTAGGTACTGTATAGACTCCGTACTCTATCTGCAGCTAAGCTTAACCTTGAACCTTAGGCTTGCACTGCCCTTAGGCCCCCTACCCTAATATGATGCTACGTATCAACGCTCACTTTTATGGGGGATTTGGAGGCGGTTTTTAAAGGTGGGGGTGAAGGATCTGCGTCCAAAGAGTCGGAAATCTCAAGTTCCCTCCTCTACTGAAGCAATCATACTTGCGTGATGATTGGTCGAGACCAACCTCCCTCAATACTCCGTACAGCTGATGGGCCATACTGTACAGAGTACAGCGTATACATATATCCGATGACAGCCTTGGACCGGTGCCCAGCCTATGCCGGATTGGGTTTTTTGGTGGATTTGGAGGCGAAGGCTCGGTTGGAATTTCACCAGGTTAGAGTCAAAAATCCAGGCGCCCTCCTCTGCCAGAGCAGCCATAAGTGCGTGATGATTGGTCAAAGCTAGTGGGAATGAGAGCGCCAGCTTGAATGGCCCAGGGTTAGGTTACACACTAGTCCGTACAGCACTGCGGAGTAATATTTGGAGGCGGTTTGCAACGCTCAGCCTCTTTCAGCCTCGTCGCTTTTGAGAGTAAGAAATCCAAGTTCCCTCGTCTACCAGAGCAGCTATGGCGGCGGTATGATTGGTCAAGATATCGGTCTACCAGGTAGGTCTGCCAATATCCGTTACAACTATAGGTGCCTGTATCTACGGAGGAGGGGGAGTAGCAGCAGCAGCGGTAGTAGCAGTAGGAGTAGTAGCAGTAGCAGCAGCAGCAGCAGCAGTAGTAGTAGTAGCAGTAGAAGGAGGAGGAGAAGGAGGAGGAGGAGGAGGAGAGAGGAAATACGTCATCTATGGAGTCCCTAGCACCACTAGAATAAACCTGGGATTTCTAGAAGCTGGGCAATGCTCATTCTTTGGGGATCGGGGGATTTGGAGGCGGTTTATTTTGGTGAAGCACTGGCTGGGAGTTACTTATTAGACTGACACAGTGTCAGAAATCCAAGCTTCTGTGCTAGGCCAGAGCAACAACTGTCGCGTGATGATTGGTTAAGAAATTGTTACAACTTCTAATCTACCAGTCTACCAGTTTACCAGGAAGGTCTGCCAATATCCATTACACGTATAGGTGCCTGCATCTACGGAGTAGTAGGAGTAGCAGTAGTAGTAGCAGCACAGTACGGACTGTCCCAGGACACCAAGCTCGACACCAAGTTCGACCAAGTGGCAGAGCGATTGAATAACGTCATACACAGTACCTGTAGTGCACAACCTAGGGTAGAAGCTGGGGCAATACTTATTTCCTGTGGATCTGGGGATTTGGAGGCAGATTGTCTGGCGCAGTATTGGCTGACACCTCCTTAGTTGCTCCTGAGAATTAGAACAAATTCATTTAGTGTCAGAAATCCAAGCTTCCATCTATGCCAGAGCAACAACTGCCGCGTGATGATTGGTCGAGATTCAAGCAAGATACCTACCTATCTGAGGTACAGTACGGAGAACATATGCGGCGATGCTCCGGCTTCACCGCTAGAATCGGGCCCACCGGCAACCTCATCAGATTTGCCATGCAGTACGTTTCGTCCTCTTTGCGTCTCGTCGTTCGGTGTTTGAGCACATTGAAAATCAAGGCCAAGGCCGGCGCCGGCCTTCTTCCATTGCCACCATCTCGATTGTGCACCAGATTCAACAGCGCTGTCGCAGTGTATTTGGTCACAGAGTCGACGAGGTGGCTTCGATTGATCAGCCGAGCGAGTCGTACATCTTCTTCCGGATAGTTGCAGTTGGCCATGTGTTCTTCCCCATCCTCTCTGAGCGCCAACATCCTCTGCTGCAGTTTACCGTACTGCAGTCCACGGCAAGGGCATGGACCAGTCGTTGAATCAGGCTGCGGTTCTTGGTCGCGTGCGGCAGTAGATGGGGTTGGTTCCCTCATTGACTTCGGTGGGTGTGGTGGACTCGCACGCGGCCCAACTCTAGATATACCTATCCTTGAATCAGCAAAAGCAGATTGCTCTTTCAAAAAAAGACCCAAGTTGTAACCACAGACGTGGGCAGCATCTCAGTTGTGATGACGACTTCATTTGTTTCCGTGATCCGTACAAAGTCGGTCCACTCATAGTCAGTCTTGACGATACTTCGAAAGACTTGATGTAAAAGGCCAAAGAAGAGCCAGGCTTGCAAAAAAGGGGCAAGCCCGTCAATCGATTTGGCTTTCAAAGCCAGGCTTGCAAGAAAGGGGCAAGATCGTCAAGCGATTTGGCTTTCATTTTCAAATCCAGACTTTGCACCGAATTGTCGTGCGGGTCTTTTCTTTGACCATGTCACATCGGAACGGGTAGTCCTCGAAATTGCCGCCGTCAAACATGAACTGGTCGTTGCACACGAAGGAGACCGACACTCCAGGGATATCCGATCCGTCGATCGAGTGAAAGTATTCCATCACCGCGGAGGCGGTGTACTCCAACTTGATGGCCCGTAGACTGTGCAAGAACACCTGGTCTTGATATATCCAGAGTAGGGGGGAGTCTCTGATCGAGGACCTGTGTGCTGTAGTGGTTGTAAGGCTGACAGTGCCAGCACGCCCCCTTACGAATCAGTAGGAGGAAGGTGAACCGGGACCAGTGCTGCGGACAAGGCTGTATTACAGCCTCGCGTATTCACGTGACATGAAGTCAAAGGCGACTTGCTCATGTCTGGGAAGAAAAGTGGACTATTAGAGGTCAAGATTCAGCGTTGAGGAGTATCTCGCTATTTGGTCGCCCACCTGAGACGGGGAGAAAAGACACGTTTATCGCCCTGTCACGATGAAGCTGATGCGAGCCGAGCAGATCAGACACGGGCATAAACCCCCAAACTGCTACTAATGGTCTAGAATGCAATGCCTTTTGATGCTCCTTTCAGAACGATGGCTCCTTCAGACTATTCCTTACCGCCTAACCATCTATACACCACGGAAAAGTCCTTTCCCTTGTGAACCTTTTCTGTCTCATCGTACACTTCTTTCGCTTTCTGGGCCAGCACCAGTTTGGCTCCAGCTTCCTGGGCCGCCGTTATGGCAAGTCGAAGGTCCTTGTTCATAAGACTGACCCCAAACCCTCCTGCGTACTCCCTGCTGGCTGGTGCCGTCTCGACGACCCCTGGGACAGGGTTGTTAATCTCACTGGGCCAGCTCCGGCCGGTGGCCGAATTGATGAGATCGGCCAATGCTTTTCCTTGGATGCCCCATCTTATGCCCAGGTTCATGGCTTCAGCGGCCGCGATGTTGTTGATTGCCAGGGCATAATTATTGGCCAACTTGCCACTCAGACCAGTGCCTTGCGGCCCCATGTGCCACACCTTCTTTCCCATCAAGAGCAATATCTCTCGGATCTTGGGCACGTCTTCCTCTTCTGCCCCAACCATGAAGGTCAGGGTTCCAGCCCTGGCACCAACCACACCGCCCGACATTGGTGCATCGACAAACTTGGCTCCCGCCTTTTCTTTCACTAGTTTTGCAACTTCACGCGAGGTCGACGGGTCTATGGTCGAGCAGTCAACGAACAGACGCGAACTCTGGCCAGGAGCGTTGGGCAGGGACGAGGCGAGAACCTCCTCGAAGACGCCTTTGACATGGCGAGGTTCGGGAAGAGCCGAGATGATGTTGTCCTACGGTCTTCCATTAGTATCATCATATACAACACCACGGAGAAATCGAACGGAATTGAAAGTGAACAATCAGAGGATTGGCTATAAAGATGTAAAATCAGAGAAAGACAACCAAAAAGGATGCCCCAACTTAGATCAGAGATAGAACAAGGTGTTCATCATGCGAAGAATTGTACTGGTCACAGCGACACGCCAATACTTACAGCATTTTCCACGACTTCGCGAGGGGTTTTCGCAAGAATAACTCCAGCTGGGGTTGCTTCTTGCGCGAATTGCTCGAGTGAGGCGGAGTTGACGTCGAAGACAGTCAGGGTATCGCCTTCAGGGATCTTGGCCCGCAGATTCTTGGCCATGGGGTAGCCTGTAGAGTGTGGTGTCAGCGGGAGCCATCTCATCTTGGACGCAGAACGGAGAGGGAGACGTACCCATGGCACCCAACCCGATGAAACCCCATGATGCTTCTCTGCTGGCTGAAGACGAGAATTGCCGGTATGTAGTGAAGAGCTGTGAAGGTGCCCGCCGCAGGGCGGAGGATGCTAAAGCCACAGTCATCTCTGCTGAGCTCGCCTATCAGTAGAACGAGACATGTCGAGCAGGCAGCGAATGCCGCAGGTTAAGGCCATAGAGCGCGCTCGGGTGAAGTGCGGAGAGCTGCCCGAGGCACACGAAGCATCTCGGGCCAAATCTGGGAGCTGGGGAGCTGCGAGTTGGAGGCTGGAGAGCTGTGTGTGTGAGATAACAAATCGCAGTGCAGGCTCTGACCTGCAGCCGAACCCGCCTCGGCCTTGGCGTCCGTCTCCGGCCGGGCAGCCGTAGTTGCAGTCGCCGCTTGAAGCGTGCATCGTCGTGACTATAGGTACATATAGCCACCATAGCTATTGCTACAGTAGTAGTACTCCGTATACGGTTGATAACACTAGCAAACTGACTTGGGTAGTATCACTGGTATATATACCTGTATATAGTAATAGTACCCTAATAGTGGCACTCCTTTGAAATCTCAAACTGGACGGAGACGCCTGTCGCTAGGTGCAAGCACTGCATGGCAACATAGCAATCCTCCCTATCTTTTCATCCCCAAGTACGCACTCTAATCCGCCATAGTTCCAAAGTAAACATACACATACGGAAGGTAGAATCGAATATAACATGCATGAAAAGAAACAGAATAATTAGCCCGCAAGAAAAGCAACAACAATCCCCTTCACCCCCCTTCACCCGCGTCTCGACTTGCCCTTTCCCTGCCCAACCTCATCCGATCCAGAACTGGTCGACTTGGAGAGAATCGGGAAGGCTTCCTCATCCATCATCCGACTTTGTGCTTCTGCGAGGCTCAGTTGTAAAGCAAACTCCAAGTCATCATCCCCCGGGTCCGCCTTTGGATCCTTGCTACTGCCAGCTCTCGCGTTGTGGACAGGCGTGCTGTGCTTCGACCCTTTGGCATATCGGATGGGGATGTCGAAATCCCTCGCTGGCGGTGAAGACGACACGTGCTCACTGTCCAACAAACTCAGACGAATGGCTTCTTCGAGATCAGCATCAACCGTCGTGGTTTCAGTCTCCGTCCGACCTTGTGGCAGCTGGGGCGAAGAGATCGAGATGCTTCCGTCGGTGGCTTTTCTCTTCATCTCGTCCGTGGAGTAGGCTTCTTCGCTGAGCATAGTAGCATACGCTAGCAGCTCCTCCTCACTCGCGCCCTCACCCAGAAGTGTTGTTCCGAACCTTCCGCTCAAGCGTTCGTCTTCTTTGCGCCTTGCGATCTCGTCTCTCTCCATTTCGAACCTCTCATCGCTGATATGACCTTTCAGAAGCCCACGGGCGGTCACGCTGACCTTGTGACTAGCGGGCGTCGAGTTACTGCCTCGGTCTGATCGTCGGCGGAGTTGACCCCTTTTCCGGCTTTTGTATGCATCGGCCGCTGTTGAGCTGTAGGACCAGTAGCGCAGGTAAGCACCCAAGGCGACCATGCCACGCAAAACTGTAGGATCTGGATCCAAGACAATCGCCCCAGCCGCATAGTAGTTGTTGCCCACCCCTTGCGCCGTAGCTTCAGCTTGAGCGATGCGTCGTCTTGCTCGATCAGAGAATCGTGAATTCAGGGTCCTAATCGGCTCATTGGTCGAAGCCAAGGGATCCCAAGCTTGAACGAGGCCTTCGTTGCCTCCGTGAACGACGTACAGCGAAGTCAGCGCAAGTGAAGCAATTTGCGGCGATTTGGTGTAAATGATTCGGACCGGTTGAACCGTGTTGACGACTTCAGGACTCGGTGAGAGGCTGGCACGCATATCCCAGAGCATGACAACCCCTGACATTGTCCCGATGCCCATCAGTCGAGCTCGGTGGCCGGGGATCTCAGACGGCGAGCTTGCCGTAGGAACATGTCCCAAAGGCGATGCCAAGGGAGAAGAGGCAGTCGAGCCACCTGACATCCCCAGAAGAGGATCCTCATCGATCGTCAGCGTTGCAAGTTCAGAATCATCCGAACTCGCGGCCGAGATGCGAATGTTTCTGTGTTCGGCGAAAGAAAACTTCGATGCACGCCAATCTTCTTCGAATTTGGAGTCCACGCTATCGTCCTGGCTCGACGTGCGTGACCGGGGGACGCTTTCCGATGCTGGGGACGACAGTGTGTTCCGTAGTCCACCAAAGATCGAAGGCTGGTTGACAGTTGATTGGATCGTAGGGGAGCCCTCAAGGCCGAACTCGACGGTCATCTTCCTCTTGCATCGAGTGAAACGTCGGACTGACGCCAGGTTTCCCTCATCAAGCCCGCATTCAAGTATAAAGATCGACTCTCCTGCTCCAAGATGATCGTCACCGGCAAAATCGACCAACATCCTGCGCCGCATATCCCATCCTTCACAGAGAGCGTGGAAGTGCTTCGGCTTATAAAGTAGGAATTTTTCAATTTCGATCGTCTCCGCCACGATCTGCTCCTTACTCAACCCGTGTGAGTCGGTCGAAGTACGTGGTGTGTAGCTGCCATCCACTTGCGCAATATCAAAAGGATCAGGCCTTGGTTTTCTTCGCGTGGTTTCCACGAGAGACCACTCCACGCTTCTCCCTGTCTGCCATGCGAGCCGATCGATGCCGTCGGGTGAAAGCTTCCCTGTAAAGTCCGGCCTGGTAGGAGTATCAATAAGGTAATACACTTCGCCAAGCGCGTTGAGGACTGTCGCCCAAATGCGACGAGACTTGAGCCGACGAGCAGAAATTCTCTCGTCCACCGAGATGGCAATGATCGGGACGCCCGGGGATAGCACCCACTTTGCAGTTGGTTCGCCCTTTTCGAAACGACGGTCATGGACGGGGTTGACGCCAAGTGCATAGGCGGCGAGGACACCATTAGAAAATCCTGCAAGAAACCCAAATAGTCCATTGGTGGCTTTGAGGACTGCCTCGGACTTTGCAATCCATACCGAACAGACTGCACAGCCAAGCATGGTCACCTCTGGTATGCCCAGAGAATGATTCGCGGCGGAAGAGATGGAAACAAAGCGGCCGCGCTGCTCGCTCGTAGAAGTGTAGAAAAGACGCCCATCAGGACACGCCTCACCATATAGCTTCCCATATGGTTGGCTGATATCCATCACATTCGGCATACCAGCCACGTTTCCAAGCCCCAAACCGTAGGGTAACTCTCCGGGAAACTGGTCTGCAAAATGCTTGAACCCCTCAAAGTCGGTCAGACCCCAAGATCCAGGCTTTCCAGTGCTAGGGTCACTAACAGAAACCCCTCCCTGTTCCACAGCACCATGAATGAACAACGGTTGTTTCTTGTTCAAGCCAATGCCGAAGGTAGCATGGAGATGGCTGATCGGATAATACAAGCTGGATGCGTAGGTGATTACGGCAGCTGCCGCAGCACTGCTGGCATGACGAGACGCGCCAGATCGAGCGCCGGCTTCGAGAGCAGGCCTCCCTCGCCCAAGGGAGCGCAGTAATCGGGTTCGAAGTATATATTCGCTTCTCCACGAGGATAACGCCGACAGTCGAGTGAAGCTTCTACGCTGTGCTCTTTCAATATCGGACACCAAGTCTCTTGTGGCCTTACGAGACCCATCGTCAAGTGCCTCGGATCCGGGAAAGTATCTGGCGAAGGCGATGCGCCATGCATGAGGCGTTGTGACCAATCGATGGAATCGCTTGCTCACTAGACTCATCGACGATAGAGTCTCTGGTGGAAGATGGGAGAGGATATGCGTCAAAACCTCTGCCCATTGTTAGCATATCGCAAGGGAAGTGCCGTGTCATCATCGCACCATTCGGAAAATCCTCAATTGAGATGGTTTGTGGTTTACCCTTGGCAGAAGGGATAATCTGGAAGAGCATGCCATCGGATCGTTTCTGGAGTTGTGCATGGGCTCGTTCGTATTCATCAATACGACTACCAGGAGATCCTTCTTGCGAAGAATTCTCCCGACCACTCATCCGTCGGACGTTAGCTGACCGTCCACGTCGTGTCCCTCCAGAGCTGGTGGAGACGGCGTCGGTGTCGTCCACCACTGCTGGAGGCACTCTGGGGCTGCTTCCGAGGAGTGAGCCACCAGAGGCCTGCTGTTCAGGGTCTGGAAGTCCATGCTGTGCGGGAGGGTGAGGGAGTTGAGAAGGATCTACTGAAAGCGCGTTTGGAGAGGCTTCAGGAGGCGCAGGTTGCATAAAAGGACGGATGGGAAAGTTGATAAGATGGTCAGGACTGAACCAGAGGATGGATCAGTCGGCAGAGAGGCTGCGCTGGGTGCGGAACTCGAGAGAGAGGCGGATGGATCGCAGGAGGACTTCAAGACTTGGAGGGGAAGAGAGTAAGAGGATGGGTTGTCAGAGAGGTTTGAGATTGCTCTGTCTGCAGTCACCGGCTTTACCAGTTCCTCTTCGCTAATACTGAGTAGAAGTCAGTAGTGGTAGTGCTGGTTTCTATTGGCTGAAGAAGCACTAAGTAGTGCCGCTAAACGCTGCCACTAAAGACTCTCACTAAAGACTCCTACTAAAGACTACGGCACCGAGTCTCCCATGCCCATGGCCTTCACACACACGACTTGGACCAGTCCAGCTGGCCACTGGCTATCCATGAGGAGTTGATTGACTCCCAGCGAGACTTCAGCCTTGTCAGGCGCGGGTATGTTTCGCGTTCACTCATTTACGCGTCTTTAGGCCGTTTTGTTGGCCGCTTCGGGAGCAGGCAGCCACTACGCTAGTTTGGAAGAAAGGGTGCTCATCCAGTGACTTGCCCTTCCCTTCCTTCTCTCCTTCCCGGTCCTCAGTGTCGTTTTTTCAGTTTCCCTGAGCTTCAGTTACCATGGCGGACACCATTTCGATCCTGGTTGCCACAGACAACCATGTGGGAGCCCACGAACGAGATCCGATCCGTGGCGACGACTCCTGGAAGACGTTTCATGAAATCATGTGTCTGGCAAAAGAACGAGACGTCGACATGGTGCTTCTTGCCGGGGATCTGTTTCATGAAAACAAACCGTCGCGGAAGTCCATGTACAATGTCATGCGCTCGTTACGGCTAAACTGCCTGGGAGACAAACCCTGCGAGCTCGAAATGCTCAGCGATGAATCAGAGCACTTTGACGCCACGTTTGATCACGTCAACTACGAAGACCCAAATATCAATGTCGGGATTCCCGTCTTCTCCATCCACGGTAACCATGATGATCCTACCGGAGATGGCCACTATGCCGCGCTGGACCTGCTCGCTGTCTCGGGTCTCATCAACTACTACGGCAGAACTCCCCAAAGTGACAACATTGAGGTCAAGCCGGTCCTGATCCAAAAGGGTAGCACGAAGCTCGCATTGTATGGCCTCTCCAATGTACGGGACGAGAGAATCTATCGCACGTTTCGTAACGGCAAGGTCCAGTTCCACCGACCGAGCACGCAGATGAGTGATTGGTACAACCTAATATGCGTCCACCAGAACCACCACGCCTACACAGAGACATCCTATCTTCCTGAAAACTTCTTACCAGACTTCCTCGACTTGGTGGTTTGGGGCCACGAACACGAGTGTCTCATCGAGCCTCGCGAGAACCCGGAAATGAATTTCCAGGTCATGCAGCCAGGTTCATCAATCGCCACTTCCCTCATTCCCGGTGAAGCGGTTGCAAAGCATGTTGCAATCGTCACAATCACGGGCCGAGAGATGAAATCCGAGCCGATTCGACTAAAGACTGTGCGTCCATTCGTTTACAAAGACCTGGTTCTCAGCACCGACAAGGAGGCCGTGAGGATCGCCAAGCGTAAGGAGGAGCATCGGCCGGAACTCACTAGATACCTGATCAGTATTGTTGAGGGACTGATTGAACAGGCAAAGGCCGAATGGCACGAGGCACAAACGGAAAGACAAGCCGAGGACGAGGAGGAGGATCCAGAAGAATGTCCCCTACCGTTGGTCCGACTTCGCGTCGAGACGACACCTGCCGACGGGGTGGGCAAATTTGACGTAGAGAACCCACAACGGTTTTCCAACCGGTTCATTGACAAAGTTGCCAACACGTCTGATGTTGTCCAATTCCACGTCAAAAAGAGGAATGCAGCAGCTCGCAAAGCTCGAGACGCAGAAGCGGATCGAGAGGTCATGGCCAAATTCCAGGGAATGGAGAACATCAAGGTTGAAAAACTGGTCCGGGAGTTCCTCCAAGCGCAGTCTCTGACGATCCTACCCCAGAACTACTTTGGCGACGCGGTGACTCAGTATGTGGAAAAGGACGATAAACATGCCATGGAGATGTTTGTGAATGAATCCCTGGCCGATCAGATCAAGAACCTGGTCAAGATGCAAGCTGATGCAAACGAAGACGAGGACGACGAGGATCTTGCCGCGCAGATCAACGAGCAACGAGCGAAGATGGAAGAAATGTTTGCTAAAGGCATGCTCAAGGTCTCTACCAACAAAGCCCGCTTCAGGCGGAAACCAGATGATTGGGACAGCGATCTGGGAGGCCACTGGGAAGAACAGCCTGCTGCGCTGCTTCGCTCGTCCGAGGAACCGGAAGACAACGAGGACGAAGAAGAAGAAGACGACGACGACGTGACGCCCGCCCCTCGTAGCACTGCCACCAGCCGAGGAAGAGGCAGAGCTAGAGGTAGAGGTGGCAGAGCAGGCGCAGCTACAGCGTCGACCCGGAAACCCACCACCACATCCAAGAAACCTGCGGCGACCAGCGGCCGAGGGCGCAAGAAAATCGTTCTTGACGAAGACGAAGACGAAGACATTCTCATGCTCGACGACGACGAGGAGGCAGAAGAAGACAACTCACAAGCTCTCTTCTTCCCCGACAAGCGCAAAACCGCCACGAGCACAAACACTCGAGGCCGCACCACGACACCCGCGTCATCAAGTGCCAGGGCAAGGAAGGCCGTCTCGCCAGCGACGAAGAAGCCTCCTGCTCGTACCGCGGCGACGAGGACGAAACAGGCGACCTTGAACTTCACCAACTCGCAGAACAGCATCCTGGGGAATGGACGAGGCACGGGAAGGAGTCAAAGCTACGACATTGAGGACGAGGACGACGACGAGGACGACGACGCCTTTGAAGTGGCTCCTGCCGCGAGGAAGAGACGGTAAACGGTAAACGTGGTGCTCTGCAATCAAAAAGACTCTCTGGGCCAGCAGTGGTAGATAGAGCTCTGATGGCTTCTCGAATGTAGACGGCTAGCGTCCTCGGCAGGCGTCCTCGGCATGGGAAGGACCACTTGAGTGTGTTGACGGAGCCGTCCCTTGCGAGACAGGGAAAACAAGCAAAAGTAATCTTGATTTCAGCGGTCACGAATCCACGGTCAGTCTGACTGGGAAAGGACAGCATCATTCGGCGAAATCCGGACTGCATGGGGGGCGCAATGTTAAGATGCAGAACAAAGATGCAAATGGCACAATACTGTATGTATCTTCACAAATGAAGGGATAGGTCCTGGTCCGCCTTTCCATCCGTCTCAACAGAGATCGTTTCCCTACTAGTTGTTGGACGAACACCACCGTCTGAGATACTTGTGAACGCTGTTTCCAGTAGCCAGCGGACTATATTCCAGTCCTTGTCCCATTGATAGCGCAGCAACGAGCACACACCAGTGGTAATATAAGTGATGGCAAGGTTCTTGCTGCGGCCTTCACTCTTTCTTCGCTTCCGCCTTTTCCGAGGCTTTGGCTTTGGCTTTGGCATTTGCATTTGCATTTGCACTTCCACCACTTCCACCACCACCACCGCCACCAGCAGTAGCAGCAGTGGTTGTCGAGTCCGAAGTTGAGGTTGGACCACCGCCACCGCCACCGCCCCCGCCACGTCTCCCGCCGCCTTTTCCGCCGCGTTGCCCTTGTCCCTGTTTCGATCCCGTCCCCGATCCCGACCCCGAGCCTCGGGCATTGCTGCCTCGTCCGCCCCGTCCTCCACCTGCACCTGCACCACCTCCTCCTCGAGTAGTTCCTCGCGTCGCCGTCGGCGGTGTGCTTCCTGCCGTCGTCGCTGGCGTTGTTGATGTTTGCGTCGACGGTGGGTTGGGAGCGGTGGCTGTCGATGCTGTAGCGACTTTTGGCGAACTCGTTTTGGCCGGTGCCTGTGCCTGTGCCTGAGCCTGTGCCTGTGTTTGAGCGGCCGTACCGGCTGCAGCCTTGGTGGTCCCGGAGGACCCTTGGTTCTGTGCTCCCTGGCCTCCTCGCTTTCCATGTTGGGGTTTGTTCTCCAATACGACGACCTGACCGTCGGCCACTTTGACGGGGCTGGCAGCCATTGCTTTTTTGAGGGCATCCGCTTCGCTGAAATCAATGTAGCCCAGACCTTTCTTCTTGTCGATTTCGCATCGAGTGATGGTCCCGAATTGCTGGAAAACGCTTCGCAAGACGTCTTCAGTGATCCCCTGCGAGGGGTTGGCGTGTTTGAGGAATGCAGATTTGGCTCCTGACGATGGTTGGGGGCCGGTCTTGGAAGACCGTTGAGATGCTGTCGTCGAAGCTTTGCCTGATGCAGATGCAGTGCTGGCAGGGCGGGATGCCCGTGGACCAGTGGGCGGAGCTGTCGTGGTTGGAGTAGAAGGTGTTGAGGTCGCCTGTTTCTGCTGCGCTGCAGGAGTATCCGCGCTCTTGGATGATGGAGCACTAGTAGCCGCTGCTTTCGTGGACGACCCGGTCGCAGTCTCTGCAGTATTACTAGGAGTCGAACTCGACGCTTTAGAGGTTCGCTGAGATTTGCTTTCTTTGGCTACCAAGCCCAAATCACGCTGGAGCATACGAGCAGCAGCACTTGCATTGCCTCGCTCCCGTTCTTTTCTAGCTGGTGCCGGTGCCGGTTGAGACGTCGGCTCCTTTGTCGATGGTTTGGCCTCGGCTTTCGCTGGGTTCTGTTTCCCAGGCATTGCAGCCACGGACTTGCTGATGGCCTTGACCGCATCTTGGGTGGCTTTGGCTACTCGCTCTTTCTCTTTGTCCTTGTCCTTCTCCGCAACCGAGGAATTCTTACCCTTGACGACAACAGTGGGACGAGTCTCCGATTTCGAGGTCTTTGCTTCTTTACTTTCGCGGGCCTTCGCGGCTTTGGCCTGGGAAGATTCCTTGGCCTTGTTGGCCTTCTTCTCCTTGATATACTGGACCAACGGCGTCGTAGAGACCTTTTCGGATTTGCCTTCGCCGGAGTCCACTCCATTCGAAGCAGCCTTCGTGATGGGCTCGGTCAGGCTCTGCAAGAAATCGATGAATTCTTGGTCTTGGTCAATCGTGCCCTGTCTCCCATCATGGCGGGTTCGGCCACTTGGTGTTTTATTGTATGGCGCAAACTCTAGAGAGGGAGGTCCCAATAGACATGGGTCCTTGCTGGTATTTTTGGCATCCTGAAACGACGCATCCTTGATGGCAGTGGCGAGGACATCCAGTAATGACTGTTCCTTGACTTTGACATACGCCCTCGATGGCCGAGACGGTTTGGCGACACTATGGCTGGTCAGTTAGGATACAACTACCGGGCTAGAGCCCCTCACTCTTTGGAAATCTTTCCGTTTTTGAAAGCTGCCCACTCCGTCTTCCCAGCCCCGACCTTCCACTCGTCACCTAGCGCCGCCCAGAACTCAGCTTCGGTCAGTCCAGGTGGCAGTCTTCGGATGACGAGTCTCAGCCTCGGGGTAGGAGCCCTTGGTGTAGAGCCGGACCCGGACTGTGGAGCTGCATTCTTTCTGGTGGCCGCGTTCACGGTCAGGACACCTCCAGAGCGCCCTTTGGTCGGGTTTGCCATGGTTGGACGGGGTTTGATTGTGCTTGTAGACGACACAGCCAACAATGACAGGGTCGCGGGTAGTTATGCAAGTCTGCAAGTCTCAATAGAACCTCAGTTCAGCATCACCACAATGGCGAGCATGTGAAAACGTGTGAATCCAGAGCGACACAGGCGAGGTGGACGACATGTGTTGGCAAGTCCCCTCCCATAAATATCGCCCATTCCATTCCTTTTCCTCCTCTCGGATTATTATTTTTCCGGTTCCGGCACTCACGCCAGTCACGTGCAGGATGTCTGCCTCTGCCACCACAAAGCCCTCCTCGCCCTCGTCCTCGTCGTCTTCGCCTGCTGTTGACAACAGCGAGCCCGCCGCCTCTACCTCCTCAGCCCGCCCCTCTGCCACCGCCGCCGACTCTGCCTTGAAGAGGGAGGCCGACAGCGAGCAATTCCCTGTTTTCGAGGAGGAGAGTCCCGAGAACACGCCCTTCTCACCTCCTCCCCCCCGGCGCCGGTCACGCAACGTGACCGAGCACGATCTGCGCGCCTTCCGTGGCCTCCCCAAGCGGAAGGTGTTTGACTACGTCGATCTCGTCCGGGCGCTGCGTTTCCCACCTGCACCAGGCAAAGTGCCAAAAGCCCCAGTCTGCCAACTGGGAAAGGAAGCGACCTACACACGAGCCAATCCCACCCAGGTCAATTCCCTCGAACCTGCACCATGGGCGCAGTGAAAGTGCCAGTTCCAGGCCCAGCACGGCTCAAGAGATCGGCTGGTCCCGACGAGTGGCTTGAAGCAGCAAAGAACTGCAAATACCTTTCAGAATACCACATGAAACAACTCTGCGAAATCGTCAAAGAGTACATGATGGAAGGTCAGTTAGAGTGCGCATCATCTGGCGATCTATTACTGACCAGATGCAGAGTCGAACATCCAACCCGTTTCCACCCCAGTCACGATTTGTGGCGATATCCATGGACAATTCTACGACCTACTCGAGTTATTCAGAGTCGCCGGAGGCATGCCGAACGAGTCGGCTCCAGAAACACCCACCACACCCGCAAATATCATCACCGCCGCAAACATCGAACCTCCTTCCACGATCACGAATCCCAAACTGAAAAAGAAGCTAAAACTTGGAGGTGCAGAACACCCCGATTCACCAAGCGAGAAGAGCAGTGAGGTCAGTGACGCCGAAGACATCACCTCATCACAACAATCAGAACTCGAGGACGAGAGGTCGGAGTCCGGCAACGTCATCTCACGCCGACAAAATGCGAATTTCATCTTCCTAGGAGATTACGTCGATCGCGGATACTTCTCACTCGAAACTCTCACACTGCTCCTTTGCTTGAAGGCGAAATACCCGGAACGAATCACACTAGTAAGAGGGAACCATGAATCCCGCCAGATCACCCAAGTCTACGGCTTCTACGAGGAATGCGTTCAGAAATACGGAAACACTTCGGTGTGGAAGGCATGTTGCCAGGTCTTTGATTTTATGACGCTCGGAGCCATAGTTGACGGCAAGATATTATGTGTCCATGGCGGTCTATCTCCGGAGATTCGAACGTTAGACCAAGTCAGAGTTGTGGCTCGAGCACAAGAAATCCCTCATGAAGGAGCGTTCTGCGATCTGGTGTGGTCCGATCCAGAAGACGTGGAGACGTGGGCCGTGTCTCCCCGCGGCGCCGGCTGGTTGTTCGGAGATCGAGTTAGCCAGGAATTCTGTCACGTCAACGGACTCAACCTCATTGCACGGGCACATCAACTGGTCAATGAAGGTTACAAATATCACTTCAAGAGCCAGGATGTGGTGACGGTGTGGAGCGCACCAAATTACTGCTACAGATGCGGAAACCTGGCATCGGTATGTCACGTCGATGAAGATTTGAACCCGAGTTTCAAACTATTCAGTGCGGTGAAGGATGAGCTACGACATGTTCCGCCATCGAGGGGTGGTCGAAACGAATACTTCCTCTAGGATGATGGAAAAGACCTCACGACTTGGGCTGAGGAAAGAACGGATTATGCTTGACAATTCGACGGATGATGACAGGGAATTGCTGGCGTGGGCTTCGTTTGAGATGAGAGGACAACGGCTGGGCTTGAGACGATTCGAGCTTTCTTCATGCAGATTCGACCATTTGCAGCATTGGGCGGCGTGGTGATAGCCAGGCTGGTGGCTGAGATATCATGTACAATACCTACACAGGCAGAGCTAGGGATATAGCTAGCCCTACTTCATACAACGGTCCGTGAAGACGAACATGCTGCGAATAGCGCAGAGCGACTGAGACCTTTCTTCCAAGACTGACTGGCCACGAACAGCCTTGCCTCCTGAGCCCTAAGCCCCCGGCCATGGATCTCTGCAAGGGGTGGAGATGATCTTCTCCATTTTTCGGGGAGGCTTGGACTTCTCCGGGCAGATGGTCCAAGTCCTGTAACTGCTGTAGCAGCTCTTCCCATATATCAACATGGCTAACCTCCCACAGTTTCCAGCACGGCTGGTCAAGATGCAGAGGAGATGCGGAGGTCCCTCGCTCGACTGGCCCAGGGCCTCAAAACAGGCCAGGTGAATACATGTCCGAATCTCGTTCAGATCCGCAATGGCACCTTTTACAAAGAACATCCCTCAGCCAACGGCGACCACTCCCACTCTCACTCCTCCGCATCTCCATCCAACCCGCCTCTATTCCCGAACTTGACCTTTGAACTACCTGCCACAGTCCAGCATGAAGACCAGCCTGTTCAGAGACGGGACCAGCACTGGGCAGTCGTTAGTGCTACAGACGGCACCACATTCCTCGAGATCCTACGCGGCTCATATCTCTGTTTCCCGCCCAGCGCCAGATCGTTCCCCTACCTCGCCTCGGAAGAGATCGAGCGCAAAGACCATAGACTCCGCGTCCCGTCGCGGGCTATTCAGTATGTCGGATTCAACAGTGGAAAGGGCCAAGTGTCGAGTGGGATAAGAGGTGCATATCTCAGTGCTCGCTACGAAAGCCGCAGGGAAGAGACCGACTGGTCAGTATTGCAGTATCTGAGAGGTGAGACGGAATTGAACCCTACAAAGGACCCGGCGGAGAAACATGTCGACGAGCCGCTTCTGCACAAAGTGATCTCCGACCTGCGGCTGCAGAAGTTGATCGACATGCCAGTCAGCAACCTCAGCAACGGCCAGACGAGGAGGGCCAGGATTGCCAAAGCATTGCTAGGCAAGCCTGAGCTCCTTTTGCTCGATGAGCCGTTCATGGGTCTGGACCCCCCTACGCTGGTCACGCTGTCACCCATGCTGCGCGAGCTTGCCTACAGATCATCGCCTCTTCTCGTGCTCGGGCTGCGTCCTCAAGACCCAATTCCGGATTGGATCACGCATCTTGTCATCCTCGGACAGAACCATTCGGTGGCGTTGATGGGTGAGAAGAACCAAGTGCTCTTCAGTTTGTGCCGGTGGCTGGACCTGGCGCCGGCGAGGACGCACGTGGATCGCGGTGATGGTGATCCGGCACGCAGACTTGACCGCGAGATGGCCAGGCTCATGACTGCAAAGTACGGGCCTCCGCCATCTGGCGTGGGCGATGTGTTGAATGAGCGAGGCATGTCAAAGCATCCAGTCTTCGAGCACATCCACGACCCCAGCTTCGGGCAGTACCTTCTAGAGGACGGAACCATCGACCCTTCCAAGCTCTCCCCGGAGGCGGCGAAGCGATGGGAATCTGCGCAATCCAGCAGAAAGAGCTCCAGTGCAAGTCTCGACGATCTCTTAGTTCTGACTACCACGCTACCCGCCCATTTTGCCGGTACGCAGGAACCAAGAACGCTGGCCGCAGGTGATGGACATTCTTCGTCTTCTCCGACCCAGGACCACCTGGCAGCTGGCGACACTGAGCGGCCTTTAGGCGAGCCACTGATCGAGCTGCACTCGGTGGTGGTCAAATACGGCGACAAGACGGTCCTAGGCCATCCTCCCGCTCAACCCGGCTTTTCCGAGCCTGGGCTAAACCTCGCGATCCGGCAAGGCACGCGGCTCGCCCTCCTGGGGCCTAACGGCTCGGGCAAAACCACCCTGCTCTCTCTGCTGACATCTGACCATCCCCAGTCGTACAGCCTGCCGATCAAATTCTTCGGTCGCACGCGGCTCCCCAGCCCGGGCCAGCCAGGCCTGTCTTTATGGGAGATTCAATCACGTATCGGTCATTCGTCGCCTGAGATCCACGCCTTCTTCCCCAAGCACTTCCCCGTTCGTCGTGTGCTGGAGAGCGCCTGGGCCGAGACCTACGCCGGCACGCCGCAGATGACAGCCGAGCGCACAGCCTTGGTCGACCGATTCTTGAGCTGGTGGGAGCCCGAGCTGAGACAGGACATTCCTGATGCTGGCGACAGTAGTAGTGGTGGTGGTGGCGACTCGTCGGGGCTCGAATGGGCCAAGGACCGAGAAACCCACGCGTTCGGCAAGCTCCCTTTCGGAGCCCAGCGGCTCTTGCTACTGCTCCGCGCCCTCATCAAGCAGCCCGACATTGTCATCCTCGACGAAGCCTTCTCCGGCCTGTCGGCCGACACCAGGGACAAGGCCATGGCCTGGCTCGAGCGCGGGGAGTCGAAGTCGGAGTCGTCACGCGAACCTACATCAATGTCCATGTCCATGTCGGGCCAGGGCCCCTTGTTCCCCGGCCTGCAAGACACCCAGGCCCTGGTCGTCGTGTCGCACGTCAAAGAGGAGATCCCCGACGTCGTTGACGAGTGGCTCCGCCTTCCGGGCGAAGAGGAGGTCAGCGAGCACCGCCGCGGCGTCGAATATGGCCGCTCGGCCAGGGGAGATATTCGTACTGGCCAAGGCTGGATGAAGGTCTGGGGCTTCTAGGGGCGACTGTCCGCCGTCTATTCTATCACACACAGCGGTCGTCTGCCTGGTGCCTGGTCTTGTCTGGTCCAGTCTCACTTCCTGTCGCAATTGGCCATGCGCCCCATGTGAAACCCTCTACAAATTCCAGAAGCAGAAGCAGATGCAGGAATTTGCTCTCTGATGTACAAGTGTGTAGATAGCTGGTCCTCGCCAGGCCTGCTAATTGATTCATCATTCAAACGAGATATCAAAGTCTCGACGGTGGCGTCGTCCTCGATAAAATGTATATATGAATATATGGTAGCTCATACTCCTCTACCCCCGTCCCCATTCATTGCCTACGTTCCCTTCCGGGGAGCCTATGTCCAAGGATGCTGATCCAACTCTCATTCTTCCACAACCGATTGGTCGCGAATGCTACTCGACCGACCCGGGATCAGATGAAACGGGATGCTAAACGCAGAGGCGCTGCTCGCATGGCTTCGTTGGCTCGACTGCCGTCGAACCTCCACACTGCCACTGCCCGGCCGCGAATGAAGTGACGCAGGGGCATGTAGCTGTTGTTCTCCATCTTGGGGTGGTCCGGTAGTATGATTGGCCGCTCTGGCTGACTGTCTCGGCGATGAGACAGGTACTGGGAAGCTTGAAAGAGAAATTTCGCCTGGACTCGGTGGAGGCTGTTGCTGTTGCTTACTGATATAACCATCTAGGTGAAAGAGATGCGGAGGCGGTAGTGACAGTGACATTGGTTGCTTCAGATCAATCTGATCGGTGAGGACCGGCGGGCCAGGTCCACCAAGGTCCGCGGCCACATCAACCCTCTGTTTTCCTTTCTGATTTCGACGCCCGTCGTCACGTTGAGCCGTAACAAAAGAGGGCTTAACCCTCGAAACGGCTTCAGGGCCGTTGGTGGGTGGGAGTGTGGTGAGCCCATGAGACGACGTCTCCGATCCACCACCGTCGACAGACTTCTCAGCCTCAACCTTGATTTCGGGGAAGTCGTTCTTGATCTGCGTGAAGATGGACGCTGGCGCTACAGGATCATGGTCGCTGAAGGACGACGTGCGCCTCGAGACTCCAGGGCTTGAAGACGACCGTACTAACGGTGCGGGAATAGGCTGGAGAAAGTTCTCGTTCAAACTTTCCTGAAGTCGGATCAAAGCGGCACGAGCCTCTGCTTGCTTCCGCGCAAGGCCTGCCTCGTCAATTGTAGACTCGTATATGGGCGGCTTCGCCGAAAACTGGCCTCCTGCATAGGGTCTGTCAAGGTTCGCAGCAGGGCTATGAGATCGTCTCTCATCTCCAAGCCGGCCAGACCTTTGGGGCCGTCTATTACCCTCAGGCTCTGCGTCTTCAGGGACGCTAGAAAGGGTGGACTTGGGTGCAATGTCTGCGAAGTCCCTCGCAATCACTCCAGGCGCCCGATTTGCACCCACAGCGTCGACTGGTTGCAAACTCTCGGAAGCCAGGTGAATGTAGGGTTGGACTGAGGGCATTCCCCCAGGATCTCGGGAATAGGATGAGGATGCTTGCGTTGCTTGTGACCTGTCTTGCTCTGGAAAGGCGTTTTGCTTTTTCTGGGACGTGACCGCACTCCCATTGGCAATCATTCTAGGCTTCAACCCAGACTCTTGCTCAACTTGAACACGGGCTGCTTTTGCTTGCTTCCGTACCAAATTTTCATCTTTGGTAGGCGCTTTCTGGATAGATGGCTGGTAAGCCGATGTCTCTTCCTCCGCCCTACTCTGCTGATTAGGAGTCGCCTCCTGCGGGTGAGAATGCCCTCCCGTAGCAAGGCCATTACTCAGTGTAGTCGGAGTTCCAAGAATGACACTCGCTCGAGGGGACGAGGAGACAATGGTGTTGATCCCCGAAAAGGCGCTCGTAGACCGGGGACCTCTTGGATGAGTGTCTGACGCCCACGGCTCTATAGTAGAGTCTTGATCTTGTTGGGCTGACGCAACCTCAAAAGTACGGGCGTGGACATTTTCAGAAAAGCCCGGTGTTGGCTTCGTCCGGGGAGAGTTTGAAACGGTGGCTCTATCCTCTGCTGTGGGTCCAATGATAGCAGATCCACGAATTCTGCGCAGTGTGTCGAGTTTCGCGTCTTCAACGACAGGCGACGAGCTATAGTTTGACTCAGGAGCTCCTTCGGAAAAGACTTCGGAGTCATCCCCAGTCAAGTCCAGGATGGTGCGATTAGGAAGTTTGATCGCGCGCTTGACTGAAGGCGTATTACTATGACTGGAAGGTGAGCCTAGAGGACCTCCAGGGCCCTGAGAACCATTTGCGCCTCTTGTGTACCTTGCGTCCTTAAGCTGTGAAGGCTGGGGGCGGTCGGTTATTCTAGCTTGAGTTAGTTCAGCCGCTGTAAGCTGATAGCTGCGAAGAGTTTGTACTGGCACGGGTTCATGATCCGAAGGGTTGCCTGTATGATTCGGGGAATATTCAGGAGATCTATCTGCCGTCCCGTCTAGGCGAGGACGGGTTGCTAACGACAGGTGGCTTGGGTGTCTATTTGTCGATGCAACTCCGTTGAGTTGGGACAGTGAAGCTGGTAATTCGTGCCGTTGTGGCTGAAACTCTAACGATCGGTCACTCTGTTGGCGAAAATGTGAACCAATAGAGCTTTCCACGTTCTGCTCCCTTGACACCGGGCGATGTTCGGGCCCTCGAGGTATCTGAGGATGGTTGCTTGTTCTGCTGGACATATTCCCAACCCACCCGCTGGAGCGTGGTCTGTCAATTCCATCTTGCGAGAGCAAAAGTGAGACCTTGATACTGGTATCTGAGGGAGGGGATGGGTATGCGTTCCTGATGGCAACTTCTTCTTGAAACTTGGAGGAGGAGATATAGCCGTTTTGTGAGCCTTCAAGTGCAACACGAGTCAGATCCAAATTGCGTTCGGCGACATCCTCGTTGTATCTAGATGGAGAATGGACGCCCTTCGCATTGTAGAGTGAGAATATGTCGATATACCGAGGGGCCTTGGTACCGAGCCCGTTCTGGCGGTGCATCTCTGCCGACGCTTGGTAGTCTTGTTCTGATCTGGCAATGGCATCTGCGGCGCGAGTGATAGCACTCATTAGACTGTCGCTGCCAGACGTACCAGGCCGTGACAGGGACGTCGGAGGCCTTACGATCCCAGCCAGCATAGGCTGCATTTTGGTACCGGGGCCTGATATCGGAGGACTGGTTGCCGTCGAGGTTGGGCTCGCATGACTGAACACATGGTCTATCGAATAATCGTGCACATGGGTTGCTCGAGGGGTATCGGTTATGGAACGGCCAGTTTGATCGGTGCTCTGACTCTTCCGCAGACTGCCCACGCCAGAATCTCGCATGCCATCGTGACGCTTGCGTTTTCGGCGACTCCATAACTTCTTCAGACCGGTGTCCATAGCGTTATAGGACTGACATCCCCGGACTTTTGGAGGAAAGTGTGTATCCAACTCATAAGCACTTCATGACAGTGGTCAGAAGATTTTCCAGCCAGCCTGTCGAAGGAACCGACAAGGGACAGATTGTAGGGACAGCTAACACCAAGACGGTAGTTCCATCGAGGCAAGTGATAGCCTCAGGGTTTGGGGAGATGTCGCGTAGGAGGAAATTTCGAGTCGGATCGAGGGCCTCGATGTTTAACTACGCCGTCCGAAGAGAGGGCGCCGCGGTGGACAAGATTGTATATCACCGCGAGTCTGGCAAGTAGCCACGAACAGGAAATGTTGGCATCGTATCGGCACAAAGGCAGGAAAGGCACACGAGGCAGAAGAACAGGCCAGAGGAGGAGGCTGGAAAGACAATGAGAAGTTGACAGCTTTTGCCCACAAATGGGACCAGGGCAGCGCGGCGTGTGGAGGTGGGAGAGGAGGATGGAATGGATCATGGCGGTTGTCAAAAAGATGAGCCATGCCGCCACTGGCATACAGCAATGCTTCTACGGTGTACGCGAGCGCCCGCCCACTAACCTATCTCTTGTCGACGGTGAGATATCCTCCGTGCTAGACAGGGAACTCACAGGGACTCCGTAGGTGGCAGGCGCCGGGACCAGAAGCAGTCAAGTCAAGTTCGGTAGCTTGCTAGAGGCCTGTCGAAGGCTTCGGAAGAGGCAGACGCGACCCTTCTTTCGCGGTTGGACGCCTGGCTCGTCGGCCGTGCCTCTCCACTGCGCCTCCAGGCGCCGGTAACAAGCGTCTCAACGACGACGATCAACCGCCAACCCTCACACCCTCTTCTGAGATTGTCAGAATCGTTGACAGCTGACGGGACTCACAGCGAAACACGGTGGCCCTCCCACTCTTCCTCCATCCTCACCCACGTTCAAGATCCGATGCTTCGACAGCCACGGATCCCTGTCACTTTGAGCACCCCGGGTTGGAATCATCCAGGATGGTTTAGTGCGGGAAGCCCACGGGAGCCAGAGGCCTCAAAAACCTAAGGGGCTAAGGCCGAGGCCAGGACCCAGAGGTTCTTTTAGGCCTTAAGGCCTCCCTAGCTTCAGCCCAGATGATAATACCTGGAAGATCGGAAATAGCAGAGCAACCCCTGGTCAAGAGCACTTTTTATCCGTCCCACAAGCGGACAAGACGCCACCCACTAAACGACACCACCGTTAATGGGGATCATCCCCGGATGGCTTGCATCGTCCAACCAGCCGCCCAAGCGCTTCTGCCGGTGCTTCGAGATGGCTGCGTCCAGTTGTCCGCTTCCCGGCCTCCCGGCTCTGTACTCTGTGCAACGTCCCTCATTGGCGCAGCCAGTCAACAGTTCGCGACGGCAAATGGCTGGGACTGGGTTCCAAGCAAGTGAGCTTTCACGTAAAATAGTTACACGAGGTCAACATGAGTTTGATATCATTGGGAGGAGCATCGAGAATGTATATTTATGAGAACAGGCTCTGGGCCCTCATGTCATATTTGTGGCTTGTCGCCATGCGCCGAAAGCTGGCAGGCAGGCTATAATACAAGATTTGAAGGGGGACGGCACCAAATATGGCCATGCGAGTTTATCTGCGAGTCTTGATATGCTCCACGACAAACCAATTTTGCAGAGACACGATCCGCATAATGCTCCCAGTTCTGCCAACAGTGCTGTGATATGTGAAGTGTCTGGTCCTGTATGCCACTAGTCCCGGGGACCAAAAGCCTTGTCGTAATCCGTCAAAGTAAATCGATAACGCACCTTGTTATCGTGGACTCGGGACACGGCTTCGGCACATCCTGCCTCTGAAATGGGGATTGTCTCGACCATGGGGAAGAGTTTCTTCTCCGCTGCTAGCTTCAACATTGCTAAACATTCAGGTCTGCTACCGATGTGGCTTGCGCCAATCGAGCTCCCATTGGTGGTGAAGGCTTGTGCTTTGAAAGAGGGCAGAGGCTCGTCCGGGAGGCCTACCTGATGGAAGCTGGCGTTGACCTTGCATATGGAGAGGTATTCGGCAATGTCGAAGGTGTGTGTCATGTCGGCGGTGTTGAGGACAAAGTCGAAGGCGAACGCATACTTGTCTGCCCATCCCTTTTCGCTGTTTGTCACAAACTCCTTCGCACCCAGCTTCAGCGCGTCGTCCTTCTTCCTCGGCGAGTGGGAGATGACGGTGACCTCAGCCCCAAGTGCATTCGCCCACATTACCGCAAAGTGTCCTAGCCCGCCCAAACCAACGACAGCCACCTTCTTGCCGGGACCAATTCCTGCCCGCACGAGAGGAGACCAGACCGTCAACCCGGCACAAAGCATGGGCGCGGCGGCTTCTGATGGGATTTCATCGGGGATGGGGAAGGCGAAGTATTCGTGCGCTCGAATGTGCGAGGCATACCCGCCTTGAGTGATGGTTTCGTTGGGATCGGCGTCCTTGGGGTAGGGGGCTCCGTATGTGTCGACCTGATGCGGGCAGTAGTTCTCATTGTCGCTCTTGCATTGAGGGCACTTGAGACAAGCCCAGATCTGAGCGCCAACACCGACACGGTCTCCGACCTTGATACTCTTGACTGCTGGGCCAACCTTGACGGCATGGCCAACCACCTCGTGGCCAACACAGAGCGGCAGAGGAGCATCACCCCAACCGCCGTTGATCGTGTGCACGTCAGATCCGCAAACACCGCAGCACTCGATCTTGATGTCAACGTCGTGGTCTCCGAATTCCTTAGGTTTGAACTGGATGAAGGAGTCAGCGCAGGTAGGAAGGATCTAGGACAGTGCCGACATACTGTCTTCTTCTTGAACTCGGTCCATTTCTTTTGGTCCTCGATCATGAAGCCTTCGAACTCGTCGGGGTACGCCATTGTAGCTGATGTATTCAATGCTTGCGATCTAGCTGTAGCTGTTTGTTCTTGACCAAAAAATAAAATGGCGGGCACAACAAGAGAGACGAACGACCTTTTGAAAATTTAAGTGTCTTGATCAACGACACGCGGGGCCAGATATAATAGTGACGGGTACAGTCGATGCTAGATGGAAGTACGAAGTAATAGTGGGCATAGGGGTGGGATTGCACCTGGGGCTCTGAGGCTAATGGAGGCACGGATTGCGGTCCCGTCACCGTCACCACCTGCAACTGTGGTGACGTACAGTACCAGCAACAGAAGTCTCAAGAGTCATGGACAAGCTCCGCGGAGAGTGGCCTCAGGCCTCTAAGGGCGCAGGGGCCTGAGTCTCCCCTCAGGTTCCGTCTACGAGTACCCTACAAATCCACGGGACGATGCTTTGGTTCCTCTTGGTGCCTCTCTTCTGTTGTCTTCATGACGTAAGTAATAGCAGGCCAGAATACGGAGTACGGATACGGGCACTCCTCATCGCAGCCTTAGCCCCTCGCTCCCTCGCTCTTCTTCATCGACACCTGTGTGCGCACTGGCATCAGACTCACAATACTTGCAGTCAACACCATTCACCTGTACTTCCAGCCTACCAATTATTGTGTAATCTGCTACCAGTACTCGTACACTAATACGATACTAGGTACCTAGGTATCTGGCAGCCCGGGTATTTCACCGATCTTTCCGACCCACCGATGAGCCAGCCAGACGAGGTCTCGAACCAGATCCTAGCCTGCTGCACCGCCACTACCACTACTACGAGTACACTACGTACCTCCACTGGCACCGAACTGCACCCCTGGAACCAATTACCGGAGCCAGTTGGGCCGTCGTATCGTGAATGTCCACACCGGACAAAACACATGCCTCAGGAGCGCAAAGCTAAGCAAGTTTCCGCCAAAGTCCTTCGGGCTATGTTTGCCCCGGTGTGCTTCAGTGTTTGTTTCTGAATTCGGCCCTAAGAGCGAACAAAACAAACATTTATTAATACTCTGTACTGTACGAGTACAGATACAGGACCAGCTGCATGACTTGACCGAAATCAGGTCAAACTCAGTCATCCCCGTCATCCTCGACGTAACTAACAGCCTTTCTCTTCGCCTGTCTTCCCCCAGTCGTTCGCGTGGGTGCCTGCCGCTCGGCCTTTGATACCGGTAGAGGTGGCACAAAGGCCTCTTCTGTATCTGTGAGATCAGCCATCGAAAGCCCAGTCTCGTCCTCGTCCTCGTCATCTTGATTGAAATCAGAGGCCAAGTCGCTGGTGCTGGGTGTGGGAACGGATTTGGCGCTTTTCTTTCCCCGCGTGTTGGTGCTGGCACGAGCGCCCCGGACCGGCTTCTTGCCCTTGGGCACCTCGTACACACTTTTGGCTTGATCATGTTCGAGCTTCGCGACCGAGCTTGGTGCCTCTGTACCAACAGTGGCCGCGGCAGCTTCCTGAGCTGCTTGCCACGCTGCCTTCTCTGCGCGTCTGAGAGCAGCGCGCTGGGCAGTGGTTTTGGCCTTTTCTGGATCGCGGGGTTTGACTTCTCGCTTCTTCGGGCGCAGCCACTCTTCCATCCCGGGCGGCCAGTAGACACGGCCCTCGGGCCCGCCCATGCCTACTTCTGATTCCGGGATGACAAGGGGCGGCAGGGCTTCTTGAGACTCATGTTCACCGTCTTCTTCCTCCTCGGCGTGCGTCTCGTCACTGATCCGAGATCTCTTTTTCGAAGGCTTCTTGGCCTGCTTCGGTGGTTTCCATGCTCTGTTCTCGTCGTTCCGCACATGTGGGATCATGTCGCTGAACGTGTCGAATCCGGACAGTTTGAATGTCCGCATCAGTTCGAACACGGCCTGCTCTTTATCCTTGGCCTCGATCATCAGATCCATGTCGGGTGCGCATGGTGGGAGAGTGGCGACTCGAGGGCTGTGCTTGCGTCGTTGCCGCCCCGTGATCGCTGATGGGAGAGGCTCAGAGTAGTGCATCTTCTGGGTAATGCCTTTCCTGGTCCACGTCATTCTGATCCGGTCGTATAGGTCCATGATGTCCCGTGTGCCCTCGCGGATTTTGTCCGCGTCAAACACGATGTTGTGGTGATGAAAGTCAAGGACAAGCGGAATGTTCAGTTCTTCACACAAAGGCAGAAGGTCGTGCACGCTGTAGCAGACGTCATCGTTTTCGAGCACCAGACGGTCTTTGATGCCTTGCGGCAGTTTGAGGTAGTTCTCCTTGAATCGGGCGATGGTCGCCTCCTTGTCTCCAAACACCCCTCCCATGTGCAAGATCATGACGGCGTCACGGTTCTGTTGCTTGGGAAGATTCAAGAGGTCGAGCAATTCGCAGTGGTACTCAAGATCGCGGATTGAGGCGCTAATGACTTCCTTCCGAGGAGACCCCAATTGCGTGAATTGGCCCGGATGGGTGGTGAGACGGTGACCGAGTTCTGCAGCCACAAGGCCGACTTCTGCCAACGTTGCGGAGGCAAATGGCGCCAGCTTGTAGCCGTACATGTCGTGGCTTGCGAAGGGGAACATCTCAGACGACAGGCGCATGAACTTGATTCCGTATCTGTCGTTCCAACGCAGCATCTTGACAATGTCCCGCGCATTGGCCAGGCCTAGGGCTTCAACATACGCCCGCCCCCGTGCAATATCAGCAGGCTGTTCTTTGTCCGGTCGGTTCTTGGTTGCGTGTTCGGGTTGTGACGGATCCCTCAGGGGATGCCGATGTTCCAGGATTGACGCAATGCGGCATGTGCGTGACGAGAAAACCGGCGGGTTGGAATACCGAAGGTAGGTATTCAGGCAAGCATATCCCAACCGTCCTTTCCAGGGCAGCGGGAGGTAGGAACTGTTCACAGGGGGCGGGCGGGACATGACTTCTTTGAGTTCTTCGGGATTGGCATCGTCATCGTCTTCGACTTCGGGGTCCTCCCTGTTCAAGCTGTCATCTTGCTTCAAGTTGGCTTTGGAAACAGTGGAATGGTTTGGCTGCCCTCCAAGGCTATCAGCGAGCTCAGCAACCCCTGACTCATGTTTCACCGCCATGGCCGACGCCGTTGTCTTTCTCTTCTTACCTACCCTGTGTTCTGGTTCGCCCGGCTGGGCATCTGGCGAGGCTCGCAAGGCTCCTGGTCCATCTTCGATCTTTTCGTTGGTGTTGGGATTGGTGTCGATGTTTGCAGGAGCTGCTTGAGAAGCCCTCCTTGAGCTTGTCCTTCGAGTGGGTGCCGGAGCGGGAGGAATCATGCTGGAGGCCGCCGAGACAACGTTCGTAGGGACAGTCGTCGGTTGTGGGAGATCAGCGCCAACTCCAGGAATAGAACACCTTTTGCGTTTCACCATTGCGCTCAAGGGTAGCAAATCAGTCGGCTGCGACAGAAGAAGACGAACGGGAGGGATCTGGAGGCTGGAGACGTATCTATTGGGAGGACGTCTGTGTGTTTGGAAGGGTGGCAATAGATGCTTGTATGTCACGACGACAGGCCGTAGTCCAGTAGAGAATCTGGTCATTCGGCTCGTGGTGGTAGATTGTCTACACAGAGGCTGCTATGTAGTACTGTGCCCCCTTTCAACAAAGAAAAAGAGTCCAAACGCCACCGCCATCCCTTCATATTGAACATTTGCCTTTGCCTAGGCCTCTGTTCATTCCTTGAGATTCAATTGCAATTCAAGCTGCTGTCACGACGTCATGGACTTTTCAGGCTTGGCACTTTACGCGCTCAGATCCATCGACGCGTCGCTGCAAGGACCCGGAACTCGGACCAGCACCTGCACCACCACCAACACCACTAAAAAGCACCAACTCCCAGCCTAGTAGTACCTATGTACCATTATGGGCCGACAGTTCTCGTCTGCCATTCTTGCCATCAGCTTATCAGCCATATCACGCATCACCGGCACAACCAGCAGCTGCGCCTCCTCTTCGTCCTCCACCGATCATCCGCCGAACGCCGTCCATCTCGGTCCATCTTGTCGCAAGGCCATGCCTGGCGCAGTCGCTATCGATAGCTACCACAGTCTAAAGAGTAGGCTCGATGTCGTTATCTGACTGTGTACTCCGTACTCTGCACAGAGCACACTTCATGTGTACACATGCATGGATACAGAGTAGATGGTCCAGTGGGGAGGGCAAATTAGCGGCCAACCATCCGCCAACTATGATTAATACAGTTCCCCTCCCTCTGCGACAATTGATGCTGTGCCCCTCGGCTCCAATGGCACAAATCAACGAGCCAGTTGTATTCAGGCATAATAACGCTCCTCTTCAATCTTGTTCATATTTAAGACAATACGATGAACTGTGGCAACCAACTCAGACCAGGCCGCCTTTCCTCTCAGACCATTCCTCCACTTGCCGACAAGAGCTTCTCTGTTTACTTCTAAAGACTGCTCAACCTGTCAAGATGCCCTCCGATTGCTGACTCTTGTTTCCTTGGCCATATCGTCAACCATTTCTTCAATTGTCATCGGGCTCTTAATCCGCCGCTCCGCCTCAAATCGCTAACGGTCCAACAATGTCAGTCTTCGAGCGGGTGCGAAGAAGGTTTTCCCGTGCCAAGTCTGCCGCTGGCTTGGAGGATGACGGGCAAGAGGATGATCAATATGCCATTCAGCGGTGGCCGAGCAAAGCTTGCTCACTGACTCCATCGGATGAAGAGCTTGTTTCAAAGCTCGCATTTACTCCAGACACCGTAATTATCGAACGTGCACCACGACCGCAAGCCCCCTCCATTGGCACTCACCGATCTGAAAGAACGGTCTTCAACAATGTTGAGTCTGGCTTTCTCGCGTTGCCGACGGAGCTACTCATGTTCCTTCAACCCTACCTGACGCCTAGCAGTGAGGTTGCTTTGCGTCACAGCTGCTCCCGGTTCTTCCATCTCTACAGCACACCGTCCTTCGTGCTGGCCGGCAAAGAGTTATTTGACTTTCTGTGCATGACCGAACGTGACCAAGATCCAACCAGTTTGGATAGGCTGGTGTGCGGGAAGTGCCAGGAATTGCATACCCGGACCACCTTCCCGGCGTCCGAGATCAGGCAGGAAGCTACAGCTCGAGACTGCAGACAAGTTTGGCTTTGTGCTCACCGGACCCTCGGCTATGAGAAGACGATCCGCGGCATCAAGGCAGGGGTCGAGTCACCATTTCGCGTCGAGACCCTGGAGCCTTGTCCGCGCTGTAGAGACTCGATTCGCAACAGATCTGTGGCGGACCGACCGGAAAAGGGAACCTCGGCCATGGATTTGGAAGATCCAAAGGCAGAGTCACTTTTGATCTCTAAGATTGCTCTCCTGCAGGCTCCTTCACCACTGTACAACACCCGAACCAGTGGTGGCAGTGGTATGTATAAGGAGGTCTTTCAGGTCAAGGACGTTGCGGCAGCTCTTCAAACCATTGACTTCCGACTGTGCCCGCATCTGAAGCTGGGCGACCCCTATATCCTGAGCAAGTTCTGCAGAGCCTGTACCAATACTCAGCGTCTCCCGCCAAGGGTCAGGGGCCCGCCCTGCATCAACGAAAACAAACGGGAGTTTGGAGACAGTAGAGAAGGCACCAAGTGTAAAGGCAGGTGTTATACTCGAGGTTGTAAGACGCAATTCATGTTTCAGACTCGAGAAAGCTTCTCGCCCGATGCTTCCGGGCGACGCCAGGTCTGGTTGATCATCGTGGTCTATCGTTGGCTTGGTCCGCTCCTAAGCGCTGGTCGAGATATCACTTGGAGCAATCACTCTGTCGACCATAGGGAGCGGAAAGAAATGCGTCTCAAATGGGCCGAGTGGGAAAGAGCAAGTCGAGCGGGACGACCGTGTATGCCCAACTGGGGTATCTGCCTCCTTCACCCGGAGGACTCGACTTTGCGCTGACGACAATTGCGAGAGATTTTTTTACATACTATATGGCGAAGGTGATTATTGAGTTGTGTTGGACGGGCAACGCTGGGGCTACCCCGGCGGCCTCCTGAGCCCTTTTCACGTCCCGTGCACCTCAACGAAATTCTCTGATGGGCCAGATCAACAATGGGGGTTCACTCCTCCAGATAATACGTCGATACTCGTGTCGTCCATTGGCAATGCATTGGATACTGCCATACCACTTCTAGGCCGGAGCAAGGGCAAATAGGCCTTCTCCCAATAGAGTGCCTTCCTCAAAGACTTACGCAACACAAGCAGAATCGGACATGGTAGCAGAGAGGACGCGGAGGCCAAAAGATGCCCTGTGCGCGGTTAGTTGCCCCGGCGAGCTCTGATGAGGCGTTGGCAGGCTAGGTGGAGTCCTTCGGGATCCCCCATCAACTGTTATGCTCATTTTTTCTCTTCTATACGTCCATTCAACAGAATGGCTGGAGTATGACGAGCCCAGCAAAGCATGACTCGTGGTTGTTGAAAATAAGACTCGCATTACTAACATCCATCGAGACAAGCCTGAAATGCGGAGATGGCGACAGGGAGCCACAGGCACTTACATAACAGGTATTCAAGATTCAAGCTTTGGTGGCTGAGATTAGCGAGTTCATCACCCAGACCGAGAACATTTTAGGGCGGAATTGTTCAGCCCAACCCCTGAATGTCAAGGCCAAAGGAAGGCTGAGAATGGTCAGATACATACAGAGGACATGTCAACCGGCGGCTGACCGTCCACAAGTTTCCGCGTGGGTCATGACGGCTTAGCCACCTCCGCCCGGGCCAGCTTCAGGCCCCGAAGTATATTGTACAGCCTGCGGTCAACACCAGCACCACCTCTCGGCCTTGTATCCAGATCAACGGATGGACGTTGGGCACGCATTGTTCTCATGTGCGCCCGCCGCCTTGAAGATCGAGGCGGGAGCGGCGTGGCCTGAAGTGGCTATCCAGCAGCTTGTTGCTGTCGACAGAGTGATAGAAAAGAAGCATCCTGTCACCATATCTCGGCAGACTGGACACTGTCCTCATCCTTCAGACCTTCACAAATTCCAACCGTCTCATCACTCTCCGCAAGCACATTCAGATCACATTCCCCGGGCAGGTTGCTGCTCGTATCACTTCATCTCAACCGAGACGAACAGAGCCTCCCGAACTATTTCATTGCCTCTCATACCACAGTCCACTACCTCCTTTCCGATCCATCATACACACTACACATCTTTACCTAACGCACTATGCCCAACCTACTCCCAAATTCCCTCCTCCTCACATCCCTTTTGATATGGCTTCCAGTGTGCATTCAAGCCCACATGCAATTGAGTTGGCCTTACCCTCTGCGAAGTCCCCTTGATCCCGATGTCCCCTACTATGACAAAGACTATTCCATGACATCTCCCCTCCTTGCTGACGGCTCTGACTTCTCATGCAAACACTATCAGCAGAACTACACCGATACTAACGTGACCAAAGCAACCTATGTGGCAGGCGGGACTTACGACATGTGGGTGAATGGGACAGCCACCCACGACGGAGGTTCTTGTCAACTCTCGCTGTCGTATGACAATGGAGTTACCTTCAAAGTCATCAAGTCGATCATTGGCGGGTGTCCCCTACCCAGGACCTACAGCTTTACGGTTCCCAGCTACGCACCATCCTCGGACACGGCTCTCTTCTCCTGGACCTGGTTCAACCTGGTGGGCAACCGCGAGATGTATCAGAACTGTGCCCGGGTCCAGATCGTCAGCAACCCGGCTCAGAAGTATCGACGGACCCCCTTCAAGCGACAAGCTTCCATCGACGACCTTCCGGACATCTTCACCTGCAACATTGGCAATGACTGTCAGACCATCGAGGGCGCAGAGATTGTATTTCCCAACCCGGGTAGCGATGTGGTCTACGGTCAGGACGAAATCACTGCAGCTGCTGGACCAGGCTATACAATCTCGGGGAGTACGACAAGCTCAACTTCAGACTCGACAAGCGCAGTTACAAGCGCTTCCGCCGGACTCACAGACTCGCCTGCCACCACTTCTACTCTAGGACTCACGACCGAAGCGACGACTACGACTGGGACTGGGCCAGGCATTTTCGTGCCATCCTCTACCACGCAAACCCCTGACTCAGGATCAGATACAACCACCACTGCCGAATCGACCTCTGAAACTGGATCCTCGGACCCTGGTGGAATATTAATTACTATCACAGGAAGCATTACTGATTTAACTACTATCCCGGCTAGCACGGCAATGGCTACGGTGACATCGATGGAGCCCTCGACAACAACCACCGGCCTTACATCGACGTTGTCGTTGTCATCAACATCGTCGGAGGTGACAAGCATGCCAACCACCTTTGTCACCCTCACCTCTACGATTTCTTCATCTTCATCTTCACTCACGCCAACTTCATACTCCACCACGACTACGTCTACATTTTCGTCCACCTCTACCTCTTCTACGTCTACGGCCACAGATACGGATACGGATACGGCTACGGATACAGCTACGTCTACAGCTGCGTCTACAGCTGCGTCAACAGCTACAGCTACGCCTACCTCTACATATACTCCAACATCTACCCTTACATCCACATTCACGACCACAAGCACAAGCACGTTGACCTATACGTCCGTATCCACCTTCACCTCTACATCTACATCCACGTCCACGTCCGCACCCACGTCCACGTCGGCACCAACAACGTCCTGCGTCCCAGGTACTTTTGAATGCAACTCTCTCACCACGTTCTCACAGTGCGTGAGCACCTCGTCTTCGTCCACCACGTTCACCTACATGGGCTCTGTGGCCGCGGGGATGCAGTGCGTCAACGGGCAAATCATCCGTCAGAACGCCGGAGCTTGTACGCCGTCCGGCAGTTTATTCTGTAAGGGCGAGAACGCATTCTACCTGTGTGACCAAGGCGGGTTGATTGATATGGGGCCCGTGGCACCAGGGACGGCGTGTCGGAATGGAGAGATTGGATTTGCCTGAGCCGAGCCGAGCTCTCGCCTTGGTGCAATCTACCGAGTACACCTTTGCTCCTGCTCTTCGCGCATTCCTCTCCTCGCTTTAATGGACGCGGAGTGGAGGGAGACGTATTGGACCTGCGTTGCGTGGCATTTTGTTGCATTGCCTTGTTCCAGCACTGCTCTGCTCTGCGCCGAAACGAAACGAAACAAGACGAGAACAAGACCCCTATTCAGGCAATGGCGTTGGCGTTGTCGTTGGCATTGGCATTGGCGTTCAGGATTTCCATGAATATCTATCAGCATTGGAATTGGGACTGAAACGAAGGACGGGATACACAAAAGGATTCTTGTTTTGGGAAGGACGGGAAAGGAAAAAGCGAAAACGGAAAAGGTAAGGAACGCAAAGGTAAGGAAGAAGAGAAACATTTCGCGCGAACCACGCCCGCCACCATTCGATGCGATGCGATGCGATGCCACAGTCGTGATTCAGAAACGACCCGAAAAGCATCCTGCCACCGACCGACCGACCGACGGCTCACGGAATCGAACCGAGACGACGAATTGCGACCGCGACCTCGACCGCGACCGAACCATTGACTGACTGATCGGAGATAGAACCCAGTACTTACACACACACGAGAGTGTGACTGGGACTGGGACTGAAAGGAGGAAAGGTAGATGGAGCAAGACAAAGACGAATATGGATGTGGATGGAGATGGAGATGAAGAGGGAAATTCATCAACAGACTAATTGAAATATGAATGAATGAATGGAACGAGTCGAGTGGTTTTGTTGGTGATAATGGCCGTACGTGTCCAGAGATGGATAATTAGGGGAGGAATGGGTTTGTACTATTTAGATAATTAATAAAATCAATATCCTACCCAATCCTCCGTACCCCGTACACATCTCTGTTCTATCGGTCGCGGCCCTCTCCTTTTCTCGTTCTTCTTTCCTCCTTCCTCTTCCTCTTACAAAGATTGATCACGCTCCCTCCTTCCCATTGACACGTAACAGTACATACATAGCCTTGTCCAGCAGCCAGCATGCTTACCAGATCAATCTATCATATAACACTTATATTCATAATGACGAGGTGGTGTATGCACACATATCCGTATACTGTATTCCTGTATGCCGTAGAGAGTACGGATACATACTCCGCACTGAGCAGATACTTGGTATTTCTCGACTATTCAATACCTAGCTAGGTACCCAAGTCTACGGGCATCTGATTGTGACAGCACCAGGTATCTGATCCATCACCACGATACTCCCATTGCCTGGCCGTCATACAACTCGGCCCTCCCACTCTCTGCTGGCCGTCGGTTTCTGCTGGCCGTCCGGGACTGATCCCTGTTGTCTCTTCTCTCCCGCTCTCGGCTGGGTGTCAAGCGAGTCCTGCCAGCTTGTCATAGTTCGTCCTGCGCACCCATGAATTGCAGCATGGAATGTGGATGCCATCCATCTCCTGGCGTCTGGACCGAGCTTGTTTTCTCCTCCTTTTCTTTCTTCCACCACACCAGACCGAACGAATGCATTTGCAAACTCCCTGTCTAAACAAAACCACCTTGTGAATCGCCACTGCTGGAGCAAATCTGTACAAAAGGGTATCAAACGAAGCATAAAAGGTATAGCAAAATAGCCAACAACGATCCAATTCGGTTTCGTGTCGATGCATCCAGGTCCAGACCTTGTCGACGAGATATGACCTCGAGGATATCCTCAAATTCAAGGTTGAGTCCGTTTCGTCAAAGGCGGTGCTTGGAATATGATATTAGTGGTATTATCGAGTACTCTGCCTTGATCGGTCTGTGGGCATAAATCCGAAACTCCCGTGCTAAGTGCATGTCGTCGTAATCAAATGTCAGCGGGGTGACCAAACTGAACAACGACTCATGTCAGTGGTGGACCGCCTGACCCGCCCTCTGTAGAAGTGTCACCCTCTACCGTTTTCTTCCACGCTTCAGGCAAACAGACGCAGACAAGAGGGAAGGCCTTGATCTCTCCGGTCGGTGAGGGCGTTTCTTCACGCGTGGCGCTCCCGTTGGAGACACCACTGTCTCGTTGCGCCTTATGTTTGCCATCGTAGTCTTCGGCACGCTCGTTAAGCCGCACTCCAGTGGCCCAACCATCATCCCAAATACCAACCACCTTGAGCATGTCTCCTCTTTCGAGTTCGAACTCATCCCCGGCACGAGGCTGATAGGCCCATAGGACGGCCACCCGGTCTCCAGGATGGATATCGTCATTGGAGTAGTAGTCTTTGAAAAAGGGCAATTGCTCTGACTGTCCACTGGCGACGCCTTCGGGCGATGAGTAGTCTCCCGGGGAACTGCTCTGTTGCGAGCCATTACCGGGGGATCCATCGTGTTTAACGACCCCGGCAACACCCCCGAGCTTTTCGTGGGACCCTGGACTGTCGCCGTAAGGATCGGTATGAGATGTGTAGTTTCGTGGCCCGATTCCAGGTGGACCCATCATGACGCCGGGCTGATCGTCCTGAAGAGCAGACATGCGAGCAACACGTCCACCTGGGAGGACTTCATACCCCTGTTCTGTCATGGGTTGATTGTAGGCAGACGAGGACACTCCTCGCCTCTGTGGAGATGGCTGATTCAGTAGACTGCCAGCTTTGCTGTCGTTACGCCGACGCCGGAGGCACACAATGGCAAGGACAATGAGGGCGAGTAGAAGAAGGAATCCCAAGACGGATCCGACGACAATGCCGGCGATTGCACCGCCGCTAAGGCCGTGGTGTCCTCCAGAACCGGCTGCTTCCGCCGTAGGTTTGCCTGTGGCCGAGGTGGTAGGACTGGCTGTAGAAGAGAAGAGATTTGCGATGGTTGAGAAAACAGGAAGAGTGACGTCCTGGCAACGGCCAGTAGTATTAGAGGTGAAGCAGCACGAGTCGGTACCATTCTCGGTGCTCGCTCGACAGAAATTGCAGAGGCCCATCAAGTTGCCGCCGAACCCGCAGTCGAGAGGCTCATTCGATTCGCCGCTGATACAGCTTCCACTTATAGAATTGGCCGGTAAGGCGCAGTTGGTAAAGTCTGCTCGAAGTTGGTCTGCATAGTCATCGTCCCGACCCTTGCACAAGTCGCTCGCAACGATCTGCTCTTCGCTAACAGCCAAGTCGGCACAGGAATCGGCGCAAAGGGGTGTAGCATCTTCGTTGGATAACCCACACGGCCTCCGAGAATTCTGTACGATCCCATTACATAGGAAGCTGGTTGTATAGCGGGCATAGTAATCTGAAGAGTTGCCCAGCTTCACGTTGTCACAGCCAAATATGTCGGTATACTTGGATTGGACGTATTGTTGCGAGACATACTGACTTAACTGGGTGTCGAAGTCTTTGGTATTTGAGACATATGCAAGAAAAGGGCTGCTCCAGTCAGTATTCTGTCAATCATATATCTCTAACACGGCTTACTATAAATCAACCAAGGTCTGGTCGGTGGAAACCGAGGAAGAATTGAATGCTGGACAAGTCTTGGAGCCCGCCAGAGATATGCAGCTTTGCGCAAGGACGGTGGGAGCCACGAGGGCCAATGCGCTCAAAGACTGCAGTTTGGTCATGTTCGAATTTTATAAGACGTCGGTTGGTGAATCAATCGTGTGAGAGTGCTTGATCAACTAGGGCTCCCCAGTTGTGATATCCAAGATGTATCCGACTCTTCCAAGCTCATGCTGAACTCATCTTCTCCCAGCCCCTGGTGTCTGCCGTCGCGGTTGATCCAGCTGCCACGCGGTGACTGAGTGCCCACAAGCCTGGTGGCAGGTATTCAGGGTCAATGAGCTTTGACCGTCTCCAGCGGTCCGGGTCCAAGGCCAAAGCGCTGTTTGGGCGCCCGAGAATCGACGGTATGGGGGTGGGCCGGGGATGGCCAAACGAGAGAGAAGGTCGATATAAAAGTGAGCAAACGAGCGACTGGTAGTTAGAGCAGGAATGGACTGATGCTCCAGACAAGGGACCTGGAGAGGCGATTGAGCTTGGAAACAAGACAAGCTTGAGGTAGAGTCGCGAAGGGAAAGGTAGAGATCGAACAAGGTCGCAGGGTGTGATTGGGGAGGCGAGACGCGATGGCAGGTGCAGACTGCGACTGCACAAGCGAGACAGCAGCAGCTGGGTTCTGGGTTCTGGGTTCTGGGTTCACACAAAGAGACTGTCAGAGGTGAAGAGGCGAGCTTCTGCTTTCAAACAACGCCAGGGCAGGACGGACAGCAACAAGCACGTCGACCAGGTGAGAGAGGCCGCTGTCGCCGGGCGAGTACAGCCATCATCAAGCAGCGATGGGCCGGCAGGGGGAACAGGGCCGATCCGGGCATGGCTCACAGAGTCGCAGTCTACACCACTAACCAGCACAGGTCAAGTGGCGGTCTTAAAAGACCCGGGGCACGCCCGGCAAAGCCTAGCAGCGCCTAGCAGCCTCCAAGCGGACCGCCTAAGGAAGCCTAAGGAAGCCTCATTGCGCCAACCATCCCTGTTCCTCACGGTTCCTCTCAACTCTCCAATTTCAACGACTCGCTTCACAGCTGATGCTCCGTCTCACGCCCCAGTCAGTTGGGCTCCGGGTTTGTGTCTTGAAACATCCGAAATCATTTTTGCATGAACCTGTCAATGGCACAAACAGCTCCCTTCAGCCTCTTCTGTAGGCAATCTCGAAGACTCGACTCGAGCCTAGATACTGCACGGGTCTGAAGGGAGAAACCTGCCACCTCTTACTCCTCCGTCCTCCATCCTCCATTGTGCCTCTTTAGACCTCCTTCGATCGCAACCGTGTCTGCTGCATCCACGCGAGACCTGCGGCAGCCGGATTGAGCATGATCAACATCCAAGATTCACACAGTGCAGGGTGGAGAGCATTGCTCGAAGGAGATTGCATGGCGCCGCAGCCACACACGCCAACGAGCATCTAGTTATGTTAGTGAGCGGCTGGTCTATCCTGGTCAATCATGGTGGTTTGTGCTACTACTGGCCAGTTATCTCATGCCTCTCTCGCTTCTGTTCGCTTGCATCCATGCCCACAATGGCAGTCCTCCTACCCCAAGCTCCCCTTCAAACAGGCCGACCAGTCTTTTCCCTCCGCCCGACCACTTCTGGCCCAAAAGTCGACATGTAAACGTCGACAGCCAGCCGTTTGACTCTCCAGATCTAACCGAACATCGTCATCCCAGCAAGCCGTCTTGCAAACTCTAAAGGCATACTCCGTAGATGGCACCGATCATCGTCAAACGCCACTCGATCTGCAATCATGGCCTGTGCCGTTCTGCACGTTGATGTAATAGCGGCAGACTCTGGAACAAGTGAACCTAGGTGCTTGAGATCTGATTGCTCAAGACTGTGCTTCGGGGCTAGAAAAGCAAAGACAATCGCTCTGGATTTCAGCCGTCATGCGGTCTTCTCGGTGGTCTCGGATATATTTGAAAGACATCCTTCACCATGCGGCGCTTGTTGAAAGACAGAATGTGCGGACTTGCATCATTATCCTTAGTTCCGGACAGCAACCCCGTTGGGATGATATGATCGGAAGAGCTTCCATGGCTTCTGAACAGAGACATCGCCTCTTGCTGACGGCTTGGTAGACGAGAGGCACCATGGCACGGGCTTAGGGCTTAGCAAATGGGTTATCATTGGTTTCCCGCCTGTTTGGTCAAAGTACGTATATATCCCATTCCTTCCCAGACTACAAGGCTACCACCGAAAGGGGTTACACAGGCCCAGGCAGGAACGAAGTTAATGTGTATGTTTGTCTTTTCGTTTTGTATGCTAATCTCGCATGATGCTTTTCGCATCGGGGGTATCATAGAAGTTCATGTCCTTGGGTGGAAAACACCCCAATCCGCATCCCATCAAAACCGTAGACCCGTAAACATCATCCTGCACCATTTGAGATGCTACTGTATAACCCACCTATCACCACCATGAACACCTTGCTATTCCCTTTCCTTTCCCGTTTCCCAATCACCGTGGTGAGACCAAATACCCAGTATACCCGCACACGTACCCAATCCTGCTCGAGTGCTGAAAAGGAGAACAGACGGCCTGGTGAAACGCCGAATTGAACCATGAAATGCGAAACCGAACTGAGCCGCTTGCTTGTGGAGAATTGATCGACAGAATACGCTCATATCGCTTGTTTTCGAGAATTGAAGAAAAGACGTGGAGAAGGAAGAGGACTGCTTCGAGTCACTCGCTCGCTTAGGAGAGACAATTGCTATGACTGTATGCCGGAAGGAAACATGCTGGAGGTGAATCCGGTCTTGGAGGAGAGTTGCTGATGTCGCTTGCTTGCTTGCTTTGGAAGAGAGAGATGATGGATCATGGAGCCGGCCGCTTTGGTGGTCGAAGTGGCTCGAGGTAGAGTTGGCTCGTGGCAGAAGAGAGTCGCTTCTTTGGATTGCTTGCCAGTACGTATAGGCATAGGCTCGCCTAGGGTGCGATGGCCGTCCGGCATCGCAACGGCGAGGCCTTTCCAGTCAACAGGCCCATGACTTTGACGAGTCCTCTCTTCAGCCACTGTCTCGACTTCCCCTTTGGCGTGGCTGTGTTGTTGCCGCTTTGTATTGGGAAAGACGCGGGCACTGAGTGCGCCGACGTGGGTGCGAGTGCTTCGAACCCGGCGGCACCAGAGAAGTCGGGCCACTGGTCGTATCCGCTTCCCCAGCCAGCCGAGTATGTTGCGGCCTCTGCCATGTGCCGGCGGAGGCTGGCCAGCGCGGACACGGGTGGGGCTTGATATAGGATCTCTGGCTGGGCGGGGGACAGTGGCATGGCCTCGGAGATCGCTTCTGGACCTGCCGCAGGCGCCGGTACGGTTTCCTCGTTGATTGAGGGTCGAATGAAGGTATTGTCGCTGTCGAGATCGACGATGGTGCCGACTATCTCCACCTCATCCTCCTCGTTACTGGCAGGATCTGCCTCGTGCGAGTCTTGAGACTTCGTTTCGGCAGACTCCAGCGAGGCTACCGAGGTGGCCGAAGAGCTTGTGTCAAAGGCGGAGAAAGATGTAGATGGCGATCTTGTTTCTGACGATACACTTTCCAGAGCCACGGACGACGCAGGCGACAACGGCTCGTCTTCTTCTCCCTCTTCCACATCATCGATGTCGTCGGCCCAATTCGCGCTTCCCAGTGGGCCGAGTGCTTCCAATCGCCGGATCCATGCCTCGCGGTCGGGACGGGAAGCTTCTGATGGGCATGACGGTTCGTCTTGGGCGGTAGTACTTGGCTCTGGCAAGCTGGGTGCCTTTGTTTCGGCGGTCTCTGTTGAGCTCGCCAACTCTGCCTCCTCGTCTTCGATGTCATCCGCCCAGTTTGAGCTTCCCAGTGGGCCGAGCTCCTCCAGTCGCCGGAGCCATGCCTCACGTTCGGAACTTGCAGCCTCCACCATCGGTGCTGGCTCGTCCTCCTCTTCGTCCCAGTCCCCGCTTCCCAGAGGGAATGCTGCCAGGCGACGGTGAAATTCCTCGCGAGACAGAGGGACTGGTGCGACAATGGCGGCAGCAGTAGGAGTCTCAATGTCCTGGCCCGCATCGCAGGCCGGCTGCTTTTCGTGTTGGGAGTGTTGCGCATTCACAGAGGGGAACACGATGACCTCCTCGAGGTCACTGGACGATACACAGGACAACTCAAGTCTTGACTTCACTGGCCCTCTTGCGATTCGGGACTGCAACGCAGCTTTGCGGGCCTTGTCAATGGCGAGCTTTTCTTCGGTACCAGCGCTGAGTATCGCCCTGCTGGTTGGGAAGCCTTCGGCGCAACCGTTGATGATGGTGTGACCCCTCTGGTATTTGTCCGTTGCGAGAGGATCGAGCAGTGGCAGGTCGTCTTCCTGAGACCACTGGTCGTATAACCACCAGCCATTGCCAGTGTACAGCTTGTCGCAATGCCCCATCACTGCGTTTTCCAGTTCTGTCCCGCGCATCGCGTCAAGGATCTCTGGGTCGCCAGTGTACCTCACTGGATCCAGGAAACGAGAGGCCCACGAGACTGTGATTGGGATGCGGAGGTCTCTCGCATCTGTCATCGCAAGGTGTTTCGACGACGACTTGAGCACGGCGATCGTCGTCGCTGGCTTCGTTGCCGACTTGCTGTAGACGCGATGGTTGAAGAAGCTGAAATGGTGGATACATGAGCCCTCCATTTCTTCAATGGTGTACTCCTCGTACTGAGTCCATCGTTCATACCACTCGATCAAATGACTCTGTCTGTTGTTCTGAGTCCACAGTGCCGAAGTTTCTGGACGACGCGGCGTTGACAGGGGGTATCTTTCAGGGCAACGGATAGCACAGAAGGGCTCCGGCACTGTATCATCGCGATTGTCAATGGTGCGAAAGTGAAACCCATGTGGGTACAGGCCGGCTTCGTGCTGTTCTTGGCTGAAAAAGGCTCCTCTGGAGATATCGAAGGCGTACTCGGCGTCGAAATCTTCGTTGGCCTCGAAGTCGAAGGGGCACGGGAGCGGTGATACATTGATGAAGTCGCCAGTCAGAGGGTTTAGCACTGATAGTCGAGGTTCATCGGCGAGAGAGGCCATGAACTGTGGATCATAGTACACAAACGAGGCGACGACGGGCTCCTGGACTTGAAAATGCGGAAGCTCGGACTGTTCCATGACGTACTCCTGACTGCCAGGTACGAATTCGGGAGCAGTGACACTGAAACCCATGTTGTCGTCTAAGTGTGGATGCCCCTGATGCCCTAGGATGATATCACCAGCGTGATATTCCACGGCGGTTGCCGTTCAAGGTCCAATTCTGGATAGTAAGTCTAGACTGGATGCTGGGCGATCCGCGTATGAGATATCCTCTGATACAAGGTGACCTGAACAAGTCTGTCTGCGACGTGTTGGAGGAGTGGTAAGAAGGAAGAGGAGATGGTCTCTGAGGCAGGTCGATGTGAACAAGTCTGTCTGCGACGTGTTCGAATAACGGTAATCAGGAAGAGAAGACAAGATGATTTGGTCGAGACTGTGTGAGAGGTGTTCAAGTGGTGGTAAGAAGGAAGAGGAGAAATCTCGTCGAAAGAAGAGGTTTTTGAGGGTAATGGGGGAGATCAAAGGTCCTCTGAGGTATAAGAGCGTGCCTGCTGATGACCAGAGAGATAATCTTCTAGGTCCTCGGATGTCTTATTGGGTACCGTTGAAGAATTTGGTGATGGAGTGGATTCGAAGTGGGTATGGAGTAGGCTGGTATCCAGTCAGACGAGCCTTTGTCGACGCCTTTTCGCGAAGCGCAGCCTTATGCTGTTGGGGTTTGCAAGTCTGGAGGGTTCAGAAGCTGCTGGAGTGTGGAACTGCACGAAAACTTAGATCGAGAAGCCGACGGTTCGTGAGAGTGGTGGTGGGCTTTTCGTAGATGATTTGATGGTGAGAGTGAGAGAGGGTTCGAATAAATACCGCGTCCTGTGAACTAAGAGCTACATCACTGACCTTCACTGACAGAAACGCGACCTCTGAGGCGGTGCATCATTCACACACCCGCGCGTCGATGTCGCTGTTGCCAGGGCACATGTGAAAGGGGGCTGGCGAATGATGCAGTGAATACGAGACATCATGGACTCGATATTCAATTTGCTGCAGCCGCTTCGGATGAGACTGCCAATGTGACCTAATACAGTCATTTCCTTGCAGCACTTCTCTGCAATTTGTCGAATTGGTAACATGATGGCGTTAAGGGAGAAGGCCTAGGAAGATTGCTCTTCGGTATACACGTCCATACGGCCTCGCTGGCATTGGGTGTCTGTTAAAGCAAGCACACAATGAAACTTCATGTCCGTTAATGTCTGCGTCGTCTCAGTCTCTCTCAAGGGGAATATCCGTTTTCAAGGTGTTCCTTGTTTGATCTTACCGTCAAGCGCGTGCCAGTTGAGCTGTTCCGCTCCATCCAAGGCTGATGATTCAGAACATCCACATAATTTTATACATATGTTCGCCTGACGATCGACACCTATATGTATATGCCTGTGTATATACATATGTGCTTTGATATATGGAATTCCTGTGCCGAAGGACCCATGACTTGGCCGATGAGAGTTGCTTGCAAGGCAAACACCGTGTGCGTGGTCTGAAAGAGAGACATCTTGTGTGCAAATCTTCCATGTTGAAAGCATACAGATTCGAGGTTCGAAACAAAATCTCTTCTGTCCACTTCTTTGGAGACATACAAGGCTCATTCGCCATCAACCACACGGCCACGATAGCCAAAGAGGAAAGCAAGATGGCATCGGCTTCGACGTCCGGGCCAAGCTGAATAGTCAGTTAGGCTGCGCGCTCGCCATGTTGCAGCTTCTGGCACTTGATGTGGCGTGGCATCTCAAACATGAGGCCAACACAATCTGCTCTGGCAGAAAAAGAATCTGAAGTGCCATCGTCGCGGTCGTTAGAGCTGGCCAATCAGACCCATCATATTACAGCCAATCAATATGTGCACAACTTAGTCAGCAAAGCATGGATACCACGTGATGCCACGTGATACGGACCTGGTAGACAATATGGATACGGTGGGCAATAACATCAACCTACCTAGGTAATATTCATCTACAACTCGGGACTCGTCTGTCCACCTCGACATCCCCGGAGCTCACGCCCGTCCCACTATTGAGTCGAGCTTGGGCGTCATCCTCGGGCCTTGGACCACGAGATTTGACTGATGGCGGGTTTGACTGTACGACCAGACTTGCGGGAAGTTGCATGAGTGACAGATCGACTACACAGGTCTATTCCATGCTCGAGTCTTTGTGCTTCAATCCCAACTGCCATCGATATGGACTGTTCAATCTCCGACCATCCCAGTTCTGCGTTTGATCCGTCGCCTCTTGGACCTACATGGACCTTCTAAGTTCTCGACATGTGGACGCTTTGCGAGCATGGCAGCAGGACACAGTTTAATCATGTCTTCACAAGCAAGCACGCTCGCATCTCCTAGAGCGCCGCAGCCAGGTGGTTGTCTTGTTGTCCTCCACAGTAGAGCGGCCATCCCGGGGCGAGGCAAAACACATGTGCGCTCCTCATGCGGCTGCCCTGGAACTCTGCAGGGCAAATGAAGCATGATAGGCATGGTTGCCCAGCTAGACGTCCCTGGCTTTGCTACCCATTCTCCGCGATGAGGTCTCAAGTCAATGAGATTCTCTAGGTGGGTGCCAAAATTGGCGGAAATGGTGAGCTCAGAGAGAAGTGTTTTGATTGTGTCTTCATCGTCAAATTTCTCCTGGCTCCGACTCCCGTCCCCTTTCCCGTTGCGGCCCATGCCTTGTTCAACCGTTGGCCTCCAAAAAGTTGTCCTCTTCGTTTGGGCAGAGGAATATATCAATAGCAGCGAGCATCCTCAAGGACGACCAGATTCTCCTGTTTCAAGAACAAACCTGTCCGAGTTATCCTAGCCCGTATCTTAGCATGGCCACGGACGATTGTGCCTATTGTCCTGTCGAACATCTCGGCTTGGGAGGACGTGGCGCGCACCTGGTGATACCTTCAATTCTCGCACCGATCTTATCATGTCTGGTGGTGGCGAATCGAGTCTACTGGCGCCTGAACTTGGTGGGTAGTCTCGGCCTTGACGATCTATCGACGATATTGGCAATGGTAAGCCAAAAAACCTCCTGTCAGCGCCTGTCTGGGAGAAACTGATGCTGTGGCAGACCTTCTTGTTTGCTCAATGCGGTGCATCCATTGCCGCAGTCAACTTTGGATATGGTAGACCTGTGGACACCCTGAACCAGCACCAGGCCTCCCAGGCCCTGGAGGTGAGTCGTGGCGTCCACTTCCTTCTGTGTCTCTTCAAACTAACGCATATGGTGGGAGTCTAGTGTTTCTTCCTCCTACAGATCTTCTACAAGCTCACCATCAATTGCACCAAACTCTCCATACTCTTCCTATACCTCCGCATCTTCACCGATCGTATGTGGTTTGTCCAAGCTTGTAGGGGAATGATCCTCTTCATCCTCTGCGCCTGCCTATGCTTCACTGCTGCTACAATTTTTCAATGCAGTCCCCTACAGCGGGCCTGGGAGCGTTGGAACTCCGAAGGCACCTGCGTCAACCTATACGCTCTTTGGTATAGCAACGCCATCTACAACATTCTGACGGACCTCATCATTGTCCTGATGGTGCCGCCTGTGATCTTCACCCTGAAGTTGCCAATCCGCCAGAAGCTAGCGTTGACCTGCATTTTCGGTCTAGGCACCATCGTCTGCGTTGCCTCTATTTCTCGATTAACTACATTATACTCCTCGGCGTACGGGAGCGACCTGACGGCAGGATCACTGGTCTCGACCATCTGGACAACAGTCGAGGCTGGTCTCGGCGTAATTTGCGCCAATCTACCAATGCTACGGACACCTCTTCAACGTTGTTTTCCCAGACTCTTCCCGATCAGACCAAGCAACAGCCATACTCCACACACCACCCAGTCTCAGCCAAGCGGTGTATGCAGTGCTGGTCCTCCAGTGGCTCCGAGGATCTATGCTCCGCCATATGTTGCAACCCGAGGTACACACCCAGACCAGGCTCCTCAGCCTGCAGCTCCATTTAGTCAGCGAGTCAACCATATATCAACCGCAGCTCAAGAGACCTGGGGAGCCTCTCTCATCAACAACACTATTGACTACAGTGACGTCAACTACGAAGCTCAGGATCTTCATTTCTTTGATAGAGCTGTTGAGTTAGACCCGAGCACTCATGTGGACTGGTATTCCAGTCCGCTCAAAGTCTGGTGAAGGGGAATAAGCGAATAACCAAGTCGCGTGCTAGCTGGCATGCTCTCACAGGAGGCAGACCGCTCCACAGGCTATGACTAGGTGAAGAGATTTCTTGTCATGGCTGGTTGATTGCCATCGTGGACAGGGATTGTGGGGCTATTGGGTAAATCACTCTGGCCTGTAGGTTGTCTCGAAATTTGGCCAGCACAGAGCTTGTGAAAGAGATACTTGGATACATGGTCAACTTTCTCTTATTGATCCCAGCACTTGAGATTGATCTAATATACGACGGCTTCTCATCTACCTTGTACCGTGTGCAGTCATTGTCCACTGTTGTTAGAAGCTGTGAAGCAGCCTAGTGAATCACATGAGACATTTTGACCATGCTTCTCGTTATGATTCCGCTCGATCATCTCATGTTGAATTGTCACTGGGATGCCCAGCCTAGGTTCCATCGAGCGCATAGCAGGTTCGGATCTGGTTGGATGTCGCGGCAACGATTAGGCGGCTTCATGTCATCTGCGCCCTGCATATCATTGCATAGGTGGTTAATTAGCTAAGTAGTTTGTAATTAGAGGAAAGACAAGCGTAGTCGACAGCCAGAGTCAGTGAGATGCAATGGTATGTCTAAAAGCGGCATGAATTTTACAACTCAAGCAGTTAGCCTCGCCAAGGCTCGGAGCTTTCTCTTCTGTGAGGAAGGATGAAGTCGTGTTCAAGGGGAGCTCTCGACACCGGACTCACTCCTTCAACAGCTTCACCAGTTGCCCGCAACCCAATTGAACACTTTTGAGGACACTGTATGATATCCAACTACCTAGAGGCACGCGGAAAAGTGACTGACAGCACTGACTAGCTCAAAATGTCGTTCGTCATCCGCCGAGCACTATCAACCCTGGTTCCGCCAAAGGTAATGCATTAATGCTAGATTGCCCTTTATATACACAAGCTGACATTCGATAACAGGTCGCCAACCCAGAGGTACGTCCAAGTGTCCGATATGCCCTATTCCCCGACGGTATCATTGCGCTCGAAGGCCGAAGCCGCCACGACCGCGATGCTTCCAATCTCCACCTCGATAGCACAACCGGATTGAGCGGGTACTGACTGTCTTCAGGGTGTGGGAGCCGCCAAAAATGCCGTTCGCATGGCAAGGATAGCCAAATTCTATGAAAAACTACCGAAGGGTCCGGCACCAGAAAGAGCACCCAGTGGACTGTTGGGCAGATATCAAGCGAAATACTTTGGCAAAGACCCATCTCCAGCTCGTATGTTCCCTGAAGTATGTCAAAAGATCGCTGCAAATACTGATCGGCTATAGCAATCTGGCACGCCATTTTCGGGATCATGGCGCTTGGATACAGCATGGAGTACTACTTCCATCTAAGTAAGTTGGACTTGGATTTTGTCAGATGGGCTACACTGACACAGTTTAGGACATCACAAGAACAATGCTCACTGATTGCCCTCCATTGAACAAGTGAATAGCCTTCGGGCGGACTTTGTACATAAAATGGAATAAACTGGTTGAGCTTGACAGCAGGCCATCTCTCTAACCCTCACACTGCGTCAATCGGCAATGCATCTGATCACACATCTTCGCAAAGTCTTTGTTCGGCCTCTTGGCCATATTTCGTCGTCCACTTGTGTATCCTGTAGGGATTCATCTCTTTTCGCAATTGTGCTTCTTTCGGAACCGGACTTCTGGTTGCTGTGCACCTTCAATTTACGAGCGCAGTTAGGGTATGGGCGTGTGCAATCCTCGGACTCAAATTATGATATATGCCAGACAGGAAACGCAGACGACGGCCAAGTTAAGGACAGCGCCGTCTCATGGACTGTCACCCCATGCAGTTCTAGTCGCAGGACAATGCACGTGTCCCAATATGCTTTTGATAAACCGATCTGAAGTGGCAATAGGCCCATGCACCGAGCTATTACAGAGTAGAACAGTCTGGCACTCAGTGCTATGTCTTAGGTACTACTAGTACTGCCAGTGTACTACTGGGTACTGGCACGGGCGTACTCCGTAGCTTGTCACCGACTTCTGCCCATGCGACACATTGAGGCTTTCGTACTGCTAGTAGCAATTAATAGTCGAACTCTCCTCTACCCCGGTGCCAAGCCCTGCAATGCCGCAACTCCAGTCACTGCACGACTTCAACTGCGCTGCCTCCTGTCTGAGGTGACTCAACGACAACCACTTCTTTTCGCCACTGTATTTCTTTCCCTCGAGGTGTCGTACCCCTGCCCTCTATCTCTTCTCCTCGGTGCACTCGCCGAATCGCGACCGTAATCGCAAGACGCCACCGTCCGTGATCGGACATCGAAAACCCACGTTGGCAATTGTGGCAGACTACGACGCTCTTTAACAGGTACATTCTCACTTGGTGGCGCTGGCGCCTACTTCTTGCCCTCTGGCTGAATCCGAATCCTGTCGCATAGGTCCGAGTTTGTTATGGCAGAGCAGAGTGCGCAAGATGTGGTAAACCAAACTCGGTCGGTCGGCGACGCATCGCCTTCCGACGCACCTGCGACCACATCTACACCTGATATCAAAGTTTTGGGGGACGAGAATAGTGCTGTGGAGGCTGCGCTGAAGGAGAATGGAGTCCATACACTGTCGACCGTTAAGATGGAAGAGCTCGATGATACCGCCTCAGCTCGCTCTGACACAGATACTAGCCGTGCCGATGGTAGTGTCTCTGGTGACAAGGTTGCCGAATCCAAGCCTCTCAAAAAGCTGGCAGCAAAACCCGTCAGCTTTGCAAAGTACTCGGTGCCTAAAGTCATCGCTGCAAGCGCCGCGGCCAAAGGCAGCGACAAAGGTAATCTGCGCAACCGCTTCCCTGCGCTTCCGACTGACATGAGTCCAGCTGCGACGCCGAATTCGTTAGCTTCGTCGCTCTCCCAGGCCGGACGTCCACGGTTAGTCGCCAAAACTACGAGTGCACTGCAATCCCAGTCGAAGCCTTATAAGACCGCTACCCCTGACCCTATGCAAGTTTGGAACAAAAACAGAGGTATGCCTTTCTTCCGGATTGGGGCAATTATATACTGACATTTCAGCAGTAACACCACAAACCTCGACGAAACATTTGACCGACGAAGAGCTTAAGCAGCAATACGGCATCCATCTAACATCGCGCATCCAAGCGGACGGCGACGGGAAAGAGGCGAAATGGGCGGATATCGACGATGACGAGGACGACTGGGCCCCGGAAACTATTGAATGGAATGATGGCACCAAGAGCACCCTGACCCCCGCCGAGGTCGCTGCACCACAAGCGATGCAACAACCACTGACGCCTTCCGAAACGGCGGAGAAGCCAAAGCCTGCAGCTCCTCCAAAGATCCTGACTCCACATTTTTCCAGCTCAGTCGGCCCAAATGCCACTGTCCTCAAGCTTGGTGCAAGCGTGGAAAGACAGCAGGCACACAAAACTTCAAATCTCCAAAGTAAAGGCTCGTCTGAGAAGCCGTCCTTGGTGTCTTCGAAGACAGCTCTTACTCCTACGCCGGCAAAATCCCCGTGGGCGCCGTTGCCTCCGGTGGACAAGGTTTCGCCGGTAGCCATCCATCCGCAAATGTCGATGCCCCCGCCCAACCGCTTGCCTCCTGGCCACCTGCACACCCAAGGACCACCACCTGTGGCAGCCCCATCTTCGGCCAAGGAGATCTCGGCGGATGATTTCAATCGGTCCTGGCGCGATACACAACCAGGCCAAACTCGTGAGCTTTACATGCCAAATTCTGGACGCTATGAAGCAGTACCTGAGAGTCGAAGACGCATGTCTCGGAACGACCAGAATTTCAGAGCACCTGCCGTTCTACAACGACCAAACCAAGCTGACAGCCACATCCCGGCTGAGCCATCCGCTGCATTTCAGACACATCGCACAAGTACGGATCAAGCGCGGCGGAGAGCGTCTTCGACACTCTCTGGGGGAAGTGGTCAATATGGCCGACGGATGTCAATCAAATCTGGCGAGATGGCGCCTCCAGTCTTCGAATCACACACCCATGATGAGGATACAGCCATCCGACCACCTTCCAGAGATGGGCCACCGACATATCAAGCTCACAGCACAACTGAGTCTGTTTCGGCTGGGCCCCTTTCGGCGAATGATCCCGATTTCGAGGTCCAGCGCGCCCAGCAAAAAGCTCTCATGAAAGAAAAGATTGAACTGGCTAGAAGACGCAAGGTAGAAGAGGAGCAGCGGTTGGAGGCAGAGAAGCAAGAACGCATACGGCTGAAGTTGGCCTCTCTCGGGCTCGACCCCAACGTGGCTAGAAGGAAATCAGAGGTGACGGCACAGGATACCGAAGAGAAGAAAGACGGCGAACAATCTGTAGCTCCCTCAGCTTCCACCACCGGCGCCGCTACTACTACCACACATTCACCACCGAAGCCCCCTCAGCCGCTTGCGTCTGGTGAACCGCAACAGTACGGCATGATGAAAGTCCACCCCTTGGATTCCGTCAAAAAGTTGGGCTCTTCCATGCCTCGTCCCATCGAGCCTCAGCGAGTGCCTGCGCGAGTTAAGGTTGAATCCAGCTCAGAAGAATTCCGATCAGAGCCATCTCAGGTTGTTTCACCCGTCATGAACGGTGTGCGAGCAGGGCCGGAGTTGCGACGAACAAGCGGTCAGGAATCGGCCGGTGCCGCCGAACCGAGTCCAAAACTGCCCAAGCCGAGCTCGGTGACAAGCGACGCAAGAAGCGGTTGGGGAGACGTGCGCCACGATCATCGTCCACCGCAATCAGGTAATCTTTGGGGGTTGCCAAATAACAAATCCCTCGGGAATGGTACTTTTGACCAGGGTCTCGCAGGTTATGCTCCGCAGGACCTTTCACGGACCTCATCCACGGCGCAAGGCTGGATGAATAACAGAACCCCTCACGGGGGTCGATCGCCGCAGCCAGAATACGCGACTCACGCTCTTCCAGACAGCAGATCGTTGCCATATCACCCGGTCACCTCTCCGGATCAGGGCCCACTTGCAGCTGACAGTGAAATCGACTCTCTATTGCCAACCACCAAACCTGCACCCATCGCTCCACCGCAGCCTCAACCAGGCCACCCGGCAGAGAACAGTTACCAGAACAATACGCGGGCGCACGGGGTCGACGCTTGGAGCAACTTCCATCAAGTGGCTAGTCAACAGGAGCGTGCGGAAAATGAGCGGCTCCAACGAGAAATGGCAGCTCGGCGTGAAGAAGAGCTGCGAACAGGGATCCGGCAGGGGCCTCAGTATGTTTTCAACGAGACGTGGAAGCAAGTGCAGGTTGGCGAATCTGCCGACCAACGACAGGTTGCAAACATCTCCCAATCGGCCGTGCCAGCATCGCATGCCTTTGGAGCGGTGGGATCTTTGCCTGGCGGAGACATAGGTCCCAGAGCAATAGCCGGGCCTTCAGGCCGCGGGTCCAGATTCTTCCCACATCATGCCGGAGGCCATCCCCCTCTGGATCGACGGGCGTTCACGTACAGCCATCCGGAGCCGCCACGGACGCCGTCCCCCCCTCCGGCGGAAGAGTATACTCTGCACCCTGCATTTGATGGCATTTCGGCGAAGCCTGTTGTACATTTCCCGCGAGAAAAGGCGGTGGTCAAGCTACCGCCAATCATGCCACCGACGCCACCGAGTCCCGCGCGATCTCCAGTCGCCCCTGAGGCAGATACTCCAATGACCTGGGCGGCGAGAATATCCATGCCGCCCACAGCCTCCCAGCCAGGGCTTCGTACAGTTTCCACGCCACTTGGGCATAACCCTTCTTGGCAAGAACGATTTAATGGATTGTTAGGGAAGAAGGCTTCTCCTGCCAGGGACATGGGTCAGCCTGTCGACGCAGTCCTTGCGGTTGCATCATCAACACGAGAGCCTTTGGAGCCCCACCATACTTTCCGATCCACTGCGTCGGTCTCTCTTCCAACCCATACAGCGCTCGAAGTTCGGGTAGAAGACGGTTTCTTTGCCACGACCAAGGATGTTGAGAGCGAAGATGATCTATTCGAAGACAGAGAACCCGGCTCGTTGCCGGCCATCCACTTCCCCCAGGAGACTCCCATGTTATTGCCATGGGCCCCGTCCTTGGCCACGAGACCGCCGCCATCAGCAGTGGAGCCCTCGTCGTGTCAGCCTTACATGGTTAGCAACCTGTACGAACGCAGTGGCCCTCCAAAAGCCCAGTACGCGCTTATCCGGCTGCCTGGATCTACCAGGAACATCAAGAAGGACATTCCCGTCAAGGGAGTAGCAGGCAGCAACGCCGGCAGGCAGCGATTCAACAGCGGTGCCCCACACTCGTCTGGTTCTTACGGCGGGAAGAACTCTAGAAACAGAGGTGGTGTGCGATCTCGACATGTGTCCAAAGCACAAGCACACTGAGCTTATGCTTCCTCCCACTCTTTAGGACCAAGAGCTGGGGTCGGCTCCATTTTCAGGACTGCGAGGCATGACATGGCCTCGCTTTCAGCAGTGGTAGTGCACCCTATGCTGGAATCATTGAAGCAAAATCCTTTCGACTGTATTTCTTGAATTGTCGTTCAACATCATGGCCGGGGCAAAAGCAAACGACGCCACTACGGCCACGGCTCTAGGCTCTACCTTGCAGTGCCTTGGCCTTACTCATAGCATCATCTCGGTGGCCTTCCCTGCAAAGAAGGCGGTTGTGTACAAAGAGCTTTTTATGGGCAGGGGGTCTTTCTAAGGCCAGCAGAAATCGGACACTCGTCACTTGTGTGGAGGATTAGTCTTGCTTAGACCGAGCTGTTGTGGCTTTAATGGCTTAAATCTCTTTCCGAGTTCTACTCCCACTCAGACTCAGACCCGTACCATGACAGTCATGGAAGTCCGAGGACTTTTTTCTCTCTCTCTGACTTTCTCCCTTTCTGACTTTCTCAGTCTCTCACTCGCCACTAGTCTGAAATCCGAAGAAAGTCTTGTTATCCCTCGACTCGCTGCTGGAGACTCGTTTGAGTTTCGTGCAACGCCATCACCCGCTTGCCCAGATATATATATATATATATACATAACTTTGAGGAATCGTGCATATCTAGATCTAGATGCAAATCTGGATCTGAATCCCAAACCAGATTCAAAAAGGGGGCAGGGAAGTTCCCTCTTTCCAAATCCAAATCCAAATCCAAATCCAAAAGGGACTAGAGTGTTCCCTCTTTCCTTCCCATGGTTATATTATGATTGATTCAATTCAGTTCAATTCCATACCATACCTAGGTGGATGATTCAATTCAATTCAATTCAATTCCATCATACCTAAAGATTGATTCCAATTCAATTCAATTCCATACCTAGGTGGATATCTATCTGATCAGATCGGTGTGCGCCCCATGCATGATAACTAAACATTCCGCAGCCATTGTTTTTTTCTTCTTCTTCTTCATTTTCTGTCGGATCAGGTCCGTCATCAACCGTGTTTTTGTTTCGGTTTCGGTTTCACTTCCTTTCCTTTCCTATCATTTCCCTTGCCTGCGGCCGTGCGACCACGACCACGACCGACTGGCTCCTAAGGAGGCTCAAACATAGATCCAATGTCCGAAAAGATTCCATGGCAAAACCATGCGCAAAGGCCATGTCATTGCGAAGAGTCAAGCCAAAGCCTACACCAACTGTCCTTGGAGTTTGAAATTGAAATTGAAAAGATTGCATGTTCGTGCATCGCGACGGGCACTGGGCCGAGGCCGAGGCTGAAGCTGAAGTGGAAAATGAAGGCCAGAACAGTTGAAGTGGTCAAGTTCCTAAATCGGAAAATATAAATTCGGGCCCGCGGACCTGGACTTGGTGGAATCGATATGGAACTGTTGATTGTATGATATGATAGGTACGAAAAGGTCATCGCAGCGTACTGTAGGAACGAGACGAAAATCGGGACTGGTTCGAGATCGAGGTCGAGGTCGAGGTCAGGCCGTGCAAGCAGTCGAGTCGATATCGCCACCTTCATCCACGTCTCTGCCGCAACGCAAACATTATTCGAGATTGATCGAGGACGGATCTGAAGGAGAAAGGAACTGGGGCATGGCGAGGTAATGCGGACGTGTCGTGTCGTGGCAACGACCGTCGGTTCTCCTGGCGTCATCGGAACGAAAAACAGTAACTCAACGGAAAAGAAGGGCCTTTTGGCGGGCTCGTAGTTTATGGTTTGGGTGAGAGGAGTTGAACGAATTCCTCGTCTAGTCAGACTCTTGTTAGTGTGTGTTGATGTTGTTGAAACGACAGCAGCGGGGATTAAGAGAAGAAATGGGCAAGATCGCCGCAAAACCATGCAGGTGTAGATTGAATGAAGATCCAGAACAGATAGGAGTGTATGAAGTGGGTGGAAGACCAAAACAAAAATGGGTGTATGAAACGGGTGGAAGACGGTCAAGGTCAACGTACAATCTATCGTGCCGTTCCTGTCTTTGTCAGCCTCGCGGATCATCTCGTCGATCTCGGCGTCAGTCAGGTTCTCGCCGAGCGACTTCATGACCTGGCGCAGCTCATCTGCGGAAATTGTGCCGCTGCCGTCCTTGTCGAAGACGTCGAAGGCGGCGCGGGTCTCGTGCGCAAAATCCTGTGCCTTGACGGTAGTCGACATCATTTTGAGGAATTCTACCGTCGTCAGCATTGATTTCCTAGTCGTACAGAGGGGGCGCTATGAAAGAGGGGAAGGGAATGGGCAGGAAGCTTGCTCAGTACCTTCGAAATCTATGCTGCCGGAATGGTCGATGTCGACTTCATTGATCTAGAAGGGAAAATGCAATGTGTGGTCAGCAGGCCGTGTTGGAAATACGCGGTTGAAAGGGGATGAGAAGGGTAAGAAGATAGTTCCCAAGAGGGGTGTGAAAATGCCAAGTATAGCAGACATACCATGTCCTGCAGCTCCGAGTCTGATGGGTTCTGGCCGAGCGAGCGCATGATCTCGCCGAGTTCCTCATCCGTGATTGTGCCTGGGAAACGAACAAGCTATTAGAACGGGACGTTTGATGAGTGTAGGGATACGTCGCCCGCATCGTTCTGAGTCAAGGCCAATTGCTGTGATAGTAGTAGTCTTGAAAAGATGTTCGGTCTCTCCGACGACAAGGCTGAGATTTCAAAACTGGAGCTATTGCCCAATGCCACATGATGCTTACCACTGTTATCTTTGTCCTATTCCATGCAGATGGTTAATCAGACATGAAGCGAAATTGTCATGCTAGAACAGAGGGCTCCAACTCACGAATAAGGCGAACACGTCCCTGTAAGCCTGGATCTCCTCATCGGACAATTTGGCTGATGTCGGGGTCTGCAAAGCGGGCCAAGGTCAGCTTCACAGCAACTGACAGAGACGAGCATGGAATGGACTTTGGTGACAAGGCCACATACCATTGTATTCTTGGTTGAGGCGGGGCCTGTGTTGGTATTGATCTTGTCGACTTTTGGTGGCGGCATCGAGTCGGGAATGTACGTTGGAGGGGGGGAAAACCCAGCAGAAATATATACGTAGCAAGGCAGAATGAGTCTTGGTTGGGGGAGTGGTCCAGGCCAAGGGCGGCTGAGATTGGACAGGGATTAAGTAGGTGCCCAACTGATCTGGTTTGGAGATGGGGTGTTCAGCTGACAAGGGGGCGACGAGTCCGGGGCCGAATGTTACGAGTCCTGCCAGGGAATGTGTTATCAATCAGGCTGCAACGCCGCTTCTGTGTGAGCTGGCTTCTAGAGAGAGGAGGGTTTGGGGCTGAGCGTCGAAATGAAAGCTGGAAGCTGGGCAGTCTTTGGGCGCTACCGCTACCCCGGCCCAAAGGATCCTGGTGTTGCACGTCCTGCTGGCAAGAAGGGGATTGGGTCCAGATAGTGTCAGATCATACCTTAGCGTAGTAAGTGGGCGGCCTGGTGGAGGGATACGAGAGGAATTTGACTGCGTCGAGGGGGGGAGAGGTGAAGAGGTGGTGATGTGATGCCTGGAGGGGGGCCTTACACGTGATCAGTTTGATATTCACGTGACCATGTCCAGCCTTCAGCATCACGTGCAGGAATAATGGCACGGGCACGTGATCTGGCATGTGACCATGAAATATATCTTGGCACCGGACTTGAATGACCGTCATTTCAAACGTCGAGCCTCGTTCGGCGACATCACCAACACCACCACCACCACCACCATCACCAGAGAACTCGTCAGAGAGGATAGTCAGGAAAAGTGCCAGGAACTACATTGACAAGGGAGTGTGGATATAGACAGACCGTCTGCTCATTACACCTGCATACATTCTACTCTTACATGTTGGCTCGAGCCATCAGGCTCTCATCCCATCGTCGACCGCCGTCCATAGCTATGGCGCTCCACCAGGCGACGGGCATATCGACTACCTCTCCCAAGGACAAGCTGATCTGTAAGTCTACCATCACTGGCAGGATATTAGACGAGCCCGCATGCTCTGATCTGACACCCGTCCCACCTTCACCGTACCATTGTCCTTGTGCCATGCCCGTCATCTAGGACATGAAACTCCGGTCCCAAGCGCATCTCTCTCTCTCTCTCTCTCTACACTCAGTCTCAGTCTCAGTCTCAGTATCAGTATCAGTACCTTCCCCACCCACTAACAATGTCTCTTTTCTCTCCCCTTCCAGTCGCTCCAGGCCACGACCCGAGCGACGCTCACCGCGCCGCGCAATTCACCAAATTCCGGCTCCGGCGCTCCGACCTGTCGGACGACCCATTCATCCAATTCCACCAGTGGTTCAGCGCGCCACAGTTACAAAGCCACATTCCGGAGACGGTCACGCTGTCGACCGCGGAGCTCCCCTCGGGCCGGGTGTCGGCGCGCACCGTGTATTTGAAAGAACTCGATGCGCGCGGCTTCGTCATCTACTCCAACTTTGGGACGAGCCGCAAGGCCGCCGACCTGGCCACCAACTCATACGCCAGCCTGTGTTTCTGGTGGAAGCCGGTCGAACGCCAGGTGCGTGTCGAGGGCCGCGTGGAGCGCCTGACCCCGCAAGAAAGCCAGGTCTACTTCAACACCCGCGCCAGGGGCAGTCGCATCGGCGCCTGGGCCAGTCAGCAGACCAGTGTGCTCGTGCCTCAGTCGCCATCACAACCGCATGTCGTGCGGGCTGGTGGTGAAGGCGACGATGACGCCGACGACGGCCGTGCCGAACTCGAAGCCCGCGTCAAGGAAGTCGAGGCTCGCTTTGACGGTCAGGATGAAATCCCCGTTCCGCCCTTCTGGGGCGGCATTCGCATTGTTCCAGACACGGTGGAGTTCTGGCAGGGTCGCGAGAGTCGCTTGCACGATCGCTTCCGCTATACACGGTTGGAAGGCGAAGGCGCCACGGGCTGGAAAACGGAGAGGCTGAGTCCTTGATATAGGTCCTGAACCCACACGGGCTGGAAGACGGAGAGGCTTAGTCCCTGATATAGGCCCTGAACCCACACGGGCTGGGAAACGGAGAGGCTTAGTCCCTGATACAGGTCCTGAACCCGGTCAAGACTAGGTAGTAGGTAGGTAAAAATCATGGTACTAAGGTCATACAATCACAAAGGTGTCGAGGGATTCAGAATCAAAAGAGAGGTATTGATATTACTTGGTCAAAGACAATCTCAATCGCATTCGACCCCATTGAGTCCTACATACCTAGGTAAATGGCAGGACTGCCCGTAGCAACCCACAACGGTGACCCCGAGGATCTAACGGGATTTCTTCACCAAAGTCACTCTCCCACATAGAAGCGTTGATTACAGTAGATCTCGTCCCGACTACCCCTTGCTGGTAGGACTCGAATGTTCTGACCTAGGCGGCCACCTGCCCCCGGTCCGTGTCATCTATAATTAATTGAGTAGAGTTCTTTACGCTTGTGTTCTGTTGTACATGAAGTCCCGTTCCTGTTTTCCAGAACTCCAAATCCGAGAGCTTCGGCCAGCTCGCTGCGTCCAGCGCCTCGCCAGACCAGATCTCTAGCAAATGCTAGAATCGCGCCGAACCCTCGCCCATACGCTGTCGCTTCGCTATCGAGGACAGGCCGGCGTCAAAGCCAAAACGCCCGTGTCGTAAAATCCACACCGCACAGCCCATTGTGTGGCTGTCGCCCGTGGTTTTGGGTATCATCGTCCATCAACAAAGGAAATTAGGATCGAGGCAAGCCATACGTGGCCACTCTCGAAACGTGAGCAAGATCGCGAGAGATCATCGCGGATTTGCTCGAGCTTCACTGCCAGAATTCAGCGCTCAGGCAGTAGCTCCTTCCACCAACGCAAGCACCTTTTCGGTGACTGCGGTTGGGTACCCCTTCTTCAGCATTTCTTGAACGACTGCGTTGGCGCCGGCACGGTCTTCTACAGACAAAAACGCCCGCGTCATTGCTTCGTATGTGCTCGGTTCGCGTTTCTCCCTACCAAGTTGGTCGTAAACGGCCTTGGCTTTAGAAACATCACCTTCGCTCGCCCAGCCGTGAATAAGGGTGTTCGCAATGTACGGGGTCATGGACACTCCACGTTGTGCCATGTCAGTAAGCACCTCGGCAGTGTTTTTGACTTCGTGGTTGGCCACCATCGCCTCCAACAGGTTTTGGTACAGGGTATCGGTCGGTCGGATATTTTCGACATGCAAGACAGAGTCGAAAATCGCCTTTGCCGCAGGCAAGTCATGCATCACACACCCCTTGGCATGGATCATTGACCCGTAGTGGAGTGCCTCGGGCTGGACACCGGCGGTTTTCATTTCCGCAAGAATACCTTCAGCCGCGGCAAAGTCGACGGGCTCAAGTGTGGCATATGACTCGATCAGGAGCTTGTACGTGTGCGAAGTGGGCTTGATATTCTTGGACTTCATTCGCGCATAGTACTGAAGAACCTTGCTTCGATCCCGCTTGGTATTGAGGAAGTATTGAATGATGGAATTGTACGGGGCTGGTCGGGGTCGGTAATTGGGCGCGGCCTCCATCTCGTCAAACATGTCCACGGCGAAACGCTCTTCACTGGTTCTGCAAAGAGCGTTGACCAGCGTGCCGTAGGTGACAGATGATGGACGGATGCCGCGACCTTCCATGTCACCGAAGTATCGAAGACAGTCGTCGATACGTCGAGCTTTGCCGAGCTTGCCAATCACCGCATTGTAAAGGAAGACACTAGGAGCAACTCCCTCGGACAATGCGCGCTGGAAAATCTTGACAGCCTCAGTGGCTTCGTCGTGGGTCCCCTCGAGAGTCGTGATATAGATGCCGAAAGTATTGGCCGATGGAGCGGCACCCATATCCAACAAGTCTTGATGATACTTGGTGGCTTGCTCACGATCACCAACAGTCAAGCACGCCGCGACCATTGAGTCCAATATGGTGATCCATCCGGTTCGAACGGATGGAAATTGCAACGACATAGGTACGTCGGCTTGTGCCATACCCAAGATGCTGTGAATAGATCTAGGTTGTTTGGCTTTGCCGGCAGCAGTGATGAGTTTGGCGTAGGCGGAATAATGCAAGTTCCTGCCGGCGCGGCGAACGTTTCTCAACCGAGCCAGACCATCGTTCAGGTGGTTTTCGATCCGTCCGCTGGTGCTCTCGACCAACTCGGAGATTGCCTTGGATGCACGGTAGTCGGTCGTGTGGGCGTATGGGTCATATGCGTCCGCCACAGATACATTGTCCACAACAACTGGGTGAGGTGGCAGTGGTGACTGAGGTTGCAGGTTAGCAGGAGCAGGCGGACTGAGGAGTTGCTGCCAGCGGTGTACAAGGTCCGGACGAGTGGCGCCAACCTTGGGAAGACTTTCGCTGACGACGTGCACCGTGGAGGGATCCATCAGGATGCCGCGGTTGAGGACTGTCTCCAGAAGATGAGAGAATCGAGCCACATGCGCCATGTCGACGTTCTCCCGAGACATCAACATCTGGGCCTGGACGTGAAGGGCGAGTGCGATGTCCTGAGCATTGAGCTGATGGACGCATTCGGGGCCCAGGCTTGCAATGGCCTGCTCAGCAACCGGGGAAACGAGGCCTCCATTCTCAATCATCGCTCTCAGTAATGCAATACTCGTAGGTGCAGAGACCACAGCTTGCTGTTGAGAGAAGGCTTCACCGAACAGAAGAATGGCCTCGTCAATCTCTGCAACGGCGAGCTGGAGGCTGACTTCGCTGTTGGCTCCAGCCCGAATGCGTTGGAACATGGATCGTGCTTCCGAGGTAGCTTCTTCAATGGAGCCAGCATCGACTAGGGCCAGAGTATACATGGTCGCAAAATCCGTACTTGGAATGATGGGTAGTGAGCCCGCATTGTTCCAGGTCGACTTGGCTTGAGCGACATCACCAGCACGGATGTACATTGCCGTAAGGGCCATGACGGGCTCGGCTTTCAGGTTCGACACCGTGATGGTATTGAAGCATTCTAAAGCTTCACTTACACTGTCCCCATCCGCAGCAGCGACACATATCAGGGACAATGCCTGGTCTCGAACCAGAGCTGGCAAACTGAAATCATTGAGGCTTGAGATCGCGGCCGAGTAGGCTCTCTGGTCGAGATGATGTCTCACAAGACCATTCAAAATCAAGGCACTCGTCAATTCTTCTGAAAGCGCCTGCTTGTTAACGGACTCCGTAAACGATTGCAGGATCTTTTCGTAGAAATGAAGCCCGGTCTCTGGAAGACCACACGCATAGTATGCCTTGATCAAAGCTGCGTACACCTGCATGTCCAGTGGGTCATTGATAGCTCTCCTGATGGCCAGATCCCTGTACTCATCATACAGGGCTTGGGCAGCGTGGATGTCTTGCTTTGAAGCCTGAGCATCAATGACAACCGTGTATAGTCGAGGGTCAAGCTGGACATCCTGGGCGGCCATGTCAGCCAGCAGGTTGTTCATATGATCAACCAAGCCGGCTTGAGCGCAGGCCTTGACAAGAGCATTGTAAACTGATGTTGAAAGGGAGAAGTCTCGCAGAGTGGCACGTGCAATGTTGTAAAGTTTGGTGGCAAAAGCAAGAGAGGTGTCGGCAGCATACAGCTGTTGTTGTCTGGTAGCCGACGGGAAAACCAAGGCACCGTCACTCCCGTACCGAGATGCTCGTTCACCAAGATGTTTTTGAACTTGGTACGCCTCAAGGCTTCTTGCGGCCAAAAACCGCAGAAGAATCGAGTATGAGGTGGCATTGAGCTCCACGCCACGTTTGGTCATGTCACCATAGACCTCGAGAGCTCTCGGCCACGGCTGGTAGCCGCTACTTAGATGGATGGCGGATATCAGAATGTGATTGTATGCGTCGACACTGGGCACGTGACCTTCCCTGATGATCGCTTCAAAGAGAGCGGGAATCTCGGCATAGCATTGTTGCTGGCCTAGCAGAATGATCTGGTTGGAGAGGGAAGATTCGTCGGAAACAGAAGAAGCGGGTTCCGTTGATGCAGTTTCGTGATCTTGGGTATAGGACGAAGATTCGAGATCAGTGCTAGTCTCCTGGACCGTGGAAGTGGCCGGGCTGGAGCGGAGAACAGGACTGCCGGTCTCTTCGTCGTGGACCGTTGTGTCCGCCAGCTGGGACAACGCATCCAAGTCTTGAGCCTCTCTCTCATCCAACTTGGGCCATGATTCCACTTCAGAATTCTCTCCCACATCTTGAATCTGCGGAGTCGCACGCTCACTGTTCACTCGGGAGGCAGACGGTCGAGCGGTGGGTCGGAGGATAGCAACGGCGCGCGAGTCGAGCCGCTGATGTTTTGAAGGGACCACTTTGTCCTGTTGCTTCCACCCTATGCTTCTCGCGACCTGATGTTGTTTCCAGTCTGAGTCGTCACCCGTTTGCTGCGCATGTTGCCAGGCTGCGAAGTATTGTGCTAACCCCGAATCTCCGCCGGAAGACTGAGAGTTATAGCCAGCCTTGGCTCCGGCGCCCGAGCCTGATGGACTCGAGAACACATTTTGAAGTTGTGCAGTCTTTGTGAATTTGGCGACCGGGTAATTTTGAAATTGTCCTAGAGACTGACCAGCAGCGACAACCGAAGGAGCATATGTATGAGCGATTCCCTTTGCAACGCTGACTCGAGCAAGATGTGCGAAGGGCTTGAAAGGCATCTAGGGAATTGAACTTCTCTTCTGGTGGAAGAGGAACGTGCCGAAAACGAATGGAGGTGAACAAGGCAGGTTCATTTGACGACTTGAGAGCCGCCAATGAACGCGCAGACCGAGAAGGACAAAGGGTCGAATGGTAAAGAAAAAGTGTCGAGACACTCACTCGGAGTGGAGTGTCTGCTGATGGTCGTCGTGTGTCGGTGGTGAGGGTAGAGGGAAGGAATTCGACGTTGGTGAGTCTCGCTTCATTAAGGTACTGACTGGTATCTACGGGCCCACGCCCGACGTACTCGTAAAAAGTGATGCCTGGGGAGCCTGGCGGAGTGAACTGGAACCGCGACCGAGTGGTGACAAATGGAACAGACTGGCTGGAGCCGGGGGTTGGATGGGAAGACGAATCTAGTTAGCCAGAGGGAAATATAGGAAGCTCAAGAAACCAACCACGAGCCTGGACGGTAGAGGCGAAGCTGGTGGAAGAGCACAGTCTCAAGCGATGCATGGGCAAATTTGCAATGGAGTTCGGGAAGATGAGGGATTTCTACGCTTCTGGCTGTCAGCTTCCCGGCGCGTTCTCGAGCTCACATGGCCTCCTAAGCCCGGGTTGCCGCTGGCTAGCCCGAAGGCAGCTTAGCTGGGGCGCGGCTTATCCAATGTTTGGGATTTTGGGGGGGCTGTCGCCGGCGTGAACCTTCAGAAGTTCCCGGGGAATGACACCTATGATGGAAGGCTTGAAGCCCAAGGGGCTCCAGGGGCCCCTGGAATGGCACTGCGCTCCCCGAAGCGGATCCCTGTGCAGGCCTATAATTATGCTCAATGACGGGGCTTAGGCTACGGCTGTCTAAATGACTCGGTTCGCTCATAACGGAGTTTGGGCGTACAGGCGAGATTCACAACAAGCTTTTCCTGATCACCGCGATTCCCATGGGAAACTCGTCACCAACCACACCTGTCGATCTTGTCGGCAAAGTAACGCACATATCCCAGCAGATGTCAGGCACTACTAGGCAACTTGTAGTTTGTCTCTATTTCTGTTTCAAGGAATTCATTATGCAGACAGACCGAAGCATGGTCATCGATCTACTCCGTACATACACCATGTATGAGCACACGAGCAGGTACCATTCCATATAACCGTCTGCACTGACCACGAGTTTCTTCTCGTGCATCCCTCCCGTTCAGGTGCCCTCAAAGTGATTGCGTGTTCAAAGTACCTGCGTGTTTTCAATTCTTCTATGGGCCTGGCGACAACCTCACCACCAGAAGCAGCCCGGGGAACACCTGAAGCAGCTGGCCTTACTCCCAGTTCAGGAAGCCGGCTGTCGCTCTTCTCCCTTGCGACTATTTCGCGAGTATGGTTGATGAGGGCGCAGATCAAGGTATTTGTCGGACTCACACGATTCATCTATGCGTCAAAACTGCGCAAGTCACTTTCGACCTACACCAAGCACTATGCCGTCCATCCCACGCTTGAGAAACGCAATGATCAATTTAATAGACACGTGGCTGACGTGCATGGGTTTGCGGTCGTTGAGCATCAACTACCGGAAAGCCCCTCACCGGTTCCCGACGCCGGTGCATGACGCCGCAGAGATTGCGCGTGCCATCCTCATCGACTCCGATCTGCCGGGGTCGACCATTCCACAGTCGCTCTTGGTGGGGGTTCCGCCGACAGAAATATCGCACAGTTGCCAGAAATCAGGAGAACTTCCAGTCACTCGTCCCTGTCTACCCTGCCGTAGACTTTACAGCGAAATACAGGGGTGAATACCGCCCAGGCCCGGACGGGAAGACCGACATGCTAACGGACTTGGCCTTGGGACCCAAACTTGAACTGGGCATACATCTCACAGCTGCGGAGCTCGCTTGAGCCCGATCTATGCAGGAAGGGGCCGGCTCCCCCAGCGCATCTTCTTTATCGGGGCCGAGTATGACTGTCTGTGCCATGAGGCTGGCACCATGGGTCTAGACGAAACGGCGGACTCGGGGTCGACTGGGAGATGGACGGGATCCGATGGCGCATCGTTCCTAACGCCACGCATGGTTGGACGCATATGCCAAAGCGTGGCGAGAAAGAGATTCAGAGGAAGAAGGATATAGAGGTCCTGTATCCGTACAAAGAGATCGGCCGATGGTTGAGGCAATGGTTTTGTTGGTATGACTTGCCTGGCATCGGCCGAATCTTCACGAATGTTGACGAGATGAAATGAGTGACACGGACCAAGCTCCTACTAACTATACTTCTGAATCCTGCATCAGTAATGATCATTCACCTTTGTTTTCCATTAGTGGCCGCCAAAACGCCATGCTATGCTAAATCTCATCCTGCAATGTCTTGCAACGCAAGTCCCGTTTCAAGCCCAGAGCCCTGCCCAAGCGGCCAACCAAGGGAGGCCGCCATGTACAAGAAGACATTAAGGAGCATTCAATATACATCTGGCCCGGTCTTCTGCTCGTTGCTAAAAGGCCCTTTAAAGGCGCATAGTCGAAGGCACAGACACTAGCCGACGCAGAGTAGTCCAAGGACGCGGCCGTCTACGCTGGACAGCACAGTCGACCAAGTGCGTACCGCGAATAGAACTCTCGCATTTTTCAACAGGCGCATCCGTCTTCCGCCGGCTTTTGGTTGTTTATTGAAACGTCGATCACTGCGCGTTTCCAGATCAGTCAAACTGTCGGACATAACATAAATGATTGCGGGTGTGTCTTACTTTGCGGATTTGGCTGAGACTCGCCCTCGGCTTCCATACCGGGCAAAGCTTGGGCGATTCTCCTGAACAGCGATTTGACGTTATGACCGAGTTTTGCGCTTGTTTCCATGAAGATGGCACCGGCTCTTTTGGCCTCCTCTTCGCCCTGTTGCGTCGTGACCTCTCGTTTGCTGTCTCCCAGATCCGTCTTATTGCCGACCAACACAACGATCACGTCGTTGCCACGCTCGCCGCGGACATCATCGATCCATTTCCGCGTCTGCTCAAACGTCTTCCTCGACGAGATGTCGTAGACCACCACTGCCACTGAGGAGTCCCGGATGTATGAAGGGATTAGAGAGCGGAATCGTTCTTGGCCTGCGGTGTCCCAGAGCTGCAAGCGCACCGTCCGGTCTTCTAGGTACATTGTTTTCGAGAGGAAGTCGATACCGATGGTGGCCTGGTACGTCGTGTCGAACGAGTCGTACATAAACCGTGTGATGAGAGACGTCTTGCCGACTGCGGACTTTGTGAGGAATGAACCATCGTAGAAATCGTCGGGGGGACCTTACCACTCTGCTCACCGAGGAAGACGAGTCTATGGACAGATTGTTAGCCTGCGGCCAGGTCCAGCCATGGAAGGAGATATACTTGAACTTCTTCAACGGATTCGAATACGATCCGACGCCACTTTGCGCCATGTTGGATTATTGTATAGGAACGCTGGAACTCCACCAAAGGGAGACAAGTAGGGGCCTGGTAGAATGGTATGGGGTTCAAGGAAAATTGGAGGTGATATGCTTGCTTCCAAGTTGTAAGCTGGATATTATCGTATGGTCATGACAAGGATGTTGAGAATAGAGAACAGGTCAAGGTGTGCTGGATGGAGAGATCAGGCACCGTGATCAACCCTCCTGACCGACCAGCTGTTCAGGGACAGGCGCGAAATTACCATGAACCCAATGCGAGTGTGGAGTTCCAGGTTTATTCGAACCGACGATGAACGAGCGTCACGAATCGAGCGTCTACCTGCTACCGTAAACCACGCTTGGAAAAGAAGCCTTGCCCCGGTGCCCTGACCGTTTATCTGATACCCATAGGTGCCAGGTATCAGTAGCCACATAAAAAGTTCCCTTGATCATGAACGCCTGTTCCCGGACTCGACTTCGATAGCGCCTATTATTGGTCTGTGCTTGGGGCTCAGGCCTTGCACTTGCTCCGCTTTCATACACTGCAAACTCCCAGACACCAGAGGAAATACGACCTTTGCTCCCTTCACGCCATTGACATCTCGAACGTCCAGTCTCCAATCAACCGTGCCATGATACGGCGGTAGCCATGCGAGCTTCATTATCGCTCTTGAAGCGGTCTGTCTGGAAAGGTATGGCCCTGAGCTGCGTTTCACGACAGCGCATCCGCCACGCAGCCAAAGCCTGGTTAGCCAGGACCTCTTTGCTCACGCTCGAACAGGACCTAACATCGTCCCCTTCCCGAACTTGAGGCCTGCGGGGGCAGGAAAATCGCCTCCGGTTATCAAGACGCAAGCCCGAGCCGCATCCATTCTGCCCAGCTTTGTTGGACTCAGATTTGCTGTTCACAATGGAAAGACATACCAAGAAGTGTATATTACAGAGGAGATGGTAGGAAGAAAACTGGGCGAGTTTGTGCCGTGAGTGCTTCGATTATCCACCATGATGACGCTTCAGAGCTGACATTTGTACTTTGGCACAGAACAAGGAAACGGTTCACATTCAAGCAGACCAAAAATAAATAGACGGGCATGAAAGATACCCTGTACAAGCAATCTCGGTCCCCTCGCGGTTTAAAAAAGTCGAATCTGGATAACCGTAAAGGAACACTCGAGCTCCTCCGAATGTTATATTCCAAGTCGCGACAGAAGTGGCAGCGTAGACAGGTGCTGGCCACTGATTCTATTGCCCCGAAATACATGTCCTGATCTCTAAAAGCCCGTGTGTATGTATGTAGCTTAAGGTCATTTTCTCCTATACAGCATTTGGCGATGTTTGCCAGATGCGCCATCAAGAAATGCCCCTGGTAATGATGCCTCATTCCTCCATCCGTCCTGATGTTATTGTGCCAATGTGGTGGTGAGTGAAACCGTGAATGCCCATCCTTACTCCAGTTCGCTATGCATCGTACCAATTCAAAAAGACCGCCCACCGATGGCATGTGGCTCTTTCATCTGTAGAACTCACCCCTCTTGACATTGACGCCATATTCCTGAACCGCCATACCCAAGTCCTCCATGGTCAAAACAGTCTTTCCCTGACCACTCCCGCCTAGGCCACCACCTCCAAACCCGCTCCGCTGAACTCCCAGTTGCGTCGCTTGCTGAGACTTCCCCAGTAGACCAGTACTGCCTGCGCCGACCCCTCCAGCGCCACCAGGGCCACCGCCCGCCCCAATACCGGTGTTACCTAGGGGGTTGTTTGCAGTGGCAGAATTAGACGACCGGATCCGGCTGTACTGGTACGCATCCGCAGCAATATCGGCAACGAATTTTTGAGTAGCCAAGGACAAAAGCCGAGCGAGAGGTAGAGGAGTGGTGTTTGTGCTGGCGCCGGTAGGGTCGGCCGGCGACGGGGGTGGAAGACCAGATAGAGCCAGGTAGTGTGCTGTGACTGCATCGGGGATCTGAGGACAGCAAGCACGAGGCGTTAGCAGGATGCCCCAGCAGACCACCATCTCTCTCTCACACGAGAAATCTTGGGGCAAGGGAAACATACAATCGGCGCATAATCATCCATCTTGCTCAGAAACTCGCGTAACGTGACGTCCTTGCGGTTCTGCTGTAACAGGCTCGACCCCGTGGCGGTCGCAGGCTGTATTTCAGACTGCTGCGTCGAATGTTGGTCCATCGTCGCAGACGAAGCAGCCTCGTTGTGCGCGTGGATCGCTGGTCCAGTTGTGCTGGTGCCGTCTTGAGTGTCGACCATGTCGGTATCGACGTCGACGTCGACGCCGATGTCTTTCAAGGCGGGGTCACCTTGTTCAGGCATAGGGGGTGGCGACGACATTGTGTCATCTAACAAGTGTAACCCGAGCTGAGAGATACTAGGTCTAGGTCGTGTAACAGGCGGGGGAAGATTCAGTGTTGTCAAGTCTGCTGATTAAATAACGTATTCACTTGGTTTGACTCTGTGCAAACCAGGGTCTAAGACTTGTGACGGCTGCACTTCGGGCTTGGAGAGCAATGCACGGCCACTCCATACTACTGTGTACTTTATAGTATGACCGGGCCGGCACTTTCTCCTCCATGCCAGGATTCATTGAGTACTAATATATATTATTGTACTGGACTGTCTCTCAGCCTCTCGCGAGAGGGGTCTCGTGGTTGAGGCTTACAGTATTGCTGCCCGGGACACTAACTCATCGCACTTTGAAGCTGGCCATGGAGTGAGTCACTCTCCGATTTAAAGTGCCAATGATCCCAATATCATGATCCCAATATCAACCAGCACGAACCTCCCAAGACGCCCGGTGCTGGGAGTTTGCCGATCTTGTGAAGCTCATTCCATCGCTCATGTCCAGTCTGGAGCTAATGACTGAGATGCCTGCGCAGCTGCTCTTGCTATCATCGCCTCCACGTCCTCCATGCTGGGGTTGAACGAACCCTCCCCCTCATTCTGAGGACTGGCTTGACCAGACTCATCGCCACCATCTGATTCATGGTTCGATTGAGACGCATTGGATCCGGGGGCTGCTGACATTTGCTGGTCTGCACCACCAAACGCCATAATCTCCTGCAGTCCTTCAAAGGAAGCTGCATCTCCTTCCGACAGGAGCCTGTCTCGCTCTCTGGCTTCTTGTTTGGAGGCTTGTCCCGGAGCACGAGTCTTCAAATCGCCGGTCACATATTTCAGATAGTAGGGTACCTCAATGCCACTTTTCAAGAAGAACAACTTCAGGTTCCTGGCTTTGTCCTTCAACTGAACCTGATTGCGGTCCTTGAGCGCCTCGCTGACTGTCCCCCCGGGTCCGTACATGGCCAAGATCTGACTCCAATGAGGGCCTTTAACACGATCGAGTCCGGTCATGAGAGCATTCTCTTCTTCTGTCGTCCATGGTCGCCTCTGACTCGGCGTGACTCCCTTCCTAGCGATAAGGGAAGCCTTTGTCGTAGCAGCTAGCCTTGCACGTTCGTACAAGACCGATGTTGGCGCCGTTTGAGAAACGTGGGGGATTTCCCCTAGTGAACCGGACAATGCTGCTGTACTGTCTGATTTAGCGCCCATGTTCTCGATTATCGGCTCGAAAGGCTGGTAATCTGGGAGGCTTTGTTGGGGAGTAGGCGTTTCTGGCTGGACAGCAGGACTAGGCGGTGAAGACGTGCCATTCAATGGCTCTGAGAAGGCGAAATTCCCTGCATCTTGCATGGCAATCTCCGCAGCTCGTGCAGCCTGAGCAACAAAATCATCTTGTAGAAGCGGCTCTACGGAGGGCTGGGGTTGAGGCGTTGTTGAAAGGATCGCTTCTTTCGATGAGATAGGCAACGGTGGCGTGTGGATCGAGAATTGTCCTTCCATTTGACCTCGTTGCAAAGCTTTGGTAGGATTGTTCCTGTGGACTTCCCCCGTCCCACTGCCACCACCGTGTGTTGTGTTTTCGATGTTTTTGGACAGGTATGAAGAAACTTCTCGGCTAAAATCTTCCCATCTATATTTGAACGGTAGCTGGTCGAGAGTGTTGTTCTTGACGTGATTTTGCAGGATGTCCCGCCGGGATGACAGTCTATTGAGGAAATCTTGCTCGCTTGGAGCCAGGGCGGTTGTACCAGGTCTCCTTGCCAGTATAGCCTTGTCGAGATCAGGCCCGAAGAGATCAGCCATGACAACCGCAGGCGGAGCAGCACCTGTTCGCCAGGCGGTAATAAAGCCTTGGGTCTTCAACTCGAGATATATGGAAGCCTGCGCCTTCAGCAGTTTGGCGTTGTCGGGGACGAAGACCGAAAGAAACATTCTGTCCATATCACGAAGCCCAATCTCCCCAGTAAAGACGCTCGACATAAATATGGCTTGATTGGCCTTGCGAAGGATCTCGATTTGCCTGAGTTCACGCAGACCAAGGTCTCTGGACGACAAAAACGGTTTGCCGGTGGTGTACAGCCTCCTCGTCTGGTCGAATACAGATCGCATTGCAGCATACTCTCGAGTGCTCGGCGAATTAGGTGTGTTGGACAAGCCCAGGGCTTCACTGGGCGTTAATCGGGCAAGAAAGCTCAAGATCTGTGATGCCTGTTTGTCCAACGCATTCAGGTTGTCCAACCGAGACTTCTCAGCCGGCGACCGCGACCGAGGAGGAAGTGTCGCCACATTGTCTCTCTCATTCCCAGCATTTGCCGAGAGCAGTGAGGCGGGCCCGGGTTGCTGTAACTGTTGATCTCCGTCTCTTTGTAGTTCTAGTAACCCGTGGGAAACAGTTGGTCCAATTACACTTCTGACCGCCTCTTCTTCAGCGTCGGTCGGAGATATGCGGCGTCGTTTTGGGCTCCTGGGATTGTCATCAGACTCGACATTAGGTATGGGAGTGGACGAAAGCGCCGGTTGAGGGAGGGAATCTGCGAAGCGTCAGTCCATATGCTCGAGCGCCCACCGAATAAAAGTGCTAGCCTTTCGGGTTTCCAGGTATAGATGCTGCAGACTCGCCTCCTCGGGCCTGTCCTGCTAAGGAATTCAGCGACATTGGCCTACGAGAACATTGCTGAAAGAGACACTCCGTGTAGGTGCGTGAGAGATTCAAGTCACGTGGATAGGTTGAGGGGATCAGAAAAAATATTTACAGATCAGGTCTGACGGTGCATGATGTGGGGAAACAATCAGCATCTGGGGTAATTATTGCTTGTCAGACAGTGAATATTAACTCCGGGCTCGATCATCAGGCGGTACCTCCCTAGGGACCTATAGGTAGGTACGGATACGGAGTACGGAGAGATACCACCGCAGTCTGTCCCGTCTCTAAACAAGCCTGTAGTGACTCTACTCTTCTCCCAAGGATCCCAGTTCCCAGCCACCGACATTTTTTACTCTCTTCGGTCTTCGATTTGGCGAAGAACTATCAGTTGCTTGCTTAGTGTAGGATGTCGCTAAGCACATCGTTATCAGCAAACCCCAGGTCGCAATGGCGTCATGTCGACCACGTTTCCATGTTTGCAAGGCAACACGACAACGCTTTACAGAGTCGTAATGGCTCGAATTAGAGGCTTCCTGTCCCAAGGACATGGCAGAGACATCGACAGCTAGGTAGGTTTTGTCTGCTCGAGTAGCAATGCTGACACCGTCCACTATCGCGGTGTAGCTGCGCGCGTCTTCTGGACTGAACATCCTCCCTTATCGTCCCTCCACGTCTTCCGGGGCCTTGCATGAGATAGTACGGGTTAGATAGCAGCATCATTTTGGCCGAGAGAGGCGGTCAAACATGCTCGAGGATTCGCATTGGCCACATTGGCCTCAGGCTACCTAGGTACTCTTACCGAAAGGATGACTATACAGCGGCACCCGACGGATAGAATATCCTTGTTACAGCTCTTGAGCGAATCGAGGTTGCCAATGCAGGAAAACACCCCACTCCATCGTCGCCTACTATCGAAGCTCGACCTCTCAACTCCCGATCCTCAAGCGTTTGGGCCTATAGTGCCTTGCCAAACGCTGCCCTCATGATCATGGGACACTACCCACCATTCAGTAAGCTGCACCTTGTAGCTCTATCCCCAGGCGATGCTGTCATGAGAGCTCTTGCGAGCTCGTCCCTGCAGCCTCATGCCTGATCGACCGAGCTCATAATGCTGGACACACCCCGCAGCTTGTTGCTACTGTCCGCTGTCTCCCAGTTGTCGCCTGGATTATACTTGACCTGAAAGCGCGCTGACTCTATAGTAAACATGGGACTCTCAATGGAGGGAACTGCTTTTCCATATGCCTTGTTGCTTTCTCTGCTTACTATATTTGTCACCACCACTGCCCAGATGGGCATCAAACAGCAACTTCTGAGCACCTTCATCTATACTCTATACGGTGACAGAACGCCTCTTGTCCTTACTACCTCGCCCACTCTCACCCCACTCGGTGCCCAACAGTTGTATGAAGCCGGCGACAGGATTCGTCAGAGATATATCACGCCTAGCGAGAGTGGCAGCATCACCATCAACGGCATTTCACCTTATCAGTTGGATTACGACCAACTGACTGTGTTGTCGACCACTGACCAGTTTGTATCTGCGTCGGCGCTGGCCTTCCTGCAGGGACTCTACCCTCCTTTGCAGACGTCGTCCAACTATACTTATATTCCTGGCCAAAGTACCTTCCAAAATGGGACCAATCTTGTGGCTCCTCTCCATGGCTACCAGTATCCAAATATCATGGCAGTATCGAGTAACGACCTGAACTCGATCTGGCTCAGCGGATGGAAGAATTGTCCTGCGTATACAGCTTCCTCGAACCACTACTATGAAACGGAGGCTTTCCAGAGCATTCAAAATAGTACGGAGGAGTTCTACGCCAGCCTTCAGCCCAATTTTCTGAATGGGATCTTTCCAAATGCTTCAGTTGGCTATTTCGATGCTGCTGGGATTTACGACTACCTCAATTATGCCTCCATCCATAACACCTCTGCTGCAGAGCATTTAACCCCCGAAGTCTTGACAAAGGCAAAGATCCTCGCCGACGATCTGGTGTTTGCTTTGAACGCAGACACATCAGTATCCGAGTCAAAGGCTGTAGACAACATTCGAGCAATACCTGGGAGAACGTTATCTACTCGTATCCTGCAAGCCTTTGACACGACAATCAACATGCATGGCACTACCGACAAAATGACCCTTGCCTTCGGCAGTTACGAGCCCATGGTGGCATTTGCAGCTTTGGCCGGCCTCGTTACTCCTCATAGTTCGGCATTTTACAGTGTTCCTGCACCGGGCTCGAGTTTTGTCTTTGAGCTGATTTCCATGCAGACCGACAATACTGATGCATATCCCGATACTTCCGATATGTTTGTCCGATTCCTCTACCAGAATGGTACCGACTCTGATTCGTCACTGGTCGCATATCCTCTCTTTGGTCTCAGTCCTAGTCAGTCGATGATATCGTTTGTCGACTTTGTTGCGGGGCTGCAAAAATTTGAGATATTTAGTGTTGAAGACTGGTGTACGACATGCAGCAGCTTCAGCGTGTTTTGCCCAGCCTTTGTCGGCACGAATGGCAGCCTGGACCCTACAGGTCGAGTCTCCTCCCACCAGAAAGGCTTATCGCCAGCCGTAGCCGGCGTGATCGGCGCTGTTGTCACTTTCGCAGTGGCCGCTTTGCTGTTGGGTGCGGTAATGTTCTTTGGTGGTGTGAGGATGCATCGGGTCCGTACAACACGCAGGTCGGATTTGGGAGGGTTCAAGGGGGGTGAGAAGCTTGCCAGCGACCAGGACCTCACGCTTCCAAAAGGCGGTGCAGGGGCAGCGGTCATCACAGCCGAAGAGACAACTCCGGTGCGCGGTCATGAACGAGTCGGCAGCTGGGAGCTTAAAGATCGAGCCAAAGCAGAGGCGGCACAGGGTCAAGTGCTCAGCGCAGGAATGCCTCAGCCCCGTCGCCCGAGCTATGAAGACGACGACATCCCAATCGGCCCCCATAGCCTTCCGGTCGACCCACGGAGTCATGTATGAGATGAATGAGCTGGTTATTCGATGGATTGTCAGAAGAGATTATGGACAGATGGCCACGTCAACTTGCATTCTGCCGCACCTGCTGGCAGAAAGTGCTTCACTTCATTCACTGAACTGAACACACGAGTCTTTGCAACACCACAATGATGATTCGCTGATACTGCCGTACCCTCTTTCAATTTTCATCTGTGCGCACCTCTTTTCTCTCTGATCTTGCGGTGAGTGTTGGTCTACCGATCATGCGCCTCATTACCATCCTCAACAATCCCTCTACAGGCTTGGTTCTCCAGTGCTGTTGCCAGCAAGCTCCGTTGCTCCTGCCTGTTGAGCTCTCAACCTGTTTCGTAAGTATTGAGTGTTCTTTCCAAGTTTCTCGGCGGTGCGCACCTTCACTTTGAACGACATGAACGCTCATCCTGCGCTCGTCGCCCATTCAGACCTGCGACGCTCCGATGCCTTTGTCCATCTCTGAGCACGACTTTGGCAAAGGCTTTGCTGGCGTTTCTCTCTCTTCCAGAGATCTCTTTTGGTTCCCTCCCTTGGTTACTGCATTCCTTTGTCGCCTGTGCTCACAATACGGCATACGGCCAATATGACTAACCAAAGCACAGATAGCCAAGTTGGCAGGCGTCGCAGATATACAGTGTCGCGTCTCCTTGAACTCGCTCCTCACACAAGAGCCACCCACTTCGACCTGTCCAAGTTCACCTACGACGCAGCTCGAGGTAAGTCGCCAGAGAGCCAGAGTCGAGGCAGGATGGTACTGAGTTGAACCAGCCGGCGTGGTGCCTCCATTAGGCGCTTGCGTCATGTCGACTCGTCGGACTTTGAGCGACCAGCCACGCAACTGGTCTCAAGAGTCAAGCAGTTCGCAAGAAGAGTTGATCGCCTATCGAGGCAATCGCAACGTCAAAGAAGCTGTCAGATGCCCAAAAGGTCCGCCGCCCGACGACCGCGTTGAAGATGAAGGCTTCGCTCGTTTTCTCAAGAAGCACGCTTCGCCAACACATCAGCGAGTCACCGCCGGGGGCCGCATCGTGCCAATGGAACACCGACCTCGTCCTCCTGTGTGTCACCTAGTCAACTGCAACGAGAATCCAGAGCCAGAGGGCAAGAACAACGCACCCGAAGGAAGTGCAAGGAACACCCAAGGTCCCAAGCTCGAGATAGCAAGCCCAATCCAGCCAAAGCCAGAACCCCAGGATATTCTCCAACGGCAGTCTCATCAGATTCCGGTTCCCAATGCAATCATCGACAACACCGCTCTTGCTGCCGGCGTCAATGTGAATCTAGTGCCCACCGGGGATGCCTTGGCCATCGACACCGCTGCGGCACAGTCTCAGTGGGTGGCACCCATACTCTCAGCGCCCGTCGGTCCGAGCATGTTTCCCGACCCATACTATTTGCAAAGTCCTCCACTATTCCCCGGCTGTGCAATGCCCTTGACTCCGCCGCTTCCTGGGTACAACGGTAGCCTCGATGGACAGTTTGCCATGTCACTGCCCGTTTCCCCAGACATGATGATGGGCCTTTCTGCCCTTAGTGAGATGTCAATGGCAATGGGCGAGTTTGCTGCAACAGATGCCACCTATTTTGACCACATGATTGCCTGTGCAAATGCACGCTTCGAGGAAGCAGACCGCCAACTCAAAACGATTAATCGTCACCGTGCCATAAACAATCGCGACCCATATGTCACCGAGCACCGAATGGCGGTCGCCGTGTTGCGTGCAAATGCAAAGGCAGAGGTCTCATACTGGACCAATCTTGCTTCAGAGGCCAAGGCTGCAAAGATGTCTGTGGGTACCCCAAGTCGCACACTCAACGTGGAGGCGGCTGCCTATGTTCCTCTCCAGTCAAACTCGCTTGTCCCCGCATCTTCCAGCAAATCAAGCACCCTATCGAAGGGTAGTGACAGTACAGTCCAGCCCACCAAACCCAAGCCGTCACTCAAAGCAGGACGTCGTGGAATCCCGATCGTGCCGCCTCCAGAAACATTGGATTTGCCTGTCAAGGAGCTCAGGGATACGGGTCTAGCACACCCTCCTCCTTCCGTGGCTGTGGATGAATGGGGTGTGCGCATCGGGGATGCACCCCCGGCGATACTCCGTCACCAGGAGGAGATGGCGAAGGCCTTGATCCGGGAAGCGAGCAAGTCGCCACAGAAATCAGCCAGCGAAGTGTCAATTCAGAGTCCAGTGGCAAGTTACAACACATCACCGTTGCATAACCAAGCAGTCGAAGCCACGCTAGATGAGAATAGCGAGAATAAGTCGCAGAACGGAGAGTGGTTGCCGACGAAGCCTGGGCGAGCGCCCGCAACTGTTGAAGCATGCTATGAATTGCAGCTGGATGCGATGCGGCTTCCCAAGGGCATCATCAGCAAGGTTAGACTGCCAGATGGTACTATTACCGAAGTTCGAGGCCAAGGGCTGAAGCGTCCACCTTCCTTGGGAATGGACGATTTTGAGAGACGCTACTGGAGGTCGAAGCCCGTGTTGACCAAGGAAATGGCCTCTCGATTTATCGAGGTGCGGTCTTGCGGTGAAGGTCCAGCTGCAGATAACGTTCTCGACCACCTCGACTTCAATCGCTTCAACGTCGAAAGGTTGGTCCTTGTTCAAATTGCTCATCAAATGGTCTGCTAACCATTGTCTGTTCACCTAGCAACCACACGACACCGTTGAAAGAGAATGCCACGCAGATCTTGCCGAGTAGCAGCTCTGGATCTTCAGACGGATTTGCAAATAAGTTGAAAAAGGCAGGCAATGAACACTTACCGTGAGCATGCCGTCGGATATTGCATTTTTATTGTTGAGAGGGACTGACAAATTCTAGGACACCAAGTCACGCCCGGGAACATGGCCATAAAGAGCACCACTCAGCAACGTTTGGGTCTAATGGGTCTGATCCAAGCACGTTGACCTTTAAGCAGTCTTCAGCATCGTCCACTCCTCTCTGGTTACGAGGAGATGACCGGGCGGGCTGGTTTGCGAGTGAACCTTCCCAGGAAGCAGCCATCAATAAAGGCTTCTCGTCTGTGTGTGTTCAGAATGTGCATGCCGTAGGTCGGCTGCCGCACATGCTGGACGGGACGGCCGACAGTCAACGTCGCTCAGCAAAACTGATGCTTTCCGCAGCTGGCAAAGCCCGCAGTCCACAGCGAGGTCGCAGTGCAACCACTGCTTCAGATGCCTTCGGACCATCACGCCGGGCAGGCCGAGGCCTGGCAGTTGAGAGCGACGATGGAATTCAGACTCGCATTGGCAAACAGGAAGAGATGTGAGCCACGCCACATGTAACCGGGACCTTGTTTTCAGGAGTGTATGGATACCTGAGGCACGACTTGGTTGGGTCCAGTTGGGTGGCAAGGGCTTGCTTGGTAGGGGTTGGCTGGTTGGCCGCATGTCGTCTCGAAGTATCGCCAGACCAGGGCGTTGTCACGCTCCAGACAGACTATGTTATCGGGATTGGAATGCCGGAATTTTGACAGCGACAGCGCCGAATATGAAAGGCGTGTGAAGAGCAAAGCAACATGTATTCAATTCAGTGACATGGAGCTGAAGAACGGGTACGCATACATCAACTAGGTAGTGTCAGCAGAATAGCTGCATTTGAGCACACCCAGTACAGATCAGGCTGACTGCACAATTGAAAATGAATTCTTTTTGCCTCCCAGAGGATTTGCCCGACGAAGGGTAGCCAGCACTACTAGTAGTAATATGGAGTACGGAGTACGGCGTAGTGAGAGGAGAAGGGCAAAACCTTTGCTCAGGCTACAACGGTTGAGTTCTGAGGGCCTGAGGGAGGATCGTGGGATTCGCGTAGCTGAATTGCCACAGTGACGCTATCTGATAGGAGCATTGCGAATCGAGAGACAGATGGTACACATGAAATAAAGTCCTGCACATAGCGGGGGATGTAGAGGAGACTGTAAGAGAGTCGAAATGTGGGCATCTTTCCTCGACCATCGAGATTGAGATTTCCGCCAGCGTACAACTCCGGGGCGCCAGAGCATCTAGACCAGACATGTTCTCGATAGTGGAAGGAAAAGGTGAACGTATCTTGCTTGGTATCGGCAGCAATCCCGTCGGTGGCGGTGCTCAAGTAATAGTTTTTTAATACTGGGTTTGAAGGCTACGCGGCCGTTCTGGCACGGCACAGGTGCAGGCGCAGGCGCAGTCTAGCCGGCTGATAAATCATAGTAGGCGTTAAACTAGGTAGGTACCTAGTCCTTCTACGCAAAGGCTAAATACACATAGACTACCTAGGTACACATAGTAGTATTATCCGGCACCTAAGTATCTTGGGACGAGGAGTGAAACATCTCCATCAGATGCCGCCACTTGCCTGTAAAACACACCACGCGTACCAGGTCGACGCGTGCTTGTCGAGCTCGTGTTCGTTGCAGTCTGCAGCGATCAGCAGCAGTCGAAGCAGCAGGAATAGTTGGTGATGTGGATATAGGGACTGTTAGGTACTAGGTCTAGACGTCAAGCCAAGGTGCTAGGCCTATAAGAAAACTACCTAGGTATTCACTAGGTAACTTCTAGGCAAGCACCCGCCTAAAGTACGAGGTCGCTACCCCCCAGGAACCTACTAAGTGACCTCTAGATGTCTAGGTAACATACCTAGGCCAAGGGTCTCCCAGGGAGGTATAGTACCGGTGGTGCAAGTACCTTAACTCTGTACGCCGTATGGATACTGTACAGTACCATCACGCATCCAATCCCCACCAAATCTGAAACTGATCGACCGCCGTTTACCAATTCCATTCCTCTCCTCGTCGTCCCTCCCACTTCCTCCAGCCGATATCATATCTCACTCGCTGCCCTTTCTCTAACCAGACAATATCACATTTAGTATTTCGGCGATTCCTGCCCGCCTTAATTGTTCTATCTTTTTAGGCAAGCATCACTGCCTCAGCCTCGACGCATCAGGAGCAACCCCGGACATGGCGCGCTGCAGATAGCCCATCTGGTCAACAAACAGTCGTCCGCATTCCGGACATTCCCCGTTCAACAATCCAGACCTCCCTGCTCCGGCAAGGTCTTGAGTTCGTCGTCCTCGTCTCTGCCGTCTCTCCTCCTCCGAGTTATACGATCAGCCGGCCGATTCTGTGGATCCATTGAGTTGGCACCCTACAGCATCATGGCGACCGAGAAGCGCAACTTTTCCTCTCTGTCTTTCTCCTCCAAGAAACATGTCAATGGCGACTCCGGTTCGGGTACCCATACTCCCACCACAACCAAGCTCAAGAACTTTTTCCGTATTACCAGCGGTGGTGGGCAGACCTCCATAAGCTCCGATGGCCTACCGACACCCAAAACCGAGTCGAAACCCGTCAAGCAGTCTAGATTCCTCCCGGGATTGAACAGAAATCGATCAGCCACCATTGCCAGCGAAGGCCATCCGCTCGATGATGCCGTCGTATCTCCCACTGCTCAAGCGAACCCCTATTTTATCCATCAAGGTCCTCCCGCTCTACGACACCGTAACGAAGGCAGTGTCCCTCCATCACCTCCCGATACCCCCGAAATTCAGGTCAATGGCGCGGGGCCAGAAGAGAAGGCACTTGCGGCGGGCAGAGAGGAATTGGCACGCAAACTCAGGAGGGTGGCCTCCGCTCCGAATGCCCAAGGTCTTTTCAGTGGTGGCAAGAGCGGCGAGAACAGACCCCAGACGGCTGAGTTGGGAAAAGAACCGCTCACTGTCCTTTCTGGTTCGTTGTCCAAATTGGGCCTGATGCCCCAAGAAGATGCTGGACCCTCGAGTCTGCCAGCGCCGGGGGCCCAACTTCCCCTCCCGGGCCAAATCCGCCAGTCTGTTGCTTTTAGAAGAACATACAGCTCCAATTCGATCAAAGTGCGCAATGTGGAAGTGGGCCCGGGAAGTTTTGACAAGATCAAGTTGATCGGCAAGGGTGACGTGGGCAAGGTCTACCTGGTCCGCGAGAAGAAGTCGAATCGATTATATGCCATGAAAGGTTAGTCTTCGCCACCAAACTCTCCGGGGTCTACTAACCCAGCGTAGTGCTCAGCAAGAAAGAAATGATCAAACGGAACAAGATCAAGAGAGCGTTAGCCGAGCAAGAAATACTGGCGACCAGCAATCATCCCTTCATCGTCACTCTATACCATTCGTTCCAGTCCGAAGAGCATCTGTACCTATGCATGGAATATTGCAGCGGCGGAGAATTCTTCAGGGCCTTGCAGACCCGACCAAACAAGTGTATTGGAGAAGAGGACGCTCGGTTCTACGCTGCAGAGGTGACGGCTGCACTGGAGTATCTGCATCTGATGGGCTTCATTTACCGAGACCTGAAACCAGAAAGTACGAGATACCCTGACATGGACACTGCTATTCCGGTCTGGCTGACATCTCTCCTAGATATTTTACTTCACCAGTCAGGGCATATTATGTTGTCCGACTTTGATTTGTCCAAGCAATCAGATTCGGGCGGAGCGCCTACCATGATCCTGGGCACCCGCAACGCATCAAACCCGACCGGGTATCCTCTGGTCGACACCAAATCCTGCATTGCCGATTTCCGAACGAATTCCTTTGTTGGCACTGAGGAATACATCGCTCCCGAGGTGATCAAAGGCAATGGACATACAAGTGCCGTCGACTGGTGGACTCTTGGGATTTTGATCTACGAGATGTTGTTTGGGACGACGCCTTTCAAAGGCAAGAATCGCAATGCGACATTCGCCAACATTCTCCGGGACGACGTACCGTTTCCCGATCATTCACACGCAACACAAGTGAGCAAGTATGTATCAAGTCCCACCACATGAAGCCAGGAGTTGTGGGGCTGACCCAAACATAGTTTATGCAAGTCGGTGATCCGCAAGCTCTTGATCAAGGACGAGGTCAAACGGTTAGGGTCTCGAGCAGGCGCATCGGACGTGAAGAACCACCCATTTTTCCGACCCATCACCTGGGCGCTCCTCCGGCACATGAAACCCCCAATGATTCCCCATCAAGGACGAGCCATCGACACCTTGAATTTCCGAACGGTAAAAGATAGTGGCAGCGTTGATATTGGAGGAACCCCCAGCCACTTGAAGGGTGTGCCACTTGACTCCGGCATGGCGACGCCTGGAGGCGAGCTAGCAGATCCCTTCCTGGAGTTCAACAGCGTGACCTTGCACCATGATGATGAAGACATGATTATGATGGACGCCGGACAGGTCCAGAATGGACGGTGACGGCTTCTCGCTTGCTTCAGATCAGGAAAAACGGGCAGGTGGGCTCCTGCCGTGGTGTTTCGGCGTTTGAGGGATGAGGATGAAATGCGCATTCAGACGGCCTGTCCGTCCTTGGCCATGGCGAAGAAAACTGTGGATTATGGGAGGTTCAGCATGTACAGGCGTTGCAACATTCGAATGGCGCATGTACAGACATACAACGGAGCAGACTGGAAAGGTGCTGTGGGTTATGTGATCACATTGGAGCATGCTCTTCTTAGTGTTTTCTGCTTCCTGCTTCCTCTTCCTGCTTCCTGTTTTCTGTCTCCCGTTCGATTCGTGTGTGTGCGTGTGTGCCAGGAGCCCTAATGTCGTACACGTAAAAGGGCAATGCTGGCATGGGGATGGTGATTTGTTGGCCGTCTCGCGGCGGTGAGGTCGGAAGATGCGATGGGGGGACAGGGCGCTGAGGCTGGCCAATCAGAGCAGGCGCATGCAAGGGCTCAGGAGGCACAACCACGACACGCCCAATGACACGGAGCATGTGGTCCACGCTCTCGCTTTGTTCATGGTTTTTGCTTTCCTCATTCCTCATTCTCCCTGCATCCCGCATCGCTTCTGCAACACAGCTGCCACTGGGCCGAGTCTGACCGGTGCCTTCAATCCTGGCTTCGCGTTCAAGATCGGGCTGCTTTTTCGACCTCTGTCGCCTGTGCTGCCCCCCAGGTGCCCCCCCCGTGTGCCTCGAGCATGGCCATGATCCTTCGTTTCCATCCCTTTGTTCCTATCCTCCGTGTGCGAATTAGAGCTCCTTGTCCTCACTGATCGCCTTACCGAACCTCTCTGTTCTTCACCGACGACGTCCGTTCTGCCCCAATCCCAATTAGAATATTACTGAGGCTCACCGCACCATGAAATTTGGTCGGAACCTCCCGCGGAACCAAGTGCCTGAGTGGGCATCGGCCTACATAAACTACAAGGCCTTGAAGAAACTCATCAAAGCCGCCGCCGCAGGCGCAGTCGAGGATGGGAGCCTCGATCTTGCTGGTAGGAATAGGACCGGTTGACTCGAAACTTCGGACACAGCTCATATTGTTTAGGTTTCTTCCACACCCTAGACCGCAACCTTGAAGACGTAGATCATTTCTATAACAAAAAATTCCAAGACTTCTCCCGCCGTCTGAAACTCCTTGAAGACCGGTACGGCGTGTCCCCGCAAGCGGCGGCCCAGCTGGACCCAGATGAACGCGAAGACCTGTTGGCCGCTCTGCTGGAGTTGCGTGGGCAGCTGCGAAATCTGCAGTGGTACGGTGAGGTGAATCGAAGAGGGTTCATCAAGATCACAAAGAAGCTGGACAAAAGAGTCCCCGCGGCCCATGCTCAGAAAAAGTACCTGGAGCTCAAGGTCGATCCTTCGGCATTCGCCACGAATGCACAGCTCTTTGCCTCCTTGAACAAGGTCAATGATTGGATCTCTGTTCTTGGGGAGTTTGCAGCACCTACGAACAACGACGATGTAGCCTCCATTTCCTCCGCATCCCTGAAACGCACAACGTCACGACCGTCGTTAGATATCTCGACAGAGCAACTAGCAAAGGTCGAAGCGACGATACGTCAAGACGACGCAGATGGGCTGGAGGAATTGATACAACTCTCTACAAAATCGGCATCTGATCACTCGGAGCCTGCTGTACAACAGTTCTTGAAGGCTCTTCTTCAGAGGGCAATTTCAAACCGGAGCCGTGCATGTACTGCACGCCTGTTACGCGAGGTTATCTTCCTAGATGACCTAGATGACATCAATCATCGCAATTGTCTTCATCGAGTCATCGTCTCCATTGGCCGGAAGCAGGCCAATGCTGACCAGGAGCCTGCTGCGGAATCGTATTCAGATTTCCTGTCGGAGCACCACAACTACATCACACCGGCTGCACCGCCTTCTGTGCCATTCAAACGGTCTGTTGTGCAAGAAGACCAACGAACTCGCATTCTGACCCGGAACGACGAGTCCATTTCGTTCCTTGAATTTCTTCTAGACAACTTGCGACCGGTCCATCAACCCGCACTGCTTGCGAGAGACAGCGCTGGACGGACTCCTCTGCATTTCGCCGCCGAATATGGTATTCGGGTGATGTGTGAAATCATCATTGAACATCTCAAGGCATGGAAGCTGTTTGATGTTACAGAAGGCATCGATGGGCCCCAGTGGCAGGACGATGAGGGCTGGGCTCCATTGCATCTAAGTGTCCTCGGCGGTCATCCTTTGACCACGGAGGCATTACTGAATGCCGAGCACAGCGCCACCTCCAGCCCTTCGAAGTCGACCATTCGAAGGGCGTCACCCAAATCTTCGGCCGTGCTGGCCTTGGCTACCAAGGCCAACTTTGTCGACATTGTTCGTCTCCTTGTGAAGGCCAATGTCGACATTAACTACCAAGATGAGCAGGGAGACACGGCCCTTCATGTGGCTGCTAGATTCGGTCACTTTGAGTGTGCCAAGGTGCTCCTTGAGGGGTCAGACATCCAGAAGGCAGACACAGAGCTTTGCGAAAAGACATACGGATGGACACCTTTGTTCATAGCTTGTGTCGACGGCCACCTTCCCATCGTTGAGCTCTTGATTGCAAGCGGCGCGGATCTTGAAAGAGTCGATACTTCGGGCTGGAATGCCAAGGAGCATGCTGCCTTGAGAGGCCATATTGACATCGCCCGGAAGCTGGCCAGCGCCATGCCCGAACCTGATGTTGATGGGGAATCTTCTTCCACTGCGTCAGTGTCTCCTCCCGTGTCATCATCTTTGACCGAGAGGACTTCAACTTCCATTGGGTCTCAAGGTGCGACGGTCAAGATCAGTGAACCTGTGAAGACCTTTGGACATCGCTATCTGACCGACAAGAGTATGATCCTAGTCAGCCTGGGGACCATGGATACTCGCAAGACCACTGGGGCAGTCAATCTTGATCGCATCCCTTTGGCCAATGCCCACTCCACGCAGCTTGATACTGCTCTGTCGATTGTGGTGTCCGCCAAGTGCGCCGAGGGAGAAGCCGAAGTCATTGATCTTCCCGTACAAGACAATATCTCAACCGAACCGATCGTCTTCCATGCGCCGGATCCATCCAAAGTCAAGTTGCTCTTTGATTTGATCCCGACGTATGCTGGGTCCAAAGAGCGCGTAGTCGGACGCGGGGTGGCACTACTCTCCAGCGTCAAGCCAAGCCTGGGAACGAAGAGAATGCCATTGCAAGGAGATGTGACTGTGCCCATTCTCGCCGCAAACGACCTCGAGGTCATTGGCTCAGTAACGTTCAATTTCTTGGTCATCACGCCTTTCAAACATCCAAACATGTCCGTTACGGAGAACCAGACGTATTGGAAAAGTATGGCGTCGACCATGGTCATCGGCCATCGTGGGCTGGGGAAGAATTTTGCGGCCGGTAGACGGTCGCTTCAGCTCGGGGAAAATACGATACAATCCTTCATTGCGGCCGCCAACCTGGGCGCCTCGTACGTCGAATTCGACGTGCAGCTGACCAAAGACCACGTGCCCGTCATCTACCACGACTTTCTGGTGAGCGAAACGGGCATCGATGCCCCGGTGCACACTCTCACCCTGGAGCAATTCCTCCACGTCAATGATATCCGCACCCCTCGCCAGTCAAGGCCCGCCTCGCCCGTGCCATTCGAAAGCCCCAAGATCGCCAGCCTCAAGAACGGCGAGTCCAGATCGGGGAGGTTACGGTCCATGTCCGTGGGCGGAGGTGACGCTGAAACGGTCGACATGGAAGAGCGCATGAAGCACACGCGAGATTTCAAGAAAAAAGGCTTCAAGGGCAACTCCCGCGGCAACCATATTCAAGCACCGTTTGCCACTTTGGAAGAAATGTTCCACAAACTTCCCGCCAACGTCGGCTTCAACATCGAGATGAAATACCCGATGTTGTCGGAGAGCGAGGATGAGGAAATGGACACGTTCGCGGTCGAGCTCAATTCGTTTGTCGACACAGTACTGACGAAAGTGTACGACCTGGGTAAGGGGAGAAACATCATCTTTTCGTCCTTTAACCCCGATATCTGTCTGTTGCTTTCTTTCAAGCAACCGAGCATCCCGGTCTTGTTTCTCACCGACTCCGGCACCTGTCCTGTGGGAGACATCCGGGCCACGAGTCTTCAAGAGGCCATTCGGTTCGCCAGTCGCTGGAACCTGCTCGGGGTGGTGAGTGCGGCGGAACCGTTCGTGGCCGCGCCCCGGCTGGTCCGCGTCGTCAAAGAAAGTGGGCTGGTCTGTGTCAGTTACGGGTCGCTGAACAATGAACCGGACAAGGTCAAGCTGCAGGTCAAGCAGGGGATCGATGCAGTTATAGTCGACAACGTGCTTGCGATTCGTCGAGGATTGACAGGCCAAGGCAAGTCGAACAAGAAGACTTCCAAGGCCACCACGGTAGTCAATGGACAGGGCGAGCCAGAGATGAAGGATGCAGTTGCAGCAGCCAGCGGTAGTCTAGGAAAAGCCTTGACTGGGAGTACGGACAGCCTGGAGATTCCGGGCATCACTCTCACTACGACACAGGAGCCTGGTGAGATGCCGCGGGTCAAGATTGTCAATGGTGATGGCGGTGATATTGGGCAGGTTGGCCATGTCAAGGCCAGTGATGACGCCGATGCTGATGTCACAGTTTCTGCGCTGGCGGAAGACACCGAGGAGGAGCAAGGCAGACGGTGAGCTGCACCAGCCTCAGTTGATACCAGGGTCGGTAGGACAGTGACGGGATGAGCAATAGCAATATCCCGCAGAGTAGTGTGCTGTCGACGGGGTACAGGTGCCCAGCTGGTGTCAGAAAGGGGAACGCAAGACAAAAGCTACAGGCTGTCTGCAAGAGAATCGCGGAATAGAAGGTGCTGTGCTGTGTGACGGTGGGGTTGATGAGTTTGGGAGCACACAGTAGAAGGAGGTGCAAGCAAGGCGAGGCGACGACAAGGTTGGTAGAGCCGACGTTTGTTAGAATGATATACACAACATCCGGAGCTAGTGCAGCGGTGAAGGACAGCAGATCAAAGGGAAGGACAGGGGGCAAAGGGTCATAAACAAGACGAGATACATAGATTGGTACTGGGCTAACGACAATAGTATTTTCGTTCTTCCCTCCTCGCTGTCGTAGAAGGGAAAGGGAAGGAATACATAGTTTGGTACTGTACTGTGGGGCCAACCCGTTCCTGTTGGTTATGTCAGGGGATGATTCCTCAGATCTAAATCCGAATCCGAATCCGAATCAGTCCGAATCCAAGCCCAAGCCCAAGCCTGAAGTCCAAATCCGAAGCCGGTGAGGTGTTTAGAGCTCATTTAGGTCGGAGTGGCGGGGCAGAGAAAACTCTCGCATGACAGGGATCGATCTGACATATGTAGCCAGACCAGACCAGACCAGACCAGACCAGCCAGGCCAGGCGAAACCAGCTCAGTTGAAAGGAGAAAAGCTCCAACCACATCACATCACATCAAACAAGCCTCCTTCTCCGACGAATGGAGGGCGCTACCTCCGATACGGACTCGTCTCGATCTCGCGGTGGAAGAGGCCCCTGGTCGCAGTGGAGGGGAATGGGAATGCGAATGCAATGGCACATGGATGAAGACGTCGACGATCCACTCGTACCAGACTCTCCGGTCGTCTGTCTTGCGCCACATTGTCACCGTGAGTTCCGAGGCGTCGGGGCAAAAGATGGGACTCTAGAACAAGAGGGGTTTGTTGTCAGTATGAGGGACTTGAGGTTGTAGTAGCAGTAGTAGTAGCAGTAGTAGCAGTAGCAGTAGCAGTAGCAGTAGCAGTAGCAGTAGCAGTAGCAGTAGCAGTAGCAGTAGCAGTAGCAGTAGCAGTAGCAGTAGCAGTAG